CGATTTTCTGGTACAAAAAATCAAATAGAAATCGAAGGAAAAGTGAATTTACCTAATCAATATTCTGGCGCCTACAACAGAAATGAAATGATTATGTAATCCATTTTCCATTGTCTCTTTGAATTTTTCTTCAATTTCCATTCAATTGCCGTTCAATTTCTACATCAATAAGATTTAATAAGTGCTATTCGCTTCTAATCCAATTTTGATTCAATGTTTTGTGCAAGAAAATTGATTCCTGCATGCAGTGGAAGGCTGTTCGGAAGCAATGCAATATGCAATGCATGCTATTGAAACACTTCTCAACTGGTCTGTACTGTAGCTACAGACCTTTTTGTCAAAACAAAATTGACTCGAAATTCTGGCGGACCCTAAATAGGGGTACTCACGGTACAGATTCCAGCGCAGATTCGAGCAGATTTCAGCTTGGATTCCGTGCTGGATTTTGCGCCTCGGTCGATGACCGAGCGTATGCGGCATTGTCCGCGCACCGCTCAAATGGTTACGTAATGAGTACATATTTCTCAATTGCCACCTGGTTAGGGTTGCTGAATTCTTGTTGCCTGCTTGTTCGCTCACAGAGCGCCCACCTCTTTTGGTAATTCCAACCTCGGTGGCTGAGCGGCAGCCATCAATGCATGACATGCGAGCCTCAACTACAAGTCTCATATTGTGCAGTACTCATAAGAATGTGGACGTCGATACAGCCTCTGAGGTAATAAGTGAATGATCTGTATTCAACTGATATTGCTCCTGAATATCCATGATGAGCTTGTACTACTTAGTATATGAATTGTAATTACATGACCCAATATGGAATGTCGCTCTCTAATATATGTGTTCCTTGATACAATACAAATTGCGCATGAAGGCGTCTAAAAGCGAGACATATATTTCTGTTATGTAAGCCTTTGGAGCGGTGCGCGGGCGGACAATGCCTCATACGCTCGGTCATCGACCGAGGCGCGAAATCCAGCGCGGAATCCGAGCTGAAATCTGCTCGAATCCGCGCTGAAATCTGTACTGTGAGTACCCCTTATGTCATGGGAACATTGCAAACTCATCGGATTTGGACGTTTTCAGACCTGCTGAAACGAATCTGAACTCCGTTTGCCCCCAAAACATTCCGATCGAGCGGTACAGAATTGGATGACTTTGGTTGTGCGCAACTGTACCTATTCTCAAAAACCACCATCAAATGCCGTGACAGAAGGAATGCGATTCGACTTACGTTTTGCGGGCGGTGACTCATGCTGGGGTGGCCATGCAACACAGGATTGACACAGGCCTCAAGCTATACTAGTTGTGACTGCCTCATTGGGATAGAAGGTGCACTGCAGAGCGCCATTACGGCTCGCAAGTTTAACTCGAAACGTAATGCGCTACTATGTAAGGAATGGTATGTACTTGTATGGCTTTTCCTACAGATACCAGTATCTAGAATCTCATATTGAGTTGTCATCCACGCGTTGCTCCTGCTGTGTGGCTACGTGTACACGATACTTATCGCAGTTCCATGCCGGAATGCCCAGCGTACACCGCCTTCAAGTTTTGAGTATATGTACCTGTCGGATTCTGACATCGATGATCGGGAAGTTTGACGTTCTCGGTCGTTATTCCCGTGGTCCACGCCCCTTCTCTCCTCAATCGTTATACCACCACGGTCGAGGTGTGTTCGTTTTGTCTTTTTCCCTCGTATCCATACTGATTCGAAGTAGCGATATAAACTTACGAGATTCGGTATAGTTTCTACAAAACCAAGTCCGCGGAGCCTGACTCACGCGTGTTCCAGAGTTTAACTCACCAAACGCAGCCTACTCTATCGTCTACAGGATGCTTGCAGGTTATGACGTCTATGCACAGCAGCTCATCACACTTGGCCATGGACATCCTCTGTGGGAGCCCGAGCCGAAGGAAGAGACCGAAGTAGAGATCGGAGATGTAGGGTATCTACGTCAGGGCGGTTTCTATCGCATGTTCAATGCCCTCCGCGATCCCCAAGATCCGCTCAACACCGCAGTGGGTACTCCGCAAGACTTCGAGAAATTTACTTGCGAGGCAATGCAGCCCCATCGCGTTGATAACGCGATCGCGCCCGGTCCTGTTGCGAGCAAAACGCTGAGGAAGATCCCAGTCAGCGAAGAACTCAATGTGTTAGTAGCCAACGTGTACTCTTGATACTGTCATCATTGATTGTACTTCTGCAGACACAGCATCTACGAATGCACAGACGATCAAGGCGCCCTTCTCCTTCTCGAGACACCTGCTATCAGAGAACAATTGATCAAGCTTCGTAAATTGAAGAACTATTTCAGTAAAAACATAAGTAATTGGCATACTTTCGCCGCTGAGGAGCTGGGATTGGACAAGAAGCCCGAGGATATCATCTTCGTTCGCGGTTGGGTGAAGACTACCCGGTGGGCCATGGCTGTTTTCACGAATCAGGCGAAATCAGCCAAAATCTCATTTGAAGGAGATTTTGCATTGCCTGCTCCTGCATCGTTCTCGCTCTCGGTATCAGAACATATAGCTCCACACTTCGACTGCCGTTCAGGGCCCAGGGACAGGCTTCACGGAGCAGGACAGCATCCGCTCCCCGATCCAAGTTGGCCTGCAGATCGGTGCATATTCCTACATTACATCAGGCTGAAGAAGCGATCCCTCTTGCCGGATACAATCGAGGCTGCTGCTGAACCGTCTTCATCAAACGGCGGGGATCGCGGCAACACTATGAAGGGTGGATCGCAGGTAAGCCACTTGACGGAGGCTCGGCTCACCGTGATCTGACCAGCAAGAATTTGATAGCTCGTGGATCCTGTCGACTATATCTTGGATTATATCCTTTAGGTAATTTCCGTCGACCCCGTGTGATGTCCGATCGCTGAGACATTGTTCTTGAGCATTCGGACGCTAACTCCGCGGTAGCCAGCGACAGTGATTTTATCGCTTTGGCAAATGTCAGTGCTATAAATTGCCGGCTACAATGAACCTAACAGCCAAGCCCTGCAGGAATACCTGGATATCACCCCTTCAATCTTTGACGATGCACGCGCATTCCTCGAGAGCGCAGAGCCTCTTATCAAAGTGACTGCCGAGAAGCGTGAGTCATTCGTAACGCGAAGAAAGTCAAACTCACGATCTCACCATGTTGCAGTTGGTATGCTGTTGCTTACAAGCGAAGAGGATCCAGAGGAGGACATCCAGTCTACGTACCTGGAGACGGACACTCGCAGCACTGACGTCTCCTGCCATCGGATGGGGAATGGCTTCAGCGGAGTGCTATCGAAGACGGGTAGTGATGTAACCTCAGGTGAGAATCATGTGTACGCATTGCCCACCTCTACTGATGCTGGTCAGCACAAGTGCTTAATCTGACTGGAACCTGGTCGAAAGTCTTGAAAGGTCAACGTGGTCCAAGTATGCTGTGTGCCGTTGGCATGCCCTGTGGTCGCTTACTGGTTGTGTTTCTTATGCAGTGCCGCCACTATCTTCTCCTCAATATTTCGCACTGCAATACCTGGACTTGAGGGTCCCCGTCAACAATTTTGTTCTAGCTGAGCTTGTCTCGCTCGAAGCCATGAGACGTACGTCACGTTCGACATATCAGCCTCTCGGCGGCTCGGTCGTCGTTTACCGGCCCGAGAAAGAGAAAGAGTGCTTGCCGTTGGCGATGACGGTGAATACCGGAGGCGCAACAGAAAGTTCCTGCGGCAATGCCCTCGAAACGTACGGCTTTCACATCTATCGGTGGAGCCTACCTCCAAGCTCACCTTAGTACTTTGTCTAGTCCTCTCACTCTGATCGATGCTTTCTGAGTTTTGGGTGCGCTTGCAGAGATACCTTCTCGGAATGGGTTCATGTCCCCGGCTCATTTCCTCATCCGTCCGAATATGGATTTTCTACCTGCGACTGTGCCATTGGTTGTTGCTTCGTATGTCTGGGGCGTATTGGATCTTTGCCTTGGACAGATTTGCGTGTCTTTCGTGTACTATATCATCATAAATGTGCTCTCTTCAATGGAGATCGTCTGTCGGATGTGCGATGTGCTTGGTGCACCACGAGCAAATACAAACGAGCCGATGTCTTGCATGCAGTCAGAAGGCCATGAGCAACGCACCGGCGCAGCAGATATGATACAGACGATAGAGGTTGTGCGTTAACCCGACTTGCCTTCTAGCTGTCCTTCTTTTGCCTCCTTCTCTCTGAGTTCTCGCCTCCGCTTCACGTCCCAGTTGTATAGGGCCGTCAGCATCTCTCAAACGCAAACGAGAGGAAAAACCGAAGCTCCCACGCGATCGCAAAGTGCGATTTACCCAACCTTATTGTGAGTTATAGTGAACCAGTTCCTCGTCCACATATAATAGATACTTCTCAAAGGAGAGTACTTGCAACAGTCGCCGTGTCCTAGCCCATTACGGTAATGCGAGTGGGCGATGAATCCACGGTGAGCTGACGATATGCATGATTTGATCCACAAGAGACCTTGTCATTGTGCAGTCTCGTGCACAGGTGAGAAACTCGTCATCTTAGAGCATCCGCTGGTCACAGTCATTCGGGACCCACGGATTGCAGCTGCTAGCGTTGACCGTCTTGTAGACATTGTGTGAGTCAAAGGGTCCTCGGATGCATCGTTCCGCCAATCCTGCTAGAAAGCACGATTGCAGAGGAGCACGATCACTCAGGCTCTCGGGAGTGGCATATGTACGAGATTCTTCCCAGGTCGAGTGTAAGCTCCTGTCTGTTGTAAAATAGAGGCTATGAGTCGTAAAGGTCTGTACGCAGACTTTAGGGAATGGTCGTGAATTGGACACTGTGTATCCGGTACACCTGCTAATCGTTCGATCTCAAGTAATGAATCATTGCTCCTATATTTTCGGACTGCTAAAAGTCAAACCAAGGATTATAGGTTCTCCGGCGAAGAGCGCAGCATGATTTATATAGTGTCGTGGTGATACACGCACTAAAGGAGACTGTCATGAACAGGAAACGGAGAACCTTACGACACCTGAAATCCCATTGTCTTTACCGGCACGTAGGGCTCTTCCAGATATTTGATTTCGTCGTCAGTGAGTTTCAAGTGGACCCCCTCTACGAACACAATCGCATTCAGACACAGTGAATGGTAGGTAATTGATAGCTCACCCAGAATGTCCTTGAGGTTCTCCAGGCTCGTCGTGCCGACCACGGGCGCAGCGACGACTGCGCAGCACAAAGTAAGACAAAGTGCCTGTTTACCATCGGTCCATGAACTCACCGTCTTTAGACAGTTCCCAAGCAATCGCAATCTGAGCCATGCTGACTCCCTTCTTCTTGGAGAGCTCCTCGACCCTTTAGGAGCACGATCAACGTAGGACCCAGAGCACAACGCCCATACACACAGACCTGTCAATGATCGCCTTCAACGCCGGGATGTCCTGATACATCTCAGACACCCAGTCGGTCGTCGCGCGCTTCGTGGCCGCTTGTTCGCGGAACGGTCTGCACAGAAGGCCGCGGCCCAGGGGCGACCACGGGATCGCCGAGACGCCAAAATACTGTGCATGACTGGATTTAAGAGGGCGCTAATGGCAGGAACAGCTACCCACTGACCTTCAGGGTGGGGAACATCTCGCGCTCTTCCTCGCGGTATATGAGGCTGTGGTGGTCTTGCATCGAGATGAAGGGCGTCAGACGGTTGGTGATGGCATAGTCTGAGAGCCCACTCTGTCAGCCGGTCAGAACATACAACGACGACGGCGGTGCGCTCACTCTGCAAAGCATGGACTGCTCGGAAAGGTCATTAGTACACGCTCAATGTACGTAGCCTGAGGGGATTAGGCACTCACACTCCCAAGCATAGCAAGAGCTCAACCCGATATAGCGCACCCAGCCCGCTTTGACCACGTCGTGGAGGGCCTCCATCTGGTCATAGGTTGACTTACGTGATATGCGTGCATGATCGTTGCGATTTGCTCACCAGTTCTGTTATTTCGTAGCCTTCCCAGAGCCTATGTACTGCCAGGAGCGGAATCAAACCCGACCCCTGCACAAGGTTTACATTTTGAAAAAAGGTCCTACCTTGCAGGACGTCGATGTAGTCCAGCTGCAAGCGCTTCAGGCTGTCCTGTACAGCATGGAAGATGTGCTTGAATAGAAGATGATCAGTCTTGCGACATTAAGCGTCAAGCAGCGTAAGCAAACCTTGCGACTGCCACCATATTGGTTGACGCAGCGCAGCTTTTCTTCGAACTCCTTGGGGTTTCTGAGAAACTCTTCCCGCCGCGGAGACACATAGCCGGTAAACTGGCGATAGGTTGTCATCTATACGTAGTAGCTCCCTCGTAGACTGCTAACCTTGGTCATGACAACGATTTCCTCGCGGGGCAGGTCAAGCTGTTTGATCGCTTTGCCGAGAATCTCCTCGGACAAGCCATTAGAGTAGATCTGAATTGTCGATCAACATCATATCAGAAAGCCGATCCGAACTACTTACATTTGCGGTGTCGAATGTCTGGACACCCGCATCATACCTGCGCCAGTGCAGTTATACTTTTTGGCGGTAGGTATAAAGTCATGCTCGCGGCTCTTACGCATATTTGATGTGTTTGACGGCCTCCTCCTCTCCGAGGAACCAGTCCTGGTCGCACCATGGCGCGCCATACGTCATGCAACCCAATATGATTCGGGAGACTTTCAGGCCAGACTTGCCCAGCTTGACTGGAGTGGATGCTCAGCATCAAGGACGATTGCGACGCCAAGAGAGAGCTACGACGCACCATAGGGAACCCTTTTGGAGGGAAGTGCGGGGATTGTCGACATTCTCTGTTACAGAAGGCTAGAAGCACGAGCAGTAGTTGCATTGTCCGCTGCACTGGAGTCCACTTTATATCTCCTCCGAGCGCGGGCTGATTGGAATGTACGTCCCCTTCCACGCTACCACTGGCACATCTGATTACCAGAGAACGGAGACAAGTGGAGGCAGCGGGGACATGTGGGTACAACGGAGAGGGTGAGTATAGCGGAGACAGGTGGGTACAGCTGTCAACCTAATTCAGTGGAAACGCTCCTGACGTTGGTGGGCACCACTCGAAGTCGAGGTAGACTCGAACGCGCTAACGTACAATATGGACTTCCGAAGCCTGCGAAGGTTCCAAGCGAGTCACTACTCTGCTCACAAGAAACTGGTGCGGCTAACGCGAGATAGACGCGACATATTGAATGTTTTTATGTTTTCTGATGGTTCGGGATGAGTGGGGCGCGCTTTAAGTTTGTCCCGGTATTCTGCGGTATCCGTAGGCGAAAATCGTCGATAAGTAATCATAGCCTTCGATGCCATGGGATAGATCCAAGTTGTATTGCCTTCAATTGAGATAATAGTTGCTTAAAAGAAGGTCTTGAGGTTGCGCCAGTGTCGCCGTAGCAGCATGCTACTGCTAAGCCGCCACTCTGTGTACGGACGGGTGAGAGTCGGTGGGCATCGCGTGAAGCGAGATATGGTGGACGAGACGAGATGTGCCTCCCTCTCGCGCATGCTAGCGATTGGAATTGGAGATAGTGTCGCGGTAGGAGGCTAGGGTGTCTGTCTTAATTGTCACCTTTAGACTCGAGAATAGATCATTAACAGGGCGTAAGAGAGTCGATGGGGGAGAGTAGTACAGTCGCCCGATGCAGATGTACATACGAATCAGACGCGAGATGACTGTTGAAGGTGAGCGGCGCCGTCTCAGGGAGTACGAGTTACGACTCTATTTACGGATGCGTAGCCCCCCCCCCCCCCCCACAACAAGCGGGTATCTTGCGATGTATGAGTGACATTGATAACAAAAGCAGTAAGATGTCAGGAATTGCCCGATTGGGCAAGCTATTACGCCTCCCAGTGACTGGCGCCTTTCCGCGGATTCAGGATATCCATCATCAGGCATCAATGATCTCCTTTCTCTAATTCATACATTGCAAGATGTTCGCCACGGTTTCTCGCGACATACTCCCGAGAGAACGCTTTGACATCAATCACTCTAAGCCGTGAGTGCGTCCTGTTTATCTGGCTTCCAGTTCTAACTGCCATTGCCTTTCTAAAGCCTAGTTTGTAGGCCTGACTTTCAGTCCCAATCGCCTTTCTACAGCCTGGTTTGTAACCATAGCTCTCCTTGTCGTGAGTGTGGTGCGCAATTATGAGCCTGAGGCGTTATACCAGAAGCGTGGACGGCACCATCCCGGTGCGAGCGCTGCTATACGAGGACGAGGACCTCATCGCTTCCCAAGACGGCATCGGCATCTACGATGGGTGCGTCCGTCGGTCTACGATTCCACTACATAGTATACATATTCACCACCTGTTTCTTGCAGCACAGAAAAGTCCGCCCCACACCAGTCCGGCACCGCACACGCGACCACCCATCGCCTCTTCTACATCGACGCCGCGCAACCCATCGCGCGCTCCTTCGAGCTCGACCTCGTACACGTCGCCCGCACAGAGCACTACGCTGGGCTCTTCACCAGCTCCCCCAAGATTACCCTCCACTTCCACGCCCTCCCCGCGCCGCTCAGTGCCGGCGACGACGGCGCAGGTAGCGCCGCGGACGACCCCGCATCCCGCTCGTGGACGTGCGACGTCTGTGCGTACCGCAACCCGCCCGGTCTGAGCCCCGCCGCATCGCGCGTCTGCGCGCTCTGCGGCGTCCCGCGCTCGTCCGCACCCAATCCGGCCGTCGACATCCCCGGGAGCGCAGCGCCGCCCACCAGTGCGCTCCACCTATCTACATCTCTCCCCGCGTCGTCCACGGACCTTCGTGCTCCGACGTCCGCAGCGCCAACGCGGTCTCCCACACCGCCCGCCTCCGCGGATGCCGACGGCGAGATCGCCTGCTCCGTGTGCACGTTCTTGAACCACCCCGCGCTCGCAGCATGCGAGATGTGTGGCACCCCGCTCCCGCGGCGTCCGCCGCCGCCACAGCAACAGCAAGTCCAGGCTCGATCCGCGCCTGCATCCCGCCCGACAACGCCCAGTGCAGACGATGACGGGCCGGACACGCGAATGATCAGGCTGAGCTTCCGGCGCGGCGGGGACAAGGCGTTCTATGCAGTGCTAAGACGGAGCTTGCTGGGGAAAGGCTGGGAGGTGTGTGGATCGTATGTATGCATCGAAGCCGGGATGCTCATGGCCGTCGATCTAGGTGAAGGGCGTGACGAAGCCCACGAATACAGTTAGATCTTCTGTGACCACCCAAGGACACACCGCTACGCTCTCCGGCATCAGTGGGTCCCCGCATATCTCTCCAGCCCCGTCGAGGTGCTCATATCCAGGTCCACACTCGCAGATGGCATCCTGCGCACGGTCGAGACCACCGCGGCGAGCTCCCAGAACGACATGGAGGACGCGCTCAAGGACCTCGAGGCGCTCATGGTCAAGTGGCGCGACATGGTCAAGCTCGCACAGGACCTCAACGAGCGGCTCACCGCCGTCTCCACCACCGCCCCCGCCACCCTGGCCCCACCGGCAGCCAGCACCGAGGGCGCAAGCACGGGCCCGGCGCTCACCACGCAGGCCGTCGAGCCCGAGGAGGCGACGTTCATCCGCTCCTCGCTCGCGCAGCTCGGCGCGCAGATGCCCAACGCGCCCGTCACGCTCGACATGATCCGCGACGAACGCCGCTGGGTCGACGAGCTCGCGCGCGAGCTTGCAGGCGTGCTGCAGGGCACCGGGGGAAAGGGCGAGGGCATCATGCGCCAGCGCGGCGTCGTCGGCTTGGACGAGGTCTGGGGCGGGTGGAATCGCGCGCGGGGCGTCGGTGCGTATCCCTTCTTCTGCGCCCTCCCCCCCCCCCTTCTTCCCTTCCGCAGCCGCGTCTACTTGCTGATTGTGCACTTGACGTGCTAACCACTGATGGTTGCCTTGACCGTCAGCTTTGATCCCTCCCTCGACCTTCCTGATGGTGCTCCCGCACCTGCCCAGCCACACATCTCCGCCGATCCAGATGCGCACGCTCGCAGGCTCGGGGCTCTCGGTCCTGCACACGCCGCCCTTCACGCGCGCCGCGTTCGCTGCGCGGCTTGTCGGGCTGCTCGCTCTCGGTGCGCCCGTCTCTCTCCGTATTCCGTGCGTTCGGCTCATCACACACTCCTATCAGTGGGGCCCAAAACGGTGGTCGAGATCGCGCAGGAAGAAGCCATCCCGATCGGGCTCGCGCAGGAGATGGTCGTCGAGGTAGAAGATGAGGGCGAGATCTGCAGAGATGAGGGCGGGGCGGGCATCAGTGCGGCTGGGTTGTCGCAAAACGGTGAGGTGCGGTGGTGGGTGAACATCTTCAGGGGATACGTATGGGACGGACAGACGGATTAATTGAACACGGGAGCGACAAGTAGACAGAATCACCACCGAAACGATGCACTGTAGTTCATGCGACACGCCGGGCACTCCAATAGACCATTCGTATTGCACTGTAGCTACAGGGACCACGGTTCGGTGCAGAAACAGTAAACAATGCGAGGCACGACATAGCTACGACGAACGGCAAGACAGACGGACACTTTAAAGAATATAAGATACGCTATATAAATCAAGCCCAATATATGACAAGTAAGTACGAACGAACTCGGATGAGGAGGGGGCGCGCGAAGGAAACGCGTCTAGCGCGGATAATTACGGTGAGCAGTAAGTACAACAGCAGGCAGCGTCGAAGGTCAAAGTGTGCCCGGGGTGTTTGGTAGCAAGGAAACGTCAGCGACAGCGTTACTAGATACATTATGGGCGAGGGCAGTCCGAGATTGCGACGAACAGCGATTATCTGCGAGTACGGCGGTAGAATAAATTAGGGCGTGCGGGCTAAGGTAGTATGGGCAGTGTTCTTCCTTCCTTCTTTTCTTCCGTCAATTTACATGTGCACGGGGTGCGCATCGTTGTGGATGAGCGCCGAGTAGGAGTCCGAGTCGAGGCCAGGCATGCTGTAGCTGTCCATCTGCGGCTGCGCCATCCCGTAGAGGCCGTACTGCGGCAGCTGCTGGTGCGCGCCCTCCGCGGCCAGCACATCGACGAGCTCGTACGACGCCGCCGTCGCGTACTGCATCGGCGAGTCCGCGCGGTACGCCGTGCTGTACGCCGCATCGCGTGCATACACCTGCTGCTGCTGCTGCTGCTGCTGCTGCTGCTGCTGCTCCGCGCCCATGTGCTCGATGTTGAGCATCTGCGACATCTGCTCCTGCAGCTGCCCGCTCGAGCTCGAGCGCGAGTGCGCGCGGCTCGCGGGCACCGTCATGGCCTGCGCCTGCTGCGGCGCGCCGTACCCGAGCGGCACGCTGTACGCCATCGGGCTCGACTCGGCCGAGTGCGCGTGGTGGTGCCCGGGCACGGCGTACGGGTGGTACGAGCGGCCCGCGCCGTGGTCCGAGATGGCTGCCGAGAACGGGCGGCGGATCGCCTCGCCGTACTTCACTGACGGCGTCACGCTGCGGTGCCGGCGGATGGGGCCGGGCCCGCCCATGTCGAGGTCCGCGGGGTACAGCGCGCCGTGGTCGAACGTCGCCTTGTGCGACGGCGCGGACAGCGACGTCGCGTAGTCGCCGTACGACGGCGAGAGGCGCATTTGGTGCGCCGCGACGCTCGTCGCGGTGTACGACATGCTCGACTGCGGGCGGACGCCGGCCCACTGCGTCTGCGGCGGGCTGTTGTTCGTCGCGCCAAACGCGTTCTGCTCAGGGGACCCGCCGACGAGCTGGCTCAGCTGCTCGGCGTAGTACGGCTCCTGCGCGTCGTCCGGGAGCGTGTCCATCGCGGTGGGCATCGGGGGCGCCATCGCGCTGGTCGCCATCACGAGGCCCTCCTCGTCGCCCTGGATCTCCTGGACCTGGCCCTGCACCTCGACCTCGTACATCTGCACGTTCGCCATGCTCGCGACGTCGCCGATGTAGTCCAGCGCGGCGTCGTCGCCCTCGAGCTCGTCGACGTCCTGCTCGCCGTCCGCGGCGCCCTGGTCGGCCGGCGCGGCGCGCCCGTGCGTGCGGTAGTGCTGGTTGAGGTTGTCCGAGCGCGAGAAGCGCTTCTTGCAGTGCTCGCACTGGTACGGGCGCTCGAGCGTGTGGGTGCGCAGGTGCCGCTTGAGGTGCTCCATGCGCTTGAACATGCGGCCGCACGAGAAGAGCGGGCACACGAACGCCTTGGAGCGTGGCAGCGCCGGCTGCTCCTGCACCACAGAGCCGGCCTCTGGCCAGCCCTCTGAGAACACGGCAGCATTGTCGGCGTAGGGAAGGGTGTTGGTGCGCATGTGCGCCTGCGGGAATGCCGCGGCGGGGAGCGTGTGGCGCGACTGCATAAACGGCCGCGTGGGGTCTTGCATTTGCTGCTGGTACACATTCGGAACGGACGGCATGGGGCTTGCTGCGGGGGACGGGACGCCCATGGGGTGGCCGCCCTGCAGGACCAGCGACGGGTGGACGGGATACTGCGACTGGGCAGACATGTTGCCCGCGGCCGCGCCAGGGCCGACGAGGCCATTCGCGTACGGCGGCTGGCCATGGCGCCCAGCAGACGACGCGACGACCTCCATCGCGCGGCGCTGGCGCTCCTTCTGGGACGCGATGAGGTCCGGATTGCTCTGCGCGCCAAAGTCGCCGCGCGCCTGCGCGACGAACATCTCCGCCGCGCTCATGCGGCTCGTGTCGCGCCCGAAGCGGTCCACGTGCGGCTCGGGCGCGCGCACGCCGCCGCCGCCGTGCACGCGGCCAAACTCGTCGATGTGCGGCGGCTCCCCGGGCCCGGGCGCGAACGGCCCCGCGCCGTACCCGTACGCGCTGGGGGAGCGCCGCGCGGCGTTCTTGTGCGCCTTCTTGCGCCGCTGCTTGTACGTCGGCGAGCCCTCGAAGAGCGAGAACATGGAGAAGAACGGCGAGTTCGGGCCCTGCAGCGCGGAGGGCAGCTTCTTCGGCACGCCTTGCGCTGCGCGCGCACCGTCGTCGCCGGCTTCGTCGGCAGAGAGATCCGAGTCGGCTGCCTTCTGAGAAGACGCCGCGCCGTCGGCTGTGTCGCCATCACTGTCCGTGGACTCCGCCAGGCGGACGGCGGCCTCGAGTTCGCCTTCGCCGGTCTGGGCCTTGCTGAATTGCTCGTATAGCGACCGCTTAGGGTCGTACGTAAATGAGAGCGCGGGCTCGCCAACCACAATGGTGGTGGGCTCGAGGCCCATTTTCTCCCGTTTAAGGTCGCGCTCGAGGGCGTCGAGGAACAGGCGGTCATGTGGTACGGAGAACCTGCGCGTTACGTGAGCGCTCATTCAGGTCGTAGACGGACACGTGCCCGACGCGTACCAATAGAAGACCTTCTGTTTCTTCTGGGTGCGAATACACTGGTACTTGAACAGCAGGTCGAGGAAGGGAGACTGTGTGAGAGCGCACAGTCAGCGATACGCCGGTCCAAGGCGCACCCGCGGCAATAATGATATTGCGCAACGAGGCAGCAGAAGCGAGCGTGACGCTCACCTTGGGCTCCTCGAGGCACGCGTCGACGCCAGGCTTCAGATTCCTGAGGTCACTGAAGACCCCCTCCTCGAACTTCTTCATGTTCCGCACGGGCCTGCCGAACGCCTCGAACCGGAACACCAGCGCTCGGACGATGTCTGTCCCGGTGATGTGGTACAGTCCGCCCCAGAGGACACATGACACATACTCCTGGTTGGGCAGCAGGAAGCGGTTTAGCGCGGGGTGTGCAGAGCTCGGGTGCCCGATGGGCAGCATGTGCGGGTCGCCGGGGCCGTCTGCGCTCCAGCGCGACGGTGCGGTGGCAAGAAAGAACTTGAGGCGGTCGAGGTGGTTGATGAGCTCGCGCTCCTGATGGGTGAGCGGCCGCGTGAGCCCCCCGTGTGGGCCGGGGCCCAGCGTCATTGCGTCCGCGATGGACGGCATGGGCTCGTCCTCGGACTGGGTGCCCGACTCGTCGTGCTCGCCGCCGTGCAGCTCGGGTGCGCGGAAGGGGTGCGCGGTCTCCTCACCGGGCTCGCGGTCGTGTGTGAGCGCGCTGGCAGTGGATATGTGCAGCGACGTGCTGGGGACATGGCTGTCGAGCGCGGTGTAGGCGAGCTGGTGGTGGTATGCGTGTGGTGAGGAGTGCGCCGAGGAGGCGGCAGATGCGGGGCGCGACGAGGAGGAGGCTGAGTTCATGGGGACATGATGCTGCGGGGAGGGCTGATATGGTGCTGAACTGTCCATTAGAACGAGATGTATACTTGGGGCGGTGGCAAGAGAACGTGATGCGCGGGGGTTCGTAATGCTATAACTGTGGGGGATGATGTTGAGCACGATATGGCGGATGGGGCGATCAGGAAGCTCACATTAAGCTGATGGCGCGTGGCGATATGGGCAAAGGAGGTCAGCACACAGGAGGAGCGGGCGAGTCGAAGGGCATGCGGGTACCTCGACGTCCGATTATCAGGAAAGTGCGATAGGAGAGGACGGGGCGGGTGTGACGGAGAGAAATAGGAAATTATGGAATATTTGAGGATGGGGGAAGGAGAGAAGAGAAAGAAAGGCGGCTGCCGCTGGCTGAGGGAGAGAGAGGGCGTGCCAGGCTCTAGGGCGCTCCGATCCCGCTAAATCCCTCCCTCCCTGATTTGGCCCCGCCACGTGTCCGTCCCCGCTCCCCCTCATCATGCCCACCGTCCTGCTCCCATCAGCACAAGCACTGCCCGCGAGAGCACGCCAGGTACACCCTACAACTCGCCCTTTGCAGGTCCGCAGCTGCAGTCCGCCGCCGAGGCGCTGCCCATCACATCCACATCACCACAGCCACATGCCCCCAGCGTCTGTATCCATCGGCACACATTCGTCGTACACTCACAGGCACCCCGCCCGCTACTGTACTTATCTCTCCTGCCACCGTCACAACCCTCGGCGGACGTCGCCACTCGCCCCGGTAAGCGATAGGGGCGATAGGAGCGCGTCGCCAGCACCGACTCTGAAATAGCACAGCAGCGGCATCGATGCCAGGCGCGCGCCTGAACGCCGTCGTCTGTGCAGCGCTCACGGTCCTGGCTGCCCAGCATCCGCCAGAACAGGCATCGACGCGTCCAAACATGCCACTCTCGTGATGCCCTCCCCCTCCTTGACTGTTCGTCAGCATTAGCTGCCACCCGTCTGTCCGAAAGATTTGCTGCCTGCAGCCCACAGCCCGCATGTGACGTCCTCGCACGCCAGGGGGATGCCGATTCAGACCCCGCGAGCACCGCAATGATCTCCATCTCCATCACGAGCCCGGGCGGTCCTTGTGCCTTGGTCTCTCGCACAGATCAACAACAGAGGCGACTTCTATTGTGTGTGCGTGCGCCCGCTCCCCTGGGCCGGCGGGCGCAGCGGCCTGCGGGCGATCATCGACATCGCGCGTACGATCCCAATCTCCGGCACGTGCCCATGTCCTCCCCCCGCTAACCGAGCCGGAGCCTCGATCGCGCACATGGCGCGGTGGTAAACCCCGGACGTGCGCAACACGCAGCCTCCGCTCCCCCTCCCGGGGCCAAGCCAGGCTAGCACCAGCCGCGTCGTGATTGGGGCTGATGCCCACAGGCGCCCGATCAGATGCTATCGGTCGGCTGCGCCTGTGCCTCAAGAATGCACTACGCCCGGTGGCGGCCTGCACACATCGGCGAGGCTGTGGGCCTTGATGCGGCTCATCCATGAGCAGCATGGGTCGTCCTTCTCGGCAAGCCCAATCACCTCGCCCGCGAGCTAGACGGCGATCAAGGACGCAGAGGTGCACTGCAGGCGGGACGTCCTCATTGCGGACGCCTTGGGCGTCTTGCGAGGAATGCGCACGCGCACTGCACAGGCCGCTGCCCGTCGTCTCCAGCCTACGCCGTTATGTTATGCGAGCACGGATCCCCACACAAAAGCGTCATAGTGCTGCACGTGCAGTCGCGTTTGTATCCATGATCACCTCCGTGCCCTCGGAGGGAGCTTGATCCACAGTGGCGCGAGCCAGAGCGTGTCTAGCTGCAGTCGCTGCCCTGTGCGCCAGCGGAGTATCCGGCGCGCTCCTGCATTCAAGTGAGCAAACGCGCCGTCCCCGTCGCACACGTATGCTCGTGACCGAGACGCTCCGCCTCTAAGGTCGTGGGCAAACCTCGCTCAGGCATTCACCAAATGCCGGCGCGGCGCGGGGTCTGGCAGAGGCTCATGGCGATGGATATTGACGGTGGCGCAACTGGCGAATGGTGAAGGCGAATTTAATTCTAGAGTGCAATTACAGACCGATAGACGATAGCAGTGACTTTAAATCACACTTCCCCGGAGCCTTCTCCTCGGCGTTGTGTATTCCAGCTTCCTCCGCCTCGCTGAGGAGTACAGCACCCTTCCGAGCGTTGTTTAGTTACTTCAATCAAATATTGAATCTTCGTCGGTCAGAGAATTTAGGTTATGTCCACATGCCTGCTCCTTTGTTGATGGCTCGGGCGGGCATGGAGGAGACAGCATATATTAAGTTGCGTGAGAGATTCCATGCACCTCAAATATTGTACTCAGGGTCTGAGCCAGGCCTGACCTTCCCGAGCTGCGCCAGCAATCACCACTCGCTATCGCTGCGCCATTATAGTGGCGCGCGCCAGGCGCGGCGATTGGGCGCAATTTTGCCAACAACCAAAAACACCACTGTGGCATACTGGGTAGTCGGCAGAACCCCCATGGCGGCAGGCGCGACCTGCCGCCAATCAGAGCGCAGAATTCCCCGGAATCGGAATCTCTCAGGACGTTCGCAATCCGATCAGCAATTCTGGCTCCTGGGCCAATCAAGCAAGGGGTGCCGACTTGGGGGGTCTGCCGACTATTAATTACCCGGCTAGTATGCCACAGTAACCGCCCCCCGCGAAGAACGCCCGCCCGCGCCACGTCCGGCACCAATATTCATCGTAGTGTCCGCGTCCAGCGCGCTATGCACGCCAAGATCCAGACGCGCGGGTCTGTGGCGCGATCGGCATCGCCCCGGTGCGTGCGCTGCATGCCGGCACAAGACATAAGGCGCGCACGGCGAGGGCCCGAGCGGCAGCTGCAGCGGCACGCGCACGCCGTGAATAAGCCCGCCCGAGGCTCGGCGCGCAAATGGGGCATCCGCCGTGCGCTGACCACACCAAGGTCCACAACGCGCTTGTAATCCCGAATGCGGGGGCTGGATGCTGCGTCTGCGCACTTGGCACACAGCACGCAGCACGCAGCACGGCACACCGACCGGGGAGGCCGTCTCGGGCCCGCTCACATGCATGGGCGCGGGTGGACGCATGCACTGACGGACGGGCGCCAGCCCAGGCCGGGAAGCGCGGGGCGCACTCACGATGGGTGTGCACCGAGCATGTGCGGAGGCCCATGCCGAGCGGGAGGGCACAGTGGAGCGCGGGAGGGCCAATATGAATGTTCGCGCGCGCCGTCCGCGGCTCGGTTGACTCCCTGTCGCCGCTGCGCCGGGCCTAGCACCAGTGGGACCGAGTCAATCCCGGTGGCGGCCCAGGGCACGCAGGCCCCATCACGCCGGGCGTCCGGCAGTCCATTGTGCACTCGGCCTCGAGAGAGAAAGAAAGAGGCGCGGACGACGAACACGGTGGCTTTGCGCGGAGTGCAATGCCTCGCAGCGGGACGCGGCGACATCAGGCCTTGCTCGCCAACGTGACGCGCCCGGAGCCCCCCTGGCCGCCGCACGCGCAGTGGGCGACCCGGGGCTACGACCAGACCCCAAAGCACAGGCGCGCATAGATGGTGACGACGAAAGCGTCCGGGGCTTGGATGTCGGTAACCTCATGTACGCCGGTGGTGCCTCTGCATGGTCCGCACTTCTCGGCGCGGGCGCGTATATAGCTGGTGGCGCATCAGGAAGCATATGCCCTATGACGCCCGAAGTGTAAACATCCCCATCAGCGCAGCACTGCATTGGTTCGATATCGCCGGGCCGTGGTGTTCCTGGGCACTTCGCGCCAATCCAATCGGACGGCGGGCAATGCTGCGGCCAATGACGCATCCCCAGGCTTGAAGAGACCGTGTCCGGACTCGTGCCAATCAGCGCGGCGGTTGGACAGGTCCATGTATGGTGTACATGGCTGAGGAAATCCGCGTAGCTGAGGTCCGTGTGGCTGCGGTCGGTCGCCAGCCCGACCCGAAGGGCGCTGGAGGATCAGAGGCATGATTGTAATGCAGACCACAGGGCGCACTTTTGAAATTCATTTACGCGCGGTGACGATGGCTCATGAGGCCGCGCAGTCGGGTGAGGCACAGTGATCCCACGGAACGCATCAGCGCGGTGACGAGGGTGCAAGTTCACATCAGGCGACCCTTGGTCGGGCAACATGAGCTAGTGGGAGCTGGCTACGGCATTGGCATCGCAATCAGTCTATCATGGCGCCACGGAAGTCCAAGACTGACTCGCCAGGACACCATCTCGAATGCCACGGCCTCACGGGCTTGTTGGCTGTTGCGGCATCTTGACATCTTGACAAGCTGATGCCCATATACCCGCATGTGTTGCGGGCATCTTCGCGTGCCGCCGGCCTATGGACGGAACTGCACGAGATCTGTCAACGGGAAGATGGTCAGGATCTAGGGCCAGATTGCGATCTGAGCATGAGCCAGACCCACATCTTCTTCCTCGTCCTCGAACAATGGGTGATGTTTGTGAAAGTCGGCTCGACCACATTATCAAAGGATCCAGCATCCACTCTGTGTTCCCCGGCTCGCGCGTAGTCCACAAGGACACCGTCGCGTCGAGGTCCGATCTTTTCTCCTAGTCTTCGCAGTGCTAACCAAGAATAACGCAAAAAATATATCGCCAGCGCCATAACGCCCTTATCTGACAACCCGAGCAAAATAACGACGGTCTAACATTAGTACACATCTAGGTTATCGACAGGAAGGGGAGACGACGTATGCTGAAGCATCGTTCGTGGCTGTTGATACAAGCGGATAGGGGTCTGTATGAGGTATCGGTGTGGGCAATGGTAACGCTGAGAACGTGATCCGAGAAAAAGCAAGACGTGCGTAAGTAATGTGCGAGAGGAAACTTCGTGGCCGTCGTGTAGGTGCAGCACGAAGCGATGGTGTGTCCGCTAGACAGGGATGGCTACAAAAATCCGAACACTGAGCGTGGATGCGTATGCATGTGTACCGGGTCGGGTACGCCCGTGAGATGCTGGCCTGTGGGGGATGCGGTGGATGCAGAGCGAGATGGTGAGATATGCGAGACAGCGAGAATGCGATGCAGTGCAGCAGACATGACGAACGCGAGAGGAGAGGACGAGACACGATGCGCAGATTGTCCAGATATCCCATGTGATGAACGCCGGCTAGATCTTCAACTCCCTGAACCCACGCACGTCGACACGCCCGGTGCCGTTGTGCCGCCATTCTGCGTTGGCCTCCTGGTCGTCCTCGTCCCCGTCGGTGTCCTGCACCGCGGGCTTGCCGGCGGCCTTCTTAAACTTCCCACCCGGGATCACTATCTTCCCTGCGCTGGCTCGCGTGCGCGCTGTCACACGCGCGACGGGCGCGGGCCGCGCCTTGGGTAAGCCCAGCGCTTTGCGCTGGCGCCGAGTCAGCTTCCGCTCAGGCGGTGCTGTGGGAGGCGGCGTGGCGGCCGGCGATGGGACTGAAGATAGCGAGCTGACCGACTCGGGCGATGATCCAGAGGCGGACAGATCGGGCGTGTCAAGATCAAGGTCATCGACCGGCATATCGGAGCGTTGCGATGATGGAAGCTCGGCAACTGGCAGCGTCTCGTCGGTGCGTGTGCGCGACGGTGCGCGGGATGAGCTCTTGGCACGCTTCGCCGCGCCTTGAGAGCTGTCTGAGGCTGCGAGAGACGACGCCGACGATTCGTCAAAAGTCCGTTTGGGCGAACGGTATGCGAGGACGTCGCTCGATATGTGTGCTGGCTGGGTCGAGAAGGGCGTCGACCGTGCCGTGGAGAGCGGTGACGGAGACCGAGAGGCAGGTAGTGGAACCTGGGAAGGAGTTACAGGCGCTGCAATCTTGCTCTCTGCAGCCAGCGCTAGCGCAGCATGTTTCGACGCCTTTGTCTTAGACTCGGGCTTGGTCTTCGCCTTCGAAGCTGGCTTCTTCGATACAACAGGCGTTGCAGGCTCGACATCCGCCGCAGATACCTCCCTCACATTCGGCGGGCCAGCGTGTGGACCACGCAGATTGCGAATAGACGAAAAATGCTCCCAGTCATGGTATCTGTGTCATGGCGTTCAAAGTTATGCACAACAGACGAGTGGAGTTCGCACGCACGCAACGTACACAGGTCCTGGAGGGTCGTCCTCCTCGGATGGCTGAGGGGGCACAGGCGGAGCTTTCTCCTTCTCCGCGCGCTTTCGATCACGCGCTGCTCGCCGTTTCTCACGCTCGTTCAAGTTTGACTCGTCTGGGGCTACGGACGTGGATGGGGCGGAGGGTGTCGTTGGCACGTCGGCAGCGAGGTCCCCGCCCGCTGCCCACTCAATCACGTATACCAGACCCGGCTGGATCACCTTCACGTTGCGGCGGGTCATGTGCGCGAAGGCGGACAGCTCGAGGTGGCCGCCATATGTCGCTACGGGTAAATTTCGAACCAAAGGCCAGGTTAGCGCTGAGGCAAGCGGGGGTCAACACGAGCGGGGGACGGGAGACCGACCTGGTTGTCGCATGCACTGGAGGTGCACGTCGAGACCCCGCTCGTCGTCCACGAAGGGCTCGTAACGCTGCTTATGTGACGCTATCCAGTCACATATGTCCTGTCGCAGCTTCAGGTGGTACGAGGGCGTGCCATGCAGCTGATCGGATAGCGCGCGGAAGAGGCAGTTGCCATCTCCCAGGGTCGCGGCGGCATACAGGCCCATCGCCCGCAACTGCTCCGTGAGCTGCTGGGTGTTCTCCGCAGGGTCGGGGAGCGCCTGGAAGCCCTTGAGGCTGTAATCCACCATTTAAAAAAAATTGCACACACCTTCCCTCTACTCCTCGTCGTTCGTGAGCGCACTGGACAGTGACGAGTCACACCCTGATCAACCCCGTCGAGACCACATGTCCGCGAGCAGACTCACATTGGGGTACGGGCTTCGCATTCCTCCTCTTCGATGGGCCCATGCGTGTGTTGGTCTTTCAATGTCTGTTCGTCGGTGGGGGTGGTGTCGAGCCGTCTCCAACCTTCGAGGGTGCGGTTCCGGGTCCTCCGTGGGACCTCGAACACTGGAAGAAAATGTCTTGTTCCGGACGCCTTTGTTCTGGAGGGCGTCGCCTGCTCGAGGAGAAGGAGGGGTGCTGGATTCTCTAAGCGGTGGACCAGAGGAGAACGTAGGGATGTGGTGCAGACAAGATAATGCACAGGCAAGAGGCAGGGCGGTCTTCGATGAGGCGGGGATGTTGGTCCAGATGTAATGTGGTTCGATCTGCAATCGGTCCATGTGTCGGTTCGATCACGGATCGATACAATGAGCGTTTATTCAACTGCAGCGCTCGAGCTCAAGCGCTCAAGCTCACGGAGGAGCCGTGCGGCCATGCTATGCACTGGATCGTCCATGTGTCAAAAGATTCGTTATGGTGGTGCATACACTTGCACAGTCCTGCTGGTGGCTTACAGTGAAAATGTTTACACATCAAGAACTGTGTGGATGTGGATGAGTAGTGCCCTAAGTATCATGCACGCGCTGAAGGCCAGCAATGTTATGCCGGTCATCTGTCAGTTGCCCCAGTCATTGGGACTGATAGGCACAAGGTAGAACGTAAGACACAAGCCGAGGACGAGATACCTTGCCAGATAGTAAAGCAGAGACAGGAACCATGAGTTACAAATCTAGGCAAGAAATATAATGTAATGGTACATCCTACAGATAAATTAGTCAACAAAGTACAGGTGGCGATACTCGAGTATAAGTGCAGTAACCCACGTCTATCCTTCCAGTCATACAGCAATAACATAGGTACAATAAACAGTCGAGTCCTCCAACATTTCAACACAAACTAGAATGCTGTATTCATATGGTTGCGTGAACTGGCAGCGAGCGAAGCGCGCAATTCCCTGACCAACCGCTTCGCTGTGGTCTCCAGTGGATCCTCACGGACACGGCCTACCTCAACCACCGTCTTCTTGCGTTCCTTCGTCGACACCACGAGCCCGACCCTCCTCGGGGAGAACGACACCGACAACGTGTCGAAGGCGAGCGGCCGGATGCCCCCCTGTCTCCCTTGCGACGACGAGGCCGATTGTGTTCGCTGCGAGCCCCGCACGTACACGACGCCGTCCCGGATCCCGTAGATGCGCACGAGGTCCTCGAGCCGGCTGCGCGGCTGCATGAGGTCGAAGAGGTCCTTGAAGCTCTCCTCGCGCTCGAGATGCAGCTCGCTGTCGTCCATCCAGACGTCCTCGCGGACCTTCAGGGCGATGAAGAGATCCAGGATGCGCGTCTCGCGCTGCAGGGGCTGGACCGGAGACGACGGCAGGCTCGCCTGCGCAGGATCTGGGGCGGGGAAGGGGTCGGAGGTGTACGGGGCGCGGATGAGCGTGTTGTAGGCGGGTAGATACGTTGACCGCAGGACGTGCATGCAGGCTGTGTAGAATGTGTTATGAGCAGGGGAATAGGTGCAGAGGGATAGGTGCAGCCTGAGGATGCTCACCGATGTACAACGCCCGGTTCACTCTCCGGAGGCTCATGTTGAGCCAATATAGGATTTTCCGTTGTCCCTCTGGCTGCCCTTGCGGAAAGAGCTCGTATACTATGCGTAGTAGCGGGTAAGGCGGTAGTGTCACTAGAGTAGCGCGGGTTCCGTGGTGGGGGAACGGAGGGGGATCGAGCTGCTCTGATGCCGCGTACGGCGGAGGGGGCGAGAGTATGCTCTTCTCGTCGAGGATGACCATCTTGGTTGAGATACAGTGCAAGACGATGTAGCGCACAAGTGTGTCGTCGACCTGTAAGGCAGAGTTATAGCCTGAGAGAAAGCGCAGCCGCAGTACGCATGACAGGGCCAAGTGCACATATGCTTTGATCGCAGGAAGCACAGTTAAGCCCGCATTCAATTCGAGTGTCTCGTGCGATGCCGCGCGCCACTTGCATACCAGCCAGCCCAGGAACTTCACTGAATCCCAAAGACGACAGAGACAAACTCATTGTGTCAGTGCGACTTGCCGAACAGGACTGGTTCGATCTCGGCTAGCCGATTTGTGTCGTGATCGTATGTCGGACATTCCCGGAGCCCATTGCGTCACTCAAAGTGACACCAAGTGTGTCGACCCGACATGAGTACGATGGCATTCATTCCTCAGCCGTGCAGATCCAAACGGATTTACCGACCACTGCGACGATCCCTGAGGGCGCCATGAAAATAATATTTATACATAACCAAAAATAAGTGTCGGAAATCGGATGAGTGACATTTGCGACGAACAAAGCCTTGCTCTAGCAAGCGCGGTCGGCCTTGATCATTGCAATGAAGCGGCGTAAATTGAAATGGCTTGTTCCCGGCTCATATGAACTCTCAATAAATGATATATAGAATGAGAGCGATAACTCACGTAGCGCGATCCCTTTTTTTCTTCACAAGTGCGTCACGGAAGATGCCCGTGACATGGGAGTAGCCAATTACATTCGGTAACATGATGGTGCGTTACACAATGGTCACGACTTTTCTTCCGACATAATTAGCGCGCGAGTCTTTGCACAGTGCGTCCTCAGTGCTTCCTGTCATACCTCCAGGTTTCCAGCTGCGCTACTGTCTTCACTTGCCGTTCGCAGCATCATTTTTCAGGTGTGTAGTTTTTTTCATCTTGTATACCCGCCTAAAATTGACAAACCAGAAACCAGCCCGTAGTACGACTCCCAGCGGTTCCCGATGCTTGCAAATTCACTCCGTGCGCAGACCTTCCGCGTCGCCCTCTCGTCCAGACAATGCGTTCGAGCTCTTGCGCGGTGTCATCCAACTGTGCTCACGAGAGTTACGCTACCTAAGAATGCTTACTTCTCGAGCACCACACGCACATCGGAGCAGGCATCCGCTGTTCCCGGCTTTCGCGAGCACGCTGTCGAGGCTGAAGAAGACTTCGAGGCTGAAGAAGACCTCGAGGCTGAAGAAGACCTAGAGACAGCACCGCAAGAGGAGGCGGAGACGTATGCGGAGGAAAGACCGGTGACGAACACCTTGTTTGTCGGCAACGTGCTCACATGGGCTACCGTGGACGACTTGGAGTATGTGTTTAATGACTTCGGGAAGATCAGCGTGCGCATGAGTGAGTGATCCGTCTATCGTTCAGCCGGGCATGCTCCTGATCCACTACAGAGTTCACGGGGGCAGGCCAGAACCGCGGTTTTGCTCATGTCGAGTTCGAATCCGAAAGCGAGGCAGAGGCAGCCATGCGCCGGCATGCGGAGAAGCCGTTCCAACTACGAGGCCAAAAATTCCGACTCGATTATGCGACGTCGAAACCAAGCTACGAAATAGCTGCTCCGCGGGAAGCCGAGCCGAGCCGGACGCTCTACATTGGCAATGTGCCCCCCACAGCTACTGCTCAGGAGCTGGGCAAGCTGCTCGAACCTCTGGCCCCTATCAAGCGGCTGCGCATAGGTACGTCCCTTGCTGGGTATGCGACAGCAGACTATACTGACGCGCGATGCGTTTACCCCAGACGGTACCCATGCAGGCTCGCCTCGTGCCTTCGCCCATGTCGAGCTCGAATCACTTGAAGATGCGCAAGCGCTCGTCGAAAAGACACGCACCGAGCCGCTCCAGCTGGAGTCGCGGACGCTCTGGGTCGCGTACGCCCGCACAGTGTCGGGCGGGGATAGGGCGGTACCGAGCGCCGATCCAACAAAAGTGAATCCCACTGTGGGCTTCCGCAGACGCAATCCTCCCAGCGCGAGCCTTTGGGTGGGTGCGTTGCCCCGCGAAGCGACTGAAGAGGACCTCGTGAAGCTGTTCGCGCACGTGGCGGAGCCGATCGCTGTGAGATTGTGTAAGTCCTATCCTCGGCGTGTCCAAACTTGAGAGCGCTGCTGACGAGGCATTGTGCGACGTCCCATTCCTACAGCGAAGCCGAAGGACGGGAGACCGAAAGGCTGTGCCCACGTAGACTTCTCGACACAGGAAGAAGCGATACGCGTTATGGAGAATAACACGAAAAAGGCGTACAGGCTGTGGGATCGTGCGGAGCTCCTGCTGGACTACGCCACACCGCTGGTCAAGCCGCAATTTCCGCCGCACTACACACTCTTCGCGCCCGGCGTCGAGGGTGAGGAGGAGGACGTCCGCGCGCTATTCAAGGATCACGAAAAGAACATCCGGAAAGTCGTACTCCGTACGTCCAGTTTCATTACTCCCATTCTCCGCTTCTGTACTGAACGACCATGGCAGGCCAACGACAATTCGGCGACGCGAATACGCGGGCCGCCTTCATCGAGTTCAACTCTGTGGAAGAGGCGACCGCGGCTAAAGACGAGTTGAACGGAAAGAAGATCAAAGGTCAGGTTCTGACGTTGTTGTACGGGAAGCGGTCCTCCGGCACGTCTCCAAAATTGTTCCCTGTGTGGCGCCCGGATAATTTCGGCATCAAGAAGGGGGGCAGAGGCAGAAACGAGTCATGATCAATGACTGTGGTGTGCGTGCTGGGGTGAGCACCTCGGGGTCTTGCTGTGAAAGCGTACGCCCGCCGATGCTCACTTTCAGCGCGTCTGTCCGCCGGTCAACCAATCGACGTTATTTCACAGACTGCTAATATCCTGCGGTTCTCCTATGCTTCGCTGTAGAACTACCATCATAATGTCTCAGGCGTTTGTTCCACCCCTCAGCTTGTCGTCCAATGCTATTGCTATGCTACCATTTTGAACAGAAGCGCCCACAGCCTCACTGAGAGACTGGATTGTTGCATCGAAGTATTCAGCAAACGCTCGTTTGTGACGGTCTGCTTTGCAAGCATCTTGTGGTCCTTGTTCCTGTTGGCATATGCATTTACTTCGGGACTGTTCACAGGGAGCTATCGTGTCTACTTAGACGATACCTCTTCATGCTCAATTGCTCGCGCGTCTTTTTTGCGGTCTTCGTGATGGCTGTCTCGCCGTGCAGCTCTCTATCACGCCTCATCCGAAGGAACTCAATTTCGCTGTTATTTCGGACATTAACTATGCGCAGGTTGAATCTGGCTATACACTTGCTTAGGTGCTACTCTCCTGAAGGCTAACCGTATCGGCAGACTGTCCATCTATGGCTGTAAACCAAAGCTGGCGAAGCAGCTGCGTACATCGGTACATTGCTCTTTACGACTGAGTTCATAAGCCACGCCACCTTGGGGGTCTTATCATTTTGCAAATGTCCTTGACGCTGTGTTCCTAGGGTCATAAGTCTCCGTCTGCTGGTAGGTCCATCCCAGGCTTCAAGTTGGTCATTCACATTTTACCACTCTCGACATGGTCAGGGAAGTAGCACCTGAGATCATCGACCACATCATCGATTTCCTCCAAGACGACTCCAGTGCACTATGCTGCTGCACGTTAGTGCACCCATCTTGGCTGCCCCGTAGCCGGTTCCATCTCTTCCGCAAGGTGTCTCTCCGCTCCCGGCCTTCATTAATCGCCCTGCACTCCGTCCTCACGAGCCCGCGCATCCAAGACCACCTCAGATGCACACGCGAGCTTCTTGTCGAGCACGACGTCGCCGCCGAATGGGCGGAGCTCGTCCCCGAGCTGTTCGCCCCGCACATGCGCGAGCTCGAGTCCCTTGCGTTGCACGACGCCCGCTTCTATGGGACCGCGCCCCACGCCCCGCTCTTTACCTCCATCGCCTCGCTCACGCTCGTCTCGTGCGTGTTCCGCACGTGGCACAAGCTGCAGTGCATGCTCTGCGGCCTCCCCCGCCTCCGCGAGCTCTGCATGGTCGCCATCGCGTGGCGCCGCCGGAATGCGCCCGACAACTCGGACCCGCCCCCGGGGAACGAGCTGCGCCTGCGCGCACTGCATGTCGAGGACGTGGCGTCCGGGGAGCTCTGTGACTTGCTGGACTGGCTCGTGAGCACGGCTTCGGGCCTTGAGGCGACTGTCCGCTCTCTCCGCCTCATACCGCGCGATCTCAAGGGCTGGCAGGTGTCGGCTAGCCGACTGCTCGTAGCGCTAGGTCGGTCTCTCGAGCATGTCGAGATCCCCATCGTGCGCATCGACGGTTGGTGATCCAGGCGTTGTGCATGCTGTCCAGTTTACTGATCCACGGCGCGTCACAGGTGACAACCTCGGTCTCGTTCACAACACGAGACTAGGGACCATACGCTTGCGGTACAGGTTCTCCGAGCCGTGCGCGCGTGCCATGGCCCGGATATCGGCGATGGTCAACACCATCGCCTCCCGCCGCCTGGAGTGTTTCCGCTTAGACATTATCTTCAGGCTGGACTTGCACAGCTTTAACATCGAAAGAGAGTTGCAAAACTTTGAGACTGACACGGTCTGGGCACGATTTGACGCGTCCATCACGGCGGGCATCTTCAACAATGTTAAGGAAGCCTGGATCCACCTCGAGTGGCATCTTCGAGAGTCGACCTCCGTGGAGAGCTTTGATCGCGCGCACAGGGCTTTCCAAGCCGGACTGCGTCAGACTCTGTGGGAGCGTCGAGGCATCCTGAAGGCGACGCATGCAGTATTCAACCATGAGTAGTGCTTGGGCCCCGCCGTCACTTTTACGTGCATTGCGTCGATGATCGTCCTGTTATGCGTGTATCGAGATTTAGGTCAAAAAGAGACCGCATCCTGTCTCGTCTTCTCCATGATTCGCTCCGGTCGCACGTTATACGAATTACCGTACCATGCATATACAGTTCGGTCCTAGACATCCGGTCAGAAGGGGAACCAGCCTCCACAGACTCACGGCATACTTATCTCCTTGAGCACCGCCCTCTTGTGCAGAATTGCGAGCATAAGGGCCCTAAAGCCGCTCTGAACCAGCTGACCGCCCCGAATTCGAAGTGATCATGATCAATTGGCAGTCGCGCCGTACAGATGAAGGATAAAAACTCAATACCATCATCACGAGTCGCTCTGCAGACCTCTTCGCAATCCCCGCGGCCTATTGTAAAGCCTCTTCGTACACGTACACGTTCGAAATGACAGCGTAAGCGGGCGAAGTTGGAGCTCTTGATCTGGGGCTCTGGTAGAGCGGCTGGACGGTTCTAGATACTACAGGAGCAAAAACCCCTTCTGTCATAGGGGCCAGGTCTGATCATGGGCTCGTATAAGGGCCCGTTATAATCGAGGAAGCCCAGCCAACTTCGCCCAGTGATTGGGTGTGCTCCGCCCTCACACCGAGCAGCGACCGCGAACGGCTTGTCCGCCGTTGAAGATGACCTCGACAATCGACCCCAAGACGATCGGCAAGCCCGGTGCTCGCACTGTGCGCAAGCATGTCCGGTCTCTCACGGGTGAATGGGTCACTATATGCGCGGTGGGACGTGTGCACTAACTGCGTGGACATGCAGGCTATACTCCCGAGACCGACGAAACGGGGAAGGAGAAGTGGCCGCGAGGGGACGAAAAGGCGTGGAAGACTTCCATGCGCGGTCTCGACACCGGTGAGAGATCCATTACCGTCCGTGCTGCTGCAGTCGTACTCTGAACGAAGGCGAATGTTCCTGCCATCTCGCGGTGATTCGAGGATGAGAGCGTGGCCGACGTTGAAGATGGTCTCGGAGGGGCGCTTGATGAAGCGATTCCTCTCGATCTCTTCTTGCTCGGCTACGCTCTTCATTATACTCGGCTATGAACCATCATCCACACCGTTGGACGTGTCGATGCTTCATAGCGTCACGCCGCTTCCTTCCAATCTTTGGAATCATTCGCATAAGAATCAAACTCTGACAGCACATGTATGTGTTCTTCGGCGTGGAGAAATGACGTGAAGGTACATTCGTATCGTAGCTGGGAGTCGCCCATGGGTAGCCGCGCGCGCCGCGCATATCGTACTGAGCGTTGTGTCCGCCTGCGAGAACTTGTAGATCGTGCACTGCTCTGAAAGCCTTGTCTGTGTTGACTGACCTAACTGACCACCGAATTTCGCTTCCTTTTTTCTCCGGCGCGTCATCAGCGCGAGCATTGACGTCTCTTGTGTAACACAACTTAACTTCCCTTCCAGATATCCCATCTATCACGAAGTCTATTGTAGGCCATGTCCAAACCTCGCTTGCACAACAAGCACACAACTTGGACGACCTCGGCGCGTACCAAGCCGCAGCGTTGTCTGTGCGGGACAATTTGATCGTGAGTATATGCGTGCCTTCTTCCGCATTATCAATCTGACACTATACACAGCTAAACTGGAATGAGACCCAAATGCACTACACACGCAAGGAGCCCAAGCGCGCATACTACCTGTCGCTCGAGTTCCTCATGGGGCGCACGCTCGATAACGCGCTGCTCAACCTCGGGCTGAAGCCGAAATACGACGACAGCATCTCGCAGCTCGGGTTCCGCCTCGAGGACCTGCTCGAGCAGGAGCGGGATGCGGCTCTGGGCAACGGCGGCCTTGGACGGCTCGCGGCGTGCTACCTCGACTCGTCCGCGTCACAGGAGCTCCCCGTGTGGGGATACGGCCTGCGCTACAAGTACGGCATCTTCCAGCAGCTCATCGCGCCCGACGGCAGCCAGCTCGAGGCACCGGACCCGTGGCTCGAGCACGACAACCCGTGGGAGCTCCCGCGCCTGGACGTCACGTACGAGGTGCGCTTCTATGGGCACTCGGAGCGTCTAGACAACATGAAGGCCGTCTGGAGCGGTGGGCAGGAGGTCTTGGCCATGGCCTACGACACGATGATCCCCGGATACGAGACGAAGAGCACGAACAACTTGAGGTTGTGGGAGAGCAAGCCGAAGCGCGGCTTTGATCTTCAGAGTTTCAATGGTGGGTCGTTGAAACACCCCCGGCGCACATCACTTGTGCTGAATCTCTAGCCCAGCTGGTGATTATGAGCGTGCCGTCGAGTCTTCCAACAGCGCCGCGGCGATCACTTCGGTGCTTTACCCGAATGACCACACCACCTGTATGTCCTCTGCTATAGAGTTTCGGCAGTGTGCTCATTTCACCCGCAGTCGGCAAGGAGCTTCGTTTGAAGCAGCAGTACTTCTGGACCGCAGCCAGCTTGGCTGACATCATGCGTCGGTTCAAGAACCTCGGCAAGCCAATTTCTGAGTTCCCTGACTGTAGGTCGCAACCGAGATCCGCTACCGCACGTTTGTTTCTGACACAGGGCTTTTTTAGATGTCGCAATACAGCTGAACGATGTATGTACATGATATTGCCTGAGTTTACGCGCGTGAATCGAGCGCCACGAGAATATACTGATCGCGACGCATAGACCCACCCAACCCTCGCCATTCCTGAATTGATGCGCATCTTTGTCGACGAGGAGGACGTTCCCTGGGATGCAGCATGGCAGCTTGTCACCAACACGTTCTTCTTCACCAACCACACGGTCTTGCCTGTGCGTTATTACATGAGCATCTCTATGTTCTGCCACCTAACCTGATGCCATAATCTCTTAGGAAGCTCTGGAGGTATGCTGCTAGTTTTGTGACTTTTGTATTAATTGATTGAATATTCCGTTAGAAATGGCCGGTACCACTGATGCAGAATTTGCTCCCTCGGTTCGCGGGTTCCTCTTCTCATTCGACTGCACGATTCCTGATAGCTTTTTGCTCCAGACACATGCAGATTATCTTCGATATTGTATGTCATCACACCTGTCATGTTCGACGCTTACTGAAGTTAGTCCCGTCTATAGAACTTGTAAGAGGCACCGCTTCCCTTCCTATGAACGTGGTCACTAACATCATCATATCGTGCAACACAAGAATATTCCTGCAAGGTGTGTAACGTAGACTGTCATTGGCAGCTTGCAGACTGAAATTGTCGTTTCAGTGGTCGAGAAGAAGTTCCCCGGCGACCGTGAAAGGCTTGCTCGGATGTCCCTCATTGAGGGTAAATTGATTTCCACACGTCATAGGGTATCTCATTGATTACTTTGCTCATAGAGGGGTACCCTCAGAACATCCGCATGGCGAACCTCGCGTGTATAGGTACGTGTCTATGATGCGCACGGCTTAGGGAAGCGCTCATCGTACTGGCGTAGGGAGTCGAAAGGTCAACGGAGTAGCTGAGGTCTGTCCTGCTACCAGTCACCAGGGATTTCCATCCCTGACCCGAATTTCGTGACAGCTACACAGTGAGCTTGTCAGGTTAACCATTATGAAAGACTTTGTCGACCTCTACGGCGTTAGCAAGTGAGTGCGAATCCATTACTTTACTGTTTCCTCTAGTTGACCATCCGCGGCTAGGTTCTCCAATGTGACGAACGGCAGTGCGTGAATTGCATAATTGAGTGTGTACGTACACTGTGATGTGCTGATCCATACTATGCAGTCACCCCACGGCGCTGGCTCGATCAGGTCCGTAAATCGGGATCCGTAGAGGATGATGACTGACGAAAAAGAACAGTGCAACCCCCGGTTGAGCAACCTCATTAGCGAGACCCTCAAGCTTCCAAAGGCAGTGTTCCTCAAGGACCTGTATAAGCTGGAGGTCCGCATGTCCTGTTGAATCATATGTGATATTGGTTACTGACATATAATGCACACAGGGGCTTCTCCAGTTTGCTGATGACCCGGCGTTCCAAAAGAAGTGGGCTGCGGTGAAACAAAGCAACAAGGAGCGTCTTGCGCAGCATGTGCAGACGACACTTGGTCTTAAAATTAATACGCATGCTATGTTCGATGTGCAGATTAAGGTGAGCCGCCTGCGGTACTGCCTACACAATGACGGGCTCTGATGGATTCTCCAAGCGTCTGCACGAGTATAAGGTCAGTTGGGACAACCCCGCCTTCGAGTAGATGGACGTTCAACCGTTTCTTCCTTAGCGTCAAACCCTCAATATCATGGGCGTCATTCACGTATGTCCTGACTGCCTAGTGTATTCATCAGCTTTACTGAATCTCTTGCTGCAGAGGTACCTCACCTTGAAGGACATGACGCCAGCCGAACGGAAGAAGGTGAATCCTAAGGTCGTCCTCTTTGCTGGTAAAGCGGCTCCTGGGTGTAAGTGATGGGTACGACTTGTGCAAGGATTTCATTAACGGTCAACTGTGCAGATTACGTCGCCAAACTGGTATGCATCTCATGAAGTCTGAAGTCATCCTCGGCTAAGATCAGTTGCAGACTATCCGCCTCATCGTCAATGTCGCTCGCATCATTAACGCCGATGCCGACACCAAGGACTATCTCCAGCTCTACTTTTTGCCCGACTATTCCGTCTCGCTCGCTGAGGTTCTGATCCCGGCGTCTGACATCAGTCAACACATATCAACAGCTGGAACGGAGGCGTCGGGAACCTCCAACATGAAGTTCTGCCTGAATGGTGGTCTGCTGGTTGGCACTGTTGGTCAGTGCGCCATTGGCCCGCTTATTGATGTCGAGTCTATAATGTGCATTCGCAGACGGGGCCAATATCGAGATCGCAGAAGAAGTTGGAGAACAGAACGTCTGTGAGTATACCTCTTCTCTCAACGGTACGGCTGTAACTCATGGCAGTCTCTATCCAGTCTTCTTCGGACACTTGACGCCTGCAGTGGAGGATCTCCGGTATAAGCACATGTACCACCCAGTGCCTGTCGAGCAAAAGTGTCCTCCGCTAGCTCGTGTACTCAACGAGGTGTCGGCTGGACGTTTCGGTGATGGAGGAGTCTACGAGCCGTACGTCGCTGAGTACCACCTGATCATCTGCTGAGCTTACGTACTGTTCGAAAGGCTCTTGAACACTATTAGGCAGCACGACTACTACCTGCTCACTGAAGACTTCGATTCATGTAAGTCAACACCTATGATCATGGAGTGTTCATCTCATAGCCTCGCAGACATCCAGGCCTTGAAGTTGGTTGACGAAGCATACCAAGATCGTACCGAGTGGATCAAGAAGAGCATCAGAACCACTGCAAAGGTTTGTGCATATAAGATCTGCTACCCATGCAAGTGTTGACTCCTTTATAGATGGGCAAGTTCAGCTCAGATCGCGCAATCCAAGATTATGCTCAGGAGTATTGGAACATCGAGAGTACCAAACCAGAGTAAATCTTTGGAGGCACCTCAACTTCAGTGGTATATCGTTGCATCAATAACATTGGCGCCGGGGTGGATCATGGAACGAAGTAAATAGCATCAACTCACATGAATGTCCTTACGATGAGTACTAGAAGAATGTAAGAGTAAAGGCATTCCAATCCGGAAAATAATAAAAACCGTAGGGATATCACAACAACGGCTACCGACACAGCATAGTAGACTGCCAACGCATAGTGATGATGATAAGAAAGCGGGAAGCATCGAGGGAGACGGGTATCATTCGGTAAACATAACACACCAGACACCAGACAGCATCACGACGAGCTGCCCAGACGAGCCGCATCTAGCCGTCGCTCTCATGCAACAACGGAGTAGTAAGTAGAATAATCGGAGGCATAGAAACAAGAAGGCAGATCCAGTACTGAACAATCAATCCTCAACAGAGGACTCATTCTGCGCCTCCGTCACCTGAGGCTCTGAGGGCTCCCTCTGCGCTTCCGTTGTCTGAGTCTCCTCAGCTGGAGGTTGCAGGATCGGAGCTTCGTCTCTCTCATCTGCAACGTGCAAAAGTAAGCAATTGAACACGCATGTCAAGGGGCTGCAAGCGTACTGCGCAAGATAGTTGTTTCAGGTACGCCATCATGCACATCGCCTGATACCTCTTCGGTTGTGGCCTCAGCCCCTTCCTGGGCAGGCTGTTCCTCTTCAGGCACGAACGGGGCCGATTGTTCGGCAGGTGAATGGGACTGTTCCAGAATAGCAGGAGCAGGTAAAGAGACGTCTTGCACTTGAGTTTGACTGATTGCCTCCGGCTCGGACACAGCGGAAGCCAGCACGTTTTCGGTCGTCTTGGCGTTCTCACTCTCCGCTCCTCCCCCGACCTGTACGCTTCGGGAGGGAGAATCTTGTTCTGCAGTGACATCAATATCTGCGGTATTTCCTGTCCCCGTTTCTTCTGAGTCTGTACCCAAATCCTCCACGAATCTCGACTGAGACCCAGAGACAGGCAGACTGCTGACAGGAGTACCAACATCTTGATCGGGCACATCTCTGCCAGAAACGGTCTCAGATACAGCCTGCTGTACACTTCCTTCTGCGCCCTGCGTAACTTCAGGAGATGCAATAGATGTGGTAAGTGGCTCCTCGACAACATGAGGCTGACTTTCGGCTGTTTCGCTTCCAGCTATGTCAGGGGTACTTGGCGCCACCTCCGCAATGGGAGCCTCGCGATCGGCCAGCTGTTGAGATACTTCTGCCAGAGTCGCAGGTTCGCTAGTGCTAAGGGCGACTTCGGGACCGGGAGTCTCGCCCGCTAGGACAACATGCTCGGGTGCAGGGGGCAATGGCTTAGCCTCAGGTGCCGACGCGTGTTCAGTGAGCGTATCAGTAGGCACTACGACATCCTCAGGAATTGATGGAGTTGGCTTCACCTCGGCAGGTTCTTCATCTTGTTTGATCCGCTGCGTGGCAGACACGCCTTCTCCAGCAGGAGAGGCTTGCTCCGCCTCCACGATGGGAACCGCTGTGAGCTCGGATGTCTTGATCTGAGTGCCGTTCGCGGCTGCGCCAGTGACTGTAGCACTGGTGCCTCCGCCGACATCAATATTGTTCAAGCCCAGTCCCTTCGGTTCCACCGCCTTGGCCTCCTTACTCGGAGATGGGGCCTCCTTCTCCGGCTCTTCAGATAGGATCTCGCCCATCTCGCCCACACGCGGAGACATCGTCGCCTTCTTGCGCGCCGGGAGCTTGGTGTCTGACCCAATAGTTGGGCTGGTCGAGAAGAACGTGAAACGCCTCTTCGCCGCATTGAAGGTAGCGCTCTTGCGCGTCGACGAGATGTTCGAACGCAGAGAGGGCCGTGGTGAGGATGCACGGTTAGGAGTCGTCGGCGAGGCGGGCTGCGGCTCAGGCGGCGGCGGTGGACGAGTGAAGACCTGCTCGAGGATAAGCCAGTTGATCGGCTTCCTGCCATCCTCAGCAGGTGCAAATGGCTTAAGCTGGCAAACAACGAAGTTCGGCCAGTCAGACGCAATGGGATCGAGTAAAGCGTCACTCCAGAAGTCGACGAACGCCTCATCAAGTTGTGTCAATTCGGTGCGTGTCGTCTTTGACTTGGTCGGAACAACATTGCGAGCCGCGGGTTGCTCCGCAACCGAACTATTGCCTTGCGGAGGAGGGGACGATCTGCGCCTTCTGCTTGACTTGCGCATGATGGGCGATGGCTGCGTCTTCTCGAGATCGCTGTCTAAGAGCGTCTTCGCGAAGTCAGAGCCCAGTGAGCTGTCGCCGAACCCAATGCTCGAAAAGTCCGACCAATCCTTGGTAGCGACGACATTGTCTGTCGAACTTGTGCCGTTCATTATACTGATGCGAGATGCTTGGGTTTTGCCATCCGAGGGACCTGCCGAGGCAGAGCGGCCTCGAGTAACCCGTCGAACAAGTCGGTTTGAAGCAGGATTAGTCAATCTGATCGTGGGCACACTACTAGAGCTCTCAGCGGGTACGAGCGACAAGAGCCGTATCGTCTCGTCGGCGAACACTCGAGACAGGGTAGGATAATTACCAGAAGCGGACTCCGCTGAAGCTTCACCGTCCGTGGTGGTAGCCTCACGCTTTATTGCGTCCCATATGTCTTGATACTGGCCGCTTTGAGAGATAACCTCCGCCTTAATTGCATCAGCAATAATGCGAAGGGGGTGCTGTTTGGGCCGTGGAGTTGTGAAGTCCGGCAGCTGCGTTTCGACACGGACATGCAGTGCGTCGTACCGGCGACTAGACAGGCGGGGTCGAGGGAGTAGACCCTCCTCGATAGTTGATGCTCTGGTATAAGGATAGCTTGCAACCAGCTCGGATAGACGCAGAGGCATCTTCTTGCGAGTCATCTCGTCCCTATTCGTTGTACATTCAACGAGGAATATTAGACAAGCAGGATGCACATACCTGATCTGTGCTAGGAAGATATGCTCCAGAATGCGCCCTGCACGCTCCCACCGCGCATAGAACGACGCCCAGTCGTCCCCGTCCTCAGTCCGCTGGGCCGCAAGCAACCAGAGCCCAATGAATTTAGTTAGTTTGCTACCGGAGATTCCATTGCGCTCCGAATGTGCTGCAAGAGAAGAGACAAGTTCGAGAGTGGAAACGAGGAGCTGGAGATGTGCCGGAGGTAGCTGTGGCACCAGAATCTCAGAGAAAGCACTGGGCGGATGATGCTTCTCCCGCTCGGTCTCGTAGAATGCAGTATACCATTGCCATGGATTGGTGTTAGGACCACCAAAAGAGTCGCCTTCTAGACGCACATGCCGGAGGGCCCATCGCAGCACGGCAGCAATGTCATGCGGCGAGCGAGTATACTCCAGCTCGGTATTGAATATGATTTGTGGGGAAGAAGGAGTGGGAGAGAGCGTGGTGATCGGGCTCTTGGGAGCCAGCGATAAAATGAAGAGGGAAATGAGCCTGCGCTGCAAGTCAGGCGAAGTAGAGTACCAGTGGGGATGCATCACGCCCAGCGTCTCGAGGTCTGCGGTAGCACCGGTCAATTTCAACATGAAACAGGATGGTCCATGACATACCGCCATGGTCGATAATCGCCGCAGAGCACGCCTTCACGAGCAAGAGCGCCTCCAAAGGGGTGAGTCGCCTCTCTCCAATGATATTGTCGGGCAGAATGCTGTGATCGTCCGGGTCTGCTTCGAACACGACACCTAACGCGCGTGTTTTCTCTTCTTTGGGAATTGGAAGGCTCAAGGTAAGGTGCGGCACATCGGCGGCAGCCTTAGATGCGTCAGAACGAGGAGAAACAGGGCGAGGAGAACGCGCTCTGAACAGAGGGAAACCGGGGGCCTTGTCCTTCTCTTTCTCCTTTTCCTTCTGGCTGCCGTTCCCGTGTGCTACAGAGTCGGCGAAGTGCGTCGCGGAGGGAGATATAGTAGGAGAGACAGCTTCAAACTTGCCTTCGAGCAATGAAGCGGCAGAGTTGCGCTTGTGTCCGCGGCCGGGCTCTTTCTCCTCCTTTTTACGCGCGAAGACTTTGGACAAGAAGGAAGGCATGATAAAGATTAGATGAAAGAAGGTAAGCGGTGCGATGCATGCAGTAGGCGTCGACAATGGGCTCGACGACGAGGACGGGGTACGCAGCGATGGGCGCAACAGCTACAAGCGCGTTCGAAGGTCTGTGGGGAATATGTTGCACATAATCCAAATATGGTAAGTATGCCGTACATTTCGCGGAATGTTGTTAGATAGGCCTCGACTTCTGAAATGACGATAGCCAACTGGTGACACCAGTCTGAATGCTCGTGAGGCGAGGTCGCATAGTTTCCATGGATTGTGACCTGGATCTCGACAAGAGGACACTGAGCAAAACATGGATGGATGGATCAAGAAAGATGAGGTAAATGAGGTATGTAATATGAGATACAACACACGGTGGTAGCAACGTCCGAGCCTCCTGTACCACACGCTAAAGAATCCAGCAGACAACACCTCCACAACTAGAACAAGCACTCCACATGACCGTCGCTCTGTACGTCCAGTCATAAACGCTTCAATGCCTTCTTCCGCTTCTCCGCGCCAGCCACGCCGGCTGCAGATCTCTTTACTGCTTTCGCGGGTCCTGCACCCACCGGAATATTGACCGCTACTGCCACATTCGAATCAGCGGTGCCCAGGGGCGCCGGAGACGTCAGTCGCTCCTTCGTCGTGGTAGTTTTCTCGCTTGAAATGGATGATGCCGACGTGGACGTCGCGAACACGTTTGATGGCGATGATTGCAGAGGCATTGCTGGTGTCGACGTTGCAATTTTCTGCATCGCTGGGGTTGAGGGGACGGAGAAGGGCGCGATTGCGGTGGCTAGCGCAGGGGTAACCGACGCTGCTTTAGTCGTCTGCGGTTTCGACGTCGACGCTTCCGGCGGCGACGAAGACGTGACAAATTCTGTTGGCTTCATCCGGGGTGTTGCATGTACACTTGTGATCAGCTTTGCCCGTTCGCAGTAGCTGTCATAGTTTTCGAGAAGCAGCTTGCCCGCTTCCTCATCTAGCGCTGATTCGGGATTCGGATAAATCAGCAGGCATTTGACCGTTACAAGAATGTGCCCGATGCCGTATGATGACTTCCAGTCCTTCTTCAGTGTGTTCACACAGATCTCGCCTGCTGACGACACGTTTGGATGGAAGATTTTTGTCAAGAATCGGCCTGCCGAAGAATTAGTGAATTACTGGTTCAGTAATGAGCGAGACATACATTTGGGTGGTGCTGCCGGAAATTCTTCCGTGAAGTGGAATTTAACCCTGAAGTAACCACCGGCGTACGGAGTTCCCTCTGTTTTGATGTGAAGTCAGCACGGACGAGAACATTGATCACGGAGGCATTGAGATACGGAGAAGTGGAGATGAATTAGCACCGACAGGGTCCCTTCGTCAGTGGCTCCGCTTCACGCAGGCCGTCAGTGCAGCGATTATGAGAAAGGCACGTTAGTGATCAAGGATGTGTCTAGTTATTCGCGACGATTACCAGTACCGTGCACAAGCAGCCGGCACCTACGACCACTATGCACGACCTGTAGGTCGTACAGATATCAAAGGCTCAGGCAGATACTGAATGAGACTGCTATCGAGTCAAAGGTGGCCTTATACAGCGGCAGATGCCCCTGAGTGTGCACTTGCAGTCATCTCGCGGCTACCGTGAAGCAAGAGACCCGTGCACGTGTGAAATCGCGTCAAAACACTGACCTGGTCCTTCAATAATTCCAGTCACGTCCAGCATATTATCCTCGCTGGCGACAACGCGTATGCCTTCCGGTGGACTCGTTTGAAGCTCACTCAGCTCGCGCATGAGGCGGCGCATAGCAGCGGGTGCGACAGACTGTAAGTTCAAAATGGAGCACATTAGTATTTGCTATAATGTGTAAAGCATTACAACTGACCATCGTGTGCAAAGATAGACCTGAAGATGCCCAGCTGGAAGTTGAACGCGAAGCGTGTTGGTCAGAAATCAACCGGGGTGGCGCCCGATTCATCTCCGTCTCGTTAAAACGCTTCCCAGTCACGTGCATCTGTCACGCCAATTTCTGCCTCCGTCACAGGGCTTGATCACGGTGTGAAGCTACACATCCGCATTAAACTCAAGTTTATGTTTATTAGCATGTTGTCCTCTGCGATGCAAAATATAAATGAATGACTTCAAGCACATCCTCCAAATACTTCTTACCACTGCATGCAGTATTCAATTTTCTAGTACAATAAATCAAATGAAAATCGAAAGAAAAGTTAATTTATCTAATCAGTACTCTGGCGCCTAATATGGAAGTGAAATCGAAGGAAAATCGATTATGTAATCCGTTTTCCATTGTCTCTTTCGACTTTCCTTCGATTTTTCTTCAATTTCCATTCAATTTCTAGATCAGTAAGATTCAATAGGTGCTATTTGCTTTTAATTCAATTATGATTTGATATTTTGTGCAGGAAAATTGATTACTGCATGCAGTGTACTTGGCAGACGGTGTTTCCACCCTGGCGACATACGCGTGCTTAATTGTACCACGTGATCGTTCTTGGACGCGTCGCGAGCGCCTTCTCCTGCGGTAGACGACCACACTATTGTGGTCATCGCCACACACGTTCCTCGTCTCTGCAACGATGTACGTAGAAGAGCAGTCCGCGTCTCCCCCGCTCAAACGACGGCGTTGCGCAGAAACGGCGACCCAGGCATCCCCCAGTCCGTCGTTCTGGTTCCATGATGGCGACATCATCCTAGGCGTCGAGCAGCACTTGTTCAAGGTTCACCAGAGTCGCCTCAAATGCTCAGTGATATTCTCAGACATGCTTGAAATACCACAGCCGGAGGTCGTGGAGGGCGTGGATGGGAAACCTTTCGTGCAGCTCGCAGACTCGGCACAGGATTGGCATGTGGCGCTGCGATGGATGTATGACCCTTTGTGCGCATTCCGCCGCTCCGAGACGTCGCTTTACCTCACGAGCCTGGTCACGCACAGAACGTTCAATAACATGCCACATCCGGTGCCATGGGCATTGCTTCCCAGCGCACTGCGGATAGCAAACAAATATGAGATCACAGCTCTCCGTAAGTGGGCTGTTGATCGCTTGCATGCCCGCTGGCCCTCTGATCTTGAGCGCATGGACACAAACTCCCTGCCCTGCGCCGCTGGTGAGTCCTCTGTACTACGTGATACCTCACCCGTCTCATGTTGACGCACAGAGGCAATTGTTCTGGCACACGAATGCGACGTCCCATCAATTCTGCCGGCTGCTCTGTATGCGCTTTCTCTCCAGCGCTGGGGATACAACGCAGACGGCGGCCGCGCGCACTTGGTGTTGTCACCGACGGACATGCGCCGGCTGCTCGTTGGCCGTGAGCGCCTCCACGAGTACCGCAGTCAACTCTTGCTGAGCCCGCTCGTCTCACGCCCGCATGGACCACCATTCGAGTCGTGTGGCCAATGTCGCGACGCGCTGCAGCATTACTGGCGTTCGCGGGTCGCATCAGACCCAGAGTCACCATACGAGTGCTGGCTGTTGCGCGAGCTGCACACTGTCGCGTCCGAGCCGGATGAGCTATTTGAGAGCACGCTGTGTACACCTTGCCTTGCTTGGCACCGTGATGTCGCGTGGATGCGTTTTTATGGTTTGAGGGCGTCAATCCCTCAATTCTTCAGCTTGCGGTAACTTAGTGCTTAAGCGGGACTGTGCTTGATCTATCTTGGACCAGACTTGAATGGACACATACATTTGTATTGCCACTACCTTGTGCGCGGGTTAGCTGCTCATATCTGTCATGCACATACTTAATGGGAAAGAATGTGCAACTTCGCCGATGATCGATGGCGCAGACTTATTTTGACTGTAAGTGTGAGTTGTGATGAAAACTTACCCACTCAGGAGCTCAGACTAGTCTCACATCGCGCTGGTGTACAACAATCGATGCGGCGAAGTCCTCTAGGATCAATCTAGGATGACACAGCCAGGATCAGTTGAGACAACTGGGGCGATGACTCCCCTCCATGGCACAAATGGTTATCCTACTTCTTCTTCTTAGGTTTCTTCTTCTTTACTCCAGCCCCGCCCGCTACCCCGGACGTCCCAGGTGTAGGAGTAGCCTCGCGTGCGGCGGCATCCACTGGTTCGGATTTTACATCTGGAGCAGACGCTGGTTTAGGTCGTTGATTCTGCATCTTCTGCATCAAAGAGAGGTTCAAGGCCTCAAATCGGTTGAGGTATATGGATGAGTAAGTCTTGAACTTGATGCACTGCAAAGATACAAAGGTATCAGCGAGGAAAACTGGTAAAACGACAAGGATTACGCACTGTCGTGTTGTCGGTGATCTTCAGCACCAGCTTACCCTCCGACGCCCTCCATTTCACACAATACCGAGCCTAACGTGGACGCCATCAACTTGCTGAGCTCGAAGAAGCACAGAGATACACACTCGGGTGGGAGCCTTTTCATAGAGTGCCTCCGCTGCCTCCTGGAATTCCTGCCAGGACGAGATGTAGACCATGGCAGGATGGAGGTCGGCGGCAGCGTGGAATGCGTGACATGCGGAAGCGAGCGTCACGATGCGAAGTCACGAGGTGTGATCCCCCGCGCTAACCCCGCGTCAGATGGTATCAGAGCACAAGATCGCGCGTTTCAGTCGATACTTATTCGTTGGCCCGACTTTCTTTCCTCTCTATCTCCTCTCCGTCTTAAAAGCTCTCTGTCAGTCCGTGTGTGCTGAGCTGCGAGAAATGTCGACCACCGACAGAAAGCGTAGGGTATAAACAAAAAATGACATCATGCAATTCATCTAACTCTCCGCTGTGTACCGCAGCATTGCCTTTCGTTGCCAACTTCACCGCAGGTGCTATTGCGGGCATCTCAGAAATCTTGACATTCTATCCTCTCGGTGAGTTAGTCTTTAAGTGGTGTTCTACTGTATGTGACCTCTATCGCAGATGTTGTGAGTGAACCGTTAGCGTGCCCCGCGGCGCTGTTCAGTACATAGTGTCATGAGGACTGCAGGTCAAGACACGCATGCAACTGGAGACTGGCAAGTCCACGACCGGGCTAGTGGGCGCGTTCAAGACGATCATTAAGGAAGAAGGGTGCGTGGTGCATGTCGTGCTAGTCAAATGCCTACTCATGATTATTTATGTAGATTTGGACGTCTGTACAGAGGTCTTGTACCCCCATTACTTCTGGAGGCACCAAAGCGCGCTACGAAGTTGTGCGTTGCATTACTGCCTGCTTGTGAAGACCCCACTAAGTTGCTCTCACCCCAGCGCGTCCAATGACTTTTGGGGCAAGACGTACTTGAAAATGACGGGCGACGACAAGATGACCCAGCAGCTCTCCATCCTCACAGGATGCAGCGCAGGCGCGACTGAGAGCTTCGTAGTCGTACCTTTCGAGCTTGTTAAAATCAGGTGCGTGGTTGCGTTCTTAAACGCTTCAAGCGTCTGACGTCTGTGTCAGGCTGCAAGACAAGCTGAGCACATATGCCGGCCCGATGGACGTCGTCAAGAAGGTCATCCAGAAGGAGGGCGTCCTCGGGTTGTACTCGGGCATGGAGGCGACCTTTTGGCGGCACTTCTGGTGGAACGGCGGTTACTTCGGGTGCATCTTCCAAGTCCGAGGGTTACTTCCCAAGGCCGAGGTGCGTCTGAGCGCCGCACCCTGAACCTTCGTGTTTGAGATGATTTATCGGCGAAATACAGTCGGCGAAGGCGCGCTTGATGAATGACCTCATCGCCGGTACGGTAGGCGGGTTTGTAGGTACTGCGATCAACACGCCGTGAGTGTTCTGTTTGTTGACAATATGTTTTCGCCATACTGACGCCCTTTTAGGTTCGACGTGAGTGTCTGGCCGGCGGCCAGATGTTGTTAGGTGCTGAGACGTGTCGTCGTAGGTCGTCAAGTCGCGTATACAGGGCGCCACGAAAGTGCCCGGCGTGGTGCCAAAATACAACTGGACCTACCCTGCGTAAGCTACAATCTTTCCCCCTTCCCTTCCCCTTCTCTTCGCTGGACTTACGTTATACTGCTGTAGCTTGATCACAATTTTCCGAGAAGAGGGGCCTGCTGCGTTGTACAAGGGCTTCGTCCCCAAGGTTCTGCGGCTGGCACCGGGCGGCGGTGTCCTGCTCCTCGTCGTGGAGGTTACACTGAACATGTTCCGCCAAGGTCAGTAATCTGCCTGTGTTCGCGTTGCCTGCCGAGACTGATGCATGTCGTTCCTCGTAGTACTTGGGCCGCCATACCTCTAAGGCGCTAGACCATCCATTCTTTCGCTCTTGGGATGGTATACACAGTTTCCGGACGGGTTGGCCACAGCACGACTAGACAAAATTACGCAATACAGGTTGGGTATCTGTACATTACTTCACACCTACCATGTAGAATATCTACGGTCTTTTCCAATGTTGTATGATGAGTCTGGTGACCACTGAGGTAGTGAGTTATGGATAAGAAATGGTGCAGAATGTGTGGGGTTTCATTCTTCCTTGACCTTGTGCCCTGAAGTCTCGTTCTCGCTTGCCGGGACCTTGCCGCTCGGTGGAGGCGAATCCTGCATGAGAATCTCTCCCACAGCACAGGTACCTGCTGCCCATACGAGCAGTAGCGAGCTGATGCAGAAGAAACTGATGGTCTGCCCAATCTCGAGCCACGAGCCTGAGAGAAACGCGGGCTAAGAGAGCGGTGATGGGAATGAGACAATCTCCGCACCTGTGTCAGTGACATTGAAGAAAAATGTCATGGTCATGACTGTTCGTTCACACGACGGTCAGGGAGGGACATTCATCGGCTAGGAGAAAGGCGCCGTACCATCCGTGATCGTTAGAGCAACCAGGAACAGGCTGAAGGGCGGCAGTCCCAGTCGGGTGTTCAGGATCTGGAAACATGATGCAAGGATGATGTATGGGGCGATAATCTTGAAGATCTGCATGAAATCCGAGTGGGTTGAGCCCCTCTGACAGCTGCAGAAGAGCGAAGTGTTTACCAGAAGGGACGCCATGATGAAGGGGCTGAACACGGGGATAACTCGGAAGACCGGCTCCAAGTAGAAAGAGCTAGAAAAGTGTAAGAGGAGGTTCACTGCGTGGCTTTGCATACACGTACGATATGGATGCGACACTGCATACACATCATGAGTACATAGTTCGAGCAGCGCGTAGAATCGACTTACTTTCCGGTGCCAAAAAAGGCGACCTGCACAAAAAAGAGGAAGAACACAGCGATTCGCAGATCGTCAGCTTTCGGCTTGTACGATGATAAGTCTTTCGGTCGTTGCCCAGCTTCGCCCCGGAAAGCGGCTTCGACATAAACCCATAGAAGTAAGGTGGCGGAGAAGGCACAAAAGAAGAGCCCCTCCACGCTGATGGCTAGGATGACAAAACAAACGGAAAGGCCTAGAAAGAATGGCAGGATCCGTAGGAACGCATCACTCCCTCGATATCTTCGGAAGAGGGGCACTGCAGGTGCAACCGCTGGATACGACGTGTTACGCAAACTCTGCATGCATGTAACCATCGAATACTCACCGAAGAGAATGCGGCGGGAAAGCATAACCGGGAGCCAGTGCGGCAGCGGGCTATATGTATCATTTTGAACGAGGATTACGGAAATCATTATCACAAGGCACTGTGATACAGACAGTCAGGAGGCATGTATCCGTGGAGCTGGCGCAAACCCACCTGAAAGAGTGTCGTCCAAAAGTATCGACCATTTTCGCCATCTTCATGCGATAGCATGACCAGTCCTGCGCCACCTGCGAGCAACATGCAAAGCCCACCCGTCCACCTGAAAGGGTCCAAAGTATAAACGAGCGCTGCTGGAGTACCAAAGGATGCTAACATACACAAGGGGAAGATTCTCTTTCTGGTAAACACTCAAAAGAGGGAAGATGGCGGTCAATGAACATGCCAGGCACCATGCACCCAGCAAGCGCAAGTGCTTGTTGCGAACAGCGTTTGGCCAGAACAACAGCGGCCATACCACGCCAAGTATAACAAAACCGATGCTCCAGATCTCGCGGTGAGTATACCCAGCCTGAGGTAATAGAATGAGAAGTGATCATGAATATTGCGCAAGTTGCAACATACCACCATACTCTCAAGCGCAGCGACAACTAGGCATGCACGCATTGCTAGTCTTACTGCTTTAAGTATTCCAGACTCTCCATCTTGCAGAACCCGCAACATAGGCGTCCACCCATGCAAGAGTGCTTGATGCCAGAAGTAGACCGGGAAGCAGATGTAAAGATAGAAAGACCACGGAGATCGCTGCAAAGCGAACAAGCCCCAGAACACCGACAGAACACCTACTGCGACCGCATTCAGGCCGTTCCCGCGGCCCTTCTCCTGCGCATCGCGCGGTGCGAATATTGACGCGGCACCGAACGCCATCCAGCCTAGGTAAGCGGCGGTGACAATCGCACGGATGAGCGTCCGGTCATACCTGCTCGCAACGTCAATTCCTTGTGAAGACAGCAAGCCACAAGTGATGCGCACGTCTCGAGGTACCGAAGACCGGCCAGGGTGTGTCGAATGAGCTCTGCTGACGCCCCTCTCGCTGCGCTGTACTTTCCTTCGCGGACCAAGCCCTCGATCTCGTTGAGCTCCTTCGCACCGGGGTGATTTGACTTGGACTCTGCGAAGTATGAATATGGGCGGTAGTACAGCGAGTGGGTCTTCTTCGCCTCTGCGGGTGTTACACATATACGTACGTCAGTGGTCGGACACACCCCGAGAGGCAATGTTCAGCGCACCATGTTTCACGTGGTAGTGTTCCAACAGAACCTGCACGATTAATCAACATCTACACATAACATGAACCACAACGCACACCTCCGCATTGACCAGCGCCGCCTTGGCCTGCGTCCGCTCTCCGTCCAGTATACTAAGGTATCCAGGTCGCGTCGGATCTACATCAGGCAGGACACCGACTGAGTTGACTGGCCACTCAGTGCCAAGGAGCGCCGACATGAGGGCGGCGACATCTGCCTGCTCGACATCATGTCGGAGCAGGTGCGAGAGACCCCACGGCGCCGAGTACACGTCATGCGATGAGGGCGTACTGTCCTGTAGCGGGCCGCGGACGCCCCTGCCCCACGCGATAAGCGGTGTCCGAGTGTTGTCCGGGTCTAGTTAATTGAGGACGCGGTGGATATGGGGTTCGTATCGAATGTATATATTGTGCGCTTACCACCATCGCCGTGATTGCCAATCATGGACATGCCGTGGTCGGCGGTAAAGATGAAGCTGGTCTCCTCATCCTTGAAGAAATCCATGAACAGCTCCTCCGTCTGCCGCACGATTTCGTCGACCACCTGAATGTTAGCCATATATTCCTATCGTTGAAGGCGAAGTATCAGCGAAGAAGCGGGAAGAATGAGCGTTTGCGGCGTACCTTGGAGTGCGGGCGGAATGAATGGCCGGTCGTGTCGAGGCCGAGTAAGTGTAGGAAGAAGACCGTTTTGTCCTCACGCAACGTCGCGTCCAGTGCGGCGTCCACAGTTGCGTTATGCAGCAACGTCCGCAACTGTTCGAGGACCCAAGTGTCGAGGCCCGTTGCGTCTGTCTTGAGCGTATAAGCCGCCCGCCTCTCAAATATTCAGATGGTCCGCGAACCTTTAGTGAAGTCCTCCTCGTCTTCATCGTAGCTCCACATATCTACCCTGCCAGGAGTTGCACCCCGTGCAAACATGGGCAAAATATCGGGCGAGCCGAAGGAAAATGTATGACTGGAACGATTGAAAACCGAGTCGAAATCCACCTGTACGCTGTGTAAACAAGGCGACATATCAAGAGAATAAAGTCGGTTATACAGGGTTGGTTTTCCAGCCCTAAAAGTGGCAGCACAAAGTCAGCTGGGACCCCTTTGGAAAAGCAGGTGTGATTACTCGAGTGACCGCGGACACATCCTCGTACATTCCACCTGAAAAAGTGCTTCATTTGTAGTGCTAAGGATTGCGAAAGGCCCATCTGGCATACCTATGAGAGCAACATGCCCCGGCCTGCTTTCGGTTGGGACCCTAGTATGTGACACGCCAAACGCGCCTCGGTTCTGAATAACGGAGCGCATATGAGGCGCCACTACCTCCGGTGCGTCTGGTACTGTGGTAGCGAACCCATTCAGGGCTAACAAGAGATCTGCCCTCAAGCCGTCCGCTGCATGTGGTCAACGAGGCGAGTAGCAGGTTGACAAGCATAATGACTCACCAACAATGAGCACAAGACGTTTGCTTCCCGCATAATCCAGCTTATGTGGTCTCATACCACGGACCACAGGACTCGTGAAATAGCAATCAAAGACGGTGCCGATGTAGACCAGGTGGAAGATCAAGCCAATTAGCAGTAAGTGAAAGACAGAGCCCTTACGTTCCGTGGCACGAGTTAATTCTCTCCTTTGCGCATCTTCCTTTCGGTTCTCATGTCCAGACTGCGTGTTGGTGTCCATGCTTTATGCCGCGACGAAGAAGTTACAAAATGTATGTCAGGTCACGATGACATGGACGTCCGCCGTAGTAGTAATCGCCTGAAAGTGAGTTCCAATATATTCAAGTTGTTTTTGTACGCCCAGGTAAGCCCTTGAAGTAAGAGAGACGAAAAAAAGTGTTTGAAACGGTGCAGAATAGCGTACAGAACAAGTGGTGGCGCGTCTCCCGGAGGGACGTGTACTTAGTCACGTGCGTCGCGACAGGCCAGATCGATCACGGCGATTTGTCGATCTGCTTCCGAGAACTCTCCCTGGTCGCCGGCCCGGGCTCTCCTCGTAGAGTCGCCGCTGCAGCGAGCTGCTCTCGAAAGATCAGTTTCATTTTTAACAGCACTGTAGACCATGGAGGGGGTGCTAGGTGCTTAAGAAGTCAGATTATCTGAGATTGTCCTGAAGATAAGTTCAAGCTCGTAACATCGATGGACATGTGATGAGTCTGACAATGAATGCTCTCGGCTCGGATGGTGGAGCCCTGAAAATCTAGATGGAAAATGCTAGGGTCTGAGAGCCGTATTGACCCGCATGTGTAGTCTCGTTTCCAGACCTTATAGGCGGATCACGTGTGCTGTTACCCCATTGGGTAGCGGAGATCTAAAAACCCCTGCACACTCTCGCCTATAAGGTCTGAGGGGTGTATCCATCACGCGTCACCAAAGTCACTGGTGACGACGCCGTTACCTCTCGCGTCTGCTTGCGTACGTGACTGCGTCCGACGCGCCTCGCGCCGCGCACCTCAAAACTCAGTCGCTAGACAATGTATGCGCATGTATGCTACGGTAGCCAACCTACATAATCATAATGTCGTCTATTCATCCGAGCCCTTGGCTGAGCTCGCTACGTAGTGTCGTTGACGATTCTGACTCCGACCTGGACTCCCCGCCAGCTTCGGACTTGGGCAGCGATATCTTTGACGACCACTCGGGGCTTCTGTCTCTGCAGATGAGTACTGGTGCGTTTTTGCTGCTTCCTCACAGGCTTTCTTGAGGATGGATGCCGAGAGCGTCGAAAGACCATACAAGAACTCGGCAAGAGTGGACATAGCGGGAGCGTCAAGCGCCGGGGCGTGACGGATACCCCCCTCCCTCCCTGCAAAACTCACCAGACGTTAAGGGGGGGAGTCGTGCAGGGTTTTTTGGAACTCCGCGTCCAAATACAGTAATATTCCACGTGATCCCTTCCCCCCCTTAACGTCTGGTTACGAGACTACCGCATGTGATACTCCCAATCCCATCGGTAGTTCCCTTGCCCGTCATGGGTGGGCGCAACATACTTACAGCATGATGTGCGTACCGATGGTTTTACATCTTCACGCTAGAACTTTCCGCTGAATCCTCGCGCGACCTCATGCCCATCCCAGCCCACATCTGCGGGTGCCTTGCTCACAAATACCCTTGTCATGCCGCGCTGATGCCGCGTTGATGCGCCTGGCCGCTGAGCTCTAGGGGAAGGCCATACGACCCAGGCGTTCCTTGAGCCACACGGCGATTACTCAAACTTTGGTGCTCGGATGTGTGCGACCTCCGCGCGGTGATTGGTGTGTCAGGCTACTTGTTATAGGACAGGCGGGGAAGGGAACTAGTTTTCGATGGCCAGAAAAGATGAGAACAAGCGGGAGGGCGGCGCATTACCCGAGGAAGATGCCTGACGTCATGCACGTTGCTGCACAAGCCGTAGCGCACGGACGCATACGAAGATTGCAGTACGAATCGGGCGTTCCCGGGTCCAGCCCAGTACTGGATGGCGCATCCCAGACCGTTTTCGCCGTGAATTTGACTGTAGACCGTCCCCCTATCAGGCTAGTATGCGGTCTGCTGCAACGTGTGCGGTGCATCGAGTTCAATGCTTTCGTCCTATATTTCCAATGCATGAGCCGCATGCGGTATAGCACCTTTAATCCGTATCTCGAACACATAATCGTTCCGCAATGTACTAAACCTTTGACGTTAGCTTCCATTGCGCACTTAGTGGCCACGCAATGGCCCGATCGAGAATCCGGAGTCTGATCATGAACAAAATTCTGTTATGATTATCCCTGTCAGGTACGCCAATTACAGGCATTCTTGAAACTTGATTTGTCTATCGCCGAATTGCGGGATCAAATGCACCCTTACCAGCAAGAATGTTGCACGACCACAGAACAGTCTTGCAGCCAGCCACTTATGCAAAAAATGATCATTGTCATGAGCGAAGGGAACGGCTAAAGAACTGCGATGAAAGCGGTACGGCTGTATACAATGGTATGGTATAGGTCAAATTTGGTTGTACATATTGGTCTGATGGTCTCCGGTAGATAAGAATAGCTTTAAATCAGCAGAACGAGAACGAGAGCGAGAGAACGTGGTGACGTATGGAGATTCTACGATAACGGCGACCAGGCCACGGAGAACCACTAATGACGAGATATTCTTAGAGGCGTGCTTGGCGGTCACTTGGGAGAAGGCCGACTTTCCGCCAGTACGCCAGCCACTTCCTGACGTCCTCCGGACCGAGCTGGCGCAGGTTCGGGTCATCCAGCGTCGGAGATGCCTGCTTTGCCAGGGCGACGTCCGGGTCTGGCCAGTTCAGTGCTGAGTAGCTCGACGTCGTCGTCCGTTGGAGAGACCGGAAGTATGGGATAAGCAAGATCGCGCGCAACGCCCGCATCCGCGCCTTCCGCTCGGTCGGTGTCAGCTGCGGCAGCGACCGCGCGGCAGCCTCCACCCTACCCAGCCACTCCTCGTACGGTACGAGCGGGACGCCAAGCTCTGACGCGATGACAGATGCAATAGAGTCCCAAGGCACCGGACGCGGGTGGATCAAGTGCACCGTGTGGTTGGCGTTGCTGGCTTTGCGGAAGTCTGCGATTGCGGTGGCGGCGATGTCGAACGGAATGATATTCACAGGCTGCAGTGCAGATAAGCAAGTGGTCCAATACAAACGGTCAAGCGACGTACCCTAGGGTCTTCTGGGAAACAGCCCACTTGCGTCGCGCTCTGCACCATGACGGGATACCACTCATTTGGGGCCCAGTCACCGCTCGGACCACCCGACACCTGGCCTACCCGGCAGACGAGCGGATCCAATGCAGTCCTTGCTCCCGCGTTCTGCAGAATCTGCTCGGCTACCCACTTCGATTGTGAATATCCGCTCATGAGCGCGAGTTCCGGGGGCACAGGTGCTTCGGGCACGACTCTGTCCCTGGGGCCGTCTGTCGGGCACCTGTCAGTAACCTCAAAGCCAAAGAAGTGTAGACGTGCGGAAAACGCACTGAGCATGATGACCATCGAACTCGTGAACATGAGACGTGGAGGTGACGGCAACGGTGAAGTCAGGGCAAAGTCGATTAGGGAGCGCAGGCCCCGGATTACTGGTTCGAAGCCCGGAAGCTTCGCGTTCATGTCCACGCGCCATGCTAGACATCGACATCATCAGTGAGAAGAGAACGGGGCGGGGAATATCTGCGGACGCCGCACCGTTGTGGATTATATGTGTCACAGAGTGGTGCACCTATTACGACAAGTCTCAGCTTCTGGAAGTGATCAGATTCGACAGCGAAGGTACTGACCTCCAGGAAGGTTTCCGTGTGCAGACCCCAGTCAGGCTTCGTAAGATCGCCTTCCAGGAGAACAACCTTGGACGAGTCCAGGATCTTCGTATCGATCCCACGCTCGATCAGGCCCAGCGCCTGCCGCTCGCGCAGGGGCATGTTGTCCTTTGCTGCTCTGTTGAGCGCGTAGATCCGGCCAACGTCCTGAGCCGAGACCAGGGTCTCGAGCAGATGACAGCCCAGGCTGCCAGTCGTGCCTGTGACCAGGACAACGTCGCGTCCCAGGCGAGACGCGGTTGATCCATGGATGACAGTTTCGCCTATGTGGATTGGAAAATCGGTACTGTATTTGGCAGCCATTGCGCGCATCATGTCTACGGGCGACAACGGCACGATGGTCTCTGTTGTGGTCGCCATGTTCGTCTGCAGTAGAATAAATGGTATGAGCAATTGTGGACATAGGTGGGGTGTTAGTAGACATACCGTCGAGTATGTACAGCTGACTTAAGTAAAAGAGATACTATGAGACAGTCAAGCAGCTGTCGGCGTGCTGGTGGGTGGAGGTAGAAGAGGGGCGAAAAGACCTAGGGTCAGAACGAGAAGTGACCCCGCCCAGGGCTTCTTTATCAATTGCAGTGGCGGCCGATTTGCTTCCCTAGTGGCGCATACATATGCAAAGATACGGAAAATTTCAGACTCGTCGTCAATGGTTAACATGCCATCACCCGGCAAGTCCGCTACACACGCGAAGCGGTGCTGTCTCACGCAGTCGAAGTCCTCCAGAACAATCCAGGCACGGATGTTAGGCTGAGGACTTCACACTTGTTGATGAGTTAGGATGCAGCCAGAGACGCATCTTGGGTTCATCATGGCTTTGATAGGATGGATCTCCGCGGTGACGCACCCGATAGCACTCGGATAATAATGAGTAGCGCGCACATCCGCCCGGAAATACAGGCCAGTACGCTTCAGTGACTATACCTTATGGTGCTGGTACAAGTGTCTTGATGATTGGGCTGTTCCAACTTCTCTGATGAGCGCGGACGTAAGGCGTAGACTAGTGCCGCGGCTGACTCCTGCTTCCTTGTCGAAAATCTAGCATGTCTCTAGTGCTATCAGGCGCGCCTGGCAACGCGTAATCGGTCGATGGCATCGAAACATGGACACACATATAGTAGAAACAAGGATGTTCAGACCAATGCTGTGGCACCAGAGCAAGCCACATGTGCAACGTGCTTGCCGGTATCACGCTGCTCTCATTTCGGATCGCCGCGAGTTTCCGACATGATTGAGTGTTTGATGGTTAGATTCGCGCAGATGCTGAGGCCTTGTCCGTCTCTGCAGGTCTTCACAAGGCTTCACAGAAGTCATAGCTATCGAGGAGAATTCGCGATTTTGTGCTGGATCGCTGAGGGCGTTCAGCGCCAACGCGGCCCCTTAGCATCCCCAAAGGTTTCAGCTAATTCTAGAGTAACGTAATGGTCTGATAGAAATGATAAGCGCGCACGTATTCATACACGGATGCAGATTCGCCTCAATTAATATAATTATTACTTCGGAGACCGGACATACCTTCGACCACGTAGCCGCTCAACCCTTCGCGGCATGTTGTTGCCATGCGTTGCGTCACAAGAGGACCCCCGAATATAGGGGGGGGAGGGGGGGAACCCTGATCCCAATTTCTCAAAAGTTGGTCGATTTGTACGGCAGAAATTTCCGATTTTCGGGCTGATATGTCCGGAAAAAATCAGGCTGCGGCCTGATTTAGGCAAAAATGTCCGGAATTTGTATCTTTTTGGACCAGGGTGTCGAAAATCGGCGATTTGTCCGGAAATGATGGATCAGGGTTCCCAGAAACACAATTTCGCCCCCGACTTCGGGTCTGACATCGTTATGTGGACTGGACACTCATACTTGTGCTATGTAGCTTCGCAATATGAACTCTGTCCAAGCACCTTTGTCCCCTGGACCTGTGTGATTTTAGAGGTGGCCGCTTTCTTTGTCTTCTTGCGCGCAGCACCAAGCATTTTCACTGCCGTGATATGAGATAAGCAGCTTGGGGTGCTCAGAAAAAGTGGCATTGTCGAGTCTGAGAATGCACTCGTCTGTAGTTATGTGATGTGAACTATATAGATGGCAAAAAAAACAATCTGACGAAATGTGCGCAAACGAGAGGCACTTAGAATACCGGCCGCTAATGAGCCCACATTTTGATACTATAAGTAGACATGTACAGGGTGCAGAAATACTAACATTCAATATATTATCCTCGAGTACGACATGACGCGATGTCGTGGGATCGTCCGCATGCATGTCACATGACAGCGGACGTGCAAACCTGGCCAAGCATAAGCGCGGAGCAGGCTTGTCCGTCTTCGGATCAGGCTTCCGGCATTGGCCGGAGTATGTCCGGAAATCATACCAGGGATGAGGGTTACGACAGACTGGTTTTGTCCGGGAAAAGATCAGGGATCAGGGTCCAAAATCGCCCAGATTTGTCCGGAATGGGATCATGGTTCCTCCCCAATATTCGGGGGTCCTGTCACAAGGCACACAGGCATAATTCTTCCGTGCTGCACGTATTAATCAACCAATCGTGCGCAGCATAAGTGCTGCGGGAGACGGTTTCATGCGAGCAAGGTTTGCACGCTCAGCGGCTCTCGGCGCGGCGGGTCGTGTTCTCGGGTAGCAAGGGTGATGGAATTTGGAACTTGACACTGTTTGCCTCGTAGAGCGGCACGTGCATTACGCGCTCAAGATCGTCACCATATTGTTGACAAACCGACAGTTCTGGGCCAGAGTAGTCGATTCTATTACTCATAAGGACCTCTACCACGTCGGCTTACCAACTACAGTTGCGTATCAGATATTGTAACAACACGGCTCTAAATTGTAGCTCGACGGAGTAAGGTCACTTCTACAGGGGGGTCTTGCACACGTAAACAGTTGTGCCCCGGCCTCATCGTTGCTTTTTGGCGTGTGAAGACCTCGCGAGTGGCTAAGTTTCAGACGTGGTAAGCTTTCGTAAGCAGATGCTTCCTCTCATGGTCCATGGAGTAAGAGCAAGACTGAAACGTTCCAAGTTTGCCAGCTACTGCTTACTATTGCAGTCTGATGCAAATTCATGGTCCTTGCGGGAGGCTTCGATGACCGACCGCTCGGGCAGAAAATCCGAGAGTATTTCTTGTGCTTCTCCCGCTAACCTATTCTCGCGAGCTTACGCTGGGTGCCTCGGGTTCTGTTGACTAGTTTGCGATTACCTGTGGGCAAGCTTGCATCAGGGCCCTTTGCTATCCGAGTAGCCGCGATTTCTGCAGTAGAATTCCTTGAGCGCCGCAATCGATGACGACCACCCGTGGATCTCACGGACTTAACATTGCCGGGGACAACCTCACTCCTCAATTGTCATCGATCTGTCGGATATTTGTCACTGACCCGATCTCCCACTCAAGCATCATCTTCTCCCGCATGTTATTATCGAGCTAATCTAGATATGTGCCAGTAGGTCGGTGGATGGCTTCACTCGCTTTTGATAGCAAGCGAATCTCACGTGCGTAACCATTGAGCAGATATCTAGCGTGCGGCAGCCGTGCTGACTGCACATTGTTTCAGTCAGACATAAGATCCATGCTTGTGTCATGTTCGTATCACATGCGTCCGGACACCAAGTTTGCGGAAGGTCATCCTCGTCACCTCTCTTACCCTCAATCCCCCAGAACACACGCATTATGCAATCTTTACCACCAGCAATGATGACGTAGTATGGACAGTCACCATACGCGCTTCTTATCCTCTGTTTTTCCGCTTGTCGTGGGATTCTGCATACATTCAAGGTGCGCACTAACACCGTGTGGCCAATAAGACAAACTTAGCTAGTGCCACGGCAGTTGCATACTAACAATGCACTCGATTTGACTACAGGCACAGCACGAATATATGCAGTTCTATCCCTCTAGACTGTCATCGCTCGTGAAAATCACATATCCTACTCTGTATCACCTGCTTCGCTGATGTATCCTCAGGCTGATGGAAAACCCCGTCCCTCTGGCCTCACAGCCGCCTGCACGACATCCTCAGAATTGAGCACTGCTCTCTGAAGACGGTCTACGCATAACAATCCCTTGTCCACATGCCGTCAGCTCTTGCCCAAAGGCATGACAGTCTATGCCGTTCTCTGGCATGTCGTTTGATCTAGATTGCGTGCAGTGCGCACATCGAATGTTGCGGTGACCGCATTTGATAAAGCTCGGTGCTGCATTTTCTCCGAGTTACGTTACATCTCATGCATGGTAAGTCGTCGTTTCATAGCACGGTCAGGGTCACTGTCAAGTAAACATGCCTCCGAATTTGATTGCTGTCATGTGTCTGCAGTCTATCACGAGGTAGATAGTGTCCAGAGCGCATATGCAAGAGATCTTGCATCACAACACTGACCGTCTCCATTCTTCAGATGCCGGGTTGGAATATCTCTAAAATTAAGCCGCACCGGGTTTGAACATCCTTCTTGACGGAACAACAAGGTGTCCAAGAAGGAATAGCATTCCCTATACCACACACAAAACATCAACTGAGTAGTCTACATTCCTCGCATGCATAGCAGCGTTTTACTTCTACGCTTATTCATGCGACTTCACGTCTCCATCCACGCCTACGTTTCGTTCTGAGTGCGATCACTGTACTTCGGTGGTGGTTGTCTTTGCGGCTTCGGCGACAGGGGGAGGAAGGTTTATGTGAAACAAACGAACCGTGCTGTCGTCAGAGGACGACACGATACGCTTTCCGTCTTGAGAGAAACGCAGACGATTAATATTGTCAGTGTGTCCAGAGAAGCTGGCGATTTGGACTCCAGTCTTTGTGTCCCAAACATTGACCGAGTGGTCTTCACCCCCAGCACCCAAATAGTCTCCCTTGGGCGAGAACGTCGCGGCATTCACAAGTGCGTCGCCTCCCTCAATCGACCTGATAAGATCTCCGCTGTACGAGTCGCAGACCTTGACAGCCCTCTCGCTTGCAACACTGAGGATCTCTTTCCCGTCAGCAGAGAAGCATGCTGTCCAGACGGACCCAGCGTGCTCTCGTAGACATATGAACTCATCACCCGAGATAGAACTCCAAATACGGGCGCTGCCGTCGTCGGAACTGGTGACGATACGTCGGCTGTCGGGGGAGAATGCGACGGAGTAGATCACCCCGTCATGAGTGTCAAGGTCGGCTACACGCGAGCCGTCTTCGGTGTTCCAGAGTCTAGCGACGCAATCTGCGCTGGCGGACACGAGCTTCGTACCGTCTGGGGAGAACGCGACGAACATGACCATCGCATCATGCTGGCTCGGTTCGGTTCTGGCAGTGCCGTCCTCTGAGTTCCACAGCCGCACAGTGAAGTCGACAGAGGCGGATGCGATTGTGGGTTGAGTGGGAGAGAACGCGACAGAATTTACGAAGCCAGTGTGACCGCTCAGCACGAGTTGCTGACTGCCGTCTACCATGCTCCAAACAATCACCCGGGAATCGCGCGAGCCGGATACAAGCTCTTGGCTGTTCGGGGAGAATTCGAGGGAGCAGATGGCTTCATTGTGTCCGCGGAGGTCGTGCAAGCGTCGTCGGTTGTTGGCATTCCAGACAACAACAGATGAATCCTCGAAGCCTGCCGCGATGTACAGCCCGTTTGGCGCGTACGCGAGCGCACAGACGCCGCCTCGATGCTCGTCATTGGACAGCTCAAGAAGGGTGTCAGTGGTTTCTAACTTCCTGTCGATTGTCTTGCCGTCACGCCGCTCTTGACGAGTCTCTTCATCGAGGCCCTCCTCATAATCGGCATAATGGCGTGGTTGCGCGGGTCGCATTTCAACGTCTCCTTGCACTGGGGCTTGTCTTCCGGCTTCTTCGCCCGCCTCAGGTACGACTGGTACGGCTGGTATCACATGTTCCTCGATTACCAGCATCCCCACTGGAAATATACATATTCAGCCACAATACGCACTATGCAAACGACTATACTAACATCCTTCTTCAGTCACCTCAATCGGAGGTTGAACACGTTCAAGGAAGGCAGTAACGTCAGCTGGGATTGGGAAGTCTAAGTCGTCCGTATTGTGTTGCTGCGCGGTCGCATCAGCACTTGTATCATCTCTGAGGGGGGGTGCATTACTTTGCACAAGTCAATCAAGTCTCTGTCGCTGGCTATCGCCATGTCCGCCTGTGATCTCTGATAGATACATCGTCAGCTTATCATCGTCGCACACGTCGTTCAGGTACCTACTCTCAATATGTAGTCCAGCACCTCATCTACAGGATCTTGTATCTTTACACACATCAATTCAATGGTCGTTTATGAAAAGAACGCAGTACACACAAACCTGGATCCTTGCAGGCACTTCCTCAATGGTATCGTCATCATCGCCCGAGACTGATGGATCTTGCGGTTCAGCGGCAGCCTCTATGGTCTTCAATAGTAAGAACCGCTTCTTCAGCTTCAGATAGTGCAGGAATACACATTGATCGGCAGGCCAGGCTGGTTCACCTTCAGACGATCGTGTAGAGTTATGGTTTTTGCCACCCTGGCCGCGGATACGTCCACGCTGACGCTGCTGATGCTGCTGCTGCTGAATTCGTGCATGATGGTGTCCTTCCCCCCGAAGCCTGTCCTCGGGCCCCGAACGGCGATCGTGTTGTGGAGCTATAGATTCTGATGCCTCGAGCGCGAACGATGCAGTAGCAGGTGATGCAAAATTGCCGTCAAATGAAATTTTGGCTGATTTCGCCTGATTCGTGAAGGCAGCTACGGCCCACCGGGTGGTCTTCACCCAACCGCGAACGAATAGAATTTCTTCAGGCTTTTTTTCAAGCCCTATCTCCCCAGCGGCGAACGTATGCCAATCATTTATGTTCTTACTAAAGTAGTTCTTCAATCTACGAAGCTGATGCAGTTCTTCTCTCACAGCAGGTGTCTCGAGGACGAGCAGAGCGCCTTGATCATCTGTGCATTCATATTTGCATGTAGCTCCGATGTTATGTCTGCAAAAGCGTAATCAATGATCATAGTATCAAGAGTACACGTTGGCCACTTACACGCTGAGTTCCCCAGTGACTGAGATCTTCCTCAGCGTCTTGCTCGCAACAGGACCGGACGCGATCGCGTTTTCGACGCGATGAGGCTGCATTGCCCCACTGGAAAACTTCTCGAAGTCTGGCGGAGTGCCTAGTGTGGCGTTGAGCGGATCTTGGGGATCGCGGAGGGCATTGAATATGCGATAGAAACCACCCCGATGTAGATACCCTACATCTCCGATCTCTACTTCGATTCCATCTTTCGGCTCAGGCTCCCACAAAGGATAACCTTGGCCAAGTCTGAAGAGCTGCTGTGCGTAGACGTCGTAGGTCACAGACATCCGGTGGCTGGTACAGGGTCAATGGGTGGACGCAAGAGCAAGGAGATCGATGCTTGTGTGAGCGCTGGCAGTCCTGTAACTTCGACACGAGGCTGTGGTTCATGGTTCTGCGAATGGCAAATGGATCGGAACATGCCTAGTCACGAGGAGCAAGCGTCAAGTTCCCAGATATTTGGATAGTTATCACTGTACCACAATGTCCGGCGGACTGACCCGCGAACCACTCAACGTTGGATATGCTCAGAACCAGACTCGGCTCTCTGTTCAAAGTCAGCGGTCGTCACGGAGATCGAAAAACATGCGGGACGCGACAATTGGGGAGATATGTTGATGAGCGCGCTGCAGTCCATCTTGTAGAGACTCGAGTTCATGGCGTCTTTACGGCCCGTGCGACTATTGCCATTTAGAGACACTGGCAAAATGCTACGCGATAGTACTTAGATAGCTTCTGCTAAACGACTGCTTTAGATGGGGGGGAGGCCAGGTTTGTAAGCCTATACAACCTGCACCCATTCGAGGTGTAAACATGACGGAGACCCCTGTGAACGATCGGCCGGGCGATCGGATACTAATTGGAACGGATCACAGCAATTGTATCAACCGCCGGCATCTAAACCATACAGCCATACAGACCCTGATACAACCTAGAAACTTTAGAATGAGAGTTTAACTGCTTGACTTTTTCGTCCACCATGGAGAACTCCTCAGGACGCCGTGGTCACACGAGAACTTCTCGTCTTTGGTTTCCATCGCCAAATTTTGTGGTAACTGCTTATTTTCATCCTGGAGTGTTGGAGAGACCCAAGTGAACCACGGAAAGGGGTCTGTCCCTTCCGCAAATGGCTTTCCAGCAGGAATCGAGGGAACCCACTGAAGGGAACAGTCAGAATGCACAAGGGCACTAGAGGGGTTATCCAACCTGCTTTCTGACTTCGCGTGCGCGAGTATCGATGTTCTCACCGCTCGCCCTCTCTCTTAGTGCCAATTGTCCCCAATCGCTGCGCCAAGGTGTCGGCGTAAGGCAACTACGAAGAGCAATTCACTTACATGCTCGAGAAATAGGGATGTCCTTTGATTTCTGCAATCGTCGGACGCTCGATGGGGTCCTTTTCAAGCATCTAGGCATCATATATGAAGAGAAAGCGATTATAGGAGGCGTAAGTTACGTACCCATGTAATCAGATGCCTCGCGTCCTCGCTGACGTTCGCGCTGGGCCCGAACCGCACAGGAAGCGTCTTCGATCTGCGAAAGAGCTCTGCAAGGCCCATGTCCATAGTCATACCAAATGGGAACTAACAGAACGTCATATGTCAACGATAGCCAATGAGATGCACAACAAGATAGAACTTACTCGGCCATTAAGCATCATGAAAATAGTTACGCCCGCCGCCCAGATGTCTGCCGGGTACGAATACTCGGGCCCATAATAGATCTCAGGCGCCATGAAGCCCCGCGTGCCGCACCTCGACTTGGTGTGATCTTCCTCGACGCCACCCTCGCTGTTGTCATCCTCGCAGCCCCAGTCGTGGGAGGACTTCCAGAGGGTCTCGGACCTTGGGTGGCCGAATGCCTTGGTAAAGCCGAAATCGGCGAGGACGAGGTGATCGTTGGCATCTAGTAGAGCGTTGTCTTGTTTGATGTCGCGGTGCAAGATGCGGTTCTCGTGCAAGACGCCAATGGCAAAGACCTGCAGCGAACGGTCAGCGTGCTGCCAAAGCGTTTCCGAGAGTATAATACATACCAGTTCTGCGGCGTACTGCAACGCAGTTGGAGCCAGGAGCTTGCGCTTCCATTTCATCTTCGAGAATAAGTCTCCCCCAGACATGTACTCCTATCATCTGAATTGAAGACACGCATGCCATAGATCCACGACACATGCTCACCGTGAGGAAATAAAAGTTGTCGCTGTCATGGAATGAGCCAAGCAAAGGCAGTACCCATGCACTACCTGACATCGTTTTCATAACATACTGCTCTTGGAATATGCCGGGATAGTGTCGGAGTAGCACGTCTTTCTTCCTGATAACCTTCATGGAAAGGCGGGTACCCGTAACTTTATCATCAACAAGGAGCACCGTGCCCTGCCCGCCCTTGCCAAGCTTCTTGATAGGCCTGAAGTCACTCGCCTTGAGGACGCGTCCGTCAGCAGATGTGCATGAAAGTGTAAGCGTCAAGGGAGAGGGGGCGTGTCTAGTCAAAGAGGGAACAAGTGCAGAAAGGTCGGACGAAGCGTTCACAGCGTCAGATTGGGAGGACAACAATGGCGATACCGGGGAATAGGTGCCGACACACTTAATGGGCTCGAGTTGACAGAGGGCCTGAACATACTGAATATTAGGACGTGAGGTGTTTGAGAGCGAGTCGAAGCCTACCATCTCGCCGTCTTCGTCGAACCTCATCCGCACATGAATGTCGTCGATGAAGGACGCCGCTGGCTTGTTAAGAACGAAGGTATCTAACATCGTCTGTGCATCTGGCTCTGCCTGTGACAACGTAGCCTTGGGGGATGTGATGAGTTCGGTGGCTGTAGGAGCGTCCAGCGAAGTGAACGGACCCTCGAGTCCATTGAAGCCTCATCGTCTAAGACAATTCGATTACGGGGAGTTTGTGACGACTGACCAGAGGCATGAGAGATGTACACGAAGCAGTGCTGAGGGACTTACTTCTACCTCCTTACCAGGAGCGATCTTGAAGCTGACGAAGGTGATTGCGAGCGAGTTAGTGACCCGCATGAATAGGTTCTTGAGACCCATCTTGACGAGCGAAAGGGAGACCGACAGGGGAGAACGTTGGCCGTCAGGATGAACAGCACAAGTAGCATAAACAAGCTTCTTTGATCCTTTGAGTGGGTGAAGCACTAATCAGTCAGAATCGCGATATTGTTCCAGTCGGTGAGTGTGACATTTCACAGCTAACGGCTCTATTTGATTTTACTCGTCTGCGTTCTGGATGGCATCATTCATGTTTTTCGTATAGGCTGTGGGACAGCAAAACGTGAGGAAGTAGATGAAAGGTCAGCCCGCTAAGATTTGTCGTGTTGAAGTCTGGCTGCAGCAGTGAGCCTAGACCACTAACCAACGCAATTTTTAATCCAGAACTAGTATTGCAGACTCACCATGTGTAGTTGATAGCATGGGCAACGTTCGCTATAGCGCTACACATGAGCCTCGCTATGTACTAAAGCAATAGGGACACAGCGCGCATCCATACCCACTTCCGGAATGAGCTATACAGGCCTGTGACAGATGTCGGCATTCTGAACTGAGCTGGTCTTCGAGTCCACATCCAAATCGGTGTTATGCTCCGGAGTATAGATTGGGATGACCCCTTCAACCACCACTGTATGTGCGTGACACAATGAGCAAGGCGCGTGACGTCACGCGCTCTCATCACGCACGCAAGGCCTTAACTACAAGAACTTGTCCAACTTTATTTTGGTCACTTTCGTAAGGCTACCCATCACCAATTCTTCATATTCGGCAATTGTATAGACGTACATATGATGGCGCATAACCTATCCGTGCATTGAGACTACCTCTGCCACAACTTCTGAGCTTCAATACCAAACTGGCACTTGTGTCTGTGCCTTGGCCAATCGGATATCTGACATTGTCTGCAAGGTATCTTCAGCTGCAATACACCGAAGAATAGCTTGACTCTTACTTGGAACAATAGACATCTTTGGGTCCAAGCAAGTCCTTGCACAAAGCACAACGTAAGAATCCATGGAATCTACCGCTCTTTTCGAATTCCTTGCGAGTTCCCACACAACCGGCGCAGTACATGGAGCTCGAGTCAGATTGAGCGGTGATGCGGTAAGGCGTATTGATAACGCTCTTCGCGGTACGAACAGGGTCCCGACGGAACAGGTGAGTGAGGAAAGGCATCGACTCTTGCCGCTCGGCAATATCGTGGACCAGGTTCTCAAGCCATCCATAGACGAACTCACCTGCGGGTAAGGTTTGTCAGCCCATGAGATTGAAAGTAGATCCGTCGCAACCTACTGATGTACTGGTTTCTGATAATTGCTAATGCGTCGAGAACAAGGTTCTCTTTCTCCGGCAGCGGCCTTCCTAGATACACGTCAAGCATATCCCACCATGGGTTCGCCACAAGGAAAACGTCGGAGCCACTGTCTCGCGTACGACACGCTTCCAAATAGGCGTGGTACATAAAGTCGATCATCGCCTGGCCATCTGGCAGAGCTAAGTTCGCTTCCGTCAATTCGGGACACAGCACCCGCGCCTCCTCTTCCCAATGTCCCACACTACCCGCACGAAGCAGACCTTCCGATATGTAATAGCGGCGGTACCCATCGTTCAACAGCATCCATATTTCCTCGAATGCGCAACCCATGGCAACCCTGATGTCGACGAACCATAAGACGACCTGTTTCTGCAGCTTTGCAAGGTCCGATCGCATTTTGACGACATGTTCACGTTCCCTTTCTCCGCACCGGTCCCAAAGCTTGCACATCGATTGGAACAACTCCACGGGACCTTGCTTCGTTACACGATCTATCGCGCGTACCCAGTCGTTCTCCCACTGTCTGACATCAGTTTGCGGGCTCGTGATTTGGAGAGCCGTACTCCACGGATAAGAGGGAAGCAGAGTGGATTGCACTGGTCTGGGCACTTCCGATTCCGATCCCGACATTGGGGTCTAGACACTCCCAAAATCAGGGGAATGCCACTTTGTGTGTGAAGAAGGATACTTTACTCACTCACTTCAATGACTTGTGGCGAGAGGATTGTGATTGTAGAATAGACAGTCGGTGGATAATCTGAGAGTTGGAGCGTTGATGTAGGCCGCGGCATAAGTGCACGACCAGTTCGTCGCCACTACCAATTGATGATCACGTCCACGAAACAAGAATCATCAACATAAAGCAAAGAGACAAGACATACCCATTCTATTGTCAGTTGCTTTTGGTCGAGTTGAGAGAAAGTAACAATCTCTTACGGATGTGTGTGCAACAAATAACATAAAGGGTGGCCATTGATGCCCATTCCGGTATTCGAGGAGGATAACAATACAGCGACAATTAAGAATAAGGTACTTACTCCGACGTCTGTCCCGAACCTGCAACCTCGGTAACGCTCGCTCAGCTATGCAATCTCGAAGGTCCAGCAATCGGCTGAGAATCATCCCGCATCGCGTCTCCAGTTGGGTGTTCATTAGAATCAACGTTATCGGGAGGTAGCAAATATTCGACGTCTTCGAATAGATGAGGGAAGAAGATCGCAAGCATGTCATCAGTCCTAAAGGAACCCGTAAGTTAAGGGCATAGTATTCGAGACCATGACGCAACTTGAAAACGAAATCGCCCTTCTGCTTCTTTTTCGCTGGCGAGTCTATAGCATTCTTGCTCGAGGCCAACGCGAACGGGGCCACATTCAGCGTTCCTGCGGAGTTGTCTCTCGTGTAGAGGGATTGTCCCTGCTTTGCGGCCAAGTCTAGAATACTCTTCTCTACCGTATCCTCCGTGTAGTAACAATAGACTAAATCTTCGTGAGATGCGAAAAACACGAAATTGACAATGGACTGACCTTCCGTTGGTCTCAACTGTCCCATTCGATCTATTCGCGCGATGGCTGGACGTACAAAGTCAATGAATATCTGTGACGATGGCGTCTTGAAGTCTTACCCTGGAGCTCGAATGCGTGATTGACCACACTCTCTACGAGGAAGACCCTGGATGCACATGTAACATTCAAACCTGCATTCTCTCGCTCCCTGTCATGTACATGAGTTACCAGCATGCACTTCAGGGTATGGAGGGACGCACCCATGCAGCAACAAGACTGAGATGCTTGAGTCAGTTCGGAATCGCTTGGCTGCGTTCTCCTTTCCGGAATGTTGGTCGATCCTCAGGCAGGAGATCCCTGACCATAGCTTGAGCACTGCCCCATGTTAAAGGTCGCAATAAAAGGCATACCGTTTACTCTTAAAGCATGCTGTATGACTAGGTCGAGTCAGTCTATGTTCACGCGTGGAAATATCTACTTACTCAGAAGGGAATCTGCCCATGCTGAAAATACGATAGTCTTGGAGCCAGGGTCGCTCAGCTCCAGGTACAACAGGTGCCGAACCACCGTCTGTATCTTGCTCCCATAATTTCCCAAGGATTCCATCGTCTGAATGTCTTCCAGTAAGCGTTTGTCGATGAAGTTGTACTCGATCCTGCGGTGAGATTTTGGCAGCTCATTATTGACGAGTTTCCTCGGCAGTAATTGTTCATCGTCCTCTTTCTTCTTGAGCGAGAAACGTTGCAATTGGTCCGTATCAATCCCCTTTCGGCAGACTGGGCACACTTTCCCCTCTTTACGAGCCAACCAACCTTTGAGACACGTCTACGCGTCTTGAGTAATCGCATATGGGCGATAATGGAATAAGCTTACCTCGCAGAATATATGGGCACTGAAGTCGTTGTGGTCAGCGCCCTGGCGCGTGCTGCTACTGAAGGACTTACCAAGGTGTAATATGACCCCGAGAGAACTCACACCTGCAAAGAATGCAGCAGTTTTCGTCGTCATTTGAACCATCTTCTTGAGAAGTGGTGAGGTGGTCGAGATATCGTTGACGAGCCCAACCTGTATTGATCCGGATATCCAGGTCCGTCTGTTCTGCCTTGGCTGTCTCTATGACATCAGAAAGAACTCCATCAAATTCCACTTCGGTTACGGAGTCTGAGATCTCTTGTAACTGGCGAAAATACCTATCAAATGCGGTGAGACACAGTAAGTACCGAGTCATGGTATTGCTCACGATATACGCTCATTAAACGCTTTCCGTAGCTGCACTAAATCCGAGTGTAGCCTGTCCATCAACTTCGCTGGGTGGCTGTTAGCAGGTCCAAAGAGAACAGGTGAAAGCAAAGGCATACATTGCTCTACAATCAAGTCGCGCAGTTGCCTCACTGCTCCCCTCACAAGCTCCTTTTCAGGATCGATGACCTTGTGGATTCGCGCAATAACGGCTTGAAGGTCTACCACGATCGACTTCAGTGCTCGACCTGGGGCGAAGTCTTCGGTTAACGCTTTTCTCTCGTCTCGAAGCGACTTGCGCAGGAGTTCGATTTCAGGTCGGACGTCTTGCTCGGCTAGATGCTGCTGTAGTTTGAATCCGTCTTCTCCTGCTTCCATCTCTACTCCTATCAGACGAGACGCCTTCTTTGCTGCCTTTGTGCGCCGAATGTGAGCCTCTTTAGTGTCGTGAGCAGCCAGAAGCGTGCGTTCGGCAGTGAGAGCTTCTCTGCGGTCAGACAGGAGGGCGGCATATGCTTCCAGGTAGGCCTCCGCTTCGCCTTGAGTGTCTATACTCCGTGCATATTCCTGACCATCCGCGTCTTCGTCTTCGTCTTTTGATGTCAGCGATTGTGTAAGGAGCTTGATCAGCTTTTGACGCCATTCCCATATCAGAGCAGATTGTTCGTTGAGCAGAGATTCGATAAACTCATTCGCTTCTTCCATCTGAATAACGTAGTCAATGAGAAAAAAACGATGATATGTATATTTATACGTACCAAGTCAGCCGACCTGGGACCGCCCTTGTCCAGGTACGGTACAGCAATGTCGAGCTCACTGTTCTTTAGTTCTCGAATCGAAGGGTTGCTCTTTAGCTGCTCCATGGCTCGTGCGGCAGTCTCCTCCGTGCCTTCACAATGCTATCTGAGCGAACATGGACAGATATGTAGACATGAGACAAACCTTTCAAGACGAGCCGCCTAAGCTCCTCCGCTGCAGCATATGCCTCGATCTCCGCATCCGCATGCGATTCGCCGAGAATGTTATACACATTGGCCTTGAAGAATAGTACTTGATGGAGAATCACGCGACAATCCCTGAGGCGGTTCTGCAACGCTGCTCTTCTTGCCATATGTTCTTCTCCAGCTTTATTGAAGGGAACGCTCTCGTCATCCGAGAGGGAGCTCAAATTACCAGACGCATCATCGTTCCTCGCGCGTCCTTTGCCCTTGCCCGAATTCTCCGAGTGATCATTTTGTGATGTTCTTGCGTTGCGCGAAGCCTCTAGCGAGGCTTCTTGCTTCAGATGTTCGGCCAAAGCCGTCTGAACGTCATTGACCAGCAGGCGAGCGTCCTTCTCAGCCGCCAGGAGAGTCTGAAGCGCGATTTGATAGCGATTAGCATTATCCTTCACAACCTGTTCTAATTGAGCAATTCTTGCTAGTTGTTGGACCTATAACGATGAGTCAGCGCCCCCGCGAAATGGTGTTCGTGCTATTATACCTTATAACGACGGTCTTCCATCAAGTCGCGCCAATTCTGCTGTCTCATGTCCTGCAAAGTAACGAGTTCTTCCGTTGTTCTCGTCAATGCTAGCTGCCAACTTACCTCGAGGACTTCACTCATCGACTTGATCCCTTTAGATTTGTGCTGCCTGTCCGCGCGGTTGCTGAGCTGGCCGACCTGCGGATGGGTGCAGATACCACGGAGTTTGCGCAACCACGCTCGCAGGACTGTAGTATCGGCTTCCCAATCTTCCCGCACCGCGATTCCTCTGACGTCAAGGCCGAGGTCGAGGCAGGCATTGTAAAAGTTTTGGGTGTAGACCTGCGAAGAGATTTCGTCAAGAACATCGCATTTCATCTCGGAGAACGACTGACATGACGTTCGACTGGGCCTTGCTCTATGGGGACCAAGTAGCGAGTCTGGGCAGGGATCGTCAGTTCATCCTGTACCTCCGTCTTCACCGTTCTGTAGGATTAATCACCGTTAATGACAGAGATGGAGCAACAAAGAAATCAACCAACCTGATTGCGTATCGGCGGAACAATGAAACAAAGTCATTGACATAGCTGGGTAACAAAAGCCGGCTCCAGAGACGAGGATTGTTGGATATAGTGCTAACCCTCAGGAAACTAGAAGACCATCCATGGCGTCAACATCTCAGCTGCAAACAAAGTACTTCACGAGCAACGCACTCCAAGACATGTATGAGATCCGCCACCTGTGCACGCGCAGGTGTACCTGACACTGCGAATGATAATAATCGGGGTATCAGTGAGACCATTGCTCTAGAAATGAATGCGGATCAGTACATATTTACGGGTAGTAACTGGAGTGAACGTACTGGGTCCTCCCTCCGCCGACCATTTGCACTTCGTCCATGATAACTCTATACCATTCGCACGTGATGAGGGGGCTTCGTGCGTGCGCACTGGTAGTATATAGCGCCGTCTCGCGTCGAGGCCGCACCGGAGGGGGTCGTGCCACACTTAGATCTTGCTGCAGCACATTGTACGTGGTGATACACACGTCGAACGTATTAACGTACGTGCACCAATCCACGATGCCGTCGACTTCCTCGTCGAGCTTTGCACTCGGTCCTGTCTCTCCCGTCTCAATATCGGAGCCTGCATGCGAAGTAGCAGCAACCTTGGCTTTCTTCTTTGCCTCCCGTCTTGCTTTCGCACCAGACTGACCTCCGCGTCCCTCTCTTGTTGCTTTCTGCTTGCCAGATGTTTCCTTGCCCTGCCCATGCACTTTCTGCCAGCCGTCGTAAACTAGCACTTTGAGAGTCGGTGCATGTAATTTGAATTCATCGACCCATTGCGGCGCGAGCGACGCTGGCGTTACAATAAGCGTTGTCTACGACCTGTGTCAGCAGTACCCCAGCCATACGTTAATATGCGATGCACCTTAATTTCCTTCACGTAGACCTTTGCTTCCTCGTCCCATCTCTTATTCACTGGACCCCGGCCTATAGCTGGGTTGAGCATTATCAGTGCTATGCATTCTAGCGTCTTTCCTAATCCTGGTTCCTCGGCGAGGATACCGCCGAGTGCGTCTTCGTCTTCATCGGGCTTGGTACGAGAGACGACACCACGCAAGCGGTTAACGTACCACTTCTCGTCTTCTACCTGCGTTTCTTCCCAGAACAGACTGGACGAACGACTTGCGGCTGACGGTTCGACTGAACCGGACTCGGACAATGTCTGACCCTCGCGTGACAACATCCACGCTACGCTACGCCGCTGGAACGGCAGTAGCGTTGGTCTCAAATCTTGCGGCTGTACATGATGGTCATGTGCGATGGGGGGTGCCCGGCCCAAAATTGAGAACAACAGCGAGACGTCGATGTTACCCGCAAATCCCGCTGGGGGAGAATTGCACGGAGGAAACACGTGCCACAGGACACGCCGTTGTGCCTCGTCCACTTCGTTCACGCGGTTGTGTACAGAAGAAGGAACCTGTTTGACGATGGAGGGATAATTGAGCGACACGCTGATCTCGACACGGATGCGAAACGGCAACTGCGACTTGTCTGCGGTCGGCTCTGGATGGAGGGAGGCCCGTGCAGAGATGACTGCGCGCCCCGCCGAGCTGAGACGATGACAGGCAACTAGCGGGTCGGACAGGTACGAGAGGCGCAGGTCGTGAGCAGCAGCATCGAAGTCGAACGTTATGTCTGGAAGTGTCAATACGTACGACCCAGTTTCGGTATACGCCTGGAGAGCAACGATGCGACCTGCACTCGCGAATGAGCCAGATCTCAGTACAAGCATGCCGAGATCAGTAGCTTGCGAGCCGATCTTGGACATAACCTCAGCGACGCCTTTTTGCGAATGCGCCAGAGCGCCACCTTCATCGACTTTTCGCGCGACCTCGTCCTCAGACCACTTATATTGCAATTCGAATGTGTGTTCGCAGACGAGGAATTGTTTTGGTTCGTCGTCTTCTGAAGAGGGAGCTTTGTCTTCGGTGCGCGGTCGTCGCGCCTTCTTCCGTGGCCGATCTGGCGCCGTTGGTGCAGCTCGTTTCTTACCCTTCGGACGCTTCAAACAGGTCAAAAGGGCGTTTACATTCAAGACATTTTGTGCGTGGACTCCGTGGTGAAGAGATAAGGAATGATAGCTAGTCTCCTGACGCATTTTCGTAGTATCTGGAAGACGGAAATCAGGCGGTGTGGCGGTAACTTGTCAAGATTGCACAATGTTGCCAGTTGTGAACATCACGTAAGATTATGATTGCCGCCCGTAATTGTGGCCATGATTGTGGTATGTCGACCATCGTTGCGCATTCACTACGATTGTATTGGGGAGCTGCAACGACTGGCCTCCAAGCTTCAAGACGTGCCTTGTATTCAATGTCTGTGGCATACTACAAGAAAATTTGTTCTTTACGTCTGTTACTGCGTGCAGTGAGTGGCGCGTTCGTTGGTAAAACTTAGCACATCGACAGTGGCTGCAACATTCTCAGAAAACCTCCATCGAATGCTGTGACAGAGCGAATGCGAATCGACTTATGTATTTCGAGCGGTTACTCGTACTGGAGTGGCCATGCAACGTTGAAATGTGCTGCTTGTGATTCTTGTGATCGCCTTATCGGATAGAAGATGCACTGCAGAATGCCATCGCGGCTCGCGAGTCTGCCTCGAAACGTAATGCGCTACTATGTAAGGAATTATACATACTTATATGGCTTTTTCTACAGGTAGTACTATCTGGAGTCTCATATCGTGGTCTATTGAGTTCTGCCGCCGGCGCCTCTTTGTGGGTGTGATCCACGCGTTGCTCCTGCTGTGCTGCTACGTATACACGATGTTTATCATAGTTCCACGCCGGAATTCCTAGCGTACACCGCCTTCAAGCTCTGAGGATATGTACCAAGTCCGCGGAACCTGACTCACACGTGTTCCAGAGTTTTACTCACCCAACGCAGCCTACGTTCCTCCCATCTATCGTCTACAAGATGCCTTATTCTCCCAGGATCTATGCACAGCAGCTCTTCAGACTTGGCCAAGGTTATCCACTGTGGCAACCCGAGCCGGCGGAAGGGATTGAAGTAGAGATCGGAGATGTAGGGTTTTTGGACCGGGGCGGTTTCGTTCGCATGTTCAATGCCCTCCGCGATCCCCAAGATCCGCTTAACGCCACACTGGGCACTCCACATGACTTCGAGAGATTCACTAGTGGGGCGATGCAGCCCCATCGCGTCGTAAACGCGATCGCGTCTGGTCATGTTGCGAGCAAGACGCTGAGGAAGATCGCAGTCAGTGAAGAACTCAATGTGTAAGTAGCCAACGTGTACTCTTGATACTGTCATCATTGATTGTACTTCTGCAGACACAGCATCTACGAATGCACAGACGATCAAGGCGCCCTTCTCCTTCTCGAGACACCTGCTATCAGAGAACAATTGATCAAGCTTCGTAAATTGAAGAACTATTTCAGTAAAAACATAAGTAATTGGCATACTTTCGCCGCTGAAGAGCTGGGATTGGACAAGAAGCCCGAGGATATCATCTTCGTTCGCGGTTGGGTGAAGACTACCCGGTGGGCCATGGCTGTTTTCACGAATCAGGCGAAATCAGCCAAAATCTCATTTAACGGCGATTTCGCATCGCCTACTACTTCATCGTTCTCGTTCTCGATGTCGAAACCTAAACATCTACAATGCAACCACCATTCTGGGCCCAAGGACAGGCTTCACGGAGCAGGACAGCATCCGCTCCCCGATCCAAGTTGGCCTGCAGATCAGTGCATATTCCTACATTACATCAGGCTGAAGAAGCGATCCCTCTTGCCGGATACAATCGAGGCTGCTGCTGAACCGTCTTCATCAAACGGCGGGGATCGCGGCAACACTATGAAGGGTGGATCGCAGGTAAGCCACTTGACGGAGGCTCGGCTCACCGTGATCTGACCAGCAAGAATTTGATAGTTCGTGGATCCTGTCGACTGTATCTTGGACTATATCCTTCAGGTAATTTCCGTCGACCCCGTGTGATGTCCAATCGCTGAGACATTGTTCTTGAGCATTCGGACGCTGACTCCGCGGTAGCCAGCGACAGTGATATTATCGCTTTGGCAAATGTCAGTGCTATAAATCGCCGGCGACAATGCATCTAACAGCCTAGCCCTGCAGGAATACCTGGATGTCACCCCTTCAATCTTCGACGATGCACGCGCATTCCTCGAGAGCGCAGAGCCTCTTATCAAAGTGACTGCCGAGAAGCGTGAGTCATTCGTAACGCGAAGAAAGTCAAACTCACGATCTCACCGTGTTGCAGTTGGTATGCTGTTGCTTACAAGCGAAGAGGATCCAGAGGAGGACATCCAGTCTACGTACCTGGAGACGGACACTCGCAGCACTGACGTCTCCTGCCATCGGATGGGGAATGGCTTCAGCGGAGTGCTGTCGAAGACGAGTAGTGATGTAACCTCAGGTGAGAATCATGTGTACGTATGCCCACCTCTACTGAAAACACTGGTCAGCACAAGTGCTTAATCTGACTGGAGCCTGTTCTAAAGTTTTGAAAGGTCAACGTGGTCCAAGTATGCTGTGTGCCGTTGGCATGCCCTGTGGTCGCTTACTGATTGTGTTTCTTATGCAGTGCCGCCACTATCTTCTCCTCAATATTTCGCACTGCAATACCTGGACTTGAGGGTCCCCGTCAACAGTATTGTTCTAGCTGAGCTTGTCTCGCTCGAAGCCATGAGACGTACGTCACGTTCGACATATCAGCCTCTCGGCGGCTCGGTCGTCGTTTACCGGCCCGAGAAAGAGAAAGAGTGCTTGCCGTTGGCGATGACGGTGAATACCGGAGGCGCAACAGAAAGTTCCTGCGGCAATGCCCTCGAAACGTACGGCTTTCACATCTATCGGTGGAGCCTACCTCCAAGCTCACCTTAGTACTTTGTCTAGTCCTCTCACTCTGATCGATGCTTTCTGAGTTTTGGGATCGACGGTGCGCATACAGGGATACCTTCCCGGAGTGGTTTCATGTCACCGGCTCATTTCCTCGTCCGTCTGTATGTAGGTTTCCTACCTCCGACTGTGCCATTGGTTGTTGCTTCGTATGTCTGGGGCGTATTGGATCTTTGCATTGGACAGGATTGCGTGTCTTTCGTGTACTGAATCACCATAACTGTGCTCTCTTCGATGGAGATCGTCCGCCGAATGTACGGTGTGCTTGACGCACTGCGAACGCACGCAAATGCAAACGAACAAACGTCGTGCATTCAGCAAGCATGAGGCCATGAGCAACGCACCGACACAGCAGATATGATACAAGCGAGGAAGACTATGCGCTATGCGTTAGCCCGACTTGCCTTCCAGCTGTCCTTCTTTTGCCTCCTTTTCTCTAAGTTCTCGCCTCCGCTTCACATCCCAGTTGTATACGCGAGCGGTATTCACTTCCATAATAGTGATCTGTTCCCTCAGGAACTCGAGATCCTCCACTACGGTCTGCAAGCTCGCCTCTGCAGCCTCGAGTTTTGACCCGAGCAACGAGATGGCTGCTGGGATTTTGTACGAGAGCATCACATTTGCCTATCGCAGATATGTAAGCATCAGGCGCGTTGAAAGTGTCGTAGCGCAATAGAGTACGCACTCCGAGCCATAGATATACTGTGTCGGTATCCTCCAGCTCCGCTTCCGCGTAGAGCGTGTCGTTCAGCTCGAACGTTGTTTGTAACGGCTTCTTTGGTCCCTCCGCGTCCTCATCATCGAGATCATCGTCATCAGTTAGGTCATCGTCTCCTGCATCAGTGCTGCTCTTTCCTTCCTGGCACAGGTCAATCCATGCCCTCAGCTGCGGTATCTGCACGTTCAGAAGGCAAGACTTACTCGTCTCTCCTGCAAGAACTCCACCATGGATAATGTCTTCTTGATATCAGGAATCTTCTCCTCCAGACCACGTCTTCGCTGCGCGAGATTATGATCCATGTAACGGTACTTCCTGCATGCGCGCAAGGATCGATCACGTTCAGCTCATCGACAGGCTGTAGAGCAAGCATACGCAAGAGCCGCTTGGAATTCTTTCAGTGCTGTCTCCACGTCCGGAGTGGGACCTAGGTATTCGTCCACGTCCGCCTATAGAATGCGTCGCCCAAGTTCAGCCATCTGTACTTTTGAGACATGTTGCACAGACATACGATGAAGGGTGCTTTTGGGATACCCCGCGGGTTCCTCTCCTGTGTCTGCAGCTTTGTTGTCGACATTCCCTCCTTCGTACGCGGTCAAGTCAATAACAGAAAGTGGATGTCAGTCGTGAGCCTGAGTCTAAGCTTGACCTGAAGCTGGAAGCGCCGATCGACGCCCGATCTCGGCGTATGCCGAGCTGGCATAAAAATTCGCATTTTTGCATCTTTTCTGCCTTGTTTCCTCCCATCCCATGTCCCGCCTCATTGTAAAGAATTTACCTGCATACCTCACTCAGCAACGTCTGCGTGCACACTTTGAAGCTTCTGATGGACCTGGCGGAATCCTTACGGACGTGAAGCTCGTGCACAACCCAGACGGCACCTCGCGGCGCTTCGGGTTCATTGGGTACAAGACGCCTGCTGAAGCGGAGCGAGCTAAGAAATGGTTCAATCGGACATTCGTCGACTCGTCACGCATTACCGTCGATGTCGTTGATGTGCGTCTATTTATACACTATCTGCTACGTCTCGGACGCTCATGCCAGTGTAGGGTGCAAAAGATGCTCCGTTGCCTCGTCCAAACAAACGACCTCGGCTAGGTCCCTCACCCGCAGATGCTCAAGCTGTCGTGCAGGTCCATGTTAATTCGAAGTCCGTCGCGAAGGTGTCAGAAGACGCCGGAGTGAAGTCGACGAAGGGCGGCGATCAGCTCGATGAGTACTTGCAGGCTATGAAGCCTCGAACCCAGAAGGGCCCCTCATGGGCAAATGACGAACCTGTAGCAGGTCCTAGCAGGCCTGTCACTACGGCCGATACCTCCACCGCTGAGAAGAAGGGTAAGAAGGCTAAGCCTCCATCCCCCGAGCACGATGCTCAGGCTGATGCCAATGCTGAGGAACCACCTGTCGATGAAGGTGTATCCGACATGGATTGGTTCAAGCGGCATACAAAACTCGTGCATGAGACTCCTAATGAGCACCCAGCAGAACGTGTTTATGAACAGTCTGATGATGAGTCGGTGGATCAGAGCCCTAAGCAACCTCCAGATAGCGTATGTCCTAAATTTGTCATCACATATGCACTCACGCAACGTTATTGTATCGTAGGCAGAGGAGGAACCTCCACCAGACCCAGTGAAGACCACGATATTGCAGACCGCCCGCCTATTCCTCCGTAATCTTGCTTTCGCAAGCACCGAGGATGAGCTGCGAGAGCTGTTCGAGTGTCATGGGGAGGTTACCCAGGTGAGTCTAGTTTCTTCCTATATTACAGCTTTCCGAGGGTGGGGCAAGAACGGGTAATAGGATGATAAACTTAAATAGGGACATCAGACTCGCTTGCGCGAGGGTGCTGATCCCACGGGAAACCATAGATAGTAAACTTTTCTGACATACCCGTTCTTGTCCACTTTATGTTTTGTCATATGCACGAGAACCTGTCTAATCGTTTCCTCCGTAGGTTCACATACCCCTTGATTCCACTTCGAAGCAGTCAAAGGGTCTCGCCTACGTCACATTTGCGAAGGCTGCGGATGCCCTGGCTGCGTATGAGGCACTTGACAAGACCTCATTCCAGGGCCGTCTGTTGCATATCCTTCCCGCGGTCGACCGGAAGACGAAGGCGGAACCTGAGAATGGGAAAAGGTCGGTGAAGGATGAGCGTGAGGCGAAACGGAAGGCGGGAGCGGGTAGGGAGTTCAATTGGGCCATGTTGTACATGAATGTACGTACAAAGTCGATGAGAATATATGTCTTCGTAGTTATGGTTCTGATTGCTTTTGGTAGAGCGACGCCGTGGCATCGTCGATCGCGGATCGAATGAGCATCTCGAAGGCGGATATCCTCAACCCGGACTCGGGTAACGCGGCGGTCAAGCTCGCGCTCGCCGAGACGCACATCATCAACGAGACAAAGTCGTTCTTCGAGTCGCACGGTGTCGTCCTGTCCGCATTCTCGGCGCGACAGCAGCGCTCGGACACGATCGTCCTGGTCAAGAACATCCCTTACGGCACGTCCGCGGACACGCTCCGCACCATGTTTGGCACGCACGGCGACCTGCGCCGCGTACTCGTCCCGCCCGCCGGGACGCTCGCCGTGGTCGAGTTCGAGCACGCAGCCGACGCGCGCAACGCGTTCCGCTCGCTCGCGTACCGCCGGCTGGGGAACTCGGTCATGTACCTCGAGAAGGCGCCTTTGGGGATGTTCACGGAGGACGCGGCCCCCGATGCCAGCCCGAAGCCAGCGGTCGTCGCGACGGCCGTCGCCCCGATCAAGGCGCCAGTCAGCGTGGACGCGGTGGGCGACAGCGCCGCCGACGCGGCCGAGCCGCAGCTCTCGGCGGGCACGACGCTGTTCGTGAAGAACCTTGCGTTCAGCACGAGCAACGAGGGGCTCGTGCAGGCGCTGCGGCACCTGCCGGGCTTCGCGTTCGCGCGCGTGCAGACCAAGGCGGATGCGGCGCGGCCGGGCGTGCGGCTGAGCGCGGGGTACGGGTTCGCGGGGTTCAAGAGCAAGGACGAGGCGAAGCGCGCACTGAAGGCGCTCGAGGGCGTCGTGCTTGACGGGCACGTGCTGACGGTGCGCTGGGCGGGGCGCGGGGCGGAGGAGGAGACGGAGGCGAAGGGCGAGGGCAAGGCGCGCTCGGCGAAGATGATTGTGAAGAACGTGCCGTTCGAGGCGACGAAGAAGGACATCCAAGAGCTATTTGGGTGCGTATGGCGTTTTGTCCCTCCGTATTCTGGCAGTCGGAGTCTGACGTCTTGTGTTACCTCCCAGTGCACACGCACAGCTCAAGTCTGTCCGCCTCCCGCGCAAGTTCGACCACCGTACACGCGGCTTCGCCTTCCTCGAGTTTGTCTCCCCGCACGAGGCCGCGCGCGCATATTCGACGCTTCGGCATACGCATCTGCTCGGGCGGCACCTCGTCTTGGAGTGGGCCGAAGACGGCGCAGCGGATATCGAGGAGCTGCGCAAGAAGGCGGGCGTCGGTTTCGGCGGCGGCAAGGATATGCCTGGCAGGAAGAGGAAGCTGAACCTAGGTGACAAGGAAGGGAATGATGTTGAGGAGCTATGAAAGCATTCTCGTGGGCATGGATTGAAACCGTAGGCATTAGCTCCCTGACAGTGGAACGTACACATAACTTTGATTGTGCTCCGCTTCACGATCGACTACAGGCATGAGCAACCATCACTATAGAAAGACTGGTACTTCAATATTTGCTTGGAGTCCAGCAAAACGGAGGTGGATATATGCTACAGGTAGATTACATACACACATGCTACGCAGACGTGGAAGCCATTCCTAAGTCCATCGTTTACTTTGGTCAGACTGCAGCTCCTATGAGAACCAGCCACTAGGCTTGTCCTCGTCAGGCTTAATCTCGCCGTCTCGTCGTTTCCTCAACTCCTCCAGGATGCCCTTGACACCCTCGACATCGCCCACGGCCGCCTTGCCGTGGTCCCAGTCGACAACGATGGGCCATTTGATCGCGTTCAGGTTCTGGGCCGCGAGGCGGGCGACACCTTCGGGGCTCGTCGGGCGCGTGTGCACGGTCGGGTGCGCAGACAGCAGGCTTACGGGGGAGGGTGCCTCTACCCGCGAGGCATCGGATGGTAAGTAGGAGATGATCGTGCGTAGCTGGTCCGGGTTGGGCGGTACATTCTCGACTATGTCGAGGTTGAACTTGAGCGGCGGTGCATTCGGCTTTGAGGGAGGGTAGGGTGAGGACAGTGCGGCCTGCAGCAGCCGCAGAGCAGCATTTGACGGTGGAGAAGATACATTGTGGCTAATAAAGACATGACGGATTATTCGGGTGATGCAGGATGGAACGACGACTCACAAGATGGAGAGCTGGGGCTACGGGCGGCGAATAGACGGTCAATTCAGCCCTTGTGTGTATGAGGTTTAGCGAGACTCACAATAGCACGATTGAAAGCGGAAAACATGGATGGTTAGGATGTCTGAGCTTAGGTCGATACAACTGAGGTTGAAGGAAGTGTAACAAACTCATGTCCCCGATGACGACATCAATGCGCGGTCACGGGGTTTCGACGCGGTACGCGCCGTTCAATCAGTGACCCTCTCCACTTCACTCTTTGATTTGCCTGGACAACGCGTATCAGCACGCTTTTGTTCAACCAGGACTCTGAGGCTAACTACTAACTACATGGCGCGGAATCCATATAATGAAAAATCTTCCCTATTCCGATCTAAATTGACGCGACGGGCGCGGTCTCCGGGTAGTTGCGAGACGCCACACTTGATGTCAGCTCTCCATCGCCTTTGATTCGGAGCCGACATGGGCACCGCGTCTATCCATATGTCAGCGTCCAGTTCATGACAACACAGGAGGAGCGGGCTGCAGCAGTGCAGAGACTTTCAATCCGGACTTGTGTCCGCCGGCATGCACGTTTCACTTGTGATTAGCACGACGACTGCGAGAACGGCCGCTCAGCGCTCAGGTGCGCTCGCTCGCCAATCACAATACTAGACAGGGCCCCACGCGTAGACTACGTTCTCTGCGACTGTCGACAAGGTAGCCCCCTGTGCTGCTCGTCTGCCCGCATCGGCGCAAGGCCGCGTTCGCTGTCGGCGACAGTCATTACAATCACCAGGGAAAAAAGCAACAGGCTTGCGGACGGTACGTTCGCATTCAGAATTAATATAATATGAACTGCCTCTGACAATTGGGAGGTACATTCTCGCAATACATCACTTCCAAGCGGTGCAGCCATCATGAAGGTGAACAAAGTAAGACTCTAGCTTTTGACCTGCATGAGGACACGTTCAGACAACATTCTCACCATCAATCCGATCGCTTCCCTCTGCCTGATCGGTGTTTCTGGAGCTAGTATCGTTCGCCGGGAAGGCAGACGGTCTGTCGCCTTGCTCCTGACTACAGAGATGAAAGTCAGACGCCGCGACGGTGTATAGGGAGTCAATTACGTACTCGTCCAAACCATGCTGATGCATATCAAGATCGAAGTCGGAAAGCTCTAAGGAGCACTCGACACCAGAAAATGGAACGGCAATCGCCCTGAGATAATGACTGGCGTTCAGCCTGTATGATGTGACATCAGCTGACACATTGATTGGCGAGTTGAAATCAGGCTAACACTGCGAGGAAAGTATTGATGTAGACTGTGGGGATTGTGCTGGATGAGTCAATACGACGACGATGAAGCTGCTTGCATGACGTACGAGTTGTATTTGGCAAAATGAAGACAAGGACAATGAGATGACCAGTATCTATATCACGAGTAATCTAGTAGAGGTCATGCCCGATGAGCCATAAGCATAAGTGTGCTGAGGATTGGTGTCAGCACCTACCGTTATGAGTATAAGCACTTGCACCACGCTGTATGGAGACGTCAGCTGGCGGACAGGACAGCTAAGGGGGATAAATAGCGAACTTACAGGTTCGTGAGGCCACGATTTGCTGAAGAAACTATGAGCTTTGTGAGCAGCATCTCCGTTCTAAGTCCCATGCATGACATGTCTGCTGTGTTCATTTGTTGTGATATTACTTACGTTCTGAATCCTGTCCGTTGCCCGTGCAAGATCCAGCACAGGGTTGCTGTGATGAATGCATCCGAAGCTAGTACGGACGGAACGTATACAAGCGCCGAAATCTGAAGAATTACAGGCGGTCAGCATCATATACACAGGCATAAGGATCCATACGTTGATGCCAGCTAAATCCGCGATATACTGAACCGAGGTACTATACGCAAGGTTTAGTTATTCTTTCATGTTCGAAGCAACTCTCACTGACAAATCGTGGATCGTTGCTGATGTTTGATCAATTTTGATCATATCTATATGACGGCGACGCACCTATCCCGCTGACTGTCCACTAAGTCAAAATCGCAAACAAAGGCATTCGAAAAAAAAAAAGACCAACTCAACGACACTGCACCCAGTGAGATCTAACAGAGTGCTTCAGTCGAAGCCCCATATCATAATCATAGGGCGAGATTACCGCAACGCTGAGGATTGGTAGTCGATGCCATCTGCCAGCCAATACTTCAGCTTCGGAGTAAGTCTCGCTTCCTGTACCACGATGTGGACCACTCACGTCGCCAGATGTAAGCATCAATAGCGAGACAATCGCTTAAGATGACTGAGCAGACCATTGTACTAGGAAGCCTGTGACGGACTTGAGATCGGCGTTTCTTAAGTGGTGAACGACTCACGAAGACGGGAGTACTCACAGCTGTTACTTGGAAAGCCTACAATGGTTTGATTATGGGTCATTTTAGGTCAAGATCACCGAAACCCACCTCAAACGACCTGTGCATAATCATCGATGAGCAGAACTATAGTGTCTATAAATGTTGACTAACCCAACAAGCTGCATATACCCACGAATGTTGCCGTGATGTTGCACAAGATAATACCACAGAAACTAGCGACAGACTCAAACTCGACTCCATGGGGGAGTACACAAAGATACCTGGGCGTTGATGATATTGTATGCAGTATTCAGGAGGCTGGAAATGCATTGTATGAGATAGCGTGAAGACACGGACAGCAAGGACTGCAGGCGCAACATAGAATCGCAACCTATCATGAGATCGACGTCATCAGTAGGCCAGAAGCCACGTCTTGTCCTACTTAACTTACTAATACCCTTGTGAAGACGTTTTTGCCAGGATATCTTTTGAAGTAATAAAGTATCTGCGCACTAGTGTACCCGTAGAGGCTTACATCCCCTGTGTCAACTAACGGCATTCAGGCAGCACAAAACAGAGACGTACATCAGTGAGAACAGAGTACCGACAAAGAAGCAGCCCAACGTGATATCGAGATGGAGGTTGGGACCAGTCATTGTATAATTTAAATCCTGAAGCACATCGCTGGCCCCCTTTGACTTATAGATTCAAATGACACGGGCTGTGGAGGTGATCCTGGGAGTCCTCGCGACTCCCCTACTGGACTGACATGCTAGCGTCAATAATGATGTTGTTTGCTCAGCCCTAAATTGCACGGATGTCAGCACAAGCTCTCGCAACTCGCAATCGGGGCGGGGCTCTTATTGAGACAGTCGTCCGGAATTTGCTCGGTTGTACCATTGAGATCCGTGAATAATGCGTCTGCATAAGTGCATGGAAGGCGATAAATGAGATATGACAGAATGCATGAGACGAGCAAACAATAATCCAAAAATATACCAATCAAATTCCAAACAAGCGGCCACAGTCTCAGAGATCCGCCGAAATCCTCTGACATCATCCATCTAATGAACGCCTCCATCCCAGCTCGAGCGTTTCCTCTTATTGTCGCTGCTCTTGCGGAGCAGCAGGTCCTGCGGTGACACCGCGCTCTGCCCACGATGATGCGACGGTAGCATTCTTGTCGTCGCAGGCGGTGTACTGCTCGCGCTTTGAGACATCATTGGGATATGCTGAGTCAGGGACGGCGGCAATCCGAACGTTCTCGATGCGTTCGGATACGTCTCCGCAAGATCAAGTGCTTGGCCCTGTCGCAGGATGTCCGCATCGGGCTTCGCAAACACTGAATTCGGATCCACAGGCATCGTGGCAGGCGGATTGTTGGTCGACGTGTAGTAGTGAAGATCGAGGAATGGCAAGTCGTACATGTCCGCTTGCTGCCGCCAGCCCTCCGTCGCGTACGCCTGCAAAGACTGGAATGTCTGCGGCTGCGAAGCCATTGTGTCCGCCGGCTGCACGGGGAGCATCTCCATGAGAGACATGGATCGTGGTGGAGGCTGTAGGGGCCGCGTCTTCATCACCTGCGTCTGCGCTGCGCGCGTAACTGCCACACGATGCTCCGAAGGCGGAACACTGATCGAACGGTTATGAGACGAGCCAACGTGCATGGCAGAATGCGCACGCATCGAGCGCGAGGTCGACTGCGGCGTGCCCGGTGGCGTGGCATGGAGTTCCGAGCTGAATCCGACTATGTCCTCGAGCGTTTGTGGCGATACGCCAAAGGCACCGAGCTCGGACAGAGTCATGCCCGCGCCCCCGTCATCCTTGAGCACAGCTGTGTCAGCCGCCTCTTCGAGCGGGTGCCGTATATCGCCCTGGTCTTCAAGTGTAATCGATGTCAGCTCGATCTCATCAATTCCAGGCAATGCGGGCGTGTGTAGTTGCATCGGCTGCACGCCGGACAATCCAAGACCAGCGTTGCCAAAGCCGAACCCAGGCCCGTAATCGAATGGTTGATGCTGCGGCTGGTGCGAGCGTGCACCGAAGATGAGATCACCAGCATAGTTCGAGTGGTGGGTAAACCCGCGGAAGCTACTGGACGAGAATATATCTGGATCCGAGAACGTCGAATGTGTATCGCCAACGCCAGCTTCAGACGCGAAGTCGTGCGCAAGTGATGGCGGGAAGAGGTCGTATCGATCGAGAACACCGTGGTTGAGGTGAGCAAAGGAGAATGGCGAGGAGGGTGCCGGCGAGACGCCACCAACGTAGGAAGAATTGCTGCTAGTCGCACCAGAGGGATCGAGACGTGGGTTCGCAGAGAGCCAGTCCTGAGGGCCCCACGCAGACTTGCCAATCATCGTACCAGAGCCTTGCCGATGGAAAGGTGAGTTATTGAGGAAGTAGTCGGAGGAAAGATGAGACGATGTGGGGGACGCGGCATTCGCTGCCGATGACCATGCGCCAGCGTTGAGAGGTGTCTCAAGCACGGTCGACCAGTTCTGCGACTGTGACGAATCGGTCATCTCCGAGAACGAAGAACCCGGGATGAAATCGGGGATCGCCAGCGGGTCGACGGTCTGCATATCCATTTCCGCGGGGTAGTCCGACGCTGGAGTCATTTCATCGCGGGGCACAGACTGCACGCCATCCTTCGAGGTCGATGCGGGCGTGTCGTCCTCGCCATCTGAACTATCCTCGTCCTCGGAATTCGTTGCGCTCTCGGGTACGCTCTTCGTGCCACCGCGGAACAGCCCCTGCGTGGTATGTCTGCGCTTCCGCTGCGCCTGCCCGCTGCTGCTCACAGGCGCGAGCTGGTCATCCGTAGCCGCGCGCACAGGCTGTGGAGCCTCGCCCCGCTTCTTCTTTGTCGATGCGCGCGGCTTATAGCCCGCGGCCTGGTACAAGTCCGGGAATGCATTTCGGAACCGGTCACGCAGATCTGTCGAGCGCCGGTTCTGCTCCTGGAAGATTGGGTCTTTCACAATCGTCGCCCAGACAGTCCCGTGCTTGTCGTAACCCGCCTTGAGTGCCCGATCCTCCTCCTCTGTAAACGGCCGCCGCTTCTTGCTGCGCGTCTTCTCGAAGATGGACGAGCCGTCTGGTAGCGCGGAGCGGATCTTGGAGGACAGATGGGTCTTGGCATTCGGATAGTGCTGCTTGTATGCGTCAGGGAAGTATGTGCGGAACCTGTGTGAAGGGTCAGCATGACGCACATTCTCAAGTCAGATAGTGTTAAGAATCACGAAGACGCTTGGGCACGCCTGCATTACGTGCAACTGTCTTTAGAGTAGTACGCGGACGCTGCGGGCGGCATCATGTAAAACGCACTGCATGCATGCGCGCTGCCCTCAACGAATGCGTTCAGACACAGGAATTCCAATAGCGCAGTTCAAAACGTCTGACAGCAGGTAGCAAGAGTGCGTCGACACGGTTATTGTGTGGCCTACTGTCAAAAGCCGACGTTCTCTGCACAGGCCCCACTGTCCTCGAAACATCCGAGGACGACGGTGCTCTTACCGCCAGGTTTCGATTCGAGCATTCAACTGTGATTGAAGGTCTCACCTATCCTTGAGATCAACAGGCGAACGATTGTCAAACCTGAACTCGGTATCGTTCAAAATAGATTTCCAGTTACCGACACCCCACTGGGACGGCACAGATTTAGCACACTACCACGATCCGGGCCGTGACACACTTGCCTTGTTGCAGCCGTTCACTAGCATCTGCGTCTCCTCCATCGTCCACTTCTTCCGCGGCTTCTTCTCCGTCGAGGGTTGGAGTGCTCCCTCCTCGTCCGTCCGGTCAATGCTGCTCTCGATCCTCCGCATCTTGCCCTTCTTCTCCGGAGCGAGGCCTGATGAGTCTATTGAGTGCACACCGACGCCGGTGTCGTCGCGAAAGCTCCACGCAGGAACTATTCGTGGTGAGGAATTAGTGGCTAGCGAGACTCGTCGTTGCTTGAGGGCGGAAGCCACATTAGACGAGGACGCCTCTGACGGTGGGGGAAACGGTGCAGTAAACGAGAATGTAGACGTCGAGGGAAGCCTGCTAGCATACTCCGGGGGCTGGTCCATGTCCATGGTGGAAGTGTCGTCGGGCAAGCGTCGTCACCTTGGCGTCACCGGGAGATCTGAGTATAGTAGTATAGAACGCAAAATGAAAAGCAGGAGGCGAGAATGAAGGGCACGTTGTGCGCCGCGAGACGTGTTGCGTGGCCGCAAGCTGGATGGGCGTATCCGAGAAGGGGAAGAGAGAGGAAGAGGGCAACATGCGATGTGCGCGAGGTCGACATGCAGCCGCTGGGCTGCTCAATACTCTGATTACCTTTTTTGGACACTGCCTTCTTCCCGTCCTTGTGTTAAACCCCACATAGGCTCTCCTTTGATTTTTGCGCAAAAACACTGTAGATCGTAACGGCCATATATTGGCTTCTCCGATACCAATACCGCCCTTCTAAGACCTAATGTTCACTTCGGCCTGTAGCTGCATGTGTGAACTGTCTATTCAGCCTTCTGTTATCACATCACTGCGGGCAATGACGTGCAGGTCTGGCATGAGTGTTTTGATTGCGCTTGAAAACACACCAGATGCATCATGTACGCTTCCCTTCGTAGAGGAACATCTTCTCAGCTTGATTGAATGCAGTCAAACTCGTAGCCTCCTGACGTATTGCGATAGTAGCGCTTCAGGCAGCATTTAGCGTTGAGTGCAGTTACGCAAGGCAATTCAAATGTGCCAGACATTGGAAAGCCTAATTTTCGGCCTAAACAGACATATCATGCCCGTTGAAGACGAATACGAGTACAAGCACGCAGCGCAGGTTCGTATAATTGAGTTCATACGAAGATACACTGAAACCTACGATGACAACAAGTGCATGATACATACATTAGCCATTCACGAGCACTTCGGGGGCGATCCGCTCTTCCACCTTGTGCAACTTCTCCCCCCATGTGTTCAGCCTCTTCGCGAGAGCCCCGATCTGGTCCGTGGACAACACGCGGGGCTGCACCCACGTAATGTGCGCATTCTGCTCCACCTGATCCAGGGACCCCTTCAGTAGTTTCAAACTGAAGCCGCGAAATCGATGTCAGGATCCGCATAGCGCAACGACCTAGTGACGCACCTGAGAGCCTTCATCACCAAATGCTCGACCTCACCGATGTCAAGCCGCGTCTCTTGCGAGATCGTCTGGAACGAGAGCGTCCGGTCATTTGAACCACGCTTGAACACCGACTCGATGAGCGCCATGAGACAGATCTTCTGCCGAAGCAGGTTGAAATTATCATAGAGGATCGGCTGTGCGTGCAACATGAGCGGACGTCCGCGTGTAGGGTAATAATAGCTCACCTCTTGCGGCAGGATAGGGGCAAGGCCTTCGAACTTGCCGACATTGCCTTCGTTGAACGTGAACAGCATCTTCTTGAGCCATTCGTATGGCGAGCTGTCAAGTGCGTCCAAAATTGGATGCATGAGCTGTGTGTGCAAGTAACAAACACATGTTAGTAAGACACCCCGCATTATGACGTACGAGCTAAACACCATACCAGTTCACCGAAGTTGTAAATTGAGTCACCAAGGAACGCAGCGAGTGCGAGATCGTGTGCACGCCCTAGGCGGTCGTGTGGAGTTAGGTCCTTGGCGGGGTCAATGCATGCCAGATACAGGAGTGAATTCCGATAGTATGCTCCGTACTCCGCCTTGGCCTGAGAAGCCTGTGAGCACCGGTACTGCTAAAGCTGGGGAAGCAGTGTGACATACCTTATAGTAATCGGCAGCCACGCCATAGTATGCAGCGTTCACGGTTGTGTCCACTCCTGTGAGTTCATCTAAGATCTTCCATGCTGCGTCCATATCCTTCTTGCAGCCCTCGAGGTCGCCATAGACGAGCTTGGCATGCGCGAGACTAGAAAGGAGCAGGACGTGCGCTTCTGGCGCTTTTTCGGTATTCACGCGCGAGAGCAGGTCGGTCAGGAATGTCAAATGTGTTACTGGATCTGCATACGCCGTGTTCGTTAGGAACCAGCATATATGCCTCAGAACGCGATATGACGACGCACTGTCGAACTCTCTGGAGACCTTCACACCCATTTCTACAAGCCGTAGTTGATTTAGCCGCGAGTCAAAGTCTCGCACAAACTTGTCGAAGACGTCCACTCTGTACGGCTTTGATAGAGGATGCTCGAAGAAATCGAACAGCTTGAGCGTCATTTGGTGCCATAGCCTGCAAATACAAGATGTCAGGGCGCCCCGGAAGTAACTTTATTCGTCAATCACGCACTTACGACTGTAGAGCGTCTGGAAAGACTCAAAGAATGGGTGCAAATCCGCCGGGGTTGCAGAGATGGCTTCCGTGAGATACAAGTCAATATCAATCTTAGGTCTGCTCATGACTGTTCAAAATATGGCCGTCACAGAGCTAGACAAGGGGATGGTGATATCTCAGCTGCAGGCCAACAGTGAAGGCAGTGAAGGATTTCGGACGCGTGTACCAAGATGTAGCAGCGCGGCGGGAGGCGCGCTCTGAGGACGCGTAGGCGTTATTTGCTCTTATTTGGCAAAAGCCTCTGATCCTAACAGGGCCAAATCTTGCATACTCGTCGCTGCCAGGTCTCGCACCGTCTGGCAATATGGGGTACACCTGTTGATCTGTAAATCCCTTGTCTTCCGTGGCAATGTTATACACTTCTCAAAGGGCATTCAAGCAATCGCTATGAATACAATGGAGGGATCCCCAGGCGGGACGTGTGAAGTCTCCACCTACCCGTCAGTCTCATAAGGTTCGCAACTAGACCAACTCTGCACCGTATTGTCCCCTCTTCGGCTTTATCCTGGAAGAAAGGCACTCTGACATAACAGACAAACAGTATATTGACACATGTCCATGGGTGTAATCTTAACGCCTTCAATAAAAGGAGACCAGGTAGACTAAGTACTGCATCTGATCCAGAAGCCACATGAATGATTAGTGAGTAAAGCGCCTAACGATGAGAAACTCACATTTCTTTTAGTTCTTGCAGATTGTCCAATACTGCCTCGAGTTCTTCCAAATGTGACCTGGTGGATTCCTTGACGGTTTCTTCCATCGTGCATATTATATCAAGCTCTCTGGGGGTCACCCCGTGCTCCTTCTCCAGCTGCTCGAGAATAAGTGACCGACTGAGGCCTGGCTTGGTCGCATAATGCTTGATCAAGTGTTCTGCCGGCATCGGTACACTAAACGGTACACCGTGCAACACGCGCGCTCTCCACAAGCGGAACCTGTACTTGACTTTGCTATCATCTATGATCACGTCGACTGGCTTGTCATCCGAGGTGAAGAGAACGTAATCGGCATCCGGCGATTGATCCAAATAGAGAACGAGGCGTTTGAAAGCAGCGGAACGATCTTGGAGAAAACGGTCTCTATCATCGTAAAACGCGCCAGGTAGGGGAAATTCATCTACTTCGCTGCCTATTACGGGTAGGTCGGAAATGCAGAGCGAGGTTCTTCCACAATCTCCTTTATGTAGAGGCCAGTCTTCCCTCTGACATCCTCTACAAGAATGTACAGTCAAACACATCGATTGGGTGATAGTAAAATCAGGGTATACTCACTTCGAACAATAATAAACGCTGACATTCATATTCTCCTTGCATGGCCTACATTCCAAAAGCTTGGTACGAGCCTCCAGCCCTACCGCACTGCGATGGCAGTTTTTGCAGCGGGGCAAGCGGTGGTGGCCTCCTCTATCTCTCAAATCTTCCAACGCATAGTCGAGGTAGCACCTCATTACATCCTTGATGGCATCCATGATCGCGTCACTGTTACATTTGTCATAGACGTCCTCGACGGAGACATAGACACCGGTGATGAAATTGGCTAAGAAGGTATAAATACAGCATCAGCTATCCGTCCTGCTTCACAACATATCGACGCGATGCAGATCAGAGGCTCACCAATGAATTCCTGCCGTATGAGAGTCATAGCTATGTACGCTTCAGGTTGTGGCTTGGGAAACTCCCGAGCCAACTGCTGCCACCAAGGGTCAGGGAAAGGGAAGGGGAGCGCATATGGCGGTGTCTGGCCTGCCGAAATGATGAACTTGCGGACTAGATCGACAAAAGCTTCCCTCCTTCCCTTAGAAGATGGGAGATGGAGACTTCAGGGCATAAAACCCGTGCATCCTGGGACAGCGGCGAGCTCTCGCAAGCGAATTCGAGCCCTGCGAACATGTGCTGCAGCCGCTTGTCATCATCCCAAAGTTGCCAGAGTTTGTCTAGCTTGAACTCTGGAGCGCGGAAGCAGTGCGCACAAATGAATGCTGTCTTCTGAGCTTCGCGGAGGGCGGCGCAATATGTATCAATTGCTCCTTTATCCATCTCCCCCAGCATCGGCCGACCCTGCAACAACAAGCGATACACTTTCATCGGATCCTTCAAGATCTTGAAGACCTTCTCCCAGTCGAGGTCCCAACGCGTCCTGTCCTCCGCCATATCTGTGATGCGCAGGAGATGGCAGATGAAGGAAGGCTGGGGTCGCATTGTAGGTCCATCCTCGATGTTCATCGTGCTGTGCGCGATAGCCAGAAAACGTGTCAATAAGACCATGTTGGTTTCCTCGATCGATGTGTTCTAAGGTCTGAGAATCAGACAGCTCTTAAAGTTAGGTGTGGCACGCGTCTCCCTCTCTGAAAGGTACGAAAACAGAGACTTGCGCCTCGTGGCATGCGGAACCTGTTGTAATCGGCGCCACATAGTAGTAGGCACCCAAGGGTAAGGTGCATATCAATGGAAAGATACAGCCTCGATGAAGGTAACACTACTAGATACGTACTACGCCTGTGCTTTTAGTGTCACGGAAATGCTAGTTTTATGCCCTCGGAGGCTATACGCGCCACATAGACAGCAGTCTGAGCCAGTATCACCAGCTTCCCCGCGCCTGCAAAGACCATGTTACAAGCCACACTGCCTATAAAGAATTTCCCAAGCAAGACACCGTTTCGGTTCCATACCTGTAAGATTTCGCTAACGCGCAGAATGAAGCACATAAGACAAGTGGCACTAACATGAACGCCGTCCCCGCATCCGGAGTAGACGTTACCCTTCGTGTCGACTTGAATCCCGTCCGGCACGCCGGCATCAATGTACGCGAACACGCGGCGATTCAAGAACGTCTGGCTGACTGAATCGACATCAAAAGCATAACTGCATGTGTATCATCGATTTTCAGTATAGCGTTAGCATTAACTGAGGCATGCGTACATCGTGGCGGGGCCTGTCTGATTCCTACCCAGGAAGCCTTGCGCTGCGCCCGTGTCTGCCCTGAAAGGAGACAAACGAATAACTATAGCTAAATTCAAATGAATTCTATGCTCACACATAGGCAATGCTGCCATCTCCCGAGAACGCAAGACCGTTTGGTTTTAAAAGACCATCCGCTACGACGCGAAGATCGCCAGTATCAGTGTCGAAGCGGTAAATCTGGTTCGGGAGTTGTGGTGTGGGCCTGAAGTGCTTGAGGAAGCCGTAACTATCCAGGAAACTCAATATCAGCGCAGGTACACCACCACTCCGAGGTACGCACGTAACGTCTGTGAAGAATATTGCGTGGCTTTTGGGATGGATCTTACCATCATTCAAGGAGTTGAACTGACGCCCGTAGTAGTTGTCCAACAGTATAGTAACATTGTACGGTGGAGCGGGATTGACTAGCGCCAGAGAGGACGGCAGTTTATCCCTGCCAGAGTTGATGAGAAGTAAAGAACTGTTGTAAGGACCGGTGCCGCCCCATGTCATCTGACGGCTGTCTGGGATATCCAGCTGCTATACCAGTGAGCCCTCGAAGGTCCCACACAACTGTTAAGGCGCATATACACAGACCTTTGTAACGGTTACGTTGACCGGGGAAGTCATGCTTGACGATGCTTGCAGCGCCGCATCCACATCCTTCATCTCAATCTTCGAGATGTGGTTATTCCTGTCGCACGGCTCCCAGCCGAGATCGGCCCCGCAATGGCTGGAGAAGAACACTTCGTCCCTCTCGGGATGCCAGATGGGTGCCTCATGCGCAAAGGGTATTCCCGGGATTGAAGCAATTGTACGAAGCGACGGAGATGTGCCGAGAATCGACAAAAAGTCTGGGTGGAAGATCTGAATCAAGGGAGGCGTCAAGTTCGTTGGATTGAAGTGTGCCTTGAAGGCCTCTCCTCGAAAGTCGGCACCACTCCCCATGACTGCGAACGAACGCGGGTCCAAGAACTACATTTCGACATGATAATGAGAACACGCTTGGCTTTCAAGAGAATGTGCCTTACCACGGCTTGAGGCGACGTCAATTGATCCATCGTGATTGCCTGTTGTTGCAAAGATGTCCAAAACCAAGCGGACACGCACGCCGCCATGGCAGCGAGGCCGTATAACCAGAACATCACTGTGAGGGTCAGTCAATCAACTATCCGTTTGTGCGTGCAGGTGTAGCGTCTTGAGTCCAGGCGCAATGGACGCGCGCAGAGAATTGGAGATATATGGTGATTAAGCTGAGTTATTACCAAGGGTTCGGATAACGATTTAATTGCATTCGGCTGTAAGAACACTCGAATCATGCTTTATAAGGGGCAGAAGACCCTCCGAGTTGTCCAGATGACCGCGTCAAGCGCCCTGTCGGAGAGCCGCTCACCGAGATGGTCTTGGTTCGGAGGACTTCCAGTTCACCAGATTCAGAACAGTACTGGGCTGCTTCTACTCGAAGCTATGTTCTAATGTCTCCGTTAGCTCGACATCTGCGGAGGGGCGTACTATTACGAATGTGTTGCTGACAGGACATGGCACACGATTGAGACGCAAGGTCGGCTATACGCTCACCCATACCCCCGGGCCTGTTTTCAAAGGCAGGCATCGCACGGCATGTCGGTATTGTTTCACGAAACCGCACTGAGATAAGGACAGAACTTGATGTACGCCTGCGAGGTGCCGAGCCATCATCTGTTTAGTTTGTGTGACGATCTGCAGGACCCTTGGTCAGCTCCTGCTGCTCCGCTTGTTTATGGACTCACTGAGATGTCAGGATCTTGGCAGATATTCAGACTGACTTCTTGCACTCGATGCTATAGCCCGCGGTGCTGGGGCACACGAAGTAAACCGAGAAAAAAGCGATTCGATAGGTCTACCTTTGGACATTGCATCTACAACAAGAACATCTACGCTACACCTTTATTTGCACACCACTCTTACCTTGAGCCCCCGCACTAGATTGACGTCTTGCCCCTCGGTTCATAAGGCAGCAGCAGCGCAAGGACACCGCTGCCTATGATCAGCGCACCCGATACATAGACCGGGACTGCCGTATTGAGGTTGGCATATAGTGCAATCACCGGGGCCTTGCAAATTGCGATCAGATCGTGCTAGTGACATGCAATACGACGACTCACTATAATGCCGAAGACACGGGTAGCAGTGGCGGTGAGGCCATTCCCTGTTCCACGGTCTTTGGCAGGGAAGACCTCAGGGGAGATGGCGTACAGGACGCCGTACATTATCTGCACGGCCGAATACGTCAGCTGGTGTAAACGTCTATCCTGCCTTGAAATGCTCACATTACTAGCAAAAGCGTACCTATACCGCACAAATCTCTTAGTCAGACGACTCATGGAGTTGATCGCGCACTCACCCGCAGTTCCACCCGAGCAAAGCATCAGAGCTGCGGGCGGTGGTACTCGCGAAGAGAAAGACACCAGTGAGCCCTATCTTTCGCGAGGGGTCGTTGAATAATGCAACTCAGGGAAGGCAAGAAGCTACTCGCCCGCGGAGATGGCCAAGGCGCCTTTGCGTCCGATGTGTCGCTGCTCGACCGCCCATCCTGCGAAGAACGCGCTCGGGACGCCGATGACGCCCAAGATGACCTCCTATTGACGTCTGCGTATCAGCAAAGGCCCAGGAGAGGGGAAGGGGGCGGCCTACATTGCGATAGGTTATGTAGTAGCTACTGTCGCCGAACTTTGCACCTCGATGCGCTAGTCTGTTGTACACGATAATCGGCCTGTGAAACAGAACATGATGACATGCACACTCACAAGTACGGCAGGAAGCTGTTGTACAGGGTGGACGCAAGGCCGATGATGCCCCACAACACGATGAGCAGACTGGTCGACCAGGCTAACTTTGTAGTCTTGAACAGAGCTCGGATGTGATGACTGCTCCAGACCGAGCTCTCGCTCAACAACTTGCGACGTTGAGCGGCCGCTGCACCGCTGGGGTCAGACGCTGCGGCGCTCTCGCCCGCGACGGTCAATTGCTCCAGCGTGAGGCTCGATGTGCAGCCATTGAACGCCGCGATCCGGTGGATGACCTCGACGGCCTCCGCGTCGCGCCCCCGGCCCACGAGGTACCTCGGGCTCTCCTCGAGGCGGAACAAGAAGAAGCGGCATGCCCAGAGGAGCAGCGTCATGCCGCCGAGGGTGAAGAGCAGATAGCGCCAGCCCATGTTCTCGGAGCGCGAGCACGTCGTCGCGGTCTCAGCGCAAGAGAAGTGGGAGATGAGCGGCCATGCGATCTGGCCGCGGCGGTCAGCGACTTCGCAAACTCGGGGTCAACGATCGAACTCACGAAGCTGGCGATGAGTTGCCCGACAGACCACCATATGGACAAGATCGTCAACAAGTATTGATGGCTTCCGGGGACAAAGTCTGTCATGTCACATGAGTATGTCATGCAGTGGGATTGGTATGCGAAGGTCGCGCACCAAGAAAGACTGCAGAGTCTACGGGCATGTTCCCGCCCACGCCGAACCCCACGACAGCTAGGAGGGATGCAAGAGTCAAGAAGTTGGGCGAGCCGCCAGCCGCGAGGCCGAAAACTCCAGCGATCAAGAGCGTGAAGTTAAAGGACCAGCTGAAGGATGAAGCCAATCAATAAATCCAAGGACTCTCGATCAAGCGTCGAGACTCACCGTCTTCCCCAAATGTCACATCCAAGAGCCCAGAACACCGCGCCGACAAACAAGCCGATGTTCAGTGCCAGAGACAGGAATTCACTTTGGAATTGGAACTCGCTCACGACTGGACTCAAAATGAGACCGCCGATCAGCTGGTGGATGGCATGAGGACGAAGAAGCACCAAGTTCGATCAGCGGGGTCGCTTACCGGCCAGACGCTATCTCTGCATTTGCAACGGGAAGAGACTATCAGGACGATGACATCGTTGCAATGAGGACATAGCACGCACGAAAACCATCCGAAGCCAGCTACGACGAAAAGGTACCACTATGGTTGAGGTCAGCACCTGTGACTCTACCGATCTGCACAGGGCAGCTACCCACCTGATATCTACCCATTCCGATCTCTCGGACTGCATGATTGAGCAAGCGTGCTTTCGCCTCGTAAATAGGGTCTACAGATCCTTGTTCAAACAAGTCGTCCTCCGAGGCCTTCGTGTACTCCAGGAACGCGGGAGCAGCATCCCGGATATCCTTGGCGTCCTTCTCCCACTCTTGAGATGAATGCGACACGGCGTTGCTGGACATCTTAACGGCGACAGCAGTGGGGGGGGGGGGGGGGCGAAGACCAGCGGAGTAGGGGACAGAAGGGAAAGGAACGCGAGCGAGCTTCCACTCCGTCCCCTCCCCGGCGCGCCATATGAGGCCAACGCTGCCGCACCGATTCGTCCCTCCGGTTCTCAGGGTTGTTGCATGCTCGCGAGCGGGTGTAGAGCGGATGATTCATCGATGCGATCTACGATGACAAAACCAGGCACTCATGCGAACAGCGTACGCGTGCACGAGCTGAATCAGATGATTATGGCCTTCTCGTGTGCGCGCCTGTGGGCTGATCGTGTAAACAGCGTCTATTGCAGTAACAACAAGGATGATACAGAATTCCGAAAGACCGAATCCTAGGTAGCACTGAGGATACATATGAATAACACTATTAGGCCGCCGGAGTAATTCTGCAGCAATCAAAAGCGGCCGCGGTGGTATAGAAACAGCAGGCGACGGAGGAGATATCCGTTAGCTAACAATACAGTGGGGGGTGGGGTGATAGTTCCAGTAGTGCGACAAGCCGACAGCCCAAATAAAACAGTTCAGATAGCGAGTGTGGGGGACCTCGGGATTTTCTTCGTGTGCTTCTACGCCTACGCGGGGATGGGAAGGCGGTGTATGATTAGACCATGTCCATGGAGTCCCGGTGCACGGGTGCCGGCACGTCGGGTGAAGCGCGTTCCAGCGCGGAAGCGTCGTGCGCAAGCTGCGGCGGCGTCGGCAACGTGAACACCTCGTACTTCTCATCGGTGCCTTTGGCAGATGCAGGCGAGGGGAAGCAGGTGCTCGAGCTGGCGGAGTGCTCGGAGGGAGTATAGGGCGCCTTGGTCTCGTCGACCGGTGTCTCGTCGCCGATAGAGACCGCAGACGACAGGTTGTCGGAGAAGGAGAGGAGGGAGTCGTGTCGCTTGCGCTGCACGAACGAGGGGATGGTGATGCGGCCGAGGGCGCTGCTCGTCGGCTTCGAGCCCGGAGTGCTATAGATCGCGCGAGGTCAGATCAAGTGCGTCACACCATTCGGCGGAAGCGAACATACCCATACATAGGGCCGCTCGAGCCCGTAACGCGCGACAGGAAGGTGATCGGGATGCCGACCTTCTTCGCAAACGAGGCGAGAGCGAGAGAATAGTGTCTCCGCGCCTCCTCAGCGCAGCCGAAGAACGCGAAGAACACGAGGCTGCAAGTGATAGTGTCCCAGATATCGAAGACGATCGCCTCGCGCATCAATGGATTGTTGACCCAGATGATCGACGGGTACTGGTCGACGCGGGAGAAGTCGTAGTGTAGGTTCCCCAGACCGTACCACGTGTAGATCGGGAACCTCGAGTCCTGGACCACAGACCAGATGCCGAGAGGGACAGTGCAGAGCATTTCGATGCTCGCGAGACCCATGAGACGGAGGTACCGGTTGAACGTCAGGTTCTTGTTAGACGACATGAGCTCGTTGAACTGCTTGCGCCTCTTCAAAAAGGCGCGCAATGTCATCGCTGAGAAAGATATTTAGCACGGCGCTAATATAATCATGATCGGCTCATAGCTTACCACAATACACCATAGAGATCAAACCGATGACGATGGGCCAGGTCGTGTACAGGAAATACGCCAAGATGGTGTTCGGGATCTCCTGGATACAACCGTAGCCCTCGTAGAGGTCAAAGCGATGACCCTGAATAAACCAGTCTGAGACGAATTATGAGCGTGCTATTCCAGGACAGCAGCAGAATGCAACTTACATAGGGCAACCGCCAAGATAGAAGGAGTGAGACCGATAGCAAGATCTACCATGATCATCCGACGGCGGTCAAGGTGGGTGATAGACACCGTAGACACTGTTGCGATCTTGTAGAGACGACGGTTTATAATGAGGGATGCTGTGCAAATGCCAATGCTGTAGGCCAGCCGGAACCTTGTGGCTGAGAACTCCATAAGCGCCTTCGATCTATCAAGGGGGAGAAACCTTGGCTTACTGATGTCGCACCACACCGGAACCCAGTTGATAACATTATCCTTCCAGACCGTCATGTTGATGAACTGGATGAGGCACTGGGTCCCGCTCCAGAAAATGTACAAAACACATCCCATATTCCATGCTATTCAGTAGTCAGGGAAGGTGATCGACGCCGATCCGAACCACAACACACCTTCCAAATGCCAATAGAGGGGGATAGTGACGAGGACAAACCCGATGAAGGAGAAGGCGGTCGCGATCTGCTGATGGATGGGCCACGGAACAGACATATTGCCAAAGTCGGAAGGCACTGAATGCGATTTGTGGTTGAACTGAGGCGGTACCGCAAGGGAGCTCAGGGGAGACGGCGCTGCCTGGAGCAGAGAGGGATTGCTAGCGAGGAAAGTTGTGGACGAGCACCGCTGGCATCATCCCAGACCGCACCCTATCATGATATACTCCAGCCGCACGTCGCCCTTATGGACGGATATGGGCAGCAGCTTGTACTCACACCAGTGGGCGAAAATCAGACTACGCTTCGCGGAGCCATTCGCGTAAGATACGGGGGGCTTCCTGCTCCTTCCATATATGGACGTCCCCTTATACCTCCGTCCCGATATGGAAGCTTGTAGAGTTGCTCCCATGCGGACATGGCGCTACGCACGAGTCGTCAGACAGGCCTGGAAAGCAGCTGCCGGCATCGCCAGGAGCTAGTCCCAAGAGGTGTGAAACGGATCTCCCGGATGAGAAACGAGGGGCGAGGAGAACATTGCCGCAGAACACGCCCAGGGCCCGCCGCGCGACATGTGAGACGCGTGACACGTGCGCAGGAAGAGCGGCAGCCAGACAGGCCAACGTCACAAGCAGCGCACCAAATGCAGCACGATGTTATCCGAGAGGTCAGAGTGATCAAGGACAGGTTCATCGATGGCTGTCCGGGACGAGCCTAGCTGCTATTTCGAAGGGAGAGAACGTAGCGGCGAATGCGAAACAAGGCTCCAATGTCAAGTCTTGCAGATGCTGTGGTCTATGATTTCAGGAAGGCCACTGGAAGTCAGAGTACAAGGCTTACCTGTGTATGCGGCCCATACGCTGCGTCTCCTGCCCAACGCGCGTGTAATACAAGGACGAGCGTAGTTGGCGCCTGTACGGCTGAATGCTATGGTCATCCTCCATGGAACTGTCCTGTCCGCCAGTTTCTTGACGACGGTACAAGGCAGCTGGGTGCGATACATAGCAGCAGGCAGTGAGAGTAGATACGAAGAGACATCGCAAGTCTCAGGCGAATGGCTACAGTATATGGGATCGGAAGATGCCGACCCTCTATTGTCTTGCAGGTTGACGAGCGTCTACCTCCTATTGTCTTTGCGCTCTGATGTCATCGCAGGCGTTCGGTCCGCACTCGCGCAAACATAGAGCAAGTGTATTCATCTGCTACCTCCTAGCACCTGACATTGACTTTATTCAAACGTCCAACGCGTGAGTTGCGTGCTAGTAAATCGTTTTCTGGTAAGACATTCATACCGGATACATGGCTCCTGTGCTGGCGGTATCCGCGCAGAACTCGCGGGAAATGGCTGGCGACTGACAATAAGTGAAACGGCGGCCATCAACAATCATATCATATCACATCGGTACGTCTCCTATGGCCCATGGAGCATCGTGATACTTACTGACACCCGCCTACAGCTCGCTGTCCGCGCTTGGGCCGTCCAAGCTGCCATCAAAATATTGTGTATACCTCGCTGTATATATAGACATCGGCCTGGCCGTCGCGATACACTCGTCTGCGCCCACATTCCGCACATCCTTGCTGCCACAAGCCGCCACCAGTAGCGTGCGCTCCGCCTAATTTCGCGTCGGGAAGCTGGACGAGATGCGGATGCGAGATTATGGCACACGTTGCCATTGTCTCCCATCTTGAGCCGCACCTCCGTCGCGCAAAAGGCAATGTTCCCCACCACGACGCTGTGTGGACTGCGTCCCGGTGCAAGTTTACAGTTTTAGCGTCAAGCGTCCGCCAGGAACAATTGCCCTCCGCAGTGTGGCCTGCGGACGCGCGCTCCATATCAACCGGCCGCTCTGTGGGCTGTGGTGTCTCCACCACCGGTGGTCCCCACAATTAGGGTTAGGCCCCCCTGTGCTGCTGACGACGCACCTTCCACCTCTCTTTGACTTTGACGGTATAAATTGCGGCGCGTTCCTGGCGAGCGTGCGCATCGACCAACGAGCTTTCACGCACGACACTCTTCCTATTCTCTGCATCCGCTCTCGTAGAGCGCTTCGCTCTGCTCACCACCGCCATGGATGCCCTCGTCGATGTTTTCGAATCCATTCCGGCCACCTCTGCATCCGCCCCTGAGCCGCATGAGCAATTTATCGAAGGATGCTTGCCTCCACAAACGGACATTCCCGTGGACTACGAGTTCCAGCGGGACTACGGAAGCACGTTTCAGTGCTGCATCATTGCGTAGGTACCCTCCTTCGTCTTAACAGTACGCATCGCGGTCCAACCTTAGCATCCACAATGACGCTAACAATTGTCTCTGTGCTCAGACCCAGACCCATGCCGTCGCTATAATTGCGATCTTTTTGTCTCACCATAGCTCTCGGACCTCGCTTCGCGCCACCTCCCGCCTCGTATTGTGACATTCCGTAACATCGCATCCGACCGTTCGCACAGGCTGCGGTCTTCGTTCGCTCATTCGCATTGACATTGGCTGCATGGATATCATGTATCTGTAACGACATATCATTCGTTGATACGGCTCAGTACTCGTTGGACTTCTGCGTTCGCATCGAACTCGAATTTCGTACCATACTACTACGGTATATTATGTGCATAGCTTATTCGTTGGACATTAATACGCATCCCATGCTACTCTTGCATTCCCAGAGTAGCATTCCCGAAGCCCGCGTATTGCGTTCAGTGAAGTACCACTGATGCGCATTCAGCGGCTGGCAGCCCTATTCTAGGAATGACCAAGCGGGTGGCTGAATTATGTGCATTGCTCTGTATTAGTTCGCCTCTACGCGAGGGTGAAGGTTTACTTGTCCTGCGTTCCAACGATCCAAATTAAGGGATATGGTTGTACCAACAGGCCAAATTTGATTTCGAGCGAACGGGCGCTTACGCGTTGGGGCGCGTTGTGATGGGGTCACGCGACACGCGACGATCCCTGCTTTCCGTCGCGCCATACTGTAGTCTGTAGTGCAGCGACGCGCCGTTGCCCTATCCGCCGTTCTTTTCCTTCATTCAAGTTCGCGGTCTCCTAACCCACTCTCAAGTGAAACGCAATCTCTGTTCTGTGAGCGGTAACGCATAGGACCCAAACCACGGCACGGAACTCGCAGCACGGAGAAGGCGACCTCGCAGCATCCTTGCATCCCGCACGTTGTGCGTAGCGTGAAGTTGCACCCTACCACGTTTCACTATCTGACTTATTTTACTCCAGTCGACTATGACCACAGCATCCGCGGAGGCGGGTCCTTCCAAACCATCTCCTTCGCGAGGTCGCGAGACCTCCCCAGCCTCTGAATCCGACCTCTCCATCTACACTGACCCAGGAAGCCCGTCGGACGACATTGACGAGAGCATGGATACCGACTACGACAGTGATTCGGACACCATCAAAGCGCAAGTGCAGTCCAGCAAGCACAGAGACGCGAAAGGGAAGGGCATAGCGGGCGCTCGCCAGCCATCGCGCGCAAGGGAGCCGCTGACGTCATCGTGGGCGGACATCGACCTGTCTATTATTGTCGCATGTGTGTCCCCTGTAGGTAACTGGCTTACCGGCGGGGACCACATCAAGAACCTCTTCCTCATCATCCTCCTCATATTCTATCTCCATCAGCTGATCGTGGGTACGGCCAATGTTAGCGGTCATATTTCCCAGTATAGCGTTGCTGATACAACTCAATAGTACCATGGAACCTCTACCAAGCCTCCAGACCGAAGAAGCCTGCCAGCTTGCGCCGAGGGCATGGCAAACATGACCAAGCGGCCATCCTCGCAGCGACCGAGCTCCATCGCCAAGAGCTCCTTTACCTCTTCCTCACCGTCCTCTCGCCCCTCCTCGGCGCGACCTTCCTGCACCACGTCCTCGACGCGCTCGGCGGCGCCGAGTCCCTGTCCTGGTTCAGCACCACGCTCTTCGTGCTCGCAACCGGCATCCGGCCCTGGTCGCACCTCATCGCGCGCCTGGGCGACCGCACGCACGCACTGCACGACGCCGTCCACTACCCGCCCGCTGCGGACGCGCCGGACAGCGACCTCGCGCGCGTGGCGCGCCGCCTGAGCGCGCTCGAGGCCGAGATGAAGGCGCTCGCCGCGCGGGTCGCGTACTCGGCGCAGCTGCAGGACGTGTGCGACGACCTGAGCGAGGCGGTGGGCGACCTGGAGCGCGATGCGAAGCGCAGCGAGCGCAGGGTGGACGCGGCGCGGCTCGTGCTGGCCGCGCGCATCGCGACGCTCGAGAAGGGCATGCTGCTGCTCGAGCAGAACCGGCGCATGGACCTCGACGTGTTCAAGGCGGCGCGTGCGCAGCACACGCCCTTCTACCGGACTGCGTATGAATGCGTTCGAGGCCTCGCCGCGCTTGGCCTTGCTGCCATCCTGCATCTTCTGCAGACTGTCTGGGCCCTCGGAGCGCCAGACGCACTTCCGAGGCGAACGGTCAACGGCGCATCGAACGGCCACGCGCACCACGGCGGGATCCTCAAGAACGCGGCCGCACACGCGAACGGCGATGGCCCCACTGGTACTCCCATCCCCTCCCCGCGCCTCCCGACGATCCCGGAGTCCCCGCACTCCGACGCGGACTCCGAGGGCACGTACTTCTCAGAGAAGGAGAAGGACGCCAGAGCGTCGCCCACCTCGGATAAGACGTCGCCCACCTCGGATAAGACGTCGCCCACCCCGGGTAAGACGGAGAAGGCGCGCCGCGTGCGGGGCAGGAGTCGCAGCACGAGCGCGGGGCTCAAGGACAAGCGCGGGGCGAGCGGGCGCGGGCAGTGGGCGTTCGAGCGCGTGCAGAATGTCGCGTTGTGGCCGTACCGCGCGAGTGTGCGCATCCTGCTCGCGCTGGTTCCTCCCTTGCGGAAGGTCATCCTCTCGTGACCCTATCCCGGCTAGTGACATCCGGAGCCTTGTTCGGTGTATGCACTCTGGGTTAATATTACTGTTGGATGTTGTACAGCCTCGCGTTGACCGCGCCCTTCTTGACCTCCGCCCTCTGTTGTAAGCTGTGCACCGGTCTGTATGTTGTCCTTTGTGTATCGTGCCTGTATCCCCTTAGGATCTCACACTACTTTTATTCCTCACCCTATGTCATTCAGTACCTACATTTGTCGATCATATTTCCACAGAGCGCATGTACGTGATCTGTTCACGATTGGCTCATGCCTGAGACCCTTTGTTGAGAGTGGAACTACCAAACGGGGAATGCTATCCGCTGTGTGAATCTCTAGTTATGGAGCGGACCCTCGCTATGGCCGTCGATGGATGACCAGAGTGCCGGATTGGGCCGCATGCCGGTCGACCGTTCATGCATGCTTATGAAGCTTCGTACTTTGCATCCTAGGTTGGTCGTGCTAGTCCGAGGCATTAGACACCAGTCTGCCACGCTCTGAGCACACGCGAATATTATCAAGACGATTTTGACATACACGCACCGGCTGCGCATATCACGCACCAAGCCGCCAGCACTGATACTTCCGCGTTTTACACGGCATACCGGTAGCAAAGGCTGCCCGCATTCAACAGAAAATCAATGTCTGATTAAGGAGGTACCTAATTTGTCTCGTTCACTGTAAAGTATATGACCTTGCCAGGGACGTGAACAGATAGGAGCGCGGGTCATCGATCCCTGTAAGCTCGCGAAGGCTGACAATACAAGGTGCGGTGAGCAATACGCGAGGTGAAACGTGCTCTCCTCTCGGAAGCTCGTGATGGCTACGGTGCGTGGAATTCCGAGGCCGCCGAGCAGGAGTCATCATCGGTGACCCAATGGTGACCGTCCAGTTCGGACATCTTGCGTCCGAATGGACGGGCCCACTCACCCATTGTACGTCTACCTGAACTTGGACCACAAGAATGGATCTGTGTTGAAAGATGACTGCATCAGCTAGGTGTCAGCTGCGCACCTACGTGCTATTGTCTTGCAGACGGGCGCGCATCTTAGTTGATGCGCTTGATACAGTTAGTGCGGTGTACTCGGGGCACCACGTCCCAGACGGTACCGCACGGCCTCGGAGTCTGAAAGTCTGACCTTGTGCGCAACTAAAAACGAATAGCGGACAGAGGTGATAGACGCATCTCAAATGTATTACCATGGTCGGTCTTGTGCTGTACCACATCTTGCAAGCTCCGGCTTCAAATCTATGGCAATCTATTGGACGTTGACGCAAATGAGAGACGGGGATCACTGAGGCCTCTCACCGAGGCGGCTCACAAACTTCGACCTACCCTCTCACACTCACCCCAGACACAGATAGTGTCCTTGTTGGCATTCAGAACATTCATAGATGTTAAGGAATCTCGTTGCATGGGAAGATGGCCAAAATTACTCGGGCTCACCGAACGGCCACCGAACACGCGTTTGGTGCTTCGCATCCGCTGACACGCCGCAGAGCGCCATCCTGATGTCAATTTTAGGAAGCTTCCCAATCCATCCCCCAATGGCTTTAATCTAGATGAAATCACCGCCCGTTTGTGATGGATCGACGCGTCAAATAGATCAACACATATTTTAACACGCGCGACCACGTGACCGCGGCATAACAATAAGGATGTCCCGAAACGACCACAGCGGCACGCACCGGACGCTTCACGATATCTCATGAAATCATACAACTCCCGATAGCTGTTATTGTGTGGCTCCTGCTAGCGTCTGGAGAAGAGAAGGGAACTGTGAGTGTAGTGGGAGAGCGGCGCGGTTGGGCGTCTTTCAGTGCGACGCGCGACGCGCGACATTGAAGGAGGACTGCGCGACGTTGCGCCCACTGTCCTGTCAGAGAAGGATGATGACATACGGTGAAGGATTGATTTCGATTTTGCCATGCCAGGAACGATGCTTCCGGATACCGTGGTTCCGGGACGGCACTCCCCGATAGATCTATTCGAGGCGGTATCTCAAGATCCTACTCAGTAGCCCAACGGCGCAGAACAATAAGCTGGGGCATGTGGGCGTGCTCACCTCCGCCCAGTAGCGCGCACACTGCTTCGGTTCCCGGATTCTAGGCGAGAGCAGCGCGAGTGCTAGCATTCCCAATTGTCTTGCCCACCTCCACGCTGCCTTGATGCACAGTCCATAAATACCAACGACAGGCACAGTGTTCGACGACACATAGCCACTTACCGACGACGTCTTTGGCGACCAGCCGCTGCACTATTGCACACCATCCTCGCCATCGGCAATGGACGCCTTCTTCGTCATCGCGAACCCCGTCCCTGCTGAGGAGACCGAGCAGGTCCCTGTCAACTTTGACACGGGAGGCGGCAGCACCAGCTCTTCGTGCACGATTGCATGAGCGCTTTCTCACCCATTCAGTGACTGAGTAAGCGTCTCGTACGGCTTTTGTCCTGTCCGCGGCTTGCTGACCAGTGTAACGCAGGGGCACATCAACCTTCTTCGTTCACATTCGACGCCACTTCACGACCGCATGACACTTCGCCACTTCGCCACTTCACACTGCGAGCTCTCGCGCAGCTTCGTTCGCGCAAAACCTGACGCACATTCATTCTTCTTCGCGATTAAACACCTAAGTTATCCATTTGGTGATAGAGGCCTGGAGGGAGCGCGGCAGGAGATGACAGAGAGATGAGCTGTTGCCTAGGCACTTTGATTAAATTTTGTCCTGGTTAATCCCAGTCGACGCACGAGTTGTTACCTGCCATGATGAGCGAGAGACGCTGGAAAGCCCTTGATTTCAAACACCTTGAGATCAGTCAGAAGCGTAAGCGCACTAGCCCAACATAGATCAAGGCCCATAAGCAACTTACATGATACGGGCTATGTACATCGCAAATCAAACCCGAGCTGGCCCACCCGACAGTGTAGCCATCATCCCGTATTCCCCAAAAGTCAATCGGATACGTTGGGATCCGAGACCAATACCACAGCTGACATACCCATCGTTTCATCATTTCAAGGCCCTTTGTCTCCCCAATTCTGTTTTCGATAGACGATCGTCGTACTTACCAAGGTGGAACCTGGCGCTGTGCTGAAAGGGACGGGACGAATCGCGATGTGACATGATCGTTCACACGTTTTGATGGGATGCTTCGCAGTTCGGATGTGGCTCACAATTGAGCAAGGGACACGAGTATGGGCATATCGGCCCGCTGTCGGTTACATCGCGCTGAATTTGGATTTCGGACGCCTAGAGGAAGGTGGCGCCAAAGTCCACCAGCACCTGTCATGATATACAATAGCTCACCTGTGCCTTGACACCGGCCTGCGAGCTTACGCCGGAAATAAATTACACGCCACGGTGCTTATGCTGCGATGTCCCTATTGTGCATGTGTCGTTGGATACCGCTCAAAGATTGTATAAAACGTCGAGCGGGGCTCGAGTCTAAACAGCAAAGCGACCGCGACACCTCACCTCACCTACCTTCATTACAAGGTCATCCTCGCCTCCACGGATCGCGATGGACGCCTTCCTCACCCTCGCCGAGCCAGTCCCCTCAGACGAAACCGACATCTCGCGAGTGCCGTCGGATTACGAATGGCAAACGAACACAACCAACTTCTCATGCACTATTGCTTGAATGGCGACACCCATACCTGACATCAGCGCTGTACGTTCATATGCATCGTCTAAGATCGCGACCTAACTGACAAACGATTGGTAGACCTTGCGCTTGCGCATACCTCTACCCGCGCCCGCACACCCACCTCATCTGCATCGTTGATGCATCACCATCATTCGTTCGCCGCAGTAGCGACCTTCGTTCAGATTGTATCACTTTAGTTCTTCGAGCTTCTAGAGGGAGACGGATTCTCGACCTCACTGGATTTGGGTCGGACTTTGGAGCGCCACACATTTTGTAGCTGTAATCCACGTTGAGACGTGGCTACCTCATCAGATATCATACATGAGCAGAAAGTTGGATGTAGCAAATGATCGTAGACAGAGAACCAGGTAACACGGAACAGATGTCGCGAGAGCACAACAGCACGCCGAGCTGAGCCACAAGTAATTGTCGGCGAGCAGTCTGATCCAGTCGCAGTGAAACGATAGCCAGTGATAAGCATGGTCTTGCTTGGGGGGTTCAGATAGTCCAAGCAATGGCCAAGGGGCCGTAACTACTTGCGAGACCAGACCTAGACGTGGCGATGAGGTAAGGCCTTATGGCGGTTGAAATCAAGATGTAGGCGTCACTCCAAAAGGTGATTGCCATTGCCTAATGCCTCTTCAAGCTTCAGCGCCCGATGGTATCCCCGAGTCTCGCCCGAGTCAGGTCCCGGGCAACAGTACAGCAGCGCCGAAGCAATGTGAATATAAAAATACAAGAAGTGGCTACAGATGGTATCATACGTATACACGCAAATGCTGTGGAATACAAGCTTGGTACGATACAGTGAACGAAACCCGAATGAAAGAACGAATGAAAGGCGGTCACGAAATATGTCACTTCATCGAGGGCTACACTATAGTCCTTGAGCCCTCGCTCGAGAACATCAACAGCCCGCGTCCACAAGAGCGATAGGTGGCTGTCAGACGGTCTCCTTCACGACAGTCATATAGATCCCTGGACCCGTGCCTTCTTCCTCTCTAGCGCGTTCGCGCGTACGTAAACTGAGGCTCAGGTTCCTCGTCACCATCACATCCTTGCTGCGCATTTTCCGCGTACGCTTTGGGACGGCCAAGCTTAGTCCTCGTGCATGCGATTCCCCCGTCGGCATACCAGCATCCGCGAAGGGTGCAAACTGGGGGAGCGTTGGGGAATCGCGCAGCGCGCGCTCGACATCAGAGGCATATGCCGACATCGTGACTGTAGATGACGCAAGGCTGGTCGAAAAGGATGCTCTGCTTGGAGGCCGAGAGGGTGCATGCCCAGGTCGCGGAGACGGAGGATGGATGGTGACGGGAACAACGGGGGAGATTGGGATAGCGGATGGCGGTCGCGGCCATGGCTCTGACAAGATGGAGCTGGGACGCGGTGGAGGAGAGTTCGGACGATTGTAATGTGCGTCCTCCTCAGGGGCTGGTTGTGGCCCAAGGTCAAGCGGAGGAGCAGGTCTACTTGGCCGCTTGAACGCAGGCGGAGGCAGCACAAGACTGACGGCTGATTTGCCAGCGGGAGAATCCAAGTACGACACTGTCGATTGAGCAAACGTCGCGTCGGTATTCTCAAATTCAGTCGAAGGGGGCGATGACAGTGGCATGGTGTTTGGGATTGTGATGGATAAGGGGGCGGACTTGAGCGAGGATAGTGACGGCGATTTCCACGCCGATTTGGCGCTGGGGGTACGGGTGGGGCTCACAGTATCTGAGAGTCGGGACCTGAAGTCTCCATGCAGGTCTATGAAGGATTCTGATGGTCTGCGAGGTGCATCCCGGTTTCCACAGAGAAGTTGGAGTCGCCATAAGAAAGTGCGGTAGTCATCGAGTACCTGGTCCCGTGTCCCAGCCAGCATTCCAGCGACGACGGAGGCAAAGAGGACGAACGAAGACGCCGGAATGACCCACCAAGCCATCTCGATACTGATGAGCTGCATCGGCGTCGACGACGTGAGTATCTGTATCTCCGAGATGTGATCGTGAACGGAAGTCCATGATCGCCACGGCTGGAGACCCGGAGGAGATTCGACTCCAACGTAAACAGTGACGACACCGAATGCGAGAGTCAAAGAAGCAATTAGAAGACTGCTTATCATAACGCGAAAGAATGCGAAGTTGTTGGACTTGGGCAAAAAGCTTGGAGCGGCACCAGCAAAGATTGCTTGGCGACGCGTGGGATGATACAGTGCGATGGATGAGCCGACGAGTGCGGCAATCGAGAGCAAGGATGGAGGTAGCCAGACCAGGATCAAAGCAGGAAGGGATGAATATACAGATGCCGCGCAGCCATAGTTCTGAAGAAGATCGAAGCGATGGTCCTGCACTATTATATCTATACAGTGCGGTCTTAGAAGTGTGCTAGGACTCCAATGAAGACGACTCACGAAGAATCATGTACAATATCGGAAGTACAAAACATAGCGCATAATCAGCCCACGGGATACTGCGTCTTGATCCGAAGTCAAATGTCGAAGTACGGCGTCGCAGATGGCGAGATATGCCAAGGCAAGCTGCAGGCAGCGCGATCCTCGCACCGAGCAGCAATTTCGTGGCTAGAAGCAATTCAGTTCCTATTTTATAATGTCAGGATATTCTAGCGTACCTATGTCACACCATGCTGGCGTTCGAATGCTAGTATTGTTCTCCCAGACCGCAGAATCGACGGCTTGGATCAGGTTGCAAAGGAGCAGCCAGCCGACAAGCGATGTAGCCGCCACATTTCCAGCTATCAAGTACGCGGGGATCAGGCATAGCAAAAGCACCGCGCACAATATCGAGACGATGGGCAGCTCGATACCCATTGCGGCGGTCCGCTAGAAGGGTGTCGCGAAGGAAAGGAAAGGGAGGTTCTTCAGGCTCAAGAGAGTGCAAGATATAAGCAGGGGTATATGCGCTGGATTTTCCAGGGCTGCAGTATGATGGTGCGAGAAGGAGAAGTTCCGCATTATGACGGGACCTGTGGGCAACCGCTTGCGAGGCGGCGCTTCGGCACGAGGTGTAGAACAAGAGTCACAGAATGACAGAAACAATACACTCCTTACTTGTCGCTACAGAAGCGTGGGTCGTGGCGTAATCCCCGTGCTCTGGCAGCACTAGAAGCCAGTGAGGAATGCTGACTGCAGGCTGCTTGGCCCGACAATAAGTGGAAGACCTAATCGAGGAAGTCCCTTGATCTTTCCATCATTGGCAGTAAGCGCCGAGTGTAACATACCTTATATGGCTCATGTTTAGACTTTGGTCATCGATCGGATTTGCATCCTTGTTGCGAACTCGAGCGTCGAGTCGGACCAGCTATGCTTATCTTCAGAGTTGCAAGAGGCCTTGAGTCCCGAGAAGAATAACCTCAGGTTGCTTGCCGTAGGACAGCTGTGACGCGGTTGGACCTTATCGTCGACAAAAATGGAGGTCAAACATCGATGCTCATGAGGGCAATATCACCTGCTTCGTTGTTGGTTGGCAGAACAAGGATACCACACACTAACCTTAGTCCACAAAGGGGGCCGGCGTCCGCCAACAGACGCCGGCGATACGACAATCGGCATGCACTTGACAGGATGCCGTAGAGCCTCGGGGTGATAACAGGCGGTCAATTGTCGACAGTCTAGCATGCTACATCACGAGCGAGTCTAGCGGTGTCTATGATACAGCAGAGATGAAGTAGCCACGAGTGTCAGGGAATCAGTGAACAAGATGAGATAGGGTAGCGGCGAGTTACGATGGAGCACCTAGCCAGAGCCTCAGAATGCCGGCAGTAATGAACGCCAAGATAGGCCATAGAAGGCTTCGAGGTCCGATGACAGCAAAAGGACTAGCCTTAGCAATATCTGGCAGGCCGTATATGCACCCGGAGTCCATCAATTCCCGCGAGCGTATACGTGACCCTGTACGAGCAGCGGTGTCGTTAGCCGCAACAGGCGATTCCCCTATGAGCGGGTTGCCAGAACACAGATGAGAATACGCTGCAAGCCATGCCTTAGTTGAAGTTTCATGCAGATACACAGGCGCGCTAACCGTCAAGTCGGGACGAAACCAGGCTCCTCGTATCATCTGCTATAGTCTGGAATGTCTCGCCATACAGGCATTGCATACAGAATTGCACCATCGAAGGTTGTGCAGCACTGCACGTGCATGCGATGCCACGATTGCATTTCTGTGAGACAAATGAACACCATGTCGATTACGTATCGCAAGCATATCTGACCTGTGCCAGCTGGATTGAGTAGCAGGAAGATGCGCACTAGAGAATCCAAGTTAGCCGCGACTGCTGTAGACATGAGATCTCATACATAGCAACTCACCTCTTCAGCTATGAGTTCACTTCCACACGACATCAGTTCAACCGCGTAGAACCGTGATGGCGCAGCCATGACGCTGGGTACGACTGCATTCGTGTTGACGCATTAATGACAGATCAGACTAGCAGGACATCACCACGTACCTTTGGCTCCTAGGATACAGACGAATATGAGTGTCAGAGTGAGCATGGTGAGGCAGAAATTGTGGTATAGTGAACTAGGCGGTCAAACAAGTAGCAAAAGAGCGTGGGGGTCGAGTTGAAGATGGTGGCAGTGAGAGAGGAGCACACAGCCTTAAGGCTCGTGGTGGGAGGCCACAGAGATCGCTACGTCGGCAGCACGCTTCGGAACAATAAAAGAAATACCACTGTGATGGGGGTGCTTAGTTTTTACATAAAGACAGGTGGCCCGCAAATGCATTGGCCGTCGTCAAAGCGTCGTGATGGTTTTGCCGACCAACATGCTGGTCAAAGCTTGTGGCGTAAAACATAATTTCCAAGCCAATCAGTCCTGCGCTAGATAGCCAGCGGGTGTTGGGTCCAGTTATACACCTGCTCCACTTTCTGGGCGCGTTATAAAACCATTAGTTGCCACTAGTAAGTACTGCGTTCGTAGTTGAGATTAGCTGAGAAGAGTAACAGTACTTATGATGTAATCCCTCCTCACTCCCGGAGACGGCGGGAAGGAGCTTGGCCCTATACATAAATCATCTCGCTCTCTGCGTGGCTGTCATTAGAACTCCGCTCGGCATATGAAACAGGTGCGTTTGCGAACACTGACCCCCAAGATCAGGCAGCACCCTCATCACTAACACACCCCTTGAGCCTCTGCAAGGGTATTAGCAAGATAGGCAAGACCGTAGCTGGATGAAGTGGACCCACTGTTCTTGAGCCGCAGACATATCTCTCTTATGTGAGCTGCCCAACGAGCGTCAGCATCATCAGTATGCACAGGTAGTGGATCGGGGGGTGAGGTTGAGCCATTCATGCTCATATGTCCTGTGTCACGATCTTCCAATGTTCGTACGGGCAGCAGAGGCGACGGAGCGGGATGCGAGGTGGAACCGCCCACACTCATGGGCCTTGTGTCTTCGCTGCCTTGACGATCTTCCGTTTCCAATACGGGCAGTATCAGAGGTGATGGAGCGAGATGCGGGGTGGCATCGCTTAAGCTGCTCATGGGCCCTTCGCGCATCCGGTCGTCCATTTCTTTCGACTCTGGAGAATCATCCTCGCTTGCTTGTGCCTCTTCAACCTCATGCGACCCCCGCTTTTCGTAGCAGGAGAGGTCTAGCGGTTCGTCAATGTAGACAAAAGCTTCATCCCAGTCAGTCGATTGCTCGGAATAGATGTCAGAGTAATGGCTTTCGTCTTGAAACGTCTTCCAAGCTGTCGACCAGTATGATGTCAGAGCTTTCCATGAGGATGATAAATTTTGGTTCACTGAGACCATGCAAGACATCAATGCTTTTCACGAGTGCCTTCGCCGTCTGTTGGTGTGAGTTGGGGTTGGCTGCTTTCCCGATCAAGTTATCCTGGCGGCTGAGCCAGAGCTGGGCGAGGTACCCATCGAGCACTTAAGACCGCCAGCCAGCATGCATCTTTTGCTCCTTAAATAATGTACGGATTATCTTGTAGTCATTGATGAGCTGGATGTGTACACAAAAGCATAATATTCACATACCCTATTGTGGTATCCTAGCCAGCGTCTGACTTCGATCAAAAGCATCTCCCCTATGTCCTCCTCCTGTGCCTTAAGGTAGAGCTGGGCGTGATGATGCATCAGCCTGTTCAGGCAGACCTCGACTACCCAGCGATAACTTTCTGGAAGTTCCACAGCCTCTACTTTTGAACCGGGATCGACTTGAAACACCGTGGCTTTCTTGACTTTACGTGCCTTGGCACGCTCCAGTCTAATTAGACCCACGTTGTCGCTGTCCTTCACACGAAAACGATGCGACAAATTGAGCGCGAGTCCTGCAAGTGTTTCCCGAGTCGAGAGCTTTGGAATATGGACTCCTTTTGTCATGTTGACAGATTCTTTGCGACTACGATGGAATGTGGTTCTGAATGGCGACGTAGAAATGTCGCGTAAGGTTCGTTCATTGACATTGGCGCCCGACGCTAGCGCAATCACGTTCTTATTGTCTTGCTAACTTTTTGTCTGTGCTGATAGCGTTGCCTCGTCCACGATGAGCTATAAACACAGCATGCATTGGCAACATTTTGGATCCTTTCGCGTCCACTCCTCGCCCACTCGATAACTGTCCTTCATTACGTGCATTTGCAGCCCAGTCGCTCATTTCTCGGGGAATCCTTATTCCAGCATCGCGTCTAGCAAAATGTACCTGCTTATACTCGCGGTATACCTCCTAACCAGTACGATTCACGAACTGTCTTTCGCATTGGCGGCAGATTGACTCGATGTCCATTCATCGCAGCACTACAACTTGTACAACTTGTACAGTGCCGGCCATCGGCGAACGCTGCTGTGGAACTCTCTAAATGCGGGGAGAGCGATACCCCTCAGGTCCTTGCCGATCAGGTGGGTCTCTAGTTAATATCTCGCGATGGATATATTACTCATTACTGCAATGTCAGTGTGTTGCCGTCTGTCGACCCGTCCACGATGCGCGCGTGAGTATATCTGCTGCATTTTAGCCTCAGTTCGCGGAATGCTAACCTGTACGCTCTTAGGATTGCAACCTTACTGCTGCGTGTACCTGTACGGTCGCGCCTCCTGCCGCAGTACAAGCTTGTTTGCAATGTCTCCTGGATGCAAACACTGGATATTATCCTCATGAGGTCGCATTTATGGTGCCGTCCAGCTTGAGTGGTCAGTCTCTCAATTTCCTCTACTCGACATTTCTCTCAAAGATCCTCCACATAGCATATTCGGAACTATGCGGTACTGCGCCGATCAGCCGTGAGGCGACTGTCAACTTGTCTCACTCCTCGGCGGACACAAATTCGACCGCTGTGCTGAAAAGAGAAGTATCCGATACTCACTGTATATATGGATTACCGCAGGTGACGGTCTCGAGTTCTGCATCTTTCATCGCTTCACAGAAGCGTCTGTGGCCGCTCTATTGTATCATTTTCTTGATGATCTAGTCGCTTTTCGAGACTAGTACATAATATCCCTAACTGCATCTAAGTTATGTTCAGTATCACTAACACATATTGCCCTGTATCTATAGTAGAGTATTGTCATCACGTCCGAGCTATTGTAGCATCGAGTGGCGTGAAAGCCCTGTCGAAGACTCCTTGAATTTGGGCGCCGAACATTTATAGGCTCATCGTCGGTTTTGCTGACGCGCCTGTTGGTATTTCTGGGTTTGGAAGCCGGGTCAATTATTACTACCCAGCCAGACTCTCAGATAGACAAATGCACCATCGCGAAGTATTAAAACAACGCGTTTCATTAGAATGGTAGCAAAGCGCTCGTTACTCCTACAATCTACATTGACACTCCAAAACCTACAACAGCGCGATCTAGATGCTATATCAGGTAGTAGTGCTCTGCAGCTCCGGTAGCTTCGTCTGGCATCTGAATGTGCACCAAGCGACGTCGCCGTGATCATCTGCACTCTGTTGCGATTGAAACCGCTTGGTCAAAAGGGTTGTTATCGCTATACGTGCACTAACAACATTCGCCCGTAACAGAGGGCCGCTATGGCGTTCATGGTTAGAAACTTGGTTTGACTCTGCAACCGTTTACAGCATGTGTAATGTTGACTTTTGGGTATGTCGGGCAAGCGTCGCTGCCGGCCCGGGTCACGTAGTCGTGCGCCGGTGTGGGAATAGGACTTATGTAGGCGTCGCGCGCCGTAGGTAGCCCCATCGGTTTGTAACCTTATCCACGATTGATCCCTGTCCATCGAGGACGTTGGCTGCCGGCGGTCTTTCCGGCGTCGTTCTCACATGTAATGCCTTGCCTGTATTCAATCTCGATAATATTCTGTTGACATGCGTGTCGCAAAGACTCGCTGTGCGAATACAATTTCGCCGCGGTCCTTGAAATGGACTTGCAAACATGTGTGTTTTCCTGAAGTCGGTTGAGGCTTATACAGAGTTAGACCTAGGTCTGATGCTCCCGTGTCATGAGGAACAACTGCCGACGGTTGGTCTCAGTATAAGATTATGCAAATAGCTCGAACCTGTTAAAACGTAGTATCACAACGTGTGCCTCGAGAGTCCTGGATCTAGCCTTTGACAATCCACGAACCAAACAGGTGGGCGTAAAGCGCCCAGAAGCAGAGAAGGGTCATCGCGCACGGGGCATTAAAAGCAAGCAGTGAAGCAAGGTCATTTGGCTCATATTCGTACAGTACGGAGCAGCACTTGGTCGTATCTCGAGATCGTCTCTACTAGTATTACGCAAGCCCTCTCCTGCCAGATAACATGAATAATACACGAAGATCAAATGATACAGGCCGGGCGCCGCAGAGGTCTTGGAACCGGGAATAAATATGTTGGGTATTTTGGGCGGGTATCTGGATATGCGCTGATAATCAGAATAAAGGCATATTCATATGAACAACCGACGCACAATTTAACGATACATCGAAAGAAGAAAAGTAGAGAAGGCCGCCGTGACTATGTTATGACACAGTAGCCAGGGTACCCGTCGCTCTTGTGGTCGAAGTTGACCAGCATGCCGTTCGCGGATAAAGGGAATCCTTCTGCATGCCTGCTGGACGCGAGCAGAAACGCTTCGAGATCGAAGCCGTCGAATTCGAATGAATCCATGGACGTTGAGCGCGAGGTGAAAAGTCGCTTGGATAGGTGTAACGGTATGCACGACTTGGTGATAACGCTAAAAGAGGATGATTGGACTCGCGCAAGTACTTGAGGATGAGGACTGTAAAGAAAACTGAGACTCAGTCTAAGCTATGATTTTATACTCATTACCTCGGAACTCATTAACAGTGCGGCTCGCTGGCTGAGATGGACAATTGCCTGACGCGAATCTTTGAGAGCCGAGTATAGAGCGAGATGTGGCCATTGTTCTTCTGTTCTACAAGCGTCGCATCACATTGAGATTGATTTGTCAGGCAGTACCAGAGCGTCCTTCAGTTCAGAGACAGCGAGCCGCCGGCTTTTTGTCTCTCAAGCGCCGAGGATATCAATTGTTCTCGATATGGTATGCGGCGATCACCGGCGTCTAGTGGACAGCGACCTGCTTGTCTCGCCTCCGCTGAAAATGACGTGCCGGAGAGAGCGCACTGCACATAAAATGATATGTACAGACCGAAATGATTGAGACGGCTACAGCCACTAAAACTGAAGAAATAGGCTGTATGACTGTTGAAATTTGTGGCGCCACTACACTTCGGACATTTCTGTGTATAGCTCAAACCTTGTTGATTCGTAGCGTACGCGCTCTTATTTCTTCAGGCACATTTGCAATGACTGTTACCATCCTGTCAGTTTGGCAAAACACTTTCGTGTGCTGTACGCTTCATCTGGCATGTCGATTTTGTTAAAATTACTGCTTATTGAAGTAAATGTGCAATGAGCGACGAGGAAATCGTTTTCAATGGTAGCGTCCTGCACTGGGATTGAATGCTTGACTGACCGCCCGATGAAACGTTTTCGCCTTGTTGTGTCTGCCCATAGCAACGAATCATATAAGGAGCCTGGATATATACATCTATGTTCTTAGCTTGCACACCAACGGAAGCTAGTATGCATGCTAGGAAATCTTGCGCTACTTATTGCCTTTGATGTACGAAGGATATGCCCAGTGCAGGTAGTAGTAACATCCCGTTTCTTACAACTTTGAGAGCAGAAGCAACGTTCTCGAATGAAATCATGAAAAGCATGCACATCCTTAAGAAGAATCACTGCCTGCAATGAATTCGGCAATCTCAAGTGTTATGAAAACTAAACAGTACATGACAATCAGCTATTTAACAGGCTTAGGACATTGGTAGGGATAAGGATGTTATGCAGTTAAGAGATAACTCTAGTGAAGTAAAGATACAAAACTACGATACAGTACAACGAATTCAAGGTGTTTTGTTGAACTCCTCATAAGTTATCGTCATGGAAGCAGGCTCCGCGAGGATATATGAGCTTTATGCTGCTATTTGCGTGAGTGAGGGCCGTTGTGATGGAAAAACCATAGCGATGACTTACAAATTAGCGTCAAGGACATTGGACTTCAAGAGATGACACAGTAGAAAATGACGCCGCCTCCGCTATGTTCGAAGTCGAGCGGGATGTCTGTGTCGTTTGGTAATGTTTGCGACAAGTCTGATGAGTGGTGTGTCATGGTGGATAGGGACGAGTCGAACGGCTCCGCGAAAATGTCCATCGTAGTGCGTGGAGGATGGAGAGGATGCAGTATCGCGCAGTAACTTTTGCGGATGCGGTTCAGTCTGAGTACCGGTCATTGCAAGCATCCTTGTGCCTTTTATCACGGCCTTGCGAAAGATTTCTGTGGTGCAATTGCAGACGGACAATGGCGTCCGAGAATAGCTAGAACCCGACACCCATACGGGGTAGGCCGTAAACGCACGTGAATACATCCTCGATCCCATTGTGCGCCCCCTTCGTCTCTCAGATCTCGCACGCGACAATACGCACTGTCTGGATGTATTGCTTGTTGCCGCTGGTATAATCTCGAAGACAAAATGCCTGCCAATCTAGCACCAATCACTTCCTTCACCCACCCTGAGAGGCACTGCTATGGCGGCAGACCCAACATATCCCCTTTACCCATTCGTTGCATTCGTCGGCTGTGTCCTTGCTCTCGTGCCGTTGCCATGGCATCTACAGTCTTGGAACTCGGGAACCTGCTACTACATGATTTGGACATCTCTGGCCTGTCTCAATCAATTCGTGAATTCTGTTGTGTGGTCCAGCAACGCGCTGAATATCGCGCCTGTTTGGTGCGATATCTGTGAGTCTGCTCATTCTCAGTTCCTATTTAGTGGCTTATTGTCAATTCATCGAAGCCACAAGGATTACTATTGGCGCGTCCGTTGGCATTCCTGCAGCTTCTCTGTGCATCAATCGGCGACTATATGATATTGCACGAATGCAAGCTGTAGCTATGACGCGTGCTGAGGTACGACTTGCGTTTTCTTGTCCGCCCACTGTCTGCTAATGTCCCTTCAGAAACAGCGTGCTATCTTGGTTGATACGCTTATCTGCGTCGTTTTCCCGATAGTGTGTATGGCTCTTGGTACGTACCCAGCAAGTTGTGTAGAATGACTGAGGAAATCAATGCTAGAAAAATAGCATACATCGTGCAAGGACACCGCTTCAATATCTTCGAAGTGATTGGCTGTTATCCAGCCATATATAACACAGTTCCCACTTACTTCTTGGTCTACATGTGGCCTGTAGTCGTCGGCTTGATTTCTGCCGTATATTGTGGTAAGTGCTTCCGCTCTAATCTCCTAAACGGATTGCTGAACTACGCGTATAGTCCTATCTCTCCGCCTTCTTATTGCGAGGCATGCGCAATTTCGCGAGTTCATATCGTCTGGAAGTGGCTTGACTAGTAGCCGTTATTTCCGTCTAATGGCATTAGCGACAACCGATATGTTGTTCACCATCCCATTCGGAATCTACGAGCTGTACTCCAATGCCGCGAGCGGAGAAATCCAGCCATGGCTGGGCTGGGCCAATACACACTTCGGTTTCTCACGTGTGGATCAATATCCTGCGCTCGTCTGGATGTACCAGCCCTCTATCGCCGTTCCGTTGCAGCTGAGCCGGTGGATCATACCAGCTTGCGCTTTCATTTTCTTCACATTCTTCGGCTTCGCGGAAGAGGCCAGAAAGCGCTACGCCGCACTGTATGCCTCAATATGCAATCGTTTGTACGCACTCCGCATTATGCGGATGGGGGACAAACACGAACGGTACGTTCACTTAGACTGGTCTGAAGCGTCTTTACCTGGAGGCTCATCGCTCTCCGCAGCTCTGCAAGGATTCCCAGTGCATCAGGCGACAGCCTCCCACCGTATTCCCCCAAGTCAGCATCGACTTCTGGATTTGATTCGCTGGCGTCGATCACTGCGGTATCTGAGGGATCCAGCTCTGCGTCTACAGAAACCTTCGATATGAAGGATGCATATGGGCATGAGAAATGCTAAGGGTTTCCTCATTCTGTCATCTATATACGAGATACGTCTATTAGTTTTCTTCGCCCATGCTTCCATAATTCCTGTAGCAAATAATTGTCAGATTGTACTATATCCATGATACCCTATTGCGACACCAATAGAAACTGTACCAGTTAGCATTGTCAGATATAGCGCACATGGTGGCAACCCTCGTGATGTCGGATCTAATCATCGTAGCGATGAGCGCAAGCTTGTTGATCTTGCACAGGGAGTGTTGAGGTGCTCGTCTCTAGTAGGAGCGCCCGATGTTACGGAACAGCTTGCGGGTGGGAGATGGGTCCGCGAACTCATCTCGATCATATTGGCAGGCCCATTCAACTTCGATTCCTAATTCTGCATCAGCCCCGCCCTATGCCTAGATATTCTCAGGTAAGTCTGAGCTGTTCTGCATGATATTCTTGCGTCAGAGTCATCGTCAACGAATTCTTCATACACTGCTGTCAATTGAGATTATCATACTGAGGAGCTACTGCCGTAAGATCTACTAGCTGGGCTTGCTTATCATGATTGAAAGCGCAACTACGTCGGGTTGGTCATCATTAGAATGCGTGCTCGCGATATCCTAGTGGGCTCCAGACATTCACACGCACGAGTTCGTTCCGGGTGGTTGCAACGCAGAATATCCGTAGAATGTAATGATACATGGCGTAAATATTGCTACAATAGACAGAGGAAGCAATGATGGAGATAGGTGGGTCGACCTGTGTGCACGATGACAGAGAATCATGCAAGAGTAATAGGAGTCGTACACTCGCTTTGAGAGAGGCTGATGGGGCATCTCGCAGGAGGAGACATAGCAACAAAATACGATGACGATTCGGACGAAGCGAAAGGATCGGAAGACGCCTCGCACGGAGCAGGATGCTTGGGGGAAGTGAAGGTTGACGTTGTCGAGCAGGCGGTGCTGGGCCTTTCTGGATAACTGTCCTTGCTGTCAGTGGGACCCGGACACGTATCGCTTTCTGGTTTAGACGTCTTCACGAAAATGAAGTGCGATTGTGGAGGGCTGAGATAATATGTCAGCGGAACCACAGACATTCTCTGCATGAACGATACACACCTCGATTGGCAGAACGAAGGCAGCGTCGCAGCAAGGGGAGCATTTTTATCATTCCGATGGATTGCGACGCGGCGCAACCATTCGATGCATGAGCCGTATTCTTTGACGGCATCTGCTCCAAAGGCGAAGAATATGAAGAAAAGGCCGGCGGACACAGGTGTTGTCCACCAGAGGAAATACGTCCAGCGCAACTCGGTCGTCGGGATGAGAACGGTCGGGAACTGCCCGATTCTCGAGAAGTCGGAGTGTACGTTGGCCCAGCTGATCCACGGGCGCAGGCCGTCACGGTAGTTGAAGTACAGCGTGATGGCGATGACGATCACCGCCCAGAACATCTCGACGAGCGACATGGCCATCAGGCGGAAGTAGCGGGTGGGCGTGAGCCCGCTGGTGGAGTTGGCGAGGTGCCGCGCGAATATGGCTCGTCTGCGGAGGAAGTGGACGAAAGCGAGGCCTGCGGAGCGGTCAGGAGCCGGCACGGACGACACGGGTGGGCTCGGGCACTCACCGGACAGGACGAACGTCCCGAGGCAGAAGAGGATGGGCAGAAGCCACATGATGAAGAATTCGGGGATGGAGACGTAGTCTTCCGCTCGGCACCCGAAGTCCTCGACTATGTCAAACAGGTGTCCCTGCACGATGTAGTCTGCCGAGGGAACCGTCAGCGCGCAGCCGGGAACAGACCGAATGACTCACGCATCGCCATATAGATGATAGGAATGCAAACGCAGATGGCGAGGTCAGTCCACATCCGCCGCCGTTTGTCGGTGAAGGTTGTCTTCGCCTGCCGCTCGGAGGCGATGCGTTCCAGGTGCATACATAGGCAGAAGCACGCCGCAGGCAGCGCTATGTTTGCGCCTATGTCAAGCTTGGTAGCTATGCGCAGCCAGTCAATCCCATGCGTGCATGATGCGTGATTGCGACCTACTGATGTCGCACCAGACGACGAGCTGGGCCTCGACATTATGATACCAAACGATGGCGTTGACGCCGTGCGTCAGATTCACGATAAAAAGCCATACGATGATAGACAAGGTAGGGATATTACGAGCTCGCCAATGCCATTGCAGAGGAAGGAGGACGAGGACAGCAGCGAGGAAGGACGCGAGGGGCAAACCAACGGCGGGCACGATAGTCTGCAGAAGACGGAGAACGAGTGAGCGCGGGAACGGTGATGTGCTGTGTATTCAGGCATGTTTATGCTGCGCTCCTGTACGTCCATGCTGCAGCTCTGAAGTCTCTTCCTCAAGCCGTTGTCACGTCGGTGAGCGTCTCGGCTTGTGCCGGAGCTCAGGTTCTCGATCAGTAGTGACGTCAGCAAAAAGGAACACGTCATGGCCGCTCATGCAGGGACTCGCATGGCCTTGTGAGGCCTTACGAGAGACTGTTATTTTGGCCCGGCAGTCTTGTATCGACATTATGACGAGCAACGGGGATTTGGCCGGCGAACGTGTTTGCCCACGGGTGTAGCGATACGCATAAGTTGTCTCCCGTTCGTCTCCCGTAGGCAGACCTTGAGTATTGTGACCCTTTTGTATAAGGACGACGATCACAGGATATAGCTCATAAAGGACCCTCGTGTGCGGTACGTACATAGCAAACGATCAAAAATATACTACGGGAACCTCCAGCCCCCGGCTACTATCGCGCCCGAGCTTGCGAGCTCGATCCTGACCGCATGTTCCAATACAAGTATTGAAGCTTGAAGCACGAACTGATAGTAATAAATTCAGATAAACAGCCACGCAATTAAGATGTAGGATGTAGTAGGAAGATGAATGAACGACTAGGAGGAAGTGAAGGTATCGGGACACAAGTTCACTACGGCTACATGAATCTTCATTGTTAGGGTATGTGATGGTATGCATCATACATTGTTGGCGCAGTGTGATCGCCTGGCGTGGTTACGGTTCTGGAGGGCCTTCAGAATTTTCATATTGAATGACATTGAAGCAATTGCCGCACCTATTTCTTCAAGATATAGTACAAAAACTCCCATAGCCCCAGAAACTGTCCATGTCCACCGGGACGTCGGACAGAAATGCAGCATCTGCAGAAATCGCGAGGTTTGACTCCTCCAGAGCAGATGCGACCGTGACCGGCAAGAGTTCAGAAGCGGGGATGAAGCGATCCATGATGGAGGTTCGACGGTTAGAGTAAATTGGGCTAGTGGCCTGACGCATTGTAAGGAGCACCGAAGGGCTAAGTCTGTAGTATTTATATTAGTGAACGAAGATCCTTGAGATACTTGGAACGTGAGACATGAGAAGAATCTGCACATACGTCTATTGTCTGCTTTGTACAGTCACATACATGTTACAAAAGACCGCAGCATGATAGAACTGGCCTCGCCCAGGCATTCATTTCCGCGGACCGACGAACAACGAGTGGGATTGTCAATTGACACCCATAAGCGTCCAAACAAGCGCCCATCTCTTTCAATGGGCGCACGTGAGGTTGGGCTAATAGCAAGGCTTAGGCCAGCGTACCGCTGCTCGACCGCTACTAAACTAGTACTACCAACGTACTGCCCTATTCTGTGAATTCTCGCCTCTAGCTCATCATCGGTGTGCAGATATGCATCATTATGAATATCATATTGAGAGGGCCAGGGATCCTTCTTATTGTTGATCCGACGTGGCTTTGTTCCCTGCATAAGGGCAACAAAGGGCCTATTGACATCGACATTTCATTCTCAAATACGTCGTATGTACCCAAGAGCCTTACACTTTCTTACTTCACGCTCTGCTTGCTTGCTGGCACGACACCACCTTCGTATTGCAGTTGACTATGGCCGGCCCCACCTACCCACTATTTCCTATCGCCGCGTTCATTGGATCGGTTCTCGCTCTTCTGCCTCTTCCGTGGCATTTTGAAGCACTGAACTCTGCGACATGCTACTACATGATCTGGGCTTCGCTTGCATGCATGAACCAATTCGTGAACTCCGTTGTCTGGGCTAACAATGCTCTCAATCCCGCGCCTGTGTGGTGCGATATATGTGAGTGATTGCTTCGCAGCGATACCCTGTAGGTTTCCAAGGAGCTAATTTATGTGAAGCTACCCGCATCACGATTGGAGCATCTGTCGCCATACCTGCAGCATCCCTGTGTATAAACCGACGGCTCTACCTCATCGCAGAGACGCAAGCCATCTCAGTCACAAGATCTGATGTACGTGCCAGACTCACGGTTCAGATACTCATCTGACGGTCTAATTGTAGAAGCGACGGGCTATGCTAATAGACACTCTGATCTGCGTCCTGTTTCCAGCTATATGCATGGGATTTGGTAGGCTCGCTGTCCTTGCAATACTTTGCAGCGCTGATCTATGTTGTAGCATACATAGTTCAGGGTCATCGTTACAACATATATGAAGAAATCGGGTGTTATCCTTCCGTATACAACGCGCTCCCAGCGTATTTCCTTGTGAACTGGTGGCCCATTGTGCTCGGCCTGATCTCTGCGGTCTATTGCAGTAAGCAACGCAAATTCTCTGAGATATCTCTCTAATGATGTCCTAGTCTTGTCGTTGCGTCATTTTACTCGTCGCCGTGCGCAGTTCAAGCAGTTTCTCTCGTCGAAACACTCCTCGTTGACGTTTGGACGTTATTTCCGTCTCATGGCCCTGGCCACAACGGAACTGCTGTTCACGATCCCCGTCTCGAGCTACGCTATATATCTCAACGCCACTGCACAACCTATAGAGCCCTGGGTTAGCTGGTCCTACGTGCACTACAAATTTTCACGGATCGAACAAATCCCTTCCCTGATCTGGCGTACAAACCGTCAACTGGCCATTGCACTACAGCTCGGGCAATGGCTCAACCCTCTCTGTGCTATAATCTTCTTTGCATACTTCGGTCTTGCCGAAGAGGCGAGGCGACATTACAAGGCAGCTTTCTGGTCGTTTGTCAAAGTGGTGGGCTTTTCAAGCCCAGTCAGCCGGCGCGGTGCGCAGCAGCTCAGGTTGGTGATACCCTATATCTTAGCGATAAATAGCACTGAAAAGTCACCAGCTCTAAGCAAGAGCCCACGATTGAGCCTCCGTTGGAAGAACTACCAAGATACGCCCCGACCTCTTGCCAGAATGTTTGTAGCAAATCCGCATTTGTCCAGCTCGTAGAGTCTCCCGGCCCCCATGACGCAGATGTAAAGTATTTGCTACCCGCTTCAGGCGATTCTTTTACTTCCATCACTATTCCAGACTCCCCATGCTCATAGTCTACCGCCGAGAGCGTTGACTCGGACTTGTCATGTTATACCAGCATTCCTTCGCCATTGACTCTTAATGACCGTCCGTTAGTATAGTTCTGATCTTCGTTCTCACTTTGTAGTAGGCGCATATTTCACGTAGATGTCCTCTCTGTAGCACTCTTTCGTATTCCCGCATTCCTGTATTCCTCGACACATGTTCAATCTAATTTGCAGTGCACACGAAATTGGCGAAATACGAGCCGTGACCAGCTCGACGCGAGCCTCGTTTGTCGGTCTGCTCGTACTGACTGATGCGAAAGTCGATAGATGAGAATAGCAGTATGTCTAAACCGACCAGAAGCTGATCTATAGAACAGGACATTACAAATTGTTTGCGCCTACATATGCGCAATGATGGCCAACATCCATTCGTTTTGATATAGAGAACAACGGAACTAGAAACTCGTCCTTGTCTTGGGGTCCATCCATTGTAGTTGCCCCCGGTGGTAAACTTCATCGAAGCATTTATTCGTGTAATGAGAGTCCTGTCTTGATCATTCGACCACAGTGATTATCCGCAGGCTACTGGTCATACATAATAGTCATTCGAGAAAGTGTACTTTGACACGGAAGTCGTGCTACAGTCAATCATTACCACTGTGAGCGACAGGGAGAGGGAGGGCCCGCGGGAGGCGGGACGGTCGGGCCCGTATATGCACATCAGCAAAACCTCTACGATCTGCTATGGCCTTATGCCGGCCGCGGACAGTATAGGTACAGTTATGACAACGTTTAAGACACAAGTCCTACCCTAATGAAATAGGAACGATGAGATGCTTAACAGGCGAGTTAGCCTTCAGTACTCAGCTCAGTTGATTGAAAGCCCAATCCTGAGTTCTAGGAGCTCAGCACCGATATATAGATAGGACATGATACATGTGCAAACTAATAGCTACTGCTACATCGGGGACAATGGGGGTATTCAGATACACGGGCAACGCTATGTGAACTACGAACACTGATGAGACATCCAGCAACATCGAAGGAAGCCAGACTTACCAATATTTGAAGGCGAAAAATCTGACCAGAGAAGTGGTCTCAGACGAACTGGAGAAGAGCTCCTAACCAGTCGTCGGTGCCAATGAGTGCGACATCAGTGGAATACGCCTGGAATACATACAACTGTTATGCAATTACGCAATATATGCCCGGTCTTGACGGGGTGTCTTCATTGACGGGAATAGATATGTCCCGAGGCTCACAATACGAGCTTTCTAGGAAGTCTGCGATTGAACAAAGTTCATCCATTTGAGGGAGCGAGTAATAACTGCGACCAGAGGCTTTGGGTGCAGAAAAGAGTAGAGTATGCAGAATTATATTGGTGAAGTAGACTGCTGGGCCATTTATACTGGGATCGCCTATTATTCCGCTAGTGACCACAATGCCCGGAGCTCAGTGTGGTGCCACAACGTTTTGTTCGCCCGATGCAGCCATATTACGTAATTTACTAAGCGCCCAGTCGACGTTTTCCAATCGGCGTACGTGATGGTTCACTGCCGCATACTATTGTCCGGAATTATAACAATACACAAAATACAAATCTTCTCATGCGACGCCTTACCACGGCGTCTCTAAACTTGGGTAGCGCGCTCCGGTCGGAATTAAGTATGAGAAAGCTGGGTTGCATCACTCTTCTTAGTATTCCAAGGCCTGGCCGCCGAAAGCCCGGCCCAAAGTAGGGGCCCTGAAAACACTAGATACGACTAGAATTCTCTGACAAGTCTCTTTAAACTGCGCAGGCCCATCCAACGCTCGCCAGCATAGGATATGCGTTATTTTCAGCTCTACGATTCTGCGGGTATCCTTATTCCTCAATGGTCTGTACTTATTCTATATCAGTGCCATGGACGATGGTAAGTCTGCCCTCATTATATGGGATGGAACCATGAAGTCACTGCCAAGGCACCAGAGGTTCTGACCCGCTGCCGTCTCCTGCTATTGCTTCTGCTCGCAGCTCCACGGAGGTCTAAAAGTATAATCTACGAGGGGAGGTGCCTCGTTATTAGAATACTGTCAATGACGATCCTGCTAGCCTGTCTCAATAGGCGGTGAGACGACGAGACAACGATGGACTCCGAAGCACAATCAAGCTGCCCCGACTCGTCCTCTCCTATCGCTTCCGGCAAAGAGAAATATGTAGCTAGACGGTCATCCGCCACGCTTGTCAGACTATCATTATGCTTCTCTCCGGCGATGTGATTATACACTCAAGAGCCCCGTCATATCATAGATCTATTTGTATCTAAATGGCTTCCAGCCGATGAAGACTCAGCAATTATCATATTCTATCGACATTAATGACAGTTGAATGCCTATAGTAAGTCGTTGGATTGTAACACGGTATAGAGTAAATCCAGTGGAAAAGTAGGCGTAATATGTGTTGGAACAACGGTGCGACGGCGCGGGGCGCGTTTGTCCACGGGCGTAGCGATGCCCGTAAGGGACAATCGCGTAGCGTACATACATCGCGCGCAGTCGTTATATACTACGATAGGGGCCTACGGCCCCCGGCTACTCGCGCGCCCGAGCTTGCGAGCTCGTTCCTGACCGCGTGCTTCAACAATATGCTTCATCACAGAGCTACAACGTAAGCGAGGAAGTACGGGATTGTGGATGCATCGGTGCGAACATGATGGTGAATCTGTCGGGTAGGTGGTAAGCTGGAATACACTGGGGACCTAAGGGAATTAAGAATGGACTTACGCTAGGTGATCGTGCACCATGAATGTGAGTAGTTGTTGCTAATATGCTCTTCATCGACAGGTATGATGTATGTGATGATGTCTCCGTCAGGCGCAGCCTGTGTAGAGATGCTGAGATCACATGAGGTGAGAGTGTCCATATGATTGACTCGGATGGGACAGCGTCCAGGGAACGTCTCACCGCAGGCAACGCTTTGCAGTTGGCAGTTACAGATGCTTCCTCGAGGGTTTTAGGTAGATCCCTCTTATATTGGTAGTAAGGATGGTGAGTGAACAATATCACTGGGTAACCTATTGTTGAGCCTATACCAGCCTATTTCGCACGGCGGTAGCCTGGGCTCTACTATTAATAAGTGTCACTAACCCAACAATATCGCACCGATTCTAGCGATGAGGTTGCTACATCGCCAGACATCATAACCCTTGAACAGTCATTAGTCATAGCATTTGCCTTGTCGGTATAATTACAATATATCGAACTACAAATGAATCATGTCCTCCGTTCCAAACTGTTCTGCAGACGGCAAATGACATGCGTAGAATACCCACATCTCGTCCTTATTGTGAGATGTGAGCATAATAGTATGTCCATGGTACAGTATTTCTAAGCGAGGGTTTCGATCATTGTTATCCAATTCAGGAAAGAATGATGGCTGCATTGAGCGGTCATCCACGTGACCATCAATGGGCTGTATTGTGCTCTTGCCGCCATTGTCGGAACCTCTGAGCGAAAATCATATACTAGAGTGCAATCATGACACCGAATTTTATTGCCTCGTCGGCTTCCTTCCTCAATTTCTTCCCCCAGCGTGTCTATCCCATGTCTGATCCAACCTACCCCCTGTTTTCTGTGTTTGCATTCATCGGATTCGTAGCAGCTCTCGTCCCTCTGCCATGGCATCTTCAAAGTTGGAATGCCGGTACCTGCATATACATGATATGGGCTTCATTCGCAAGTCTCATAGAATTCGTGGACTCTGTTGTATGGAATGGCAACATCAACAACCCTGCTCCTGTTTGGTGCGATATTTGTATGTCCGTCCCCTCTACCTTGTACTTGCAATCCTGCTCATCGTGTCTCAGCGACGAAGTTTTTGATCGGCGCGGGCGTTGGGATACCGGCATCCTCGCTTTGCATTAACAGACGCCTATACAAGATCTCATCCTTGCGTGCAACTACCATCACCCGCGACGAGGTATGAACTAGTTTCTTTTTTGACGCCTGGAACATACCATCTAATTAGTTATCTGTAACGTGAAGCGACGTCGCGCCATTTACGAGGATATTGCCATCGGAGTTGGCATCCCAGTTCTTGTCATGATTTTGCGTGAGCAGTGATTTATCTTCGCATTAACTGACAAACTGATCGGTGCCATTTTTCACCCAGATTATGTTGTACAAGGTATATAATTGTTACACTGTTCCCTCCGCGAAAAGTCTAAATCTCGCCGTAGGTCATAGGTTCAATATTCTAGAAGATGTTGGTTGTACACCAGACATCTGGAATACGCCGCCTGCATATCCCCTTGTTTTCATGTGGCCAGTGCTCCTAGGCTGTGTGTCATTCATCTATGCATGTAAGATCTCACCAGACATAGATGTTTCGTCATCTGACTTTTTCTTAGCCTTTACGTTGCGCTCGTTCTGGCGTAGACGCGCTCAATTCAACGAGCTCCTTACCACGAGCAGTGCTCTTACCACAAGCCGATACTTCAGGTTAATGCTTCTCTGCTGCGTTGAGATGGCTTGCACCGTACCACTTGGTGTTTTCAGCATCTACATCAACAATGTCGGCGTTCAAATTGCGCCGTACGTCTCATGGGCGAATGCTCACTACGATTTTTCCTTCGTCGAGAAATTTCCTGCTATCATCTGGATGAGCAGTCAACCGTTCTACATATCCGTTCAAATGGGTCGTTGGATTTACCCTGGCTCATGTCTCTTGTTCTTCGCGCTCTTCGGCTTTGCAGAGGAAGCTCGCCGCAACTACGAATTAGCCTTCTGGGCGGTGGCCAAATGCTTTGGAGCCCAGCGCCCGTCGCAGAAGAATGCCGCACTCCAGTCGCTTCGGTATGTTTAAAACATACCCCGCATTCAACGATAGCTCACGACAGATCGTAGGATTGGTATGGACCTCAAGAAGAGCACGTTCAGCTCGGACGATTTGCCTCCATACACCCCTTCGACGCCTGCGCGCCGTAAACGCCGAGACTCCCTGTCCTCGTACCTCACGCAGAGTGTCCTAGATTTCGACCTAGAGAAAGGCACTCTATCTCCCGCCTCCACGTCGGCCACGTTGAACTGTGCGGAGACACCTACGTTCTCTGAACTATCACCCCAGCAGCTCGAATATGCAGAGCTTCGCAGCACCTATGCGCCATCGACGCCAACTGAAGTCGCCGTTCCCTCACCTGTCTTGCCGCGTCCGCACACGCTTATCGAGCGGGAACATGTTTCCATTCCTCCATATCATCGGCCATTCACCCCACCCACTGTCTGTCTTGTTGCATCGGATGCGCTGACGCAGTGTACTTCTATCCAAATGACTATCCACACAGAATCCACTCACTCGCTATAATTCGACTGGTTCTGCGTTTCCTCAGCTACTCTCGTCTGTATCATTATTACATCGTGTCTGTCCCGCTTTGCTTTTGTATCTGCTATAGTCCATCAAGTTCTGATACTTGCTTTCTTTGATCCCTCGTCATAGCTTTCGCTATCTGCATCGTACTATTTCATACCCCTCCTATCGTACGTGACATAATGACATGGACGTGTTGACTTTGACCACCGTATGATCCCGACAACTGCGTTCTCCGGTTCCCTGGCCGGTTCCAGTAGAGGTTGGTCCGTCATCAGCTTGATGGCGTTTGTTGTAAATGAACGGCTTGGCAAGAATGATCTCTGAGCCGCCTCTGACAAAAATAATGAGTGGAGCAGAGGAATCACAAAACGACGGAGGTGTCCGGATGGACCATGCGGCGAGAGGTCGCGGAATGTTTCACAGGAGTCCCAGAAGAGTAGAAGGGATCCGTGCAAACTGACAGATAATAGCAGCGAAGAGTGTCGCGAGCCTTCCCGTTTGGTATGATCATTGCTATTAGCCAAGTAAATCGTCCAGAAAATCTTGCATATCTTCTCTTTCCGGCTTTTCCGGCTTTTGCTCGGTCGGAAGAAGTGGGGCCTCGCTATACACTTTGTCTGAGCAGGACAGTCTTGATTATACCCACATAGAACGTAGATAAGCGTGAAACTTACCTTGCTGCTTGCTGCTCCGGGAAGCAGATCCGCCACGGCTAGTAGGCTTGCCGCGTTGTGTAGCAGCTTGCGCGCGGAAGCGTGTCTTAAGATCTGCGAAACATTGAAAACCATTACATGTGGAAGAATATGTATTATGACGCACCCCACTTCGCTTCAGCAGCAGCCTTCTCTCGCCGCATTTCTTCCAAAGAAGCATCCCACTCGACTTGCTGTACCTTGCCTTTCTTTGAAGGCACTGTGGTTTGGGTAGCTGGTACGACGTGGGCGAGGCTATGATCTACATCTTCATCCTCGTCGGGAGATAGTAGTGCAGAGGGCTGAGCTGAAAGTCGCTGACGCTCAAGGAATGAGGACAGGTCGATGTCAGGCTCCTTTAATTCTTCTCCTGTTGCGCGGCTTAAGTCTCAAAGAGAGCGCAAGGGCTGCATACACACCTTCCGAGTCCAACTCGGGCTCAGGCTCTGCATAGCGGTCGGCGTTCGTGCTCAGCTGCCTCCTTGCGAATTTCTGCTCCAGCTCGCGCTGCTCCTCCTCGTTCAGCTCCGCCTGTTCTCCATCCAGCACCAAGCGTTGTCCCCATTCTGCAGGGCGTCCTCTTCCGCGACCTCGCCCCCGTGCGCGAAGATATTTGCCCAACCCACCGCGAGACTTGCCCCTTCCTCTTGCTCTTGTGGGTGAGCTTCCACTAGTAGTGCTCTGATCTTCCATTTATCTGACCGGTAGCTTCACAGCTCCAGTGAAAGTTCTGAAACGAAACGAGATACGAGGGATAACAAGTTCGATTGAGAGCGAATAAGCGCCGATGCTATGATGAGCGCTAATAGTAATAACCTTTCATGATCCCGATATCACGACCCAACATACGACCTCTAGCGTCGTGGTCCTCAATCCCGGACCACCGGTGCGCATCAATTCAACTAGACATGCGGAAGATGAAGGTCTGGCTCCTCGCAGCTTCTGACTCAACTCAGTGCGACCACGCTACTTACGAGGTAGGCGCACCGACATGAGCTCCAGCTGAGATGTCGTGTAGGAAGGTCTACTTCAAGGCTATGGTAGTAAACTTTTCACTTTAGCAAATTTCCATATAGTAAACAGTAACATACGACTATGCATCTATATATCTTTTTGGATTCCTCTCCGGCGTCTAGCTTTTGAGCTATGCAAGCCCAGCGGGTTTCGAAAACACAATCTGTAAAGCCACTAGATGTTGTGAGGAGAAAGCTCATAAGAAGGTCCATAATACTTGCCCGCCGCACAACCATATGTTGGCAGAGAATCTCTCCTGACTGTAGCGACAGTCAAGGAGCTCGCTTGAATCATACACGATTTGATAAGAATATTGAATCAAGGAAGCTTCGATTGTGGCGCAATGCCAACGGTGCCGAGCACCCCTAAAGTCAACCAGAGTGAACTGGGCCTTTGCGCACTTGGCCTTATGTGCCCTCGATCTTGGTCGTTCTGCAGTTCCCGGGAATGTATGCGAATGTACATGGAAACCGCCCAGGCGACCTACGAAATCCTCTCGAAAGTAATGAGATGTCAGTACCGACAGGGGACATCTGCACCAGTGTACAACTAATGCAGTCGACCCATAAACGCGCGCGAGCCCATTGTCAGAATATATTGAGTAATAAATTGTGCTATGACTCTAGGGATCTGAAGCCTGAGCGCCGGGCGTTGGCGACCACACATGCAATTTCTTGTTCTTGCAACAAGGTGCCTTCAGACCTAGATCGGAGATTCGGGTCTTGTCTTCGTGATGGCGGATCGATCAATCTAAGTACTTCTGTGATCGATCGCGCTGTGGTACGCGCCATGCCCACATTTGGCAGGTGAAATGCTGCGCGCTTTCTGACTGGCCGTTAGCGCTTATGCGCATCGACGAGTTACTAACAGGCAAACTCGAGTGTATTGCACCATCTTGCATCATAGACAGATTTGCTGTAGTTTATAGTCAAATTGCAGCTGTATAGTGTCTGGCCTGGCGACGGGAGCCACATGTCAGCCTTCGCCAACAATCTAGTTTGAGACGTTGGTGGCGCCGGGTGTGAGCCACAGCATCTGATATATCAGTGGCATGGTGGACTCTCTTGTAGCACTCGAGTTTTAAAGACGGGCTATGCCCCAAAAATCAAGGATGTATTCGCGCAGGCTTCCCTATTCAGCTTTTCCACCAGCTCCCATCCTCCTCTGTACCCAGCTCATCTGTCCGCGAATACACCCAATCTGCAAATACTAATACAAACTGCGAAGGTCGAAGTGGTTTTTTAGTCGTGGAATCAGTTGAGTCAATAGCAATGAAAAGTCGTCTGCCCGCGAAATAAGCAACCTGTCGGGCCACATCGGAAGAATCTGCCTCGTACCGGATGAACGGCTTGCTCAAGCAATAGTGCAGGTGCTGCTAGTAGAGCCGCCTCCGGTGTCATGGTTGACAGGCACCTGCTCAGTCTCCTCGGCGGGGACGGGGTTGGCGAGGGCGAAGAAAGCGTCCATTGCGGTTGGGAGGATGACGAGAGCAGTGAAGTCTCAAAGGTAGCGGTTCTCTGGGGTGTTCGAGTCGCTGTTGAGCCATGCGTCGACATTCTATATTTATACCCGTCGGTGAAGTGTTCTAAACAATAACGGGATAGTTCCAGACAGGATATGAAGCATATCCGCCACATCCATTTGCGTGGCCCCTAACCGTCTGGTGCGGTTCGGGTTCATTGCCTTATTGTCTCCCACAGCTAGTCAGTGACTCAAAGGGTTATCAATGCGCCAAGCCCTACTCTAAAGCTCATGCCACACATCCCGTTGACGTTAAGGAGCATCTAAGGAGTGAAATATCTTCTGAGTGAAACGGACAGAACGAAGGCGACATCGCCTGGAGTCTCAAGCCGATGCCACAAATGCGAGACAAGACATCGGTTTGTAATTCGTCGTGCACCGTCTGCCAAGCATATTCAGCGAATTATCCTCCTGTCGGAGACAGCTCTGTTCAAATAATCTCCCTTAGGAGCGGTATACCCAGTTTTGTGCGATATTCGTCTATGGAGCGCCCATGTAGCCTCCATCCCCCTTTGTCAGTACGGCGCAGGATATCCGGATGTCCCGAACTGACAGTCCCACTTGTAATCCGCCCCCGTGGAGTAAACTTTAGAACACTGGGTGACGGTATCTCTTGAAACCTGACTTGACATTTCGTTGAAGGCAAGCTGATGCCGTCTGTCCCAGCAACGCCCTGAGTACTTAGCACGCAATGTCACTACTGTCTATCGCAGAGACACATGCTGAAGGCCACCATAGAGTCGCCGAATGCACATGGATATTTGTGACAGAAACCAGGGGATATGGTCGCGCCAGTCCTCACAGTAGTCAATGTTCGACATCATGCATTCGTCTGAGACAAAGCCACACAACACACAGTCGTGGGTGATCCTACACTCCCCCTTCCCACTCTCCCGACCCTAACCGCCAAGCCACTCGAGCCAAAATCTACTAAACTACACAGCGGAGAACGAAGAAAATCATAATGTTATGCGCGAATCACAGCGCGAACGTCAACGAGCGAGTGTGTGCTTGCGGGTGGAGGCGACAGCAATGGAACAGCAATGAGGCGACAATGGAAGAGCTCTCGCTCCTAGCGGACAAAGGCGCGGCGATCAGAGGACGTCAGCGAAGCTGGGAGCTCCGTGACATACCTAGCGAGCGAGAGGCGCGGATGATGAGGCGGGAGTGTGATTTCCTTTATGCGATGGTGCACGAGTAGTTCGTGGTGCCATTGCCAGTGTCGAAGTCGGCGGGAATCTGCTGCTCGGTCTCCTCTGACGGGACCGGCGCGGCAATGGCGAAGAATGCGTCCATTACGGAGCAGGACGGGAGGATGGGATGTCCGAGAGGAGCGAAGGTGACGCGGATGTCTGAAATGCTTCGACGCTGTCAAAGAGGGGCGGCTGACAGCTTATATACGACCATGCCTGCAGGCAGCGTCGCGCACAGACAATAGACGGGTGCAGGAGGCTTCCCATAGAGAACGGACCAGTCAGCCGCACCGGTGAGTAAATGTTCAGTCTATCTTGAGGCGCCGCGATGATGAGGATCGAGGCAAGGCGGCTGCCTATTGTCTTGGTGGTGATTGAGTCTCGGACAGCAGTTGACTTACTCGTCGGATGCGATCAAAAATATGAATGGATAGGAAGCTAATCGAGATACCGTGTACGCTGCCTATTGCATAGTCTCACACGTGTCCGTGGAAGCGTCATCCCGCCAGGCTGTCAGCCAATACAAGCGCACAACACAGTGGGAGGGACGAAGGTTCGGTTGAAAAAGGAAGGAGAGGGATCCGAGCGGATGAGTCAAACGAACGCGATATCGAGTGCGCACCAGTAGGAAGCGTGCCTGAATGACGCCTTGGTGAGTCCGCCTAGCAGGGCGCAGTCCAGCCTAACGCACAGAACAAAAGGCCTCGGGAAGCTCTTGGTATCATAAGGTGTATGTCCAGGGACGTCAAAGACCACCGAGCCGAGCGCACGTGTCGTGCGGCGTTACAAGACGGCGAGGAGCTCACTCACTTGGGAATGCTTTATTGTGTTGCACGTAATCACGTGCCTCATATCGGAGAGGATGGGACCGAAGTGTCTAGCAGTTTGATCTCGCGGCAATGCGGAGGGAAGCGAGCTCCTGTCTTATTGTTTAGTGGGTATGATCTGGATGCGCATCTGAACACCGAAACATCCCGCGTTTTGGTTGAGGGGATCCGAGCAAGATGCTGACTCTGCCCTGGAACCCGAACTCACCTTACAGTATTTGTAGCGAAGACCAATCTCTTTGATAAGCACAGTGCAGACAGCGGACATGGCATGCCTGTCGACACTTCTTACACGGTTCCTTAAAAGCAGACTATTCTTCGTCGATCAACATGATATGTCGTCCGGCGAAGACAGTAGCGATCGGGACGAAAGCTGAGCACTCATCGTCAAGCTTTGTAAGCCTTTTGCAGACCATTCCCCTGTCCTAGACAACTGAAACATCAATCAGTGGCATCTATGTAGCGAGACGTCGTACCTTGCCAGATCGCGCGACCTGAGCAACGCGGGAAGATACTGTGTCGTGATGACAATCATGAGAGGAGGTTAATAGATGACTTGCGACGCTATTTGAGGTCGTTCATCGCCCTGTTTCAGGGCGGGCTTGTTGGCCGCGATGTTGCGGGCGACAATCAGACAGACAGCTGCACAAGAAATACTTATGTGATTTTGTCGAACTCTTCTGATGAAGTCGGCAGCGTGCTCTGCAGGAGCACGGATTTGATCAACGACTAGAAGCTATGAAGGCTGAATGAGAGCGAGCAGACCGCGAGGAGAAGAGAAAGTGGAGGAGGACATACCAAAGATGGTTGCCGTGACAATTATTGGGAAGCGTCGGCTAGATCCGCATGCTCGGATTGGACGCCTCCTGACTGCATTGCCTCTGCTTTCTACTCAAAGCCAGCATCTGCTCATCGACGTCCCCGACGACGACGCTCTGCTTTGACCGTCACAGCCATTCATCCCCCACGACGACGGCAGCAACACCCCCCCTGACTGCCTGATCCCGCATCGTGGTGGAATCACCGCTCTCATGGCTTTCAACCAAGTTACAGCAACGTCTTTGACGCCTTCACGTCCTGCTCCTGCTGCCCCTGTGCGACGAGCAAATGATATTGGAAATGCTCTCTCATCGTCTGGCTATGCGTCGTCTTTCTCAGTCGGCACCTCCTCTCCGTCCAGCTCCTCTTACTCTGGCATCGGCGGTTCCCCCATCCGCTCCCAAGACATGTACTCAAGCTCGGACGTCGTGAGGAGCGGCATGGTGGGCGTGAAGGAGGACGGCATCGTCAGCTGGCTCTGGAGACCAAAGTGGTTGGTTCTGAAGGAGCAGACGCTATCGATTCACAAGAGCGAAGTGAGTACTTGATTTCGAATCCTCGATTCACAAAGCCTTGTCGTCCACGTTGGATCTTTGAACGGGGCCCACGCATACTCGGAACCGGAGTAGACTTGTTCGGCTGGTCGTCTACCAAGTGTCTGGCGCGGAGATCGTGCGCCTAAAGCCCGTTCTCCGTCGCTGATTAGACAGGGTGCTGAGTGATCAAGCCGCAACTCCTCGCCGTATTGCGGGTTCACTGTCGGGGGACATTGTATTCCCGTAGGTTGTCCTGCACGCCCCATACCGTACCGCAAAGTTGGATAATCCGTCATTCGCGAACGAGTTTGTTCGGACCGACGAGGTTACTCCGCGGGGGTCAGCTGCCCTTTGCGTGTAGATGGATCCAATACCTTAACATGCTACGCAACCGTCGTCCCCGACGTCTCGTAGGTGCCTACTTGATCGGACTGAGAATGGAATACGTCCAACCAGCTTGATTGTCATGCTGTGCAATCATGTTGATGTGTGTAGAGAGTGTCTTCAATGGCGCTCATGTCCACGAGTCTGCGCAATTTTAATCTATGATATATTCTGCTCCGCACTGTACTGAATCTATCACTTTAGTCGTCAGCACAATCACAAAGCGTCGTTCACTTATCAGATATTGCGAACATTGAGCGGACAGACCTTAAGCCATATTGCCTCCTGCTCGAAACGAAGGACAAGCGGATGTTCTTTTCGCTGAAGAATGACGAAGAGCTGTACGGATGGCAAGACGACATATACTCGCGCAGTCCGCTCATGGGCGTCAGCAATCCAACGAATTTCGTGCACAAGGTGCACGTCGGATTCGACCCCGTCTCTGGCGCCTTCACGGTACGCTGTCCCTACTCAAGAGCTATCCGGACTCCTGCTCATGTATAACCAGGGTCTTCCGGACGCGTGGAGTAAATTGCTCACAAAGTCGGCCATTACACGAGAAGACTACGCAAAGGATCCCCAGGCGGTCCTGGATGTTTTGGAATTCTACACGGATCACCAAAAGCGAGAGATGGAGGAACTGGCTTCTTATGGTTCGTCGCATTCCCCTCCACGAAGCAATTTCGGCGATAGCAGCTCGGCAACTCTCTCAGGTTCCACCTTCGGGAGTTCATCAACGCTCTCGCCCTACTCCGACTCCTCGAGTGCACCGCGCTTCAACGCAGGGACCGGTCTTGGCGGCGCGGGCATGATGTCCTCGCTCGACTCCCGGCCACAGGTCAAGCGACAAGAGTCAGCGCCCTCGGGCCTGAACGGCGCTGACAATGTCACCCAGATGTCACCAAGTGCCGCGCTCGCACGGGCGGCAGAGAAGGTGAACGGCTCCGCGGTCCAGCACGCCAACACGATCTCCGCGGCTCAGACAAACATGCGCCCTGGAGTCCCGCCCATGTCCTCCGGCGCCCTCCAGCCATCACGGCCTGCACCCGCCCGTCCGCTCCTCGCCGCCAACCGCGCCGCACCGTCCGCCCCGCAGGGCGGTGTCAGCAAGCCGCCGTTGCCGGACCACACCCCATCGTCCGCAGATCTGCGCATGCGCGCGAAGGCGCAGGGCCCGCCGACGGAGACGCAGACGTCGAAGCCACCAGGGCTGAACGGCGAGACGCGGGACCGGGACCGGGACTTGGACGGACGGCCGAACATGGCCGCGCCAGCGAAGTCCGCTCCCGCCACGAGCTTGCCGACAACGCAGTCCGCAGGTGGTGCAGCTGGTAGTACGGTCGGACCCCCGCCGGTGAAGCCGCTGCAGCCCAAGAAGCCGACGGCACCGACGAAGGACCGCGAGCGGGAGCGCGAGAGGGAGAGGGAGAGGGAACGTGAGCGTGAACGTGAACGTGAACGCGAGCGCGAACAGGAGGGCCCAACCGTAAAGGTCTTCGCGACGGAGGACGACCCCAATGGCGGAGTGGCTGCGGCTGCGGCAGCGCTGGAGAAGCCGAAGGAGAAGGAGAAGCGGATCAGCACCATGAACGAGGCCCAGATCATGGAGAAGCTCCGGAGTGTCGTAAGTAAGGACGATCCGAAGACTTTGTACAGCAAGATCCGGAAGGTCGGCCAGGGGTGAGTTCAGTGGTCATCGCAGAGTGGGTTGCTTGCTGAGACGTGTGGTGACAGCGCGTCCGGACATGTGTACGTCGCGAAGACCCTTACTGCTGGGAAGAAGGTCGCCATCAAGGAGATGGACCTTTCGAACCAGCCGAGGAAGGAGCTCATCGTGAACGAGATTCTGGTGATGAAGGAGTCGCAGCATCCGAACATCGTCAACTTCCTGGAATCCTACCTTGTGAGAAACAATGAGCTCTGGGTCGTCATGGAGTATATGGAAGGAGGTGCTCTTACCGACATCATCGAGAACAATACGTTAGAAGAGGACCAGATCTCTAGCATTTGCTTTGAGGTATGCTCATACTACTCTCTTTGGAGCCGCCAGAGACATTGACGCACTGTATTCTAAAGACCTGCAAAGGTCTTGGTCACCTCCACAGCCAACATATCATCCACCGTGACATCAAATCCGATAACGTGCTTTTGGATGCTCAGGGCCATGTCAAGATCAGTATGTCGTCCTCATTTGTAGTGTATTGAATGCATGCTGACATTTCTCTAGCCGACTTTGGTTTCTGCGCCAAGCTCACTGACCAGAAGTCGAAGCGTGCGACTATGGTCGGTACTCCATATTGGATGGCGCCTGAAGTCGTCAAGCAAAAGGAGTACGGTGCCAAGGTCGACATCTGGTCGCTCGGCATCATGGCCATTGAGATGATCGAGAATGAGCCACCCTACCTTGACGAAGAGCCCCTGAAGGCACTGTACCTGATTGCGACGAACGGGACACCCACCTTGAAGAAGCCAGAGACACTCAGCCGCGAGCTCAAGAGCTTCCTGAGTGTCTGCTTATGTGTCGACGTGAAGAGCCGGGCAACCGCGGACGAGCTATTAGATGTGAGAATCCGTTTATTGTGACGCTGTGGTCATGACGTGCTCAATTGTTTGTCAACTTCTTACAGCACGACTTCTTGAGGAAAGCCTGCGCGCTGTCGGGCCTCGCGCCCCTTTTGCGGTTCCGGAACAAGCAGGCGTCGTAATGAGCTGCTCATGAATGTAGTTGTATGCTGGACGCGTGTGCGCACCGAGATCCGCGGTCTGTTCACTTATTCGCCCGCCTATCCTCCCAGTCTCGCTCGTTCTCCTCTTTCTTGTATCCTGCCTAGTTCTCTCTCCACTAAGTAATATCTATATATCTCGCGGCATTGTTCCTCGACTTCCGACAGTCCCTCGGAAGATCGTATTGTACTCATTTGTCTGCGAGACGCATATTTCGGTTTCTATCGTACATAGTACGTATGCATACAATCGTCGGATGTACGAGGTCGTGAACGTGGTGATCTACGCATATACATAACACAATGAGAAGCGCATAGACGTCAGCCGACCGGTAACGGTGGACGTGAAAAGCCTGGATGGTGGGTATGCATATTACACAATTACACAGCTCATGAGGTAGGGATAACCGCGGTTAGCACATAAATAAGTCGTAGGTCAGGACGCGTGGCAGCTCAGAATCCAAGACATGGAAAGTCGTCAGAATTTACCCATGGCGAGGACGCGGTATAGCGCGTTTGCCTCCTCGAACCGCGCGTTGCGCAGCGTAAAGTGCGCCATCTCAGCCGAGTCGGCGTCGGACGCGGGGTCCACGAGCCCGTTCCTGATAAGCGCATTGTAGAAGCGGCAGAGCTGTTGCAGTGTCGTCACCGGCAGGCGCGCGTGCAGTCAATATGTTTATATGTGAGCGGACATGGAGAGAGGCGATCGAGAGAAGGACAAAGACGCACGTTTTGGACGCCCTTCGAGAAGCGATCGTCGCTGATGTTCCCCTTGCGCTCCTGCCGTTCCGCATCCTCGAGCCATGCGATGCAGTCGTGGATGAACCAGCCGAGCACCTCGATGCGCACGAGGTCCGCAATCGTCGTCTTGCCGCCGGTGGTGACGTCCGGCACGAGCGTCGTGTCGCGCAGGAGGCGGCCGATGAGATCGAAGGAGGCGAGCGTCGGGGGCAGATGTTTCAACACCTCCAGGTAGAGGCTGGAATGCTGGCCGGTGCTGGGTGCCGACGAGAGCAGAGCGGCGAGGAGCGGCTGGGCGAGCGTCGGGTTGTTCATGATCAGGGAGGGCAGGTCGACCGATGTTATGACCGGGGGATTCGTCAGTTGTGGCAGAGTAGGAAGCAAGACCTGAGAAGCCGGTATTTCGTTCGCATAGGTGTAACAATGAGCAGGAATGGGAAGACGTACGCGTTGTTCGGACAGCGTCAGGACCCGTTCACGCGCGGCGAGCAGGAGCGCCATCCCGTCGGATAGTCTTTGTGCCTCTTGATCTCGCTCCTGGGTCATCCGGTCCTCTGAGTGAGTATCGGCATCACCGGTTCCGAATCTGCGGAGACTGCCTCAGGAGCCAAATATGATTAGAGATCGACGAGCAGCATACGGATCGAACTTGTAATCTCCCGCTCTCGGTCTCTCCTCTTCCAGGAATAGGTATGCTGCCCTCAGCTTCGGTGGCAGGGGCGAACGCGCCAGGGTCGCCGGTGAGAACGGACCAAGCTAAGGCGAGATGATTGAGCCGCTTTGGAGGCAAGATGCAACAGAGGACGTACATCACTCCCATCTCCCTTCAATATTTTGTACAAGACCCAAACAAGTTGCTCGCCCTGGCTGACGCCACCGTCGTTCGCCATCTGGATCGCCAGGTCGCGCTCCTTGACGAACGTGGAGAACAACACGGACTGAAACGGATTAATGGACATCGGATGTGGAGCATATAGTGAGTATAGTAGATACGCGACAAGGATCCGCTGCGCGGGCTGCAAAAAGGGTGTTAGCAGTTAGCTCAGCCATGTCATGACGGCTCCGCGAGGAGATAGGACACCGACTTCTACGATGGAATCCAATAACGGAAGCAGCACATCGAGCGCAACCTGAAAGCGCGATGTCGGCTGGACGAGCTGCGTGAAGGCTTGCGCCGCCGTCGAGCACGGCAGGGATAACGCCCGCGAGAGCAGATGGCTCACTGACGCCTTCGCCGGATTGGCAACAGACTGCTTCATCGCAAGGGACGGGACGAAGGACGTTGCTGTCTGCATCATGGGACAAAGGAGCTACACCAGGCAAGGCATCTAGGCGGCGGGCTGCAGGGTTTTGTCGCTGTGGCCAACAGCGAGGGTACGGGGTTCAGGCAGGATGGGCAAGCAGACCCTGCATCATTAAGCGCCCGTGTACAGCAACTGATCGTGCACTCAATCTCTTGCTGCGCCAACATGTTCCCGCGATACACCGTGCTCGTCTCAGCGTTCACATACACCATATTCTTGCCAACGGTTTGTCCAGATAGGTATCCAATTGACTCAAAGACCATTTCTCTACGCCCGCGAACGGCTTGACACAAGTCCATGGATTCTCTGCCCAAATCATAAGACATGCGACACCAGCAGCATGATCCTTCCGTGAGCGAGAGGTCTGAACGTCATGCTCCATCCGCCACAGGGAAGCACCGGATTCTTCTGGGAAGCGCTGGATGCCGAGGGAACATGTGAACGGAGTGCATATCGCACCCACCAGCAATCCGGACAAGCTGACGCATCTCGACATGTCACGAACAAGTAGACGGGGTGATGAGCGGGGAATGATGTCTCGTGAGATCTTGCCAGGCTTGTGGAGCATTACGCGATGTATATAATTGCCGGCAGAGACGGGCAACGACGTGGATAATCTACTTGTTCTTGGTTGCCCTATAGGAAAGAAAAGAAGCAATGAGACATTCATATCTAGAGGGCGTGTAGTACCATGACGCACCTATATGTGAAGCGCTTCTTCGTGATCGAGAATTCGCCCAGCTTGTGACCTACCATGTCCTGCGAAATGGTGACGGGGACGAAATCCTTCCCGTTGTGAACCAGGAATCGGAGACTGAGAAGACAATATGGTTAGCATGTCTACGTGCCACTCGAATCCGTAGGAATTGAGCAACATACCCGACAAAATTGGGCAGAATAGTGCAAGACCTAGCTTTCGTCGTGATCGGGACGTTGTTCTCCAACGCCTGGCGGAGATTCGGAAAGGCAACAAAGAATGGACCTATGTGAACGGTCAGAATGTAAGCGGTGTGCGTCCTATAAAAATAAACAACTCACCTTTCCATGCTGAACGCCCCGACAAGGCGACTGCTGTCGGGACCATGGTCGCACACTCTGGATGAGCTTGCAGGGCAAATTCAGGTCTCGATCACTGGTATACTCACGTGCATGAAATGGTCAGTCCACGTGATCGTGACGCGTCGTGTTCATTGCTTCCCCAACCAGATTTGTTTGCTCGTCTATCCACGCGTCACATCGCGCCACTTCCTATCTTCGGAACTAAGGTAATTCAAGCTGAGAAAACGACATATGCTACTAACCCACTATAACGTTCCAGCTGGGTCCAGTCACCCAAGTTTCCGACGTCGTTATCCATCTCGCCAACGTGCGTTGATCATGATTCATGATTCACTCACTGTCTTCCCATGCGCGCGGGTGAAGGCAAAGGCTCACACATTTAGCAGAGTAAGGCTATACCTCTGCTTTGACGATGGATGTCGTATACGTAGAAGCCATCGAGCTATCCGCCACCATCGGCCCAGATTGGTGGGGTCGTGTTCGTCCACAGCCGATCTCCGTGAGCGTATACCTGCACCTCAAACCTTCACATCTCGATCTCGCGGGCACCACAGACGATGTCGCTGATTCCATCCACTACGGACATCTTTGCAAAAGCATCACCGCCCTCGCGCAGGACCCACAGGCGTCGTTCGCGAGCGCACATGACCTGGCTAGACAGGTAGCGGAGGCTGCCATACGCTTCGCGGGCGACGTCGTGACCTACGTACGCGTTGTTATCGGATCTTCAAAGCTCATTCCTCTGGCGTTGACGTTCGAACTGGAGATGGTGGTACACAATCTTCCGCCATCCGCGTCGGAAAATGCGTTTCCTGCTGGGAATGTACGAGTCCGCGTCAACGGCCTCACATTGGCCACTATAATCGGCGTGAACCCACCCGAAAGGGAGGCGAAGCAGCGAGTGATCACGAACATCACGATTGTCGAGAAGGACGACGCCACGAAGTCTCCAGATTACCAGCAATTGATATCCCGGATTGCCAAGGTGTGTTCTATCACACGTTCGACTCAACGATGTAGACAATGTGTTATGACCGCCTCTCAGGACATAGAAGCCTCCTCATATCTGACCCTGGAGAAGTTCGTGTACGAGATCGTCCGTACTGCCTGTCTCTCGTCACAGGCAGTGGATACGGTCACGGTGCACGCGGAGAAACCGAGCGCACTCTCCTTTGCAAGCGTGTCTGGGGTACAAATAACACGACCGAGAGACGCATTCCTCGGTGAGGGTCGTATCCCATATCTATGTGCATTACCTAAACTCATGCACACACAATTCACAGCAGCTTAGCGCTGGCTGTGCGCATTGATTGCGACTGCGACCTCACCATCGGACTCGCGATCTCTGTAGCGTCAACAAGCTCCGTCACGAACTCGAAAGCCATCCCTGCTACGTAGATCCCGTTAAAGACTCGCGTTGGGACTGTTCTAATGACAAGCTCCGAAGCGCTATCGCTCGGCTTGGTCCTACTGAAAATGTTGGCAAAGTGCTGTTCTGCTCGGCCGTTGGATCGACATTCCTGTACCTTTACACAATTACAAAACTCTACAACATAACGAATCGGCGGTCGGGGTACCCAAGATAATGGAGCAATTCTACTTCTGCCCTGTCATACAGCTCCTTCAGAACTTCATCTCTATTCAACTCAGTTTTGATCTATTTCGCCTCTGCGAATCGCCAGAGGGCGTCCATGACGTGCTCCGGCTCGAGCTTCCATTTCGCTCCCGTTGGTTTGTTGCCGGTTGACACGGTCTCGGCGTTGTCGAGCTCGTTCAGGCGCCGCATCAGCTTCTGGTCTTTGCCAACTGCCAGCACGAAATCGAAGTCCGTTATGCTCTCCGTTTCCGTGGCCTCTGGTGCCAGCCAAGCAGCTCGCGAAGCCAGAGCGGAGTGCGCGGGGCCCCCAGGGTGAATGATCGCGCCGACGGCGGTGGAGCGCGATATATTATTCGGGAGTACGAGGAAGCTGTTTGCGCCTGGAATGATGCGCAAGCCATATCGTTCTCCGAGACTGTCGAAGATATGGTTCTGTGCTTCCGCAGCTTGTCGGCGTGCCCATAGACGGTCAGATGTGGGTTCATCGGGATCGGTCCAAAAGCGCCAAACCACTGATGCTTCCCTCTCCTCGATAAACGACCCAGGGGTACGTTCGGTGAACTGTGTACCAGATCAGAGCTTTTTAACCCGTGACAGAAAAAATGATAAATACGTAGTTGAGAATTTCCATACATGGCGCCTTCCACGTGAGGTTGAAGTTTGTAACCATGCTGAGCCACGTTGACTCTCCACTACGTCCCGGACGAGTCTTGATGAAACATCCGTTTTCAGCGCTGCACGATGTCGTTAATGCTATTCGCAATTGTCTATAAACGCGGTGCACTTACACAATGCCAATCTTGGGCACCGCCTCAGCGACGATGTCCATCATGCCCTTCACAGGCAGACCACTTAGCAGCCAGACATCATTATGTGAGTCTTCTGCGAGCCGGTTGAGGACATCGAGGGCTCCCTTTGGCGGGTTGAATTCGTCTCTACCCAAGGTGCGCATATCTCGCTGCCACATAGTGCCCTCAAAGTCAATGAGCAGCAGCCGCTTCGTGCTGTGTCGGTATGGTGGAAGGACGCGGGGCACGTCAAGTGTGGCTACCTCAACAATGTCTGTTTGAACGTGCTCTAGGTTCGCCCGCAGGCAGCGGACGAGGAAAGAGGTCACAAATGCTTGCGCACTCTGCGTCACGACGTGACTATGCAGGTCCTACAGACGAAGTGAGGAAGGGTGTGTCGACTGCTCACAGAATAACTCACCTCCCATCGCGACAGGGCCTCCTGATCACTCATGGTCAAGGCCTTTCCATGGGATCAATAAGATGAGGAATATCGAGAAAGACAAATAGGCTAACCTGGTGGATAGCCTTTGCAGTCATTCGCTTGTCCCACGGATTGATTGGAATGCAAGAACGGAAGCCACTATAGCTGTACGATCCCGTGAACTGGAAAATAGCTTCAGCGAGCGAACACAGCCACATGTTAAGACAGCCGGACCTCGCTGAGAACCAGTGGCCTATGCCTCTCTTCCTGGCACTCCACAAATTCGTGCGTGCTGGCAATATAACCTGATCGGCACGAACTAGCACTCGTGCGGACCAAATACGACGTACCGGAGAGCCATTCCCTCTCGCAAACTCGTCACCACGAACGCGTCTGCGATGGTCAACAATGCAAGATATTGGCTGAACGTGAGGTCCTGCGTGTGCAGGAAAACCACAGGCTGGTACGTCAAGGTCGAGAAGCGCGAGTTCAGGTGCGATACAACATCCGCGACGCCGCCTTGCGTCTCATTTTCCTCAGTGGTCTGGAGAGCGACTTGAATGAGGACGACCTACGACGAGTGAGTGATACAGTACACAAGAGAAGCGCTCCACATCAAGTGACATACCTTGCCCTGAAACTCTGGGTACTTATCAAGGAATGCCTCGAATGCTTGAATCTTGTGTCGCACGCCCTAAAACTGATGTCAGCCATGCTGGTTTGAAACCACTACAATGAGATCCACCTGAATCCCGTCGAGCTTGTCACGACCCACGATAATCTTCATACCTGCATAGCGCTGCCGGATCGAAGCCATACATTCGGCTACTTCAGGATCACGCCTGCTCGCATTGTCCATGAGCTCCTCGAATTATGAATATTCGCAGCGAGATGCTCACTTCTTCTCGGTCAAGCTCACCACATCGATGCCCATGGGGAAGACACCAACGTCAACGAACCGGTCGTCCACTTGTATGCCCTTGGGCAGCGCCTCCGCAGCCAAGATACGGCTCACCGTCTGCCGGAAGTGCCGCGCGTAGTTCGCTGTCTGGAATCCGATCAGGTCTGCGCTGAGGAGGCCTTTCAGCAGGTCCTCGCGCACGCTCAGGCATCTGAAGATCTCCGACGACGGGAATGCGACGTGCATGAAGAACCCAATGGGAGCCCCTGGCAGCCGTGTACGCAGCATCGTGGGGAGCAGCATGAGGTGGTAGTCGTTCACCCAGATGATATCCCCATCCTGGTACACAGACGCGATTGAATCTGCAAACCGCTGGTTCACTGCGACGTACTGCTTGTACGACTCGGACTCGTAGAACGACTTTGTCTTCGGCGCGTCTGGAATCGCGTAGTGCAGGCACGGCCAGAGCACTTGATGGCAGAACTCGTCGTAGCAGCTCGCAAACTCCGCGTCGGGGATCCAGACGGGCAGGCTGTCGCACTCGTCGCGCATCCGCCATTCCATATTACGCTTCAGGCTCTCGCGGAAACCGTCTGTGTTCGTGCCGAGTGTGCCGACCCAGAGCTTGCGCTTCAGGCGTCCGCCCATGCTATCCACGGCGTTCTTCAAACCGCCATTGCACTAAATAAGTGTAAGGCACGGCTCATAAGCCAACATTCAAAGTTGGCTTACATGTGGGTTGCTTTCGATGTGCCATGGAGTACTGTGCGAAACCGACTCGTGCCTGGTGGACGACAGCGAGCGGCTAGACGTCCGGTGGGACGCGGTCCCGCGCGACAAGCGCCGCTGCACTCTCGTCTGTGCAGCTGTGCTGTTCGAGTGAGTCGTCTGGTGCCGCTTCGCTCCATTCCCATGCCCGTTCACACCGTTGGCGAGGGCCTTCGCGGAAAGTGCATTTACGAGTGATGTCGCTGAATTGCCGTTTGTGTTGTTGCCGAGGGCTCGCGTGGGGAAACTGAACGGGTTGCTAGATTCCGAGCGAGGTGTAACAGCTGGCGTGACTTGTCTCGACTGCAACGGCAAAGGTCAGTAAAGACCAACACATCAATCACTTTGCAGTAGACGAAGGGGGTCATATTGACTTTTGGCACGAGCCACAACGAATGCGAACAAATACAACCGCGAAGCTGCCCAAGATGTCTCGCATGGCGCTCGTATTGTCCTGGAATGTGCGACCGCTAAGTATCCGCGTACCCCGTCAATATCACCTAAGCACCAAGCCTCGTGCAACACTTTGCTTCCGTGGCTTTGGCTCGTAAATGAGGGGAGAATAATATATTGACGGCACCTCATCTTGCGATGTGCAAACCCCCTCTCCCGTCTCGGAGGGATTTGTACCTGACCCGGGCATTGCAAGGCAAGCTGTGCAGTATTCCCCCGGGTTTCGCGATTTCGCGACGTCCCTGGACAAGGTATGCATATGCAGTGACGGTATTCCTCATCGCTACCCCATAATCCGTGCGCGCATTTCTAAGCGCGCCATTCCCGACCAAAGGTTCAGTATAACATGCGTGTCGTCACTTACCTTGTCCTTCAGATCTTCGACTATACTCCTTAGAGGCCCTGCAGGCTTGTTCTGGAGCGTCGATCGTGTGGGAGGGACGGACTGCAAGAACGTCGGGCCCGGAGTACCGACTGCGAGGGCATTCTCGTCTGGGGACGGCGGCGTCGAGTCCCCGATAACTATGGTCGTCGGAAGAAAGAGAGAGGCAATGATAATTCTATGGTGTCTGAGCGAGCTCATCGTTGCCGTCGACGAAGATGCTGAGGAGGAATATGGGGATTTCAGCGCATATAGTCGGATTTTGTGGAAAGAAAGATCAGTTCTCATCGGTGACGTCACATGCACGTGAACGTACCTGCGAAGGAGTCGCCGGTCTGGGTGCTCTCTTCGGACCATACCACCATGATGTTCTCTCGCAATCGCTCAGTTCGTCGACGACGGTCAGATACGCCTCCTCGACGATCCGGGAGCTGTGGAAAAAATAGACGTACAAAATACGTACTTTGCCGCCACCGACGCCGGTTTTCGGGTGAACGTTTGTCAGATCTCTGAGCTCGTGAGCCGAGTTGCTCCTATGAATCGACCAGATGTCCTTGATCGCTCCTCGTAATTACCCCATCGATGCATCCCGTCCTCCTATCGCAGCCAACCGGTGTCATACCGCGCACGCTATGTTTCCCAGATTGGCTACAACCTGTCCTGTAAGCTCACGGCTCGGGCGCTTGGCGAACCGTCGCGAGAAGTCGTTCTTGAGGTTAAGTCTGAGGTTAAGTCTGTTACCTGTAAATCTCATCTCATCTCACATGAAGGGTAAATCCTAATCGCAGTGGATTCAACAACATCGGAAAAGAAGTTGGCATATTCCAGTCGGCGTATCGATGTCGCGAGATAGGTGTTCTTGGTCACCTTGCCTGAGGTTGCGCAGACATGAGCGGTCAGCACGTTTCGCCCATCTGGGCTTCTCCGCTGAGATCCACGCTTGTCCAAGTTCGCCTATGACTCATGGTCCACGCTTTCTCCCTATCTGTCTAGTATTATCAACAGCTCACATCTACGGAACTTTGGCGCTTATATGCGAGTTGCCTTCTGTTATCCGCATACGACTATCGAAGATGACTGCTTTATGGCATACGGGAAGAATTTACCGGGTAATTTGTGATTTTCACTCCACGCGTTCCAAATGCTCACCTCTCAACAAGACCGAAAATGTACTTCTCCGAAGGTCATTGCCGATTAATGCGCCAGAGAAGCAGCTTCGTAGATCCTCCTAGTTCAGAGAGAACGTGCGATCGTCTCCCAGTCCCGTACTATCGGGAATTCTCGGCAAGTATATCGAGGGATGTTTCATTCACGTTTGTCGAGGATCCCGGGTTTGGGTGGCGCGATGCACGTCGCTGTGCAGGCTGCGCTTCTTACCGGCTCGCCGCCTTACGAAGGAGCCGTTACCGCTGGCCTTGCGACGTTCGAAGTCTGTTTGCAAATGGACTGTAGTGACGCGTCCTGATCACGGTGATTCTGCCTATCGGCTGGGGCGTATAGGTGCCGTGTCGAGCAGTCTGGCCCGTGAATGGGTATGTCATAACGGAACGGTCCTCGTCTCTACTGTCTGAAGTAAGCTGGCCTTCTCTATCATGTCTATACAAGTGACATCATTACGAGTATTTAGTCGCAACAGTCCCCCCTTTCGGTGCCTGGGCGTCTACACATCTATAACCAGAAATACTGTGTGGCAGATTTGGTCACTACCTCGCAACCTAAGAGAATGCCAACAATCTCTCACAGTGAGTGGTGAACACGGCAGCAACGGTGGCATACCGCAAGGCGCTGCAGGGACGATATCAGGAGACTCGTCGAATGGCTCGCCTCACGCGCCACTGAGGCCCCTATACGCTCTCTGTCAGATTGTCGCGCACGGGTTAGCCTTTCTATAACAACAATAGTAGAAGATGCGCCACAGATTTTAAGCAGTACTAGACGCAGTGAAGAAGACGCAATGGGAGATGATCCTCGAACAGCCTCGGCCGCCGAACGAGCAGGGATCCGGGGACGGCACACGTAGAATCGAAGTATCGGCAGCCCCTGAGGTGACAGTCCGTACCTTACGGATAGATTCAACTTGACATATGCATCTACTGATTTGATTCCGGTCAAAGCCACCAAGGGTCCATTTCTTCATTGCAGAGAAAGACAATAGCTGGAATACGACACAGCTGTCACTTGTAGAGGGGCTACACACAGCAAAGCGACGGTCCCGCGGCCTCGAAGGTCTCAGTGCGTTTATTGTTACAGGCCTTGTCCGAAGGATATAAGTTCTGTGGGCAGAAGGGTCCAGTAGCGACTCATCCACCTCGAGAACCGCTACCCTTCGAGATTTCGCATTTCTTGCACTCTCCCGAGCCAATGGACGCCTTCACCATTGCTGCACCTGTTCCCTTGGAGGAGACCGAGCAGATCCCTGCCGACTACGATACCGGCAACGGGACGACGAACTATTCTTGCACCATCGCTTGATCTCAGAGCGACTCGCTCATTTCGGTACGGGATCACAGCTGTCTGTGAGGCCGGACGTCGAGATATTAATCACTGTTAAGCAGGTTACACGCGTCGATTTTAGCGTGTAGTCAAAGGACCTTTTGAACTTCTTTGTTTGTTTTATTTGTGAAGATTGGGTGCGCTGAGGCAGAGGGCGCGGGCTGAGAGATGGAGAGCTGCATCATTGCAGTCAGTGTATAGGGGATTGCGCGAATGCATCCATGATTGATTGATTAACATTTGCTCGTGAACATTGATTGAGCGCATGTGAGATATTTTCTGTGTCTTATAATTCGCATGAGAGCCGGATGCTTGTTGGCTAATGAGGCAGCCAAGGCTGCGGAGCAATGCTGTGTGAGCTTCATGGGGCATGGTTGAATACGAGGTCGTCCCTCTGTAATCTCGTTTCTTATTGTTCATCGTGATTGATTCGCTCTCAGCGAACAGAATAAATAAGCAATGGGAGGCCATATCTTGACCGCCAACCTGTGGCGTACAACCTCTCTCGTAGCCTTTTTCTGCGTCTCTTTCCAAGCATGCTCCAACGACTTCGGTATGGGCTTCGCACGCGATATGCTTGGCAAGCATCTGCAAGAGTCTGCAGATCGATGATACGTTACAATTAGATAGATTACTATTCCTCATCCTCTCCCAACGTCTCAGCCTCAGCCTCAAGCTCGCTATCATCTGCGCCTGCATATTCATCTCTCAGCGCCCACAATCCATCCCTCAGCTCGCGCACCTCGTCCTTTTCGACCCCCATCGCGCCCAACACGTCCGGACGCAGACGCGCGCACTTGTCTACGGCCGATGCGTACGCCCCAAAGAAGCGCGAGGTCTGCGGAGTCGTGTGCAGGGAGGAGAGCATGCGCGTCGACGGGAGTCGATTCTGCACGCGTGAAGGGTGGGCTGGCTGTGCGGGCGACGGGGCAGGAGGTGAGGTGAAGAAGGATGGGAAGGAGGTGGGGATAGGATATGCGGGCGCATAAATGCTTCAATACGTGTGACTTGTATGTCAGGGCGATGTCCTAGATCTGGATAGGCATGCATACCTCTGCGGTAATGGCCTCTGGGACTCAGTCCACTGGTCCAGTTGGCGTCGGTCGAAAGAAGAGAACCCACGCGAAACATATATCCGCGCGTAGTCATACCTGTTGACCTGTGAACGATATGTATAACGGTCTGACAGCATGACTCGGCAGCAAAATTTACACACTGTGGCCGGCCTGACCTTGGAGCCCGTAGTTAACTGCACAGAGAAGTCGTGTATCTTACGATCAAAGTCACGCTCAGGCACAAGTGATGGCGGGAGCGGGAGCATCCCAGAGAGGTGAGCAAATCGATTACCGCCACCCCAGTTAAGTGTACCGCAGACGCTAGCGAGGTCTTCCGCGGAACCTTTCAACCTACAAACAGGTAGGAGCTGCGATGTGAGCCGACAGGTTTGGACTTATGGCGAGATTTACCGACCTTAGAGGAAGTGTCACGCTCTCTATGTGAGCAGACAGAACGGCGGACGTCTGATGTGTGCTGTTGCGCTGAAGATAAGATATCAGTCAAGGTTTGGTACAACAGTGCGACTCGAGGCCTACGTTTAACGAAATCCCTTCCAACCACTCTCCTGCTGCCCAAGTCTCTGGAGAGTGGATGGGGACAGTCATTGTAGCAAGCCCGTCCAAACTGTTGATAAATAGTGCGTCGTTCACCACCTTCCTCATAGCGAGATCCTGTAACACGTTGAGCACAAGACGCGGTGATTGAACAAGTCGAAGTTTACATTCTCTGGATCTAGCCCTGAGGAAACAGCGCTTGAGAGCAGTGGAAATGCCAAACATGGGAGCTTAGGAAAGTCGTCTCGGAATGATGTAAGAAATGCATTTGTGAAGCCACCAAAGCTGCCAGTGTCGTTGATCACTTGTAATCCCTGATAATTCAACGTTTGATGAGATACAGAGCAAGTATGGAATGCTACGCGAAACTCGCCTGGATGTTATCACATTCTTCGATAAACTGTCGAAGAGACTCTTCCATAAGATCTGTTTCCTGGAAGAATCGTCTCAGTGTCAAATGTTCTCAAATGTATGGAAGATTCCCCTCTCACTGAGACGTGTCTTTCGAAAACATCCTTCCCAGCATACCAATCGCCCTCTGCACTTTCCCAATCGGCTAGGTCCGGTAGCCGCTGAAGGGTACGAGGATGCAGAAATACACGATTGAAATCCGACCAGTAGCGTATGTCTGTATCGGAGACAGGCTTGACTTGTCCGGAGATCTCTTTGTCTGCATCCTGCGCCTCGTCGTCGAGACGTTGTTGATATCTACTTTTCGGCATGCGCTCTTGACGATATTCCACTACGCCCCCTCCCCTGGAATAGTCGTGAGCGATCCATATTGTTTTGCGCTGCAGGATTGACTATATTACCATGTAGACAATACCTGTGCTGCAGATTCCTCTTCGTCGTCTCCGTACAGGCCAGATGCAGCGGAGAGTGTGCCGAAATTTACTTTGCGTCCGTGTCAGAGGTCAGAAGTCCTACTCGTCGAGTTGGCTGACCTTTGCGGTCAAATACAAGTAGTCGTGGACAGTAAGTCTGGTCACCCTTTGCATGAAAGACATTAGGCATGGCCGTAAACATACATATCGTGGAATTCGAGTAACTTGTCGGTCACATACCTTCAGCGACAATCCCTCTCTGAAAGAGACATCGTGGTCCACTTCAGATTCTTCGCCCTCCTCATACGTGAAATAGCTTTCTTGGGTATTCCAGAAATGAGTGCCGACGTAATTGGCAAAATGCCCTGCTTGTATATAGATGACTTCTTTCATCGCCGCGGAGGGCGCCTCGTGCTTGCACGGTTATCTAGCTTCAGAGTGTCGTGTTCCCAGAACCAACTGAATTGTATGCAGAGTTGGAACTAAGCTTGTGAATTGTTTGCTGAGCTACAAGTTTGGCAGCAAGGCTGCAGAGCAGATCTCGTAGATCTAGCGAGGTCCGCTATCGGCACGGTCCGCCCGATCGATCGTTCCACGGTACTTAAGTTACTGTATGTACCCCAGCCTCGGCCTCTCAGCTTGCTCTGAAGTCTATCCAACGCCGAATAACTCTGGGAGCTCTATAGACGCACTTCCGCTGAACAAACACTTCCGCTGACTCGGTACGTTGCGTCTTGAATAGCATACCCGCAGCGCTGACCGACCCGTGGATTTGGTAGCAAGATGTACGAAGCTCCGTACTCACCATACGACTTCACCGATAAGAATAGGTGTGGCAAGGTCGCTCATACTATTTCTTAGTGTATATATTGATGGTGTATTTTCGTGACATAGCTTTGCGTGGGTTCTTCATCGCCCACCGTCCTTTCATGTATTGATCTGAAATTCGGAATCCTCAGCTACGAGACCGTCCTGAAGCGATGGCCGATCATCCTCACTAATATCATCGACACAATATATCGCCGTAACCATGATTTTAGCCTTGCTATAGCCGAGAAGGACCCCTCGGGCGAGGATATGAGGATCACGCAAGCAACAATAGATGAGGGTAAAGCGATCATCGAGAGAATCGGCAAGCTCAAATACGAGATGGCAAGAGACCGACCTCTTGAGTGAGTTAATAAATATCACACTGAACAATTTCTAATCGAGGATGTGCATTGGCGCGGCGAAATCGAAGGCCAATACAAGATGACGGCGAGCCGCAAGTAGAGATTTACAATACAGAACTCACTAAGCTCACTGAACAAGGCAAAGGGTCCTGGTTCCAGGTACCTTGGCTCTTCTCCGAGTAGGTTGACTTCTCGTGGCCTTACGCGTTTCTCACTCATCCCTGTCAGGTGCTTCTTGTTCGTGATACATCTATGGCATATGCTGCCTTGGTAACGAAATTACAGGTACCGACTGCTCCGCTCGTATTTCGTGCAGTCGACGCACTGGAAGTCTTATGACCCGTTCCTACTCCAAAAGCAAGATACATTCAAGAAGAGTTCCAGGGCAATATTCCGTGAGTGACGAATGTGTACCATGACGCTTTTGGAAACTCCCAGCCGTGCCAATGGCATTGTGAGCCCTAGAATACTGATCTTATTTCTTTAGAGCTGGCCACCACGATGCACGAGCTTGAGCGCGACAAGGAGAAGCTCGCCGCGGACCCTGCTAACTTAAACGTGATATTCAAAGAGATGATTCAGATTTGTCTATGGTGCGAACAGCGTTCCAGAACAACTCACCCGTACACTGACTCTAGGATAACGCAGGGGGAATGCAACAGTATGGACCTTTCGGTGCTAAGAACGGGCATATTGACTAAGTGGACCATATTGTAATAGGACCTTTCCATGCTGACACATTTGTCACATGATGACATCCAAAACCTGCAGTCCGTTGGACGTGATGCACAGGCCGCGCGCTCGGAGTACATCCTGACAGACGACCAGGACAAGGTCTGGTCGCACATCACGGGTCTCAAGGATGGGCAGGTCGACTTCGTCCTTGACAACGGTGCGCACAATCCGCCATCCTAGACTGGTCGTTTACTCCGGGTCTGCGCAGCTGGATTCGAGGTGCGGAACTACCTCTTGGCACAACAATGCTATCCTGACAAGTCTTTACTACGACAGCTCTTCACTGACTTTGTCTTCGCCGATTTCTTGGTCACCTATACGCCCTACGTCTCCAAGGTTGTCTTCCAGTACGCTTTCGCTTTTTCCGTGCTATCATTGCCTGGTCCGCCTTGACGCGAGCGACCCGTAGCCCGAAGCTGCTCCCCTGGTTTGTCTCCGACGTGACGCCGCCGGATTTCAAGTCCGCGATTTCCTCTCTCCTCTCGCCTGCCTTCTTCCCACCCGAGTCAGAGGCCCAGACCACCGCCCATGAACAGAGCGAAGGGGCGATCCCGACGCCCTCAGAGCGTCCCGAATCGCGCACGCATTTAAGGGAGATGGTCACGCGGTGGGCGGGGTACCTCGAGAACGGTGTGTTCGCACTATCCGTTCCGATAGACACGCCGCTGGGTGCGTCGGACATCAAGGTTAGTGTTTGTCGAAAACATATGATGAGGCTGAAGCACAAACACCGGGTCCCAGGCCAATTTCTGGACGTTACCATATCCGTACTGGAACATGGCGGAGCTCGGCCCTGAAGTGTACAACGGGCTCAAGAACAGTGGACTCGTTATTTTCAAAGTATGTCCACATTCATATCGCTGCGCCCGTGCCAGACTAACGACCCCACAAGGGAGACCTGAAGTACGTTATGTATCCATATCCACACCTTCCACACGCAGCTGATGATCATGCTTGCCAACCAGCTTCCGGAAGTAAGACACATCCATCGCACCTCATGCTTCGTTCCCGGGCGCTAATTGCCCAATTTTTCCAGATTGACGGGAGATGTGAGGTGGCCAGCGTGGACGCCCTTCCGCGAAGCACTCGGTGCGTCCATTCCCCATCGTCCTGGCATCATATACCCATATTCACATGTGTTCTTCATTTTCCCGCCATGCGGGGAATGTACCACACTGATCGTCAAATGCATCTCTATTGTATGACATGCGATCACTGACACTCATATGGACTCATTATCAGGCCCACTCGCTGGATCTTTTCCCATTCTTAGCCTCCGCACGAACAAGGCGGACGTCGTCGTTGCTGTGGACAAGGAGAAGGCCGACAAGCTCGATAAGAGCGGGGAGCATTGGCGGTACAACGGAAAGTGAATATGTTTACACGCCCTCCGCCTTCCCGGAATTATAACGCGCCTCTAGGTATGCATTAGTGCTCTTCCTGCCGAGGAGCCAGTAAATGTAGCAGCGGTGGACTAGAAACTGACAGACAAGACAGAATTGAAGAATACCACTTTCGTTGTAATTTAGACACATCTGCCTAACGATCATGATGGTCGTGAGGGTAGATTTGCTTGAGTGCAATCCATCTCGAAACGAGGAAACATTTCCTTACTGCAGTTGCGCGCATGCTTCATCATTGCTAGATAATACCGCTGCTAAGAGATGCCGCCTCACTCTGAGGTTCCATCTACATAAGAGGAGCCCATGATGATGTTACGGCTGCCGTTGAGAAGCAATTCTGCACAAATGAAAGTGATTGACGCACATTGCGAGTCTCATGAAACGATGCTGACCTACGGGATAAGTCTTCCCTTTAGTGCGCGGGTTGGTCCACTGGCATGTTGTTGATCTTGCCGTTTGGCATTCATCTCAATTGAACACTCTCATCATGTCATGATGCTGTGGTATAGGTAGTACATGTAGCTATTCCACGCCAGGAGGATAATCGTTGCGGTGCTCCTAACAAGGTCAGTGGAACTTTGACACTTGCCATTTCCGTCGCAGTCAATGTGAGATGCTCGGGAGACGTCCCGCGCCGGCGGTGGCGGAGTCCCGTCTGCTAACAGTCAACGGCTCTCACATCGTGACCACCATGATCGCGACTGCCGTCGCCCCCCTCGCCTTCCTCCTCGTCACCCCGCATAGCCCTGCTCTCTTCGCGCAGGAGTCATGCCTCACCACATCATACCACGGGCAGTTCGGTCACGACAGCGTCTTCCTTGTCAGCGATGACTGCCTTGCCTGGGCAGGTGACTTCCTCGAGGGCGGGAGCGTGGTACCGCTCGAGGACATGCAGGGCCAGCAGCTCGTCTGGCTGGAGCACAAGGCGGTCGATGAGTCACTCGTAGGCTCATCCCTCGATGAGATAACGCAGTTCATCGCTGGATTGCAGCATGCGACTCCGGAGGCCGCTATCGTATCGGGCGCGCAGCAGCAGCACGTCTTGACCAACGAGCGCCCCGCCTGTCTCGCTCTGTCCCGTTTGCCCTCCGATGTAGTACTCGCCGTACCCTCGTCGCTCGCGCACACCATCGACGCTCACCTCCCACGCTTCTGGAAGGCGACGCCAATCCCTTCTGCACCCGTCTCCTATGTGCCTGTCCCTGCGGACGCACGCGCGCGCGTGCGTGAGCTGCTTGCGTCTATCGCGTTTGACCCCGTAGTCGCGTCGGTCGTCGGCAACATCTCTGTTCCGGTCATGCAAGCAGACGTACGCTATCTCACGGGTGAGGACCCCAAATCCGGGCTCGTCTCGCGCCACTCGTTTTCGCAGGGCGCATTGGATGCGGCCGACTGGCTGAAGGAGCAATTCGAGAGCACTGGCGCGACGTGCGAGCTCAAGCCGTTCCTAGATGGCTTCGCGCCGAACGTCATCTGGTGCGTGATGGCCCGCGTCGTCTTAGGCGGTCCCCTGACGTGAGCCTGTGTAGTGCGTACGAAGCGACGGAGGACACGACCGAAACCCTGCTCCTCAGTGCGCACTACGACAGCCGCGGGTCGTTCGGCAGCACGCGTGCGCCCGGCGGAGACGACGACGGATCGGGGACGACGGCCCTTCTCGCGATCGCCCGCACGATCGCCCGTAAGGGCATCACGTTCCGCAAGAACGTGCAGCTGTGCGCGTTTGCGGGTGAAGAGCAGGGTCTGCTAGGATCTAAAGCATACGCTCGTGAGCACTTATTGCATTCGCGAGTGCGGCTACGAATACTAACTTGATCCTGCAGGCGAGATGCGTGAGAAGGACGCGGATCTGACGCTAATGATCCAGGCAGACATGCTCGCATACCATGCTGCCGGCGAGCCCCCGCAGCTAGGCCTCCCTAAGTAGTGAGATAACACGTTCATGACGTATGAATATCTACTGACGGCAATGCAGCATCGGCACGACTGAGGTGGCCGAGCTCGTGTCCAACCTGTCCGCTATCTACAGCCCCGAGCTGATGGTCGGCTTCACATCGGTACGCATGACATGTGATGGATGTGCGAAGGCTTCCTCATTATTGGCATTGCTCTGTAGGCGTGCTGTAGCGACCATCAAAGCTTCCACGAGCAGGGCTTCCCTGCAACCCAGATCTTTGAGCGCGCAGGTCCCGTCGCGGATCCTATGTACCATAATAGCGGTATGTATCTCCTGCTATACTTTCTCGAACATGTTCTGAGAGTTTCACCATGGTGCCAGGCGATCTGAGCGACCGCCCTGGATATGACTTTGAGCAGCTCAGGTCAATCGCGAAGGTTCAGGCGAGTAACTCGTTCGTGTCATCCGGCGGACATACTGAAACCATACCAATTGCAGTTTGCAACATTACTGCACGCAGCGGGCTTCGATCTCCCAGAATAGACGGATCATCGCATTGCAATTTATGCTGCTTTCGGGCATACATTTGTTTAGATATAGTGGAAGGAATGGACTCGGTCTCAATTGTATAGCTATCTTGGTTCATTTGTCTCCACGCCTTGGATCTAACGAAAGTGACGACTTTACGCCTTCCTGTTCTATTCCGAGGTTGCCGCTAATCTGACTTCTGTCTCTTTGGCCTGCCAACAACATGTCGGACACAGATCATGTAAGCAGGATACCAGAACAACGCAGTGTTATTTGTGGCAGTACTCATCAATGATGTCTGATTGAGCAATGGAATGTCTGTGTCTCACAACGAAGTCATTCAACAATCCCACGCTATCCACCTCGGAATGTGTACCATGTCACGGACATCGCAATGCACAGTTACTTTGAACCTTGAAATGTACCGCAGCGTGTTCAGTACCGGTGGTGGTAAAAAAGAGGTGCACGCGGCCATGGATTTGAGAATGTTTGCTCAGCCATGAGGACGACATCGCATAAATCAACGAAAGGTGCCACTGCATGCCATGATCCTGTCAATATCAGGATGGGCGTTGCTGTAGGTGTCTGCAACATTGACATTTCCTGCCGAACATACAACAGACACATATCAAGACACATGTCTTAGCCTCGGCGCTCTCTTCAGTACATATCATGTGCGGATTCGGAACGAGCTAGCGAACAACATGCCTTGTGTACCACCGGGGTATGACCACCCAACAGGGTCATATACGCCGAGCGGTCGAGTTTCGCGAACGACCTCGACTGATTGAGTTGGCTTGCGCGCATCGCAGGCGGCACTGCACAACGCATGTCCTGTGAGCGCGCGCAAGTTCCGGATGCAGTGGAACGTCTCAACTGCACGCCCGTGTGCGATGTGAAATCTTCAATCTACGGACGCAATATTAACTGACATTAAGATCTCCACAGCATGGTCATGGTGGTCGCAGCCAAGTATAGCTGGTGGGCCCTTGGAGAGTCAGCGCCCCAGCGAACGTGCGATGCGGCAGGGGCTTATCTCACACAGCAGGGGAGACGTGAGCTTGTCAGGCTGGAGACACTCTCGTGAACCCTGAGCAAGATACAGCATTATCGGAACCTTATGGGCAAGCCGGCGAGAGCCGACGATGGCAGCACTAGAACCGATGTCAGAAGCAAACAGCGTGGGCTGCCGTGCTTCTTGTAGTACCACTTCTCCCATATCACGATGGAGTCGAGAATGGGGCACAAGTGTATGCATCTGCATAGTTCGCCGGGGCTCCCACAAGAGTGCTGTTCCGTTTGCGATGGCGACAAGGCAGAGCGCGCACTGCAGGTTGAAACTAGGACCATCGGCATTTCCCTAAACGGGAGAGGCGCACAAGAGGCCAGGCTCCTTCCCGCCGTCTTCGGGAGGTGAGGGGGACTTCATTCGAGGGCGGAATTCATGCTCAGTCCCAATAGCTTAGGGAAGATCATATCTTAGATCCCATCACACATGTCACGTGCGTTACCCAAATATTCAAACTCCACAATCTTAATCCCCCTCACCTCCCTGTGACGGCTGGCACAAAACATTTGTAAACAGCGGCGCTTGGAGCCGGACTTCCTCCATATAGTATGAGATCACGGCCAAAAACTAAAAGCGGAGAACTAAATGTCATAATATTTGCTCTCGTCAAAATGAGCATCCAGCTGCGCTGCCTTGAAAACAGAGTTAAAGAATGGGTGAAGATGAACATGTTTGCTATCTGCAATGCCCCTACACAAGCCCCTCCTGCCAACCATCGGCGCTATCCAAAAGAAGACATTTGCAAAGCTGGGCCATGACCCTTGTGAATGGCAGGTGATTGAAGGTTGCACGCGAGATCCAAAGGATGCCATATGCGTTGCACCAACCAGCGCAGGCAAAACACTCACTGGGTTGACCAATGCTCTGCAAATACCTCGAGAAGCTGCGTGAGAACATTGACGTGCATGGCTCCAAGACACGGAGGCAGCGCGTGACGCAACGGCAGGGCTAGAGCACGCGTCGTTGGACTATAACAAATAGGACGAGGACCTCAGTGCGTGCTCGGATACGATGCAAGACTTGTATTTATGCATACCTATAACAAATAGGACGAGGACTACAATGTACGTGAGTATGTGTAAACGAGAACAGAACAAGCTAAGTACTCACCCTCAGTGCGTGCTCGGATACGATGCAAGACTGAGCGTGCAGTCGCAAATGCGAGCGTATAAGACGGCGAGCAGAAACGACAGGCACAAGGTACGTGACAGGTACTATCGATGCGCACTGATGCTGCGCATGCATGCGCATGGCGGGATGAGTGCCAAGAAGGGGCAGCGCATCAGCGCGTAAATAGCGTAAGGTAAAACAGGGCGATACGGAACGGTATAGTAGCCGGAGAGCCAGCGCGAGAGCGTACGTATGGATTATCTGCTCCAACAGCGCGTTCCAATGTGTCTCGGACGCGTCGCGTTCTGGCTCATGCGATCGCGTTTATTATGTAATGTAGGTAGCATATTTTGTCAAGCGCCCAGTCGCTCAATCGAGGCGACTGCCCTCCGAGCACCGCTGTTTACAAATGTTTTGTGCCAGCCGTCACAGGGAGGTAGAGGGGATTAAGATTGTGGAGTTTGAATTTGCACGTGATGTTCACATGACATTCACGTGACATGTGGCATCAGTTCTAGTTTAGGATACAGTACTTAGGATGTAGCATGAGTACCACCGTCGAATGCAGCCCTCTTACCTCCCGAAGACGGCGGGAAGGAGCCTGACAAGAGGCGCGTTGATTGGAATGATCCAATTTGTACCTATTTGTACAAGCTACCGTGAATGATGGTAGGACCCCGACCACTCCACTTTGCTCTTGAAGTCTAAAACCCTGCCTCAGACATGTAACTTCACGGCTGTTACAACACCTTGGCCAAACGTTTACGTTTCTGTTCTCGCTTTAGCCTTACATTCAATGGGCTAGCCCTGGGGCGCATGACTTCAGTCTATACGAAGGCCGGCGGCCAGCCAACAGGCAGACGTCGCAACGATTGACCCCAAGGTGCTCCAGGCCTATGGAAGTAAGGAGGTATACATAATCAGTTCTCGAAGAGTGTGGATAAATTGCGCGGAGATGTACAGCTTCTTCAGTCTATTGGAACCCGAGAACCTCTGAGGTTGCCCGGGTCCTGTGATGATGATCACTCCCAACACCGCCACAAGCTCAGGTGGCTCTCACATTGGCAACGCATCAGAGCCCTCCGACATCTTCTCTTCTTCGAGCTACTCTTATATATGCCCGCGATGCCATGCGCTTTGGCTTCTTCCCTTCACCCCCTTCCTTCTATCCGTGTGTTAGTATCGACCCGTCCACGTGGCGTGGCCTCGTCCACATATCTTCTCCCGCTCTCCTGCGGCATACGCTTGTTAAATACGACTCACGACCTTCCGCTCGCTTAATTGATCCGCCATGTTCGCACTTGCAGGCAAGCTATCTATTACGAGAGCCAAGGAGCTGGTACGTCTATACCCATTCCATTGTTCCCCGCAATGACCAACTCGTGCAACGCATCCAGTATTGCAGGCTCACACTCACGCGCATCGGTATCATCTTCCTCGTCTTGACCTGCGTACACTGTTTCGCCCTCGGCGGCATTCAAGTTGCGCTCCTCCTCGGCGATATCCGCGCGTTCTCGCTCCTTGAGGACATTGTCTACACTGCCCAGGTCCCGCTGGACGCAGTTTCCTTGCTAAAAATAAGCCATGGCGAGTATACGTTGATGCTATGTACCGAGATCCCCGTTGTTGCAAATGGCGTGTCCTCGTGTGAGCTTGTGTACTCATCTGTGGGCGTCACAACAACTTCGACCTTGCCGAGGCGGGAAGAGGATCCGGTACGTAATCCGGATCATCCAACGGGCGACCTGCTAACGGCAACGCAGCTCTCTCATGATGATCTTGCTATCAATGTATGCGGATTTGGCATAATATGATATAGCTACTAACGCAAGAAATACGAAATTCAGTCACTCACGCGTCGGACGCTCCAAGCAAGTAGCATCGTCTCCTCCAAGAACAGCACAGGCGGTGTTGACGGAGTCGACATGACTTACACCGAGGGCGGCAGCAGCAACACAGTGTTTCTCAGCCAACAGTGTGCCAAATCGGTCATATACGCTGGCGAGGTGTACGTGGTTGGCTGTTGATCGTAATCCACATAACCTGACGACATTTCCCCCAGCATGGGTGCCTATAAGTACGAGGATGCTGCACTCATAGGCGCACAGTTCTGGCTCTTCGTTATATCTATTATAGCTGTGTGTATCTATCTATGCATGAAACCTACCTGGGCTCACTCTTTCCCTGGATGTTAGATCATATGTAGCTCCATCCCGCAAATGTAAGCCCGACATTCAGTCAACCAGCGGTGCAAAGCTCACCGTCCATGCTCGGATTGACAGCCTGGCGGTCTCCTTCACGCGCGTGGTGGCAACAATGTGGTCTGCGTATTCCGTCTGGCACACGCAACACTACCGGTCGAATTTTGAGCACATTATTGTCGCGCCGGACACCCCGTGCCACTTCAACTTCTTTCCAACACACTGGAAGATGCGCACGGCGCTCAATGTGCGCCATGACTTCAGCTTTGACAGCGCGTGATTGCTCATCTTGATCATGATCCACAGATTACTGACCTGGTGCTGAACATCACTGCGCTCGCCTTCACTGCCTACCTCGGGCGCAGACTCATCAAAATGTACACTGCGTTCACCCTGCGACGTGTTGGCCCACCCCCGGAGGTTGTGCGCATCTATCGCGTATGCTTGTATTCTCTTCATTTGCAATACGGCTCACCTGACCAATGCGATCCCAGTGGTTCCTGGCGCTATTCGTGTGCCTGCAGCTCTCGCTATTCTTCACAGTCTGCGCGATTGGGCTGTGGATCACCTGGCTAATGCAGGGCACGATCGGGAAGATGACAAACCTTACAAATGTATATACTGCCGTATTTATTGCTACTGTAGCGGTCAGTATTTCTATTTATGTTCCCGACCGGCGCCGTATGCTGAAGCATCTAACTCGCCAGACACTCCCCCCATGGATTGCACTGGTATGCGGCCTCGGGAACCTATCAGGTATACAAGCTGATGCGTGGTCGAATACAGGGCTGGTTCGCAGTGCGCCGCGAGATGAAGCTCGCGATGGGACTCTTCCTAGCCCTCTGCTTCACATATATTGCGGCGTGGTCCGTCATGTTTGCCTCACAGGTTTACCGCTTCACGTTCCTGCAGTGGGAGTTCTTCAGTAGCGTGACTGTCGTCTCCTTCCTCGTGCTCATCTCCACCGGCGTCTTCGGCGTGCTCTGCCGTATCAACTTTGGGCGTGGGCTCGCACATTACCGTGAGTGCTACCTTCGCTCGCCGCCTTCGTGTACAATTGTTAAGGGGACATCGGCCTGGGTGCCGATACAGTGCACGTTGAATCCGTCCTCGCGCAAGAAGACTTCGCGCCGGAGGTGTTCCCAAATGAGATGGAAGCCCCTAAGCGGGTGTTGCGCGCGAGCATCGGAAGCTCACCGTCGTCAACGCTGAAGCGGGACATCAACTGGGACCCCTTCCAAGCAGACGGGCTGGACCATTCGCCTGTGATTGTGATCGACCTGAACTACGAGCCGCAAAAACCTGTGTAGATGACCAGCTATGCAACATTCGGAATGTGATCATCGCTTCTGTGTACAGACGACGGCTTGAGTCCTATGGCGAGAGCTATCGGGAGTCTGTCAGGTAAGAGTAGAGCCAACAGCTGGGCTCGCAATGAAGCTGGGTACTTAGCGTGCATGTTGGCGAGCAAGCTCTGCGATATCCGATCGATCGTCTTGTGCTATCGCCGTCGACGCGTCAATGCGCTGACATGTGTTCCTGGTCCCTAACGGCTCGATTCGCTAGCGCAAAGCTGACGGACAAGCCCTGTGCAAACAGGGACTTGACTCATTGTTGGACGCGCGACTGAAGTCTGTGAGTCTTTCATAATATATCCTTAGCATATCTAACCTGTACTAATTCACGGCGAAACGATTCGCATTAGGTAATGGAAAGAAAAATTTACCATTCAACTCGCATTCGGAGTCCGTTCGTCCTAGATGCCGCTTCGTCCATCGTAAAGACTTGGATGGATTACACCTTGCATGCCATTGCGCGCAGAAACCGGGACATCCCCGACTTTCCTGATGGTGCTCAGGTCTCAGGCCTGTTCGACGTCCCTAATCCGTCCAATTCATTCAGCAACGTCGGGGCATGTAAATTCCTCACTTCCGTCAAAGTGCTGTTACGATGACAACTACTTGATAAGTAAAGCAAAGAGTCTCAAGTTTTGAATGGTCGAACGAAGAAACTAAAGTCAGAGTAATCATGTCGATCATGATTCACGCTGTTCATGCCACTAGAGGTCGAGGAGCTTCACATGGCGCACAGCTATCTGGGCACGTGGGTGTCCGAATCGTGCTGAATGCTCGAAGGCCTTGTAGTATGCACTGCCCGCCAACCCGCAGAGCGAAAGCTAGCTACATCTCGCTTCATGCGAGGTCTACCGGCCACTCGTCCGAAGTCAATGTACCAAAAACACCCACCAGCAGAATGTACCGCTTCCACACCCTATCTCACGAGCTACCAGTGTGACACTCTAGGTGTCACGTTATTCATGCCACTTTTGATGGTTTCCACATTGGGTTATGCGGTTCTGACCAGGCAGTGTGGGGAATATTATGGCATGAGGTTGTGCTAGCACAGCCTTGTGTACCTGTATCCTAGGAGCTGGTACATAAACTCTCGCGTGCGCAAGGAACAGCTAGTATCTGCAAGTCATGACTTTCTCGGACTACAAGTCATCTCAAGGTGTGATTCTCAACTTTACCGCTGGTTTTTATGCTTATGATATCGTAGCATTGCGAGAGATATTGCGACGCCATGTCCGCACAACCCGCTTACCTCTCGAGGTAGCAGAAATGGTCATCGATATGTGCAGCGACCGCAGTACATTGCTTGCCTGCGCCCTTACATGCCGGGCTTGGCTACCGCGTACTCGCTACAACCTTCTCCGAATAGTCGACATCCATGATCACCGCCAACTCGCATGCTTTGCACAATTCCTTACGAAGAACAAGGCATTTGATGCGCTAGTCGCCGAAATATGCATACACCTGCCGCCCGATGATCCACGTATGCTGTCGCTCTTCCCAGCCCTGCTTGCACGGAAAGTCACGAAATGCACCCGCTTGCACATTCTCCGAGCATCATCCGGGCCTCCTCTACAGATCCACCCAAGCACCGGATTCTTCGTTCTACTCCCTGAGTTCAGTCACATAACAAAACTCATCTTGACAAGCGTGGTGTTTTCCTCTCTTACGGAGCTCACCAGCCTGGTCTTATACATTCGTGGGCTGCTCGACCTGCGTTGCACGGATGTTCGCTGGGAACAACTCCCTCCTCCTGCGGAAACTTGGGGGTGCCGCGCGCTGGCAAAGGGGTCGGGGCTCTTGAGGATTGATCTCGACATGCAACCAGAGCTTCTGAATCAACTTTCCCTTCGGCTGGTTCATTTGCAGCTCGTGTCTAGGGTCGAAGTTCTGCATGTCACAAAGATCCAGCCCTGTCTGGACGATACAATCAACATCGGGTACCTTTTGCAAGCTGCGCGGTCATCTTTGCGCGAGCTTCACATCGGCGTCATTGATCCACCAGATTTCGAGTCAATCGTAGCCACTGTCCAGTACGTCTCTGATGGCACCACCGATGGGCCTGGACGAAGGCTGCAGGGAGAATGGGAAGCCAGAAGTAAATCAAGAAACTGCTATGTGAACCGTCAGTATTCCTGCGAATTATGTCGTAGTGAACCGTACTAAAAAATGCCGCTTACAGTCAAGAAATTGATGCTTTGTGACTTGATGAGCATCTCTTTGTTCCACGTTGCATTTCACGCAAGTGACGCGTACGTCTCGCTTCTCAACGAATCAAGCCGGGGGGCATACCGACTGTTTCAATTCCACGCCTTACTGTGTCAAATTCAATCACGATCGATGCAAGTCATTACAGTTGATACCCACATTACGTGGGGCGGCGGCAACGGCTTGCCCATCAATCCAGTCTTCTCAACCCAGTTTTGGCGTAGAGTGGACGCGATCCTCACAAAGCACAGCTGCGCAGAACAGCTGCGCTCGTTCACTTTGAAGGCGTATCCGATACCTTCACATCGCTTGACCAAAGGAGGCGGGCTGGGGCAGTACATGAGCAGGACATCTGCAATGGGTGTTACGGTCCTCCTCGACAATTCCACACGTCCAACTATACCTCCTCGAAAGGTCTCAGATTGGCCAGAATTTTGGGACGTGGAGATTCGATCCGAAGCTGAATTTTGCGGTAACACCACTGTGAGGAGGTTGTACTGACCGCAAAGTTCGCATGTCCGTGTCTATATAAAGATCATCATTGCTGTATTTCCATTCAGGCACATTCTCCTATACCGCGAACCCGTTTGGCTGTGCGACCATCTCAGCGGTAAAACGCACCCGCGTCTGCTCACAGGCGACAACAGGCGCTGGCATCTGTGTGGACCATGTAATCGTTACCGATATGCCAACGGTCGACATACTATATTGGCCGTTGGTGTATTGGTGGTAGCTGGGCGACGTATAGGTAGTATAACCTACCATGTATCTAGTTCGGATACCAGTGTTCCTGATTGAGACTTTCCTTCCTTCCTCATGCATAAAGGTCGATTCTTATGTATGCTATGCCTTACATTTGTAGGGCGTGCCTTCCAATATTTCACCAGCCCTTCCGTCGATGGCGGCGTCAACTGAAATGGGCGCATGTTACGGCGAGGCGACCAGCAAGCACGCGTTGCAGAGACAATGCAGCACACCTTCAATATCGTTGTTACGGCCACCACGATAGACCACATACGTCATGAGCCAAGAACGTCACGTTGACATCCACCATACACCCAAATTGCCTTAAACGACGTATGGGTATGCATTTTTGATCTCAGGTACGTGTGCGAGCCCTGCACACCCGCCGGCCTGTATGCATAGCGCCAGATCAGTGGCGACGTCCAGGCCTTCGTAATACGCCCCGTGCAGGAAGCCTATGTCGAAGTCGCGTCAGCTCCCACCGCCTGCCTCAAGACTTGACACCTGGACACGCACCGAAGTACTTGATACTCGTCGCCTCACCCGCAAACCACAGCCGCTGCTCGACGGTCGCGCGCAGGTTCTCGTGGTGCCCGCTGAAGAACGACGGCGGCCAGTTCGAGTAGGACCCGCGGAAGAGCGGGTTGGTATGCCATCGAGGGAAGTAGAACGCGGTCGGCTCAGGGATTGTCGTGTCGGGGTACATCGCGCGGAGCACCTCCAGCACCTCCGCTTGCACGTCTTCGTCGGAGAGCGCCTCAATGCGCACGGAGTACTCACCCTGGTGGCCATACGTCGTCAGCCAGCCACAGGGGGAGAAGAGGCAAGCAAACCGTGACGGTGACGAAAACCACGCCAGAGCCCGGGAAGAAGTCGGTGAGATTCATGTTCTGCCAAACAGGGTATCTTCCTCTAGTGGTATCTGCGTAGAGACCCATCTAGGTGGACTTTATTGAGGTAGATTTCTGGATAATCTCGATGAAAGCCGACCTGCGTATCGAACCAGAAGTCATCTGGGAACTGTAGGAAGATTTTGGTATACGTCGCCTACGAAGGGCAGTCAGCACACATCTCATCTCAGCATGCATCAGTACGTGCCATGACCATACTCTGAATCGCTTCCTGCTTCCAATCCGGTAACGAAGGTTCGAACACAACGTCATCGTTCTGCAGTACGCCCAGGCTGAACGTGCATAACGCATAGGCTGCCACCAGCAGAGTCCCGTCCTTCAGAGTGACATTCACACCCTCGCTGGAGTATGTGATGTTGGTGACCGTCGCGTTGAGCATAAGCTGCTCTGGCTGAAGAAACTCGGCCGCCTCTGCTTGGATGAAGTACTTGAATCCGCGCTGATCAATCGACATTTCGTTTGCATCGCCGAAGCCGCCCTGGTCCGGGTCGTATGTGAAATTGTTCCCCTGTGCAGGAGACCACGTCAGATACCACTTATCGCGGGGATGGGTCTGAAGCTAGCGAACCCATGAACTGGCGATCCACGACGACTCCAGCGGCGTCTGCGCGTACTCCCAATCAAACTGATAGTACTCGCACGCCTTGTCCGCAGGCGTCATCGGCTTCGAGCCGATCAGCGAGTAGCCCGAGCGTGCGGTCAGGTCCACCAGCTGCTGCTCCACGCGCGCCCCCGCAACCACAGTCAATTCATCATACACGTCGCCCGATTCGTTGAATATGTCAGTGTAATTTGAGAATCCGGTCTCATCGTATGTCGCTGCGCATCGCGATTAGACCCCGAAGCCTGGAATAGGGTGGAGGAAGACGTACTCATGCTCCCGTACCAGTCGTTATATACGGTTTTCACGCCGTGTTTTTGTACGAGTGCCCAGATGGGATTCTCAGGCCCATCCCCTGTTTGAGTCCCTTGTACCCAGTTCGGACCACGCTCCACTACCCACTGGTTGCCTGGAACGCCGATGGTCTCGGTCTGTAGGCGACCGCCAAGCTCGCCTATAAAACATGGAATGTGCATTGTGGATCTTGACTCACGAACGCGTGCACGCACCTCGGGCCTCCACGATGACAAAGTTTGTGATGCCTTGCTCGTACAGCGTACGGGCTGCAATCACGCCTGCTACGCCGCCTCCAAGAATGAGGACTGTGGGGTGAGCGACCACCTCGCCGTCCTCAGGTAGGCTTCGTTTGACCGATCGTGCATACGCAGACTGTATGTTCACGAGCAGTAGGGTGAGTAGGCACCAGAGCAATGGGCTCAGCACAGACATCCTGAGGGCCTCTAGAGGAACACCCGCAAATTACCAGGGTGGGAGGGGCCGTTGGACGGGAGAGCGCCCTGCAACCCGACATTTCTCATGAGCTTTATAGTATGCGCAGGCACAGCGATAACAAGAATATGCAGGTAACGGCATCAGACGGGGTCCATATGAATTTCAGAGAACATGCGAGCATGATTGACAACTGGTAGGCGACCAGAGGGAGATATCGAACTGCCGACGACGTCTGTCCCTGAATCTTCCTTCCGCGACAGCAGATTTCCAGCTGTGGGACATGTAGCTGGACATATGACGTGAATTGGAAAGGAGGAGGCGTGAATATTCTGATCCGACGAGAGTAGAGTCTTGTTCAAGCCAGTGTTTTGCTGGCCTTGGCAACGTCGACAGATATCAGGGCGCGCACGCCAGCACGGGGTTCATATCCGTTAATTCCTGAAGCTGAAGTCCTAGAAGGCATATATATAGTTCACAGGTGTCGCCTTTTGTGACCAGGAATTGGTTGGTCAAATAAATCAAAGTCGAAGGACCAAGGTGAGTTCCGCGGCTAGCGCTCCCGTGCCACGACGTTTATCGTCAGAGATCGAACGACTGGCTGCATTTCGTTTCGTGCGTCTTTGTAGGTTCTATTCGCCACCACCCATATCTGATCCTATATATCTTTTTTGTAATCTGGTTTAAACTCCATACGGCGTAGGTACATGTAGAGTGAAACCGAGCCAGCAGAGGCTCCTAAGGGTGGGCTCCACGCCCGCGTCCGGATCTGCACAGTGAAATGCAAGTCACACGGCGTCCTGGCCCTACAGGTTTCGGGCAGATTAAGAGCCCCTCGCCGACGGCGCAGTCCTATCTACCCTACTATGCAGGCACAAGGATGCTCGTCTAATCGCCGCTTGAACCCGCACCGCGATGGAGCTGCAGCAGGACCTCAGCGAGCTGTTCAAGGTCGTCCACAGATACCCCGCCATCGACAACCACGCGCATGCGTTCCTCAAAGTCGAGAACCGCGATGCAATGCCCTTCGAAGGTCTAATCTCCGAGGCGAGCGGCCCAGCGCTCACGGAGGACGCAATCCATACCCTCGCGTGCTACAAGGCGACGGTGCAGCTCGCGAAGCTCTTCGGGTTGCCTGCTGGCGCGACGTGGGAGGACGTCAAGCGGGCACGCTCGGCAGCGGACTATAATATGCTGTGCCGGATGTGTATGGCGCCGACGCGGATCCAATGCATCCTCATCGACGACGGGCTGGGTGTGCGGGACATGGTGTACGACTACAAGTGGCACGACAGGTACACGGCAAGCCCCACCAAGCGGGTCGTCCGAGTGGAGATCCTTGCGGAGGTGCGTATGGACAATCCATTTCAAGGGCTGCTATATGACGCTGACCGCCGTGTCTGACATTCACCGCAGGACATCCTCAGGGACCTGATCAACGCGCAGCTTTCAGCCGGCGACATGCGGGTGCCGCTGATGCGCGAGACCTTTATCGCCAGCTTCACCGCGGCGCTCGCGACGAGCGCACAGGACCCCGAGGTAGCCGGCTTCAAGTCCGTCGTGTGCTACCGCACGGGGCTCGACGTGTCGCTGACACAGGAGACGTCGGATATGGATGTCTCGCTGGTCACGCTCGCGCTGCGCTACGAGAGCCTGAAGAAGCTCCGGCTCGAGAGCAAGGCGCTGAACGACTTTGTGGTGGTGACGACGTTGCGCATCGCGGCGCAGTACGGCAAACCAGGTGCGTGCCCTGTCCCTTTGAGTGACGGAAGATTAAACGCCGTCGGGTCGCAGTGCAATTCCACACCGGCCTGGGCGACAACGACATCACACTTGTCAAGTCGTCGCCGGCGGTCATGCAGCCCGTGATCAAGGCACACCCGAACGCGAAGATCGTGCTCCTGCACTCGAGCTACCCGTACACACAGGAGGCAGGGTACCTCACGGCCGTGTACCGGAACGTGTACCTCGACTTTGGCGAGATCTTCCCGTTCCTGAGTGCCGACGGGCAGCGCGACGTCGTGAAGCAGGTGTTCGAGCTCTGCCCGACGAACAAGATCATGTGGTCGAGTGCGTGTGTGATCGTTGTGCCAGTGCCGGACCAGTTGACTGACATTCGGTACACGCAGCCGACGGGCACTTCTGGCCCGAGTCGTATTACCTGGGAACAATACAGGCTCGCGAAGCTGTCTACAATGTCAGTTGTATCCTGCGCACTACCGGTGTTCACTGATCGAGAACTAGGTCCTGTCAGGTGCTGGAGGGCTCCCTTCGTCGCGGGGAGATGAGCCTCACACAAGCAATCAACATCGCGAAGGGCGCCTTCTTCGAGAATGCGAACCGCATTTACAATTTGGGCCTGGTCCCACAGGGTATATGAATAGAATAAGGGATGTTGTAATCGTAGAAGCGAACCGTCAATTGTATACGACTGTGTCAGGCTTCTTCCTCGTCCTCCTCGTCCACGACTTGCAGGCCCAGTTCCTGCGCTGCCCGGATCGCTTCGCGCGCTTTGTCGCGGGCGAACTGGATAAGAGACTGCAAGATGTCCCGCTGACCTGCAGCGCGCTGTCAACGTGGTGCGAACCAGCACTATGGTCCACTCCGTACCTTCCAAGTAATGCTCGAGCATATGCGTGACCTCAGGGCGCAGCGCGCCCTCCGGTGGTCCCTTCGGCAGGCGGTCGTACAGATTCTGCGCCATCTCCTCGAGCGCGTCCGCCGCGCAGAGCTCGTCCTCGACCGTGCGTTCGTCCTCCTCATCGGGGTCGCATACGGCGGCCAGCACCGCCTCCCACACGGGCTCTGCGCCGAGCGCACCGCGGCCGACCTCCCACCCGGCCACGGCGTTATTGTGTTGTGCGTGCTGCGCTGCAGACGCCCCGCCGAGCTTGAGGACGATGGTGTCGTCCGGGTTGTGCGGGAGCGCGAAGCCGTACCCGAGGATGAGCTCGGCGTTCGGCTTCGGGCCGTAGTTGTTGAAGAGCTCTGCGCCGGCGGGGTGTGCGTTGTGCAGCACGAGCGAGATGCTCGACGGGGCGCTGGCAATGGGATGGGTGGGTGAGTGGTGAGCGTGACGCGGCGGCGCTGGCCAAAGGGGCATGGGAGAGAGAGTGGGGGCTTACTTTGGGGCGGTGGAGACAGCCCAAGAGACGGGCTGCCCGCGTGCATGGTTGAGCGCGTCGACGCCCGGGAGGAGCACGGGGTGCGAGTCCGGCGACGGCGCGAGGGAGGGCGTGGGCGACAGCAGCGTTGAGGGGAATGCGCGGGAGGAGAGGTACGTTGACGCGGTCAGGTAGCGCTCCCTGCACTTCTGTGTCTTAGACTCCCAGGCGGAGGCCATGTAGTAGCGATGATTGCTCACCAAGTGAAAGCATCGCCCCAAGTAGGGTTGGCCTGTGCGACGATGGTTTGGCAGGCTTGCCACTCCGTGCGCCAGGCGTCCCGTCTGGAGATGGTGGCGCCGTAGAGATTGGTGCCCTGGAAGGCCGCCAATTCGGTGGGGGAGAAATGGAGCGGTGTGAGGAGCGTGTCGGGGGAAGGGAGGGTGGCAAGGTACAAACGATGTGCGAGAAGGGGGGACGAACTAGGTTATGCGGGATTCATTCATGGATAACGCGCTGTATGAGGCGATTTTGCGCACGTTTGTGGTTCAACCACCCAATGCATACATACGTAGGTGCACATAAGGTGCCTCTCTGACCAGCCCCCAAGCGAAATATTTTGAGCGGAGGCCGCAAAGAGACTTTCTAGTGCTTTGGAGGAGACGTCCGGAGAGATGGCCAGGGTGAAAGGAATGGATACAACTGTTGTGTCTGGCGGCAGATCATTGCTAGTGATTATGGAGTAGCCTGATGGTTCTGGATTTTACTCAAGCATCAGCGCGTCCGAGAAACACTCGCGACAAATGGACGTGCCGGCTTTGAAGAAGGCATCGGGATGGAACTCGCCGCCATTTTCCGTTACCCATCGTCTGAATGCAACTACGTTTTCCGGCTGGTGCTGCATGACCGACGCAAACAGAGTAGGTTCCCCTGAATGAACTGAAACTCGGCGGTGTCGCGCAAGTTGAGAAAGACCTCTTCCGTGATCGATCGATCGCCGACGAGCAATCACTTCATTCCAGCTACAGCAAAACCAATATTGATAGACCTCCCCTCGCAAAGTATACACATCGGCAAAGTGGGGCAGAAGCTCACTGCAGGAGTCGGCAGTGGTGCAGACACGTCGACGGGCGGCCGATGGGCTACTGAGCGTGAAGTAGACGCTTGCTGTAATCCCCGAGTCGTCCTCTCGCCGTCATTGTTAGGATGGGCGATATCTCCCTCAGAAAAAAATCGGTGTATAATACATGGCCGACTCCATGAATAATGGTCAGATTAAGGAAGATACTGCCATATCGCAGAGTTCATCGCTGTCTACCTTGGTTTGCAGAAATAGACCTCGACAAACAGACGTACATCGAGACATTGGCGTGGATTACGACTATATATGGCTGCCGTGAACAACACTGACATCTCTGAGGGATGAGGGCACGTCACCCCTGAGGTTCCGAGCGCCGCTCCGCTCCATGCCGCCTATCTGTACTTTTTGCGAGGGAGGTCTATCAATATTGGTTTTGCTGTAATTCCTAGTCTTCATGAAACCTGACCCGGTTTGCAGGACGAGCCCCTTACGGCACTTTCCGGATCACGTGAAGCGTGTTTCGCAGTGCAATCGCGCCTCTCATAGAGCGTGTCGCGATACTGTACAGAGTTAAATTGAGGGTCCATCATGCTGGTAGAGTGCGCTATGTGTTCTGTTTGTTTACGGTAACATTTCTGTTCAATTTCGAGTATGTTATTCCACTAGAGGCCCTAAATCTGCCTCAAACTGCTTGTCTAATGAGATTGGGCTGCAGGAGAGAAGAAATTCTTGCTGAAAGTCTACTAAAATCAAGGATAGTGCATAATAATAATTTAAGTGCACAATTTGATAGCACAGGATGCAAAATATAGGTCGAAGTCGACACTGAAGGCAGCAAGCTGCAGCCGCGTTTCCTTTTTGGGACGTAAGGCGATGATCCAGTGAAGCGGGCGCGCTTTCCGGCAGACCATACTGTGCCTCCCCGGGTAGTCGGCAGACCCCCCAAGTCGGCAGTCACGTAAAAGTAACACATCCATCACGATCCATCACGCGTGATCTTTCAAGGTCCGCTTAGCCAACGCTTGAGGATTCTATGGGCAGGTAGCTCGAAGCATACAATGAGATCGCTGACGTGATCGGAAAATGAAATTCCGACACAAGCTGTTACAACCGAGGCGTACACCAGCGTGACAACGGCTTGAGCTGGTCCTCAGGAAGGGACTCCAGAACTACTGCACCATTCGCTTTCGTTCAAGCTGGAATTGAAAGCAGGCATACGAAAACCTATGTCTATACAAAAGCACGAAGGCAATCGAGTACTGTGGAGGGAGATACTATGAAATTGCCGACTTGGGGGGTCTGCCGACTACCCGGGGAGGCACAGTATACTAGATATGGATCGATTGTCATCCATGTCCGTTTATGATTAGCAACGCAGACTAGGTCGACGCGCAATTCGGAATCAACGGTCGGGACTATGGTCTCGACCTGGCAAATCTGGCAAAGTATGATCACAGCCACAATTTACCAAAGTAGTGCTTTTTTCCAGGGCCCGCTTAAACCCGCCCGAAGTCCGCTTACGCATACTTTGAGTTCAACAGGTCTAACAATATGGAATCAGCTGCCACGCAGAGATCTGGTTTCGGAGTCGCTGGGCGCGCAAAGAGAACCTACTAGCCCTCCCATCCATCGCAAGGCTGCGCAAGCCCGGATCGGACGCACTCGGGTGCATATGCCGTCAGTTCTATTCCAGGGTACATGGATTAGAGCAGTGTAATGAGTACAGCAGTCGGATGAAGCCCCTCCTACCCCACGAAGACGGCGAGAAGGAGCCTGCTACACAATGCAGATCGACAGCGTTCGTTTCTTTAAGTAGGCATAGAGCAGGCCATACAGGGTAGGAAGATTAGTAACATAGACATAGACCAAGATATAAGGATTGGTAACATGAGACAAAGATATCTCAAATACAGTAAATGTTGGTCGCAACATAAAGCACCGTGCCGCTGTTGATGTACAATGTCCTCATGTCGTCGCCTTTGGACTACGCGGGTGAGTCCTCCGCAACTCCCAGCCCCAGGAGACGTTTGGATGCGTTCCGTGACCTGAGAGTGGTGTCAGCACCCAATCATGGTCATTGACTGCTGGAGAGAAACATACATATTTGTCCATGGTGATATGCCCTGTATGTTTTTCATGAACTTCTCGACGGCGTCGTAGCCGGCCCCGTCGCGGGGATAATTAATACAAATCGACTGCAAGATACCGACTACGCCTTCTGTTTTTAAGTCTGAATCGAGGTCGAAGAGATTGCTGCACGCCTGGATAATGTCGCGGATAAGTGCCCATATCTCTTTTGACACCGCAAGTCTCTCGGTGCTAAGCGATTTAATGTGATTGTAAACGATAGCTAGCGCGTCTTTGATCGTTTCTTCATCGAAGATCTGAGAAAAGTCGGATGGCGCGAGATCGGTGGACAGGCGCAATGCATAGCAGACGATCTGTAGGAACGGTGTTGACTCCAACTTCGCCTCTGCATGAGGAAGATATGCGAATAGTGCTTCCACCACTGTGGCATGTATGGTGAGTGGTGCTTATTGAACTGCACGTGAGAATTTGAGACGTACATCTGGCACTGGCTCGGAACTTAGGTAGGAAGCGTAAAATTATGTTCGTGAGTTCGGCTTGAACACGTGGAGCGACGTTTGTCTCTGAAGACACATGTATAAGCCAATATGCAGTCGCTTCGGTCGTCGTGGGCATTGTCTCAAGACATTCACAGATGATGGCCAGGACGCGTATCTTGTATGAATCATCCACGGAGATGGTGTACATGCCCCTGCAGAGCTCGCTTGTAGCCGTGCAAATACGAAGAACCTAATTGGCAGATCAGCGTGTGGAACACATCTCTAACGGAAGAGCGAACCTCGTTTTTTCCGTTATGGGACATCTTTTTGACGGCAGTTTTGAAGATACTCGGATCCTCGTGCATTTTGTTGATCCATTCTTGTCCGACGAATTCTCGGAAGCATGCTGAGCAATTGGAAAAGTAAGTTCACCATTCACCTACTATATAACCTGCGCTTACGGCCTGCACCTATGGCAAGATCACACATACGTATCTTACCGATGTCTTGTTCGTTGATCCAGGAGAGCCACTGAAGGCTGTGATTCCGAATTCGAGCTTCTGCATGGCTACAAACGTCCTTGGCGGATTGCGAATCTGGCATCGCACGTATCAAGTATAACAGATGCTGTACTATCTGCCCTTGCTCGCGGTTGTCTTGACGGAGAACGTCGTGTCTATATAGCATGTCAAGGCATAGTTGACCCATCGCAATGATCGCTGTGGAGTCTTGTTCGCTTGAAAACCACTTTAGGGTCTGACTACCGTTTGTGTGAGACTCAACATCGTGCGCTCTGTGCTGTAGAATGCGTAAAAGGACCGGCTGCGAGGCCTTAAGTTTGTTCTGTTCTAGGCAGGGTCGTACAACCGATGTTAGGAACGATTCGTCCATGACAACGGAGTCCGCTTCGGCGAGCATGAGGAGCTTCACGCTGTCATCTTCCTCCGCGGTTTTTGTGCGCACTGCATAGTCTTCAAACTGTCTCCAGTTGGCGACCTTGGCAGCTGCCACATACCATTGCAGTCGGGAAGGCAGAGTCGTTGCGAAGCGATAGTACCGCAAGAAGTACGATGTCACGCACATGACTGCTGCTAGAGATATAGATAATAGCTTTGAAGGTCTCTATCATGTAGCCGATTTGTCAGCGCTCATACGCATGCGTTATTCCTGAGAAATACTCACCTTTCGAACGCGTTTAATCAGCCGTACCATACGCCGAGGCCATTGCACAGGGCGGATAGAGATGATTAGGACCCAGATTCGGAGGATCCACCAGGCTTGCGGTGATTTGAAGGGGCAGTCAGGAGATACTGATGGAATGAGAGCGGTAACTATTGGAACTGCCACGATGACAGCCACCATCACCATAATGACGTAGGCTGCTACCTTGTTTGCCGTCCATAGCAGCTGCACCAGTCCGATCAGGAAGAGGGACAGTGCCAACTGCAGCATGATAGGGAGTAGGTTAATAATCACTGGAACGCGCCACCTCATGAGACCGCGGCGGAGGAAGGACCACATGCGAACACTTTGACGCGTCAGCTCAGTATCCTGCCTCGGGAACGTATATAGCCATTGATTGACTGAAATCGCAGTCGACGCAACACCCAGAGTGAGAATGAGGGCGGAGATCCAGAGAATATTGACCGTTCCAGCAACCGCGGCCTTTGTCGGGTCTATGGGAGAAGATAGGTCAATGGTCCTTCGTATGTCGATGGCATCAGCATAGCCTTGACTGTCCACTGTAAGGAGGAATCTGGCAGATGCAGCAACGATGATATCGAGTTGGGGGTTGGGTTGGATGGAGGTGTAATATGGGGCTACAAAGACTGTGAGAGCGGCGGAGATGAGGCCTGCCTGCATTCCGTCCGAGAAAAAGCTCGTGAGCAGTCACTCTCAGTGCATGGCAAAAGGGAGAGATCAACCCATGGCATAGATGTCTTCTCTGCCCCGGTAAGACCCACATAGTTGGGATTACTTACAATCAAAATCCAATTATTAATTTGTTCTTGCCAACTTCTGATGACTGATTCCTCATAGTCCCATGCTTGCTTTGCACACTTTGCCCAGGGACTGTCTATTGACTGTTTTGCTTGCAATGCTTCTCGGAGGCTTCTGATTATCTCTGCATCTACACTTCCATCGATGTCGGACTTTGGCTGGGCTTCTGAAGTCGGCGCACCGCACGGCATCTCAGGGGCCGGCATGGATGAGTCAGCTCGGTCGGTTTCTATTCCTTCAGTGGCACACTTGACACTACCGAGGCTTTCTATCTCGGTCCGGCCCGTCTATTCACTCCTCATATTTTAGCACTAGGATGTGAAATACTGAACCAGGACCTCTCGTACCAGATGATTGTCGCTGCTCTCAAACGAAGTCAGCGATGATGACCTTGTGTGAGCGCGCGACATATTTGCATCCGCGTCCGTCTCAGCTTGAAGCGTATCGCCCGAGTCAGACTGAACCATTCTCTCCATCAACTATGTCGTATGTAAGTTAAGGTATAATTACCTGGAAATGCACACTAGGCCTAGGTGAGTTTGGTGGGCGTCGTGACTTCGTCTTGATTGCTGAAGGGTAAAGCATATGAGGTGATTGCGGTTCGATCTAATGCCAGTCCTGTCAGCTGTGCAACAGACATTTTACAATATCCACTTACTGCAGCAGCCTCATCATGCTCTTCGAGTGAGCGAGACACCACCTGCACGTCGTCCATGCCTTAATTCTTGCAACTATCGTGAGCTAAGTTCAAATATTTCGCTGCTGAGTCACGGAAGACGAGGAGGAGAAGAAATCGTTGTACGGAAGACGTGTGTGTAGAGGATGATAAGAATCCGGGGAGCAGAGATCTATTATATCACCCCTAGACAGCATTCCTAAAAACAGTGCTGTCAGCATGGCAGAAAAGAACCACATTCTGATCCGTGTGAAAAGGGATTAATGGCTATATCCAATAGAATATGAGTATGCAGTCAGCTTCCATGCTGATCTTGAAGCGCGCTTGCAGTGGTTCATATGCGGTGATTAGGAAGAAGCCAAATATGCTTGACATGAGACAGTTTCATGCGGACCACATTCACAGACATGTTGGCATCGCTGTTCCAACGGACCCAATGAAGAGCTTCACGCTGAACCAGGGTGGCACTGTCAGTGAGCGCGCCCTCCGGTGGCCCCTTCGGCAGGCGCTCGTACAGATTCTGCGCCATCTCCTCGAGCGCGTCCGCTGCGCAGAGCTCGTCCTCGACCGTACGGTCTTCATCCTCTGTGTCAGACTCGCACACGGCGGCCAGCACCGCCTCCCACACGGGCTCTGCGCCGCGCGCATCCCGGCCGACCTCCCACCCGACCACGGCGCTGTTTTGTGGTGCGTGCTGCGCGGCAGGCGCCCCGCCGAGCTTGAGGACGATGGTGTCGTCCGGGTTGTGCGGGAGCGCGAAGCCGTACCCGAGGATGAGCTCGGCGTTCGGCTTGGGGCCGTAGTTGTTGAAGAGCTCCGCGCCGGCAGGGTGCGCGTTGTGCAGCACGAGCGAGATGCTCGACGGGGCGCTGGCAATGGGATGGGTGGGTGAGTGGTGAGCGTGACGCGGCGGCGCTGGCCAAAGGGGCATGGGAGAGAGAGTGGGGGCTTACTTTGGGGCGGTGGAGACAGCCCAAGAGACGGGCTGCCCGCGTGCATGGTTGAGCGCGTCGACGCCCGGGAGGAGCACGGGGTGCGAGTCCGGCGACGGCGCGAGGGAAGGCGTGGGCGACAGCAGCGTTGAGGGGAACGCGCGGGAGGAGAGGTACGTCGACGCAGTCAGGTAGCGGTCCCTGCGCTTCGGCGTGTCAGGCACCGTGCGCGGCAGTCGCAGAAAGATGATAGAGGCTACTGCTTACCAGGTGAATGTGTCGGCCCAATCAGGGTTCGTCTGCGCGATGGCGCTCTGACAGGCCTGCCATTCGGCGCGCCAGGCGTCTCGTCGGGCGAGGGTGGCGCCGTAGAGGTTGGTGCCCTGGAATGCGGCGAGCTCCACGGGGATGAAGTGGAGGGGCGTGAGGAGCTTATCAGGCGAAGGGAGGGTCGCAAGGTATGGGTGATGCGCGAGTACACTGGGGGAGCTGGGATATACGTAAAGTCATCAGGTGTTGAGCGGGCAAGGACGCTGGTTGTCCGCACGTATTCCGCTCGACGACCCAATGCATGCAGATGTACGAGCAAATGAGCTGTCTCTCCGACCAGCCGTCGAGTGCGAGCTTCGCGGCGGAGGCTTCGAAGAGGGTTTCTAGTGCAGCTCGGGAGACGGTGGGAGTGATGGCCAGGGAGAAGGGGATGGAGACGACGGCCGTGTCTGATGGTAAATCGCTGCTTGCAATGACAGAGTAGCCCGATGGTTCTGCAGGTTGTTCTGCATCTCAGATGAAAAGAGATGAGCTCTGGACTCACCAGGCCTGAAGGATACCTGTGGGTGAAAGTGTCCATTCTGTTCTGCTATCCAACTTTTGAATGCAACAACATTCTCGGATTCTTGCTGCATAACTTGGCGTGCATACACAGGCTTCCTCTAGTCTCCCTAATGAATCAAAACTGTAATGGTGGAATCTGGGTGTTGACACCTACTAATGAAGGCCTGGGACAGTCGAATTTGAAGCTTGAAGCTGTAGGATAAGATCGATTAGTATTTGTCTTTATATATATAGGATGTGCATGTGCTTATATAACTTACAGCAGATGGCGCAGAGATCTAAATCAGTCTGCTCAAAATCGCTGATGTCACGATCCAATAGACGCTGGACGGTGGCTCCTCGATCAAAAGTGCGATCTGATCTCACTACTCGGCCTTACCCTCACTCATCATGTTCAAGAAACCATTGGCCGACGTCAAGACAACTGGTCCTCTACCTTTCCAGTCCGTAATTTCTCAGCGACTGATATGACCTACAGCACCTCTCCGAACATCCGACAGACGCAAACTCAAGCAGCGCGTCCTAGACGCCTACAAGGTGCTCCAGTCCGAGGACGGAGACGTGCTGGTGCCCGAGGGGCTGCACTGGCAAAAATTCAGCACATACGCGGATGAGCCTGGTGTGAGTGAGACCCACTTCTACTGTCTTGTGCGGGACTCAACGTCTACTTAGGTAGCCTATTTCTCACTGGAGGGCGATCCGCTTTGGTTCACGATCGGCAAAGACTCAGATGATCTCATCCCCACAGGTGAGTAGCTATTCTATGCCAACGGAAAGGGCCATATACTGGAAATGTACTGCGGACGTACTACTTTAAAGCATGAACTTTGGTCAAAAATCCTTGCGTCCGCTGCGTGCTAATCTGCTGCAGCGGCAATGTATCTGCAAAGTCCCATCATCTATGATTATATAAAAAGTATTTCCTACTAATGAAACCGCCTTTATATGACGTGTACCTCTAGTAGGTCTTGTAACTTATTTTTGCTTCCCCAGTATACACGCTTTGGAAGTGCCCAGACCTCCTGCCTTTCCTCGCTACCCCAGCACCCGTTATTCCCAAGCTCATCAATGGAGCCGACCTCATGATTCCTGGAGGTCAGTGCTCTCTAAACTACCTCACTTGGCGTCACTGTTGACACTACTGGCTATCCGCTTACCCGCAAGCAAGTCATCCAGCATACGCTCGGCCTATCTGAGACGCAGCTCGTCGCCGTCACGCAGTACCACAGCGGCGGGAAGCTCGGCTTTCCCGTCGCCGTTGGCCGCATGGCGGTGTCGGGCGAGACGCTGCAGGCTGCCGATGAGCGCGACGTGAAAGGCAAGGCGGTGTACGTGCTGCACACGTGGAAGGACGCGCTCTGGGACATGGGTGCGAGCAGGGCGGAGAGTGTTCCGGAGCCGCGGGATCCGCGATCTGACGCTGAGGATGCGCAGGATGCCAATGGCGATGGGACCAGTGTGTCTCCAAGTGACGCACAGAACGGGGCTCAGAGCCAATCCGCGGGCGATGCAACGGTATCCGCGCAGGAGACCCAGAAGAATACTGCGGCAGCGCTCACGCCCGAAGGTATGACCCCTACTGCGACGCGTATCAGCGCGCTGACGATCGGCCCCAGACACCTCCCAGCATCTCCGCACTGCCCTTCTCCAAGCTCTCTCTACGACGCTGCGCTCCTCGCCACCGTCTACGTTCCCCATGCCTGCGTCTACATTCTGGAGCGCATACGTCCTCCCCGCGCGGCCGATTGAAGCGGCAGGGGCTGACGTGAAGCAGTCCACATTCAAGTCTGTCAAGGTGTTCCTGAAGGCTGCTGCGAAGGAGGGGCTCATCAAGCTCAAGGACACGAAGGGCGGGGACGTTGTCGTCACCGGTGCGTCTCCCTACTGCTATTTTGCACATAAAGGGACCCTCAGGAGACTGGCGGTCGCTGATGCTCCGACTGTACACAGGGGTATTTCCACAGCATCCTGCCGTGGAGGAGCACCGCCCCGTGCGGACGGTGCAGGACGTGGACGCTAAGGCGCAGAAGGCCGAGGCCCGTGAGCGGCGGGAGCGCGAGGAGGAAGAGCGGCGGCGCGGCGAGCTGCATATCACGGAGCTGTGGAAGCCCATCGGGAGCACGCTCGGCTGGTTCGCCTCCACCGGGAAAGAGTAAGTGTGCCTACCGCGCATTGGAGAGCTCATATTGACGCGTACGTGCGTTTTTTCCGTCGACAGCACGTCAAATCTGTACACAATCGCGGACCTAAAGGCCGCATTCGACGCGTACGTGGCGGAGAAGAACCTCGTGAACGCGCAGGAGCGGCAGTTCGTGAACGTGGGCGAGGACGCGGCGCTCGCGCACGCCGTAGCCAGGAAGAACGAGGAAGTGGAGTTTATGCGGCGCGAGGAGGTGCTCGCGCGTTTGCGTGAGCACATGCAGAGCTGGTACGAGATACAGGTGGAGGGGAAGGACGCAGTGAGGAAGTGCGCGTTCTGCGACTGTGTTTTGATTGTTCACTCTGCTCACATCACACTTACAGGAAGGGGCAGCTCAAGCCGATCCAGGTCGCCGTGAAGATCCGCCAGGGCCGGAAGGCGTGCACGCTCGTGACGGGCTTCGAGGCGTACTTCCTCGGCGCGGAAGACCTCGCAGACGAGCTCCGGAAGCTCTGTGCGAGCGCAACGTCGGGTGAGCCCTCTGCGAATCGGCTATTACTCGTCGTGCTATGGGATCTCATGCGATGCGTCTGGACATGCAGTGTCGTCCGTTCCGGGGAAGCCGAACGAGGCCGAGGTGATGGTGCAGGGGAAGCAGATTAAGGCGGTTGCGGACTTGCTGGTGGCGAAGGGCGTACCGAAGAAGTGGATCGAGAGTGCAGACATGACGGAGAAGAAGAAGTAAGCGGACGTGGTACGGACAGGAAGAGAAGCGAACCATTGTGGTGTAAGAGTATCTGCTGTCGAATGCCAGTACCAGTGCGATAAAAGTTTCCCCCGATCGGCTTGTCAGTATCTGGATCACGCTTCAAGCGTCAAGTATAGTGTCATGTCTTCGTGCTTGTGCGACATGAATAAAGCCCAGCTGTCCGGTGAGTCATTACAAGTATTCCGCGCTCATTCATTTAGGTTGATTACGTAAGCAGCTGGAGACAACTACAGAAGAAAGTCTCGACACATCCCCAACTTCAAGTGGGTCCCGGCTCCACACCTCTCCGACTGAGCTGTGGCAACAGTACTAGTGTCTTGTTCATCAAGCTGTGTCCACTGGCTGACGTCAAGTACTCCATTCTCCTCAACCCCACCAGGACTGCGTATATAAGTGACGACGAGAATGGCGGACTCGCCAATTCTCTCTTACTGTTGCGTGTATCACCGGACACCCATACCGTCACCGTAACCCAACATTTTCCCTTCACAACCTCATCATGTCTTCGAATGAGTCCTACGTGATCATTGCCACCAACCAGAACTCACAGAGCTTCGGCTCTGGCCGCATCGATCTCAAGAACATCGGTGAAGGTGAGTTGTGGCGATTTATGTATTTTTTGGACATATACTGACGAACATCCTCTCAAGCTGAGGCGCGCAAACTTATGTCGGCCGAGCACAGGGCTCTGGGCTATCGCCCGCCCCCAGGCTCTCTCGCTGCGACGGCACAAGCAGAAGCAGCGATGCACCCTCAGGCGACCGTCGGACTGCCAGAACAGGTATTAGTTGAAGCCGCAGTAGAAGATGCAATCCGTCTTGAGGAACAGCGGACTGCTGGGATCGACCTCAATCAAGTCGGCGAAGGTAACTATTCTCCTGTCGTCATTATTTTTACAATATACAAAGTCGACTCTTTGTGCAACAGCCGAAGCTCGGAAGCTGATGTCCGAGGAGCATCGAGCACTTGGCTACCGTCCGCCTTCAGGCTCGCTGGCCGCCCAGGCACAGGGGGCCGCAGCGAAGCATCCAGATGCGACCGTTCGGACTGATCCACATGACCTTCAGCGGGCTGCGGTGGAAGATGCTGCCCAGATAGCGAAGGATAAGAAGGGTGGTGTCGATCTGAACAATATTGGCGAAGGTCAGTCAGTCGTAACTCCCCCTATCGCCGATTGGGCGACACGCTGAGGTGGTTATCTTTGCAGCCGAGGCTCGCAAACTCTTCTCAGAAGAACACAAAGCCCTTGGATACCGTCCTCCTCCTGGATCCCTCGCAGCGGAGGCACAATCGGCTGCCACTAAGCACCCAGATGGCAGTAACGGTCGTGATGCCGCTACTCTCACCAAGGCTGCGGTGGATGACGCAAGAGCCGTAGAGTGAGTAACGCCTCGTCGTGCTTCAAACAGGAGGCCATTCTGACGATCCAATTCATAGAACGCGTAGTCAAGCAGGGGAGCCTCCGGTTTCACCACTAGTCAGCGTAGGTTTCATCAGTGGCGATTAGACGCGCGTCCTGGAGTCTGAATAACAGAGTGCGCTCAACTTCCGGCCAACAAATGGTGCTCTTGCAGTGGAGGCGCAAAGCTTCGTGGACACTTACATGGGCGGACCCAATACGAAGGGGGTAGCATTGGGGATCCAGTACTAGGACTACAAGGCTACTGCTTAATGTATGGAGAGCAGCGACTCCAAACCTTTCAACGGTGGCGCAGAGCCCTAAGGAATCGTCGAGCGCAGTCGCTCCGACGATAATAGGTTTTGAGGCTCCAACATCCAAAGACACGGTGACTTGTATGGAAATGACTCTCGGAACACCTTCACGGGTATGACCCATTCAGATCTGTAGCGTAACCTGTTAAGTGTTAGCAGCGCTTCAAATAAGGCGAAGGACGTTTATCACCTTCGCAAGCCCAACTTCCACAGATTCGCTGAACGATCGGCTGACTGACAGCAGTCGATCGGCGCGAACCCTGCACTCTACGCAATCCTTCGTTGCGGCATCGACTAAGTGACGAAAGCCCTCCCCCTCAGTGATGGCCAATGCTGACGGGCGCGTGGTTAGCATCGTCACAATTTCCGACACATAATCATCCATCCAATCTGGGTCGTCGGTATTGCTGAAGCAGCAGCCACTGCAGGCGATGAGGCGCACTGGGTCAGGAATCCAGTTATGAGGAGTAGAATCCGCTTCTCTGATCACTTCGGCGCATCGTTTGTGGTATTGAAATAACTCGAGATACAGATCAACTGGGGTTGTCTCCAGCTCGGCGACATACATGGACTGTATTTACTCAATGGTGTGTCGGAAGAGGTTCCTCGCAGCATGTTTCGCAGGTTTCCACCATCGTCTCGCAGAGGCCAAAAGATATGCCCGCAGAGGTTGGGACGCAGCAAACTCTGGCCAGCGCCACTGAATAATCCAAATGGCTCTCTCCATTCTGTACTTCTCCGCGACGGGAAGTAGCGACACCAGGAGCTCGATGCGGTCCCATTCAGGAATGCCGGCGGGATAGCAGAGGCGCAGAAGGGGCTCGAAATCTGAACTATCTTCCATGATTGCCAACTTCGTTTGCTCCCGAGGCTCCCCATTATACCCACCGGCAGTGCTGGACGTCGTCCCAACCATGTCGTGCAGGACGGGGGACATGAGTGAAATGACGCTGCTTTGCACGCGGTAGTGCGCTCTATCCGAAGTGACAATTTCAACATCTGCTTCAGCCGCATCAAAGGGTGGCGGATAGCTGTTCTGCCCCGATACTGTGGCCGGAGCGACTGGGGGCCCGTGCGCAGCAGGAGTGCAAGATACCGGCCGACAGTATGAGCCTTGTGAGACACCCATTAACCTGCCTTGAATCAGCCTATGATACCATCCGGCAGACATGCCCTTAAACTCGTCGATGTAGCGCAGAGAAGATACATCCTGCAGGGACACTTCTCTAGCGGCTTGCCCAGCGAGGTCCTCGGCTCCAATGCGGCATGCTATAGCATATACGCGAAGAGGGTCAGTCGCGATGAAGCTGTTGAGTATTGTAGTCATGAAGGATACGACTTTGGCGATGTCGTATTTCAGTGCAGCTTCTATTACGGCACTTGAGATGTCCATCGACGAGATTTTGGGACTCTCAGCTGGATAACAAATTTCCAGCACTGTCTGTATAGTCTCGCTGTTTTCTGCAAGATCGATGACATTCAGGGCGGTTGATGTGTCTGTCGTCGCCTGGGACTGGGGGAGGGTGAACAGATCGGCGAAAAAAGGAGACGCCATGGAAAGTATGTTGCGATGAGCACGGAAATCGACCTGGTCTGCTGATCGAAGTATCACGTCGGCATCGCTCCTATTGAAGATGGGAACAGGGGATGGCTTAGGTACTGGTACCGATGGAGTCTGGGGTTGCGCCTCGGATGCACGGTTTTTATTTTTCCGTATTGCCATTATCGACCAAAGGAGATGTGATGAAGTTCGTCGAGTCGCGACCGAGTCACTATATTTGTGTGAAGCCTGATCATGAATCGATGGCGCCTACAATTTAGATGATACACTCACATGTAGACGAAATCAATGATTGACAACCACGTCTGAGCGTGGAGGGTAGATATCTTGAATAATGGCAGGTCTTTCCATAGCAAGAATGTACCGACTTACTCAATCGCAATAAGTACAGACACGACGGCGACTCGTAAGGGTTGCTACCGGCCCGTCGAAGCCTCTCGGATTCTGATCGGAGCCCGCCGGTGGATGGAAGCGCCAAACCTAACCTAATTTCAACTTGTGTAGCTGGTAACCGTCTGGCGAATCAGACTCGGAGCGAAAACGATGCAGGGAATAGGAAGCAGGGCGACGTGGGTCCGAAAATGTATCGGAAGGATTTTTCTGGAAGTATAACACAAGCAGCAGTCGTACATCATACACTCCAGTACAAACATTTCGATATTTCTTCCCGACTTGGAATTGTACTCGTTGTCAGCGACCAATGAGCGTCATCCGCAGGCCAATTTCCGAGCCCAGAGAGATCGCAGGCTTTTGAAGTGTACATTCCGATGACGACGTCTAGAAAAACGCACCTCTGCTAGCGGCTATTACAATAATAAACGCATGTAGCAGAAGATAAACTGAGATCGTTATATCGAACAGTAGTACCGAACAGTAGTACCACAAGTCAGGGGAACTGTGACAGTATACTCATACAAGGGTTATGTTTATTTTCTTCTACAGCTCCAATGTAACCTTTAGCTATGCATGAGCAAATGAGTTGTTTTAGACATTGAACACTCACCTGTTCAAGTCGCTCATCTACAGCTTTACCGAGGGCTTGACTCATCGCTTGAAGTACGTCAATACGTGTCATACACCGCGAGCACTCATCCGCCGCGAGCCTAAACATCTCTCGAAAGCCTTGTCCCTCGGTAACAGTGTACGAGGAGGGGCGTTCGATGAGAAGAGTCGCAGCACGAAAAATATAGCCAGACAACCATCTTGGTTCGTATTTCGAATATGAATTGCAACAACTAGATCCCGGGCAGCCGATACGTCGTATGTCTTCGGAAAGCCAGGCATCAGAAGCGTTACCGACGGCTCTCACTGCATCGCTGCATCGCCTGTGATACTGAAAGAGACGATGATAGTATTCTGCAGACGTCGTCTCCAAATCAGCGATGTATATGGATTGGAGCTCCTCAATTGTGTTTCTGAGAAGATGCCTAGCGGCAAGCTTGGCTTGTTCCACCCATCGTCTCGCGGCACTCAAGAGAAATGCACGCAGAGGTTGCGTCACAGCAAAGTCTGCCCACCGGCTTTGGATAGTCCAAACGGCTCTCTCCATTTTGTACTTCTCCGCGCCTTCAAGGAGAGACACCAGAAGCTCCGCGTCATCCCGCTGTGGGATACCGATGGGGTAGCAGAGGCGTAAGAGGGGTTCCATGATTGTACTGTTTTCAGGGATAGATAAGACCAACGTAGGATTGCGTGGATGGTCGTCTGAGGTCAGAGACGCGATCTCGGGCGAACAGCCTACGTTGGCGCCAGACTCAGAGATGTCGAGCAAATCCTTCAACACAGGGGAGATAAGGGAGATGATGCTGCGGTATACACGGAGGCGCATTCCGTCCGATGTAACGAGTTCAATGTCTGCGTCAGCTGCATCGAAAGGCGGTGAAGGGTCGACGGCGCACGCAGCACCAGCTGGAGCCGGCGAGGTTCTCGAAGCTGTGAGGCTTCCTTCCGTGACAGAAGAAGTTGGAGGGCTAGGACAGCAGTACGTGTGCTGTTTGATACCTTTCATCCGATATTGCACCAGCCGGTAGTAGCAACCAGCAGGTATGTCTTTGAACTCATCGACGTATTTCTGAGAAGTGATATCCTGCGCGGTGACTGAATTCGCGGCCCATCGGGCAAGCCGTTCGGCATCGATGCGACATGCTATTGAGTAGACTCGGAGCGGTTCGGTTGGAATGAAGGTATAGAGTGCCATCGACATGAAGGATATCACCTTATACATGTCGTATTTCAGAGCAGCCTCAAGCACCGCACGTGCGATATCCATCGACGAGAGTTCGGGATCCTGAGTAGGGTAGCAGATCTCGAGTAATATCTGTACGATTTCGCTTCCTTCTGCAAGATCGATGACATCGATGACATCCGAGGCGCATTCCTTCGTTTGCGGGAGAGCAAACATATCCGCGAAAAAAGGAGAAGCCATAGAAAGTATGATGCGGTGAGTGCGGAAGTCTACTTGGTCGACTGCTCGCAGTATCACATCGGCGTCGCTCCTGTTGAACAACATGGGAAGAGGAGCGGCCTTGGGTATGAATGAGGTCTGGGGCTTCTCCACGGATGCGCGATGGTTCTTCCCCTTGCGCGCCATTGCCAATCAAAAATGCAATGGGTTCCACCGTCGGGCACCCAATTACGGCTCGCTATACATGAAGCCTGTCAACGACCCGAATGATACTTGATGGGATGTACTCACATGCAGGCGATGTCAGCGAAACAGACAGCTACGTCTGTGTACCAGGGGAATAAGCTGAAGAAGATGGCAGGACTTTGTCCAGCGCGATTCAAGCGGCAATTTTGAATGTACCTAGTGATCAAGCCAGGTACTCGGTCGCTGAAGTGCGTGAAGTCAACTATACTATTCATTTAAAATGCATCGAGCGTGAGAGATCCGATCTTAGTTATCTCAGTGGCACCCATCTCAGTACATCGCACATTTGGATAGTCATTCGAGGTTTCTTCCCAGATTGAACTCGTAGTCCAAGTCAGTTCTTTTTGAACATAGAAACTACTGTCACAGATTGAAAATTACATCTCTGGTGGCGACGTCTTGAAACGAGCACCTCTACCGTGGTAACTACAATCACAAACGTAGTAGCAACCGAATGAGCCGTCATATTGATCATGCATGAGTGCCAGAGCCGGTGACAGTAAATTTCGAACGCAACTTGTGTTTCGTCACATATACTACATTGCCTTCTACAGCTCCAACGTGACCTTCAATGATGCGTGAGCGAACGCACGCTTTCATGTACATGACGGAAGAATCCAGTCACCTTCTCAAGTCGCTTATCGATAGTTCTAGCAAAACACTGGAGTATTGGTTGAATTCTGTCGATGCGTGCCCTGCACCCCGAACACACGGTCGCGAGTTCGATCAGTGTCTGAAACCCTTGTCCCTCAGTGATTGTATGCGAGGAGGGCCGTTCGACGAGCATATCCACGGCTTTCGCAACATAGTCGGATAACCATCTTGGTTCCTCCCAAAGCCCGGATGGACCTCTGCAACCTTTGCAGCCGGTAACTCGTACGTCTCTGGAAAGCCAGGAGAGAGAACTCTTGCAGACAGATGTAATTGCGTCGCTACATCTATTATGATACTGAAAGACAAGGCGATAGTAATTTGCAGGTACCGTTTCGAGATCAGCGACGTATATAGATTGGAGCTCCTCAATTGTGTGTTTGAGAAGCTGTTTTATGGCATCCATGGCTGGCTGCATCCATTGTCTAGCAGCAGCCAAGAGAAATGCACGCAAAGGCTGCACCACAGCAAAGTCTGCCCATCGGCTCTGAATGGTCCAAATGGCTCTCTCCATTTTGTACTTTTCCGCGCTTGGAAGCAGAGATATCAGAAGCTCCACGTCATCCTGCTGTGGAATACCAATGGGGTAGCAGAGGCGTAGGAGAGGTTGCATGATAGTACTAGTCTCAACGATAGGCACGACTAACATCGATTTGCGTGGTTCAACACCTAGAGATCCGGTCTCGTCTACGCTGGCACTTGCCTCGGAGACGTCGAGGAGGTCCTTCAACGCGTGAGAGATAAGTGAGATGATGGAACGGTATACACGGAGATGCATGCCGTCCGAGGTGACGAGTTCGACGTCAGCGTCGGCTGTATCGAACGGTGGTAGAGAATCGATTGTGCAGGCGACTTCGTCCAGCGTTGGGGAGGTGATGAAAGCAGGAGAATGGGGTGTGGCGGCGGCAGCGCGTGGTGGGGGGGTTCTCAAAGCAGAAACGTCATCGTCATCTTCCGTAGAAGGAATAGGAGATGGAATGCTAGGGCGACAGAACGTCTCCTGTTCGATACCTCGCGCCCGATACTGCACGAGCCTGTAGTAGCAAACGCCAGGTATATTTTTCAACTCTGGGACGTAATGCAGAGAAGTGAGTTCCTGTATGGCGACATCTTTTGCGGCACATCGGGCAAGCGCTTCGGCATCGATGCGGCATGCCAGAGCATATACTCGGAGAGGTTCGGTTGGGATAAAGGCGTGGAGTCCCAGCGGTATGCAGGATATCACCTTGTCTATGTCGTATTTCAGAGCGGCCTCGAGTACCGCGCCCGCAATTTCCAGCGACGGCAGTTTGGGGTCCTTAATAGGATAGCAAACCTCGAGTACTTTCTGCACGACTTCGCTCTCTTCTGCGAGATGGATAACATCCATGGTATCCGAGGCACATTCTTTCGTTTGTGGGAGAGCAAACAGATCTGCGAAAAAAGGAGAGGCCATAGAAAGTATGAGACGGTGAGTGCGAAAGTCCACTTGATCGGCCGATCGAAGGATTATATCGGCGTCGTTCCTGTTGAAGATGGGAACAGGGGATGGCTTAGGGGAACTCTCCCCGGATGCGTGATTGCCTTCGTCCTTGCGCGCCATTGTCGACCAAGAAGATACAACGGCGTTCACCGATTTGCGATTCATAACTATGTATAAAGCCTGTCAATAACAGAGACAATTGCAAAGATGCAGACGGTTTCAGTGAAACGACGACTGGGTTTGAGTATCAAAGCCTTATGTTGGACCTAATCAGTGGGATGATCATGAAAGACTTTGATTGCAATGCCACAATCTACTTACAAGTCGCAAGAAGAACAAGTTAGAAGCGGTACGAAACCGACTTTGAACACTTCGCAGCCTGGAAGGAATTACCGGAATCAGCCGGACCGGGCGTGAGATCTCGCTTGATTGAGACGCCCTCCGACTCTCTGTCTCAACTCCGGTGATCTCGTAGGGCGAGCTGCACGCGTACAACCGTAGACAAGGCGGTATACTACCCTGACCGGGCGCCATCACTTTTTCAACAATTGTGAACGTGGAAAGCAGCTATTTCCACGGACATGTGTAGGCAGGATCTCCATCGTTGAGCGAGGGCATGCTTTGAATGATTGCGCATCTAGTGTCTGATCTCAAGCAGAGAGCGTCGAAGGCGAAGGATGCCAGCGTTTCCAAGATCACTCACACGCGGGACCATATGAAGAGCCAACCCAGCAAGAAATTGGACTGGGATAAGGCACCGCCCCCTCCGCCCCCACCTGTGGTCCGTCCAAAGAACCAGTTTGCTCCTCCACCCTCGAGAACATCTTCGGCAGTGTCTCAAAGCAGCAGTCAGTCAGTGAGCAGTCCGCCTGTGCCACCCCCTGCAATCCCAGGCCGACCGCCCCCTGTGCGGCGACAAACGCGCCCAGATAGTGTCTCTCCACCCATTCCCTCGGGCCCTCCACCCATTCCGCCAACTCGATCAGTGTCGAGGATTGTATCTGCCAGAGTACACGAGGAGCCCGAAGAGATTGAGGAAGATACGATTGACTGGGCGAACCTGTCTCAGGAGGACAAGGACGTGTTCTTCAGCTGGCTGGATGAATTCTTTGCCAGATTTCTCAACTCTCCGACACAGCCGAGGAGCGCGCACGGATCCACCAAGACCATCCAGAAGCCCGTGCAGTCGCCCCAGCCCGCTCCTATAGCGCCGAAGCCGCAGTTTGCCAACAAAGGCCCTGTAAGCGCCTCATTTATGCATGTTCTATGCTTCGGACTCATCTCCCCGTAGCCGCCAATCCCGAAGTGGACTCGTCCCTCACAACCTTTCCCTGCACAGGAAGCGGCTAATGATGGTGAGGATGAGTGCTAATCGCGTCGTCATACTATTTTCATGAGACCGCAGAGTAGAAGAACAACTTGATATGTCCTACCCACCTGCAACTCAGCATGGCTCATCCGCTCTTGATCTCGCGTACTACTTCTCGCCTTCGACGTACTGGGACTCAGATTGGTACGCTACAGACAACCCGTGGTTTGCCCCGCCCCTCAAGGATCGCAAAGATACTCGCCGCGCTGGGTATATGGAGCACTCGGGTGATGCGAGCGGTATCTCCAGGATTGTGTTTGGTGGCGTGCTCTTCGCAGATCTGAGTGCTTGTTGGTACTCCGTCACCTTCCCGCATAACACACCGACGGACCCTAACGACTCGCGCACTGTAAAGCGAGTCGCCCACTATCTCCCGCGGCCAGCCGCGATGGATCGTGAAGCGCTGCTGGAGGCTCACGAGACGTACGGCGAGACCATTGCGGCGTTCGCAGAGGGCTTCGTTGACTCAGGTGAATACTGCGCGCGGGGCGAGTGCTGGGACCTGGCGAACCAGGCGCTAGAATACTGCTCGCAGTTCGATTACGTGCCGAAGCCCGTGCAAAGTACGTATCGCACGCACGGACACCTCATCTTTGAAGGGAAGGCGCTGGGAAAGGGCAGACAATATGGGCGCTGGAGAGGCGGAGATGACCGTGTGCGCCGAGGAGATATTGTGGAATGGCGCAGCGTGGCCGTTTCGATGAAGATGGATTGGGGCGTAGGCACGGGGAAACTTGGGAACCCGGACCACACTGCGGTGATTGTGAACGACATGGTGCCGTCAGTGCAGGTAGCGGACGGGCAGAGCGTCACGCCGGGGGAGCTGGGGATATTGGATGTCGTGGAGCAGAGCGTGAGCACGAACATCAAGCCTAAGCGTTCGACGTACCTGCTCAGCGGGCTCGAGGCAGGCGAGATGTGGATCTACAGACCAGTGAGCATGATGGCATACGTGGGGTGCATGGTGGAAGCGAAAGTCCCTGAGGGAGTGAACGCACAAACTATATAGTTTGGTTTATTCGTCTGTGAGTTGTTTGTATCAGTACACGGATGTTGGTCGTGTCAAGTGCGACATGCTTCCCATTGAATGGTTGGTGAGAGATTCTCTTGCATACATTGCTCCCCAACAGGCGCGATGGGGCAGTCAGACCCTAAATAATGCATTCGTGCGCGAATATGTTCGCGGTCGAGCCTTGAAGCTTAAGCCTATCCAGAGCCAGGTAGAGCTCTGATATCTTAGCGGAAGTAGGCTAGTTCAAGGTCCGGGCTCATGTTCGGAGCTAGCTCGCGCTCGCACCCGTTGAGGTAGAACAACGTCATAATGTTCACGTTGACGAAGAGGGCGTTGAGGTATATCTGCAAATTTTACATTGAATTCGACTTCTGGCTGCAAATCACTCGATAAACAATGTACCTGCACTATTGCTTCAGGAGCACGCCACTTGAGCATTTCTTTCATGAGCTCAATGAGCACGGCGGGATCAACACGCATGATAGACAGAGCGAGAGCTGCCGTATCTAGATCATCGGGTCGCGGGTCCCGTTTGTGGAACGAGGACCCTCGCGGAAGCAGTTCTGCCCCCTCTAGCTGGCAGGCTGGACTCAGGTGCTCCGTAAAGTCCTCGAGGCCTTCTCCTGCTCATCGAAGAAGAAATGGTGACTCCCTTATTTTTTCCAGCGATAAAGTTATGCTTTCTCAGGCGGATACAAAACTGAGTTTATGAATAAATAAACAAGACTCAAACCTTTATGGTCTGCGGATGCTTACCTGGTCTCGAAGACCCTGGTGGTCACTCAAAAAGAGTGCCTGCCTGCCTTGGTCTAGTAGCATATCTCCCTATACAATCTTACAAAGGGTATTTATGTGTGATTTCGCGGGGTGTCTGACATTACATGTTTAAGTGAAAGGCAGCGAGTGAGCAAATAGCCATGTGTTGGAGCTTACATAGGGCTACCTTGCATGTGGCATGTGCCAGTGGCGTGTTGTCGCTGGTAAGTATATCGTCATGTTATTCTACACCATACGTTTTGTATGCCGCGTGGCAGCCGAGCATCTGCAACCGCCCAGCTCTCATTCAGATGGAGATGTGATACATTGGTGGAGATCGTTAGGCAGGTCATGAAGGGCATTTTGCAAATGACTGTAGGTTGACCTCCGAATAAGGCACGACTCAACACGAAGTCCATGCTGAGAAAAATAACGCCAAACTCCCCGACAACCCCGTTATACCTACACATCATATGTGCTCGAGGTCTCATCAATTGTCATACTGAATTGACTCAACCTGATTCGCCACCTCTCGCTATCGGACCAAGACTGACGCGAGAAAAGGTCACACATAGAGGGGGGATCAGACGCACCAATAAAGCGCATGGTATAAGGATGCACGTTCCCAAGTTACCAATTACAGACTCACAATTCGCTGCGGCCGGCGGTCAGGAGTCTCAAGGGCGCCCATAACGGATCTGACGAAGCAAATCTGATCAAGCCTCGGAATCTACCGATGTGTATTATAAATCTTATCTGATACGGCCGACCGAGACTCCTTCCTCCTCGCACTCTCCAGCTCTCTCCAGGTCTACCCGCTACACCATGCCGATCTCACGCACAGAACTCGAGGGCTCCATCCGCTCCGCCATACCCATCACGCATCTGGAGATTATAGACCAGTCGAATGGCTGCGGAGAGAACTATGCGGTTTTCGTCGTGAGCGCCGTGAATACCCTATTTATTTGTGTTATGGAGAGCATCTGAATTTGACGGATGGCTCAGGCGTTCGAAGGGAAGAACACGCTCGCGAGGCACCGCTTCAGTGAGTGTTCAATCAGCGAAGAAGGACGTCCCTGACGTCCGCACGAAGTCAATGATCTGCTCAAGGACCAAATCGCACGTATGCATGCGTTTTCACAGGCGAGTGATATCAGACTTGCTTTACAGTTCAATCTCATATCTCGACTAGAAAACCTTGACGCCGAAGCAGTACGAAGTGCAGCAAGAGAAGGTGGAGTCATGATGTTGACTACTCGCCATTGTAAGATGTCTGGATACGTGAGTATCCTCGCAACGACTATTTGAGGAAAGTGCTCTGACGAGCTTATCAGCCTGTCAGCCCCACGACATTACCTGTCAGGAGTTGAAGCAAGACGCTATATCCATACCATGACGGACGTTGCTTTGTATCCTAACAGCAGCTGTACAATCTGAATAAATGTATACGGAATACAGTGAGATACTTTTGGGAGGCCTACAAGACATACCCCAATCCGCAGGCATGCGACAGAATAAATATCGTGAGATGAGGACATCGACACATCGGCGCGCAACACGTATGGAGTTATGCGAAGTGTATGCCAACATCATGGAAAGCGGATAGCAATCTGAAAATGGGGGATTAACGTGAGCGATGAAAATCCGAGACACAGAGAATAGACGTACTTGAGAAGATCGTCGATGTCCATCTTGGCAGCACGGCTCTCACCGAACGTCGTCTCCTCAAGCACTTCCTCGACCTTCTTCTTCATGTCGACACCGTCTTCGATCATCTGAAAGAACATTAAGAAATGGGGAATGCCGAGGTCCTTGCGGGAGAACATACCACATTGTTGACCGACGCCCACGTCCGCCAATTGCTCTCCAGCATCTCCATCACACCCTTCGCCTGGAAGTTCGCATGGATCATTTTGTTCCTACGCCCAAACACAATCCGCGCCAGCCCGTCAAACTCGCCAAACTCGACAGGCGGCGGGGGGTCGCGCGGCACGAGGCGGATGACGCTGCTCTCGACCTTTGGTGGCGGACGGAAGTTGTTCTTGCTGACGTGCATGACGAGGTCGACCTTCGCGTACAGCTGGACGTTCGCGGAGAGGCGCGACCACATCTCGCTGCCCGGGCGCGCGACGAGGCGCATCGCGAACTCGCGCTGGAACATCAGGATCGCGGTGCGGAAGAGCGGACGGTGCGAGAGCAGGCGGAAGATGAGCGGCGAGGAGATCTGGTAGGGCGTGTTGGATATGCAGACGTCGAAGTACGGCAGCGTCGCTTTCACGAAGTCGCCGATCATGATTTCGAGCTTGCGCTGTTCGGGTCTGCGAGCATGTCAAGGGAAGAATAGGAGAGCTGCGGGGCATGCTCACTTTCCCTGCACCCGCTTCGTCAGTTCGGCCGCCATGCGGGGATCCATCTCCACGGCCGTGACATGCTTCGCCTTCTCCAATATTCGCACCGTCAAATTTCCAGTACCGGGACCGACCTCGAGAACCTTGTCTGTGGGCCGCAGATTCGCCTGTACTTCACCCAGTCAGCCGCCAAGAGCGTCCCGCATCCACTTTTTCACGCACTGTGTCCACAATCCTACCATCACATGAGCAAAGCAACGGACAGGCTCGCAAGACAGACGCACGATTGGGCGGTTTGCGGGTTCTTCAGGATATGCTGGCCGAACCGCTCCGTATTGAAGATGGGGTTATGTGCGCCTGAGGAGGAGCTCGAGGAGGAGGCGGCATTAGATTTTGCCTTTGCTGAGGGTTGGTGTGCCCGACTGAAGCGGTCGGATGTTGCGCGAGGCATTGCAGACGATTTGAGGAATGAAAGGGTTGGTTGCAACTGAAAGCGGGCGGAAAGAAATTGATCGGGATCGAGCATATCCCATATACGGAAGTGGATGCTATTTTGGATTTCGTGCCTGACAGAGGCATTTTGACCGGAACCGCATGGATAATAGTAGCACTTACCTTCCAACTACTATGTTCACTATCGTCCCTACTCTTTGGACATACAGAACCCAAGTCAAGCGCATCAATGACTTCTTCTAATCGAGCACCTAAGTACTTGTTCCGAGCACGACCAGTGCGCACGCAGTGAGTCCCAGGAGACAGATCCCGTTCAGAACGTGGTGGTCGCCAGGTCAATACTCACCGTGCTGGACCTAACGCGAATAGGATGCAGAATTTGAACGTGATGGCATCTAGAACCGTTAATGGAGCACATGCCAGAAGGCTCTCACCCATGCGCTCTTCTCCAGTGCACCTCACAAGGCGAGTAAATGAAGAAGAATGACATTGCATGGTACAGATACAGATGAACACGTGTCGGACTTTGACAGTGCGATTTAACATTACAGCGAACACGCGATATGGTAGTGAAGATTCTGAATAATTACGGTGGCATCGCTGATGCAGGTAGGCAGAGTTCATCTGCGTGTAGGTATCAAGATGAAGGTGAGCGCACTCGCCTAGTACCGGGACGCCTCTGGATATATCATCAGAGAACGTCCCCAACGATCTCCACCGAGTCGCCTGTCTCCGTGCGCTGCATGGTCGACTGGCGGAGGACGCTTCCGACACCGCTCTTCATCGCGTACTTCTCGGGGTTCTCCTGTTTCCCGCCCCCATCGATACTGATCTCGCATACACCATTGGTGACAGCGGCAACGTCCTCCACGCGGATCTCCATCGGCTTCTCTATGTCGCCCTGTGTCTCGGCTTCTAGTCTCCGCGCGTCACGACGTGCTGCCTCTTCCAACCGTTCAGGGTCTCCGTCCATGACCGGGAAGCTACCCCCTTCAGGGTGTGCATTCGCTGCACGCTTGGCCTCGTCGGCCAGCGAGCCCGGTGGAGGTGAGCGGCCAAAAGCTTCCTCTTCCGCCTCCGCAATACGCTCTGCGCCCACTGTGGACAACCGTCAATGACGTGATTTAGGAAAGACGACAAGTCTTGTACGTACCCTTACCCAGCGTGCTCACGTTCACTTCATTGACTATATTGAGCTCCCGATCTGCCTTGATACGCTCAGCGTCTCGTAGTGCGATTTCCTTCAGAGTGTCCGGATCCACCGACACCCCAGGTCCCTCTGGGTGTTTGGCAGCGGCCGCCTGCGCCTCCGCCGCAAGCGAGCCCGGTGGCGGACGGAATCCGAGAGCGCGGTGTTCGTGCGACATGAGGGTGCGTGCTTCCGCTGCGCTGATGGTGGCAAGGTTGACGCCTCCAACCGGTGGGGATATCTTTGCTGCTTTCGCTACACCGTTGCCGTTTGCCTTTGTCGGTGAATCCGGATCAACGTTTGTCTTCCGCTCGGCGAGGATGCGGACGGCGTCCTGACGAGCGAGCTCTTTTAACTTCACAGGATCAGGGAGCTTTGTGGGGTTGCCTTCAGGATGTTTAGCAGCAGCGGCCTGTGCCTCCGCTGCCAGCGACCCGTGTGGTGGCCGGAACCCCAATATTCTGTGCTCTTCGGACATGATTTTCCGTGCTTCCGCTGCTCGTTTGTCAGCTTTCCGGCCACACTCTGCGAATCGTAGAGCGCCTCACCCTTTCCGATGGCGTCCAGATCGATTCCCACAGCATCGGCGACGGAGCCCCGGCGCTGCGTCGCACCCGATACAATGGACGGCTCCGCAGCACGCAGGAAGTCTCCGGAAACAACGGTGACCTCATTCGTGACAATGCTGGGCGGTGTGGCCGGGGCTGACATGGCGGGGGATGAAGACTGGGAGGACATAGTGAGGTGGTGGTGGTTGGTGTAAGCGATGCTGCTGCGCCGTGATCATATAGGAAGTCCATGGGTGGCGCTGTGGCACACAGGCGTCCGTCGGCTGCTTCAGTGATCATTGTGGGGCGTCACGTCGCCGCGTTGCGAGACGCGTCGTGTCACATATCATGTGACGCATATTACACGCGTAGGTCACACAAAGGCGACATCTGTCTGGACGCGATGTCGTAGTACTAGTGATATTAGGGCTGTTATTTTAGTAGCGTCAACTGATCGTGCTATGCTATTGGTATGCAGAGTGATCGTCATATGTGTATATGTTGTATCTGTCACAAAGATATCAGCTTCCAAGGCCGGGTGTTATACCTACTCCTTGCCAACCAGGGTGTTCAAATTACGGCATTGTGGAACCCGGTAAAGCGGGGTTCTTCGCGCCAAGCTCACGATTCTAGTGTATGTTGCAGATGCATCCGCCTTGCGAACCGCACCGAGCGCAGTCGGTGACATCTGGGCCACAGGTTTAGTGCGCGTGGGTGTGGAGCTGTTGTGAATGGTTCAGACGGCTTGGCCGGGAATGCGTTGGTTCTTCGACATTTGCGCACTGAATTAGCGCTCTATTCGACTGCGGAGGGCTTGCTTGCAACGTGCGCGCCCGAGAGCGCTTCGCTTGCGACGCTGAAATGTAACGTCATTGGTGCTGAGATCGGTTGGGACTCGGCCGCCTGCATATTGCCAGTCGCGGGCTCGGGCCAGCGTCGGCTCAGCTTCATTCACCACATTCGACGCTCACATGGGTACTGGATTCCACGCACTCGAGCTTTGGTGTACTTGTCCTGACGTCGTCCACAGGCTACAGCCACGAAGCACTCCCGACGTGGGACTTCGGTCGGTACCCCCACTTTCTTATCTAGATTACCCCGGAACAGAGGCCCGGGTGATAGTTAATTTGATCGCGCAGTCAGGAAGTTCCCGAGAAGCGGGGCATGCCTATCGGCCGGTCTACGTGCACTTGTCACTCGCTCGTCTTCCCTGCATGACGACCGGTATGCGTTCTCATGTCCGTGATCTGCGTTGCCTACTCGAGGAACTGAGTGCCACGGAGACGATGCGAATGGCTTCTATCCTCCCACCACCTATTTCAACATCTGTGTACTGCTAAGATGTTCGTCTTCCGAGGGTTTCAAGTAATCATGAGCAGGACACGTAGACCACGGAGTGAGTCTGCATACTGTGGAGTACGGGGTTTCGTAAAACATTTTGATGCCTGAGCCTATGTGCTCGAACGAGCAAACGCGCTACTATTATACCATTTAGGCATCATTCCTAATGGTCTTGGCAGTTTGTATACCAACTTTCACGGCATTCCATAATTAATTGCGAGCAGTAGAGAGGTGCCGGCTGGAAGCAGCTAAAGTGCGGTAGTTCTGCGAACTCTGTCACTCATGGGTCACTGCGGCAAGTTCAACTCCGCCGTGGCAGGACAACGGCTTATAATTACTGTGAATCTGTCTCATCAAGAATTTGCAGAAGGTCATACAAAGTGTCTTAAAACCCAAAAACCCCCATTCCACAACAAAGCTATTTCTCCCCAATCGGCTTCACAGGTAGACTACAATGTATGTCTATAATGTCATACAGGTGTCAGAAGTACAGTCTTTGAGATAGAAGATGAGATCACGCTGTTTTGCAAAATTGATCGACTTTGCAAATCCCCGTACTCCACAGTATCGCAAGGATATCCGGAATGAACAAGAATATAAAACTATCGTAAAGTCATTCATTTACCAAGACAGACATTATGTAGCCTACAGTCATTAAAAAGCATAAGACACCAAGCTCTATCTGCGTAGCTTCTTCACTGAGGGAGGACGCGCGCCTTCGAGTCGCCGCTCGACAAAGAAGCATCGCTGGGCACGACGCCCTGCACACGTTCCTCGTGCGCCTTCTCAGCGGCCGCCACCTCGAGATACGCCGGCGTGAGCGCTAGCGCCAAACCAAACACGCAGGTCAGCCTCCGATCGCGCAGGACAAACTAAGCAAGCGTCCACGTACTCCGATTCGAGTCGTTCAGCACGAACTCGTAGAAGACGCCCGCGAGCAGCGTCGCGGGGATGTTCGTGAGCGCGGCGATCGCCGCGTACCGGCCGCCGGACGCGGGCAGGCCCCAGAGCGTGAGCGCGGCGAGGCGGCCGCCGACGTCGCGCGCGGAGTTGGCGGCGAGCCCGACGGGCGCGTAGCCCCAGATCACGATGGCGCTGTGGGTGTGGTGGGGGTGGTCAGGGGGCTCCTGGATACGCGGATAGAGGGGGCGTACTATGTGAAGGCGATGATCCAGGGAGCCATGGTCGGTGGCGAGAACGGGTTCGTTGGCTCGATCGCGCCGAAAACGCACACTGCGAGGATGAAGTCCTGTCATACCAAGTCAGCACAAGAGCGCCATTGAGGCCCCGGATGGACTTACGCAGACGAACTCGTTCACGAAGATGTTGCCGAGGCTCGCGCCGGGCGTCGCGTACAGTCCGAAGATTCCCCCTGGACCTTGCGAGGTGAACATGATTTCGTCATAGACACCCTTTGCCATGAGAGCTTCTGTCGCTTCCTGTGTTGTGCAGGAGGTCATCGTGGTGTACACCAAGTCAGCGAAGGTCGTTTACGTACCTGGATTATGGTGTGATATTGGGCGTAAATGAGGAGGCAGGCGATGTATGCACCGAGGATTTGCGCGACAATAAGCCTGAGCCGCCATCAGAGGTCGCCCAGAAACAGATATTTTCGCTGTCTGATTTGGCACGCACATGAGGGCTCTCTGCGGAGTACAGTGCCCGCGGACTAGGGCATACACAGTGAAGGCTGGATTTACATGGCCTTTGGAGGCGGGCTGTGAACATGTTGGTCGGCCTTGCACATATATCCACAACGGAGTCACCGACCAGGCAGATAGTAAGTGCCAATACGATTCCGATGGCGTACGCGACACCAATCTGGAAGAGACCTGTTGTGTTCCACGCACAGTAACGTTGGCCGATGCGTCACGTTTAAAGACAGGATGCACCCACTACTTATGCTGGGGAGGCCTAGGATGTTGCCTAGGACCCAACCAGCCGTCGAGCCTACACCAGCGAAGGTATACAGGAATGTCCCCATCTGTTCAGCTCGCTCGATGAGCTCAAGGCGACATGTGACGATGCTGGACTGACCGCTTCGGCAGTGAATTCGACGAACCAACGCGCGTGACCATGCCGCCTCCTCTCCCAGTTCGCCATGAACCGCGAGCGGGGCTTGACCTCGGCAAGATGGACATGCACCGCGGTGTCAGACTTCATCTTCGTCCTGGTTGAAGTGGGAGATGGTCAAGGGGGCCGAGGGGACGACTGGCCTTTAAACTTTCAGGAACGCCGCATTTTGTAGTTGGTGAGGCGCTTTCCAATTTAGCCATTTTGATGGGGCGGCTGCCCCCATGAGAGCTTCTCACATACATATGGGGCTTAGCGCCCATGTGAGCAGCCGAGATCTTGTCATGAGAAGACCTACGGGAGAGGAGCCAATGGCACGAGGGCGCGTGTCTCTATTCACCTTCTTGCCTCCGCCTCTTCCTCCTCTTCCAGTCAGGGCCAAGGTTTGACACTGGGCGCAAATGCTCGGCGGCTTCTGTCTCCGACCTTCGCTGTGTATGGCCCACTCAAAACGCCCGTTGAACTCTGCGGCGCTGATCCGATACTGCAGGAGGTGTGCCTGTGCAGATCGCAATAAATGGACGCTGAACGCTGACGAGGAGACACATACCAACTGCCGATCGTCAACGTTTCGACGATCATCGTACGTAGGGCAGTACCGTCTTGCTCATCAACGTTTGCTTCATGACCGGGGGTGAGGCTGCAGCAGCTGTTTTACATCTGTCGAGAACAAGATCACGAGGCGGTGGTCCGCCTTCCTCGTCGCTAAAGCCAGTCAATTTATCGGTGGTCACCTTCCTGTGCAGCGGTGGTAACCCATCGGCAGATTCTGGACTACCAAACCTTACCAGAGCAAATGTATCGCAATCTACACCCTAAGCAGGCCCAGGCCTCCCATTCGCATAGAACGATAGTGGATCGATCAACAGAAACTGTCAGCAGATGAGGCAGTGTGGTCTGGGAGAAGCCGTCCGTCTTCCTCTCCTGCGCTACGTTCACAGCATCTACTGCCTCGTGCTCAGGGTTCTCTTCAGGATCATCGTCTGGCTCGTGCAGGCAGTAACGGAACTGACGCACCTTCTACGCCGTCTGCACTGCCATGTGCTGTCGACTGAATGCTGCCCCAAAGTCCAGTACACGTGTCTGAGAGCGGTGCGGTGAGCATCTTGGTGGACGCCACATGGGCCCCTGATGAGGCGATGATGCCCGGTATGAAGCGGAAATGGCGGTCAGCGCGATGCTCCACCATAGGTCGCCTGACTGTTTTGGCCACCATGGGGTCTCAGAAGAGCGATCGAAGGATCTTGCCTGGTCGGCCATAAAAGGGCGTCCGCTAGAACATTTTGCAGCGCATTGCCTCCTCATACGGCGTCCCTCGAGCTGCTTCCTGTGAGCCCTGCTGGTTTGAGCCCTGCTGGTTTGAGCCCTGCTGGTTCTCGTAAGTATCTCGGGATCCTTGCAAGAATTCCGTACGTGCGTGAATCTGTCAGAATGGCAAAAGCCTCCGCATACGATGCAACGCTCGCACATTGTGAAGTTGTCCGAGGTTCGATGCTGGCGGGGCGCCTTGCGGGGGGATATGCGGAGGAGTTTGTCCAAAACAAGTAAGGACCCACACTTCTATCTCACATGAGATATTTGTAATGGCTACCCGCGAGCGAGGGTTCATCGGTACAATTGAAGGGAACAGCATCAGCGCTCACCGCCTGCGAAAAGCTGCACCGCGGGACTTAAATGGATAGCCAAAGTAAGTTGATACATGTATATCAGTGACAAGTGTGTCCGAGCCTAGCTTCGGGCCTAAGAGATGCCAGCTGCTATAGCTACCTACTGCTTGGAAGCTCATCTTATCTACTCTTATCTATGTCCGTCTACACTTCGAGCGTGTACCGAATGAAGCCCGCTGAAAATTCTCGTGTCGAAATGTATTGGTGACGGGCAGCTCATGCAGGTGGAAAGTACAACAGCAAGGACGGGTCGTCGTGGCAGAGCTTCAATGCCAAATTTCAAATGCACAAGAGTACAACGATGAGATCATATCAATCTGTTCGGTCAAAACCAGAACTTGGAGCGAGTATTTAGGTCGAAACATACAAGAGGCTTGTGGGGCTTTTGAGCTAATGCTCGTCCTTATGCGACCGCGCCGTCTCGGGCTAGACCTGCGCTAGGTTGTCTAACTTTCGGGTGCTTTCCCTATATGGTGCTACCTTTACTTAGTATGGGAGCGGCATTTCGATCAAGAATTTCCCCCCTCTTACTCTTCATTATTTCTCCCTCGCACTTACCGATCGACAACGTAGTGCCTTCTAGATTCCCCTTCGGCATGTCATCTCAAAGGAATCATAACGTCCCACGAAGGCCAGGAGAATCACTCGATCAGGTGCCTATGAGCATATATAGGAGGGGTGCTCAATTCTTGTCGCTCGTTCGTGAAGCACCCACCATTTTTGGTATGTATTTTCAACCCCGACTGATCCTTCAGCCACCCGCGATCGACAGCGACATGGCGAGCTCCAATCGCAAGTCTCATGGTCATTGGTTACTCACGATTATGCAAATACTACTCAATACAGCCAATGATGCGGCTTTGTACAACAAGGCTCAAGGAATGATCTAGATGACTGCGACTGCCTGCAATTGCAATATATGCAGTATATTCTTGAAGCTTGAAGATGGTTTCTCCAAAATACGTCTGTGTCGGATTCTGACTTCCTCGATCGGAACGTCCCTGCTCCCTACGTCAATCCGATTCCATAGCTCATTCTCTGTCTACCTCCACGTGATACCTACTCTACATACTTATACCTTGCTCCGCCGCTCCCCTGCTCCCCACTTCTCTCCTCAGTTGTTGTACCACTACGGCTGAGGTATGTTCATCTCGTCTTTCTCCCCCGTCCCAGTACTGATTCGAACTTGTAGACTTACTCCATTCGCGTCGATGGCGGGCGCCTGAGGGATCAGCGTTCAATGTCCCGGTGATTGCCGAATACGCTGCTGTATCCTTGTATCCGCCGGCCGCGTCGGTAACGCGCTCTCATCTTGTCTTCATCTTCATTCTACATCTCTTATACGAGATACCACCGCTTGCGGTGCACATCCTTGCCATCGGTGAGCCACCAACTGCTGGATTTCCACCACCAGGCGCAAGGCAGGTGCTGGCGCCCACATCGAGCAGCATCGACGCTACCGCCCTGACGACAAACGCGACATCATGCCTCCCCCAGAAAGCCTGTTCGCCATCGACTCGCCCCGCATCGCCGCACTCAGCGAGGTGCCCGAGGACAGCGTCGTGACCCCGCGCTCGCCCTACTTCCACGCTGCGCTCTCCTCGTCTACCTCGACCTTCAAAGCCGCGACCGCCGCGACGGCCGCGACGAGCAGCAGCAGCCTGTCCAGCGCGTCCGCCACGTCGTCCTCGCGCGGCGTCGCGGGCCCGCGGAGCCCGTCGCACCTCGTGCGGCCGTCGCCCTCGAGGTCCACTAGCGAGGTGCGGGAGAGCGTCGCAAGCGCTGTAACAGGGAGTGGGCGCGGCACGCCTGCCGCGGGCGGGAGCCGAACACGGTCGGGCTCGCCGGCGACGCTGAAGGAGAAGCACCGCGAGCGCGAGGGCGATCGGGAGAGCGTGCGGGAGAAGCACCGGGATCGTGGCAAAGAGCGGAGTGCTAAAAGCTCGAAGAGCTCGGGCAGCACGCAGAGCGGGCCCCGGATGCGCACGACGCCGCACCTCCCTCACGCGAAGGACGTCGAGGTGGCGCCGCCGACGCTGATGTACTGGAGCCCGGCGCCGGTGTTTGGGCTGCTGCCGCAGCACGGGATGCGGGCGCACTCGGCGACGCTGGTGGACAGCGTTGTGTGGCTGTTTGGCGGGTGCGACGAGAAGGGGTGCTGGAAGGACGTGTATCTGTTCAATACGGGTGCGCAGCGGTGTCTGACGTGATTATGGGAACCTGATTATTGAATTGCAAGCGCAGAAACGATGCAGTGGATGCAGCCCGTGATGCTCGGCGACGTGCCCCCGCCATGCCGCGCGCACACAGCGACTCTGGTTGATCGCCGGATGGTGGTGTTTGGCGGCGGAGAAGGCCCTGTATACTACAACGACACATTCGTGCTCGACACGGCGACCAGACGCTGGACGCGGGTTGTCTTCCCGGAGGGTGCGCCCGTGCCCCCACCACGGCGTGCGCACACGGCAGTGCTATACAAGAATAAAGTGTGGGTGTTCGGAGGTGGGAATGGCATGGAGGCCCTCAACGATGTGTGGACACTGGACGTGAGCGGGCCGGTGGAGCGGATGCGGTGGCAGCTGGTGGACACGCGGGGCAAGAAGCCAATCCCGCGGGGCTATCACACAGCGAATCTAGTCGGGAACGTGATGGTGGTTGTGGGTGGCAGCGACGGGCGTGAGTGCTTCGCTGATATCTGGTGTCTGAACCTCGGTAAGCACTCACCTGATGTTGATTTCGGGGAGCGATGGCTGATTGAGAGAATGCTGTACACTGTATTTATGGTCTTGTAGACTCGCTAGTCTGGAGTCAAGTAACGCTTGACGTGTCGTACCGACGGCTGTCGCACACCGCGACACAGGTTGGGTCGTACCTGTTCATCATGGGTGGTCACGACGGTAGCCAGTACACGTCGGAGCTGCTACTCTTCAATCTCGGTGCGTGCCCACGCCTGTCCTGATGCGCGCACCTTGTGCGCCTTCTGTCCTCCTATTGACGTAGCGTTTCGCACAGTGGCGTTGAGCTACGAGCCCCGCTCGACGGCGGGGAAGCCCCCGTTGCCCCGCGGGTATCACGTCGCTTTCCTCGCGGACAGCCGGCTCTTCCTCATCGGCGGGTTCAATGGGAGCGACGTTTACGACGACGTGCACATTCTCGATCTCGCGGGCGCGGCGTACCTCCCGCAAGTGACGAGTTTCACAATCGACGTCGAATGAATAGGAGAACTACACCCTCGTATCTACATCTGACGGGCGGGGCCCACGAGAAGGGGGGAAGGGGGGATGCGTGTAATTTATGAGGATTGGATATCAGTAAGGAGCGCATAATCTTTGTTGTATCTGACATTCGCGCATATGCGCTGTTCAAGAACATAGCAGTGGTTCCGTGGTCATGACGGTCTGCCTGATTGAGTGAAGCTGTGCGTGTTGTGGATGCAGGTACGTGACAGAGTATCAGGCCAGGTCGCGGATGGTGGCTATTATTGGCAATACTGGTGCGGGGTTTGCGCGCTGCTGCTGATGTGCGGATGTTGCTAACAGAACTCAGATGTGTGCTGTCTCGTTGCGGGGAGCAGACAGCCTATTATAGCCATCTTAATTGACAGCCTGCATGGTGGCGTCCTCAAGTGCGCATCTGTAACTGCATCCGCAACATTCCAACACATCCACTGTCTACTTTGAGAAGGAGGCCTGAGGAGGCGTTGATTCGACCACTGCCCAGCCTCCACTGGGCTTCACGTATCACTGACCGCGACATGGTCCTGACAGGATATGGCAAGGCCGGCGACGTGCGGCAGCGGGGTTGTCTGTTCGTTACCAGCCCAGCACATGATCGATCAGGGCGCGTTATATGTAGATGGCAGGCGACCGCTATCAGTCGTCGACGCATACCGACGCGAGCTATTGTTGGCCACAGGGGCAGGGAAGGAAGGTCAATATGCGGTAGTCTGGCGCACCGGGGCGTCTGGACGGACCCGTAGCGCTGGGGGCTCGTCACTGGGCAACCGTCCGCGCGAGGCCATTGGCTGCCGCGCGTCGCCCGTAGAGATCGGGTATTGGACGTGCTGGAGGTGATGCAGGTTGAGCGTATGCACGTCTTCTGCAGTATCAGATACGGCACTCGTGTGGCAACCACTATTTTTTGAGACGGGACGGGGCTGGCTCCACAATAGTTGTACTTTGCACGAGTTATTTTGGTTCGCAGATGTGGGTCCAGAAACAATGGCGCGAAGGTCCAGCGGATACGGCGTTCATTGAGGGGGGATGCCGGGTCGGCGCTGACGGCAGCGATGGTGGATTGCCGTGACGACGAGAGCAGGCTGGCTGTCGGTCCCATCGTATGGAAATCGAGGAAGAATGGGGTTGGCAAGGCAACCTCGCGCTTCGTATCTGATTAGCTGGGCGACCATGGGCCAGTCACATGCGGAATAGGAACGCGACGACGTTGTACCACTCGAGCCGGCCCTCATTGGCCGCGCGAGACATTATAAAACAGCGAGACCTATCGCAGCAGATTTCACCACTTCTCCCCCTCTTCCATCTTGCCTTGCTCTTGCTCCCGTCCGCTGGCCGTTGCCTTGCGCTTGCGTCTACTCGACCCGGAGTCGTTCTTTCCTTCTTTCATCGGCTCTACTTCGTTGTCAAGCTCACAAAGCATCCGTTCCCTCTTTCATTCATTCGCCGCCGCCCATTCTCATATAACTTGAAGCCGAAATGTTTGCCAAGGCCATCGTCGTCGCTTTCCTTGCTCTTTCGCTCACTGCGAGCGCGGCTCCGGCAGCCTCTTCTGATTGTGTCAGTCTGATCTTCTCCTAAATTAACTTTCGTGATCGGCGCTCACACATCTCGACTATTATTAGACTGTCACGGTCACGGCCCGCGGCGTCGCTTCGTCTGCAGCCCTGGTTTCCACTGGTGGCAAGGGTAAAAGCAGTCAGTACATGCTCCCTTAAATTAAATGTCTGTGTTCACGCAAGTTCTTCAGCGAACAACAACACTGGTGCAGCTGCTTCAGCTGCCAGCGGCTCCGCGGCTAGCACCTCCTCAAACACCGGTAGCCTCCAATCGTCATTAAGTGAGCTGATTGAACATCATGGGAGACGACAAACTGAACTCTGTGCCGCAGCGTTGGACTCTTCGTTGATTCAGACCGGCTTCAACCAGAACGGTCAGGCTAGTGGAGAGTGTGTATGCTCCTGTCCCTGCCATATCATCAATCTGACAATCCCCCCAGCCCTGAGGGTGCCGGCCAGGTCGCTGCCAACACCTCCGCGAACAACTTCATCAACTTCTGTGCGGAGTACGCCAACCTGCCGCTCACAAACGGCACGCAGATCAAGACCGGGTCATGTAACGCGGCGCCGATGGGTGTGATTCCCGCAACGACCGCGATGCCCTCCGCCAAGTTCGTCTTCCCCGCCAACCTCGCCACGATCCCCGCCAACCAGAACTTCACGATCCAAATGGCCATCAAGAACCTTGAGACGGGCAACTTCGTCAACCCGGACACGAACTACTTCGCCGCGCCCCAGGTCATCAACGCGCAGGGCCTCATCGTCGGCCACTCGCACGTCGTCATCGAATCCATCCCCTCGCTTGAGACCACAGAGCCCACGGATCCCCAGACCTTCCAGTTCTTCAAGGGTCTTAACGATGTCGCGGTCAACGGCATCCTTTCGACGACGGTTGCCGGCGGTCTCCCCGCTGGTACCTACCGCATGGCCTCGATCAACGCTGCTGCCAACCACCAGCCTGTGCTCGTCGCTGTCGCCCAGCACGGTACTCTGGATGACATGGTCTACGTAAGCGTTCTCATTATGACATCGACTGCGAGCCGGCGCTGATTGCCCCTGTTTCCAGTTCACCGTCTCTGACAACGGCGCCGCTAGCTCTGCGTCTGGTGCTGCCGCGAGTGGTGCTGCTGCGACCGGTGCTGCTGCAGGTGCTACTGCCTCGAGCGCCGTCTCGTCTGCAGCTGCGAGCGCAAGCGCGGCGGCCGCGGGTGGCAACGCCAACAAGGGTGGTGCCGCCGGTGCAGGTGCTGCCGCTGGCAAGGGTGCAGGTGCTGCTGCCGGCAAGGCAGGTGGTGCTGGCAAGGGTGCGGCTGGGTTCGCAGGCAAGGGCAAGCGGTGGTTCGGCCGGGCGTGAGTGCGCGGCTAGCCGTGCATCGACGTTCCCCGTCCTCTCCTCTTCGTGAGCCCTAGCCCTGTGCCATACCCCGTCCGATCTCGTCTGTACACCTATGTTATTTGAGTCTGGGCTGGCTCGCTTCGCTTTTTCCTTCGCTTCCCACTTAGTACACTTGAACGTCGACGCATGCGCGCCTGGTCGGGCAATGGCCCGGAGCTGTTCGTTCATCTTTGGCAGAGCTTTCAATATACAGGCATTTTCTGATGGACAGCTTTTGGTGTGCGGTGTGATATTTTGGATGCGCCTTTCGTGATGCCGTCTGGGAGCCTTTGAACGGTTTGTGGTTGTGTCTTTTCTTCTGGCGCGCAGCCCATAGCAGCATGAGAACTGACATTGGTGTTGTGGCATGTCGGCATCCGTCGCTGCTAGTGTGGACTGTATCGGGCTGACATTCCCACTGAGACTGTTGTTGTCAAAGAGCTCGCATATGCACTCGGGCCGTAGTACCACCCACGCGCCGAACGGCTCCGATACACAGTCAGTGTGGCAGGGTGTGTTCCGCCCATCCGCTTGACGATCTTCCCCGCAATTTTACAACGATACGATGTGTTCGTCGCCGTCGCAACATGGGAACATCGGTGACAGGCTTGGCATTTGGGCCGGCTCCGCGCCCGACATGCCCATGCGGCGCGAAGATATGTCGAAGTTGTCATGACATTAGAGTGTCCATTGAGCATGTAAGCTGCCAGGTGTGTGTGCGGTTCAAAAGCGTTGTGAATACCTCTTCAAAATGTCTTGCGGTGCATGGCGAAGGCGCCTGCATTCTGTGCATGCCATGGCTCCCTGAAAGGGTGGGTCCGTGGATACCATATACCCAAGGCTGGATTACACCTCTCCAGGCCTACCCACTCTCACCGGGTGATGCATGAAGGCCGCGTGAGAAGTCGAAGAAGGCCCATCTCCATTCCTTGCTGGCGATCGACGCACGAACATTGTGTGACAAGATGAGACACTGCGTAGTGCAGGAATAGATGTTTCGTGCATCGCCTGCGCGGATCTTGGTGTGTAATAGTGTCCATTATATGGACGTATACTTCACGGCGTGCGATAAGCGGTGGCCATCTCGGACCACCTTCACGAATATACCGAAAAGTATTTCATCCCTATCACCAGAGTTGGTCTCATGCTGAAAGCCATAGACGCCGTTGTCGTCCATTACTGCACTTATCTTCGCACTATCGCATCGCGTACGTTCTTGCGCGGATCACTTCACGTCATAGAGAATTTATAGTTAAATGCTCTACATTCTATTCAAGAGTGGAGGTTATAGCAATCGCGCTTGATAAAATGATGAAAAAGAAGCGAGTCATGATGGTGCAGGCCGGTTAAAAGTGGCAGATCATTGCAAAGGCGAGGCATGCAGATAAAACAGAAGTTGGAAGGATGAGCGCACCCACACCAAATCGATCAGACAATGACCACTCATCTCGAGTGAACACAGACTATCGCGGACGGAAAGATATGCACTGGGTAAAATTGGGACTAGAGAAGGAGCATATAAGATATGACACTGAGGATACCACCTTACATAGCGTCCCATCTCGCCCGCCATGGTAGATACCAGAGCCGTTGACACAGAGCAATGCCGCTGATAGCTAGGGTCCAGCCAATGAAATTTGAGGAGACAAGCGGGATAGATAGCTGACAGAGCATTACAGCCATGTCTACAAAGCCAGACGTATTGCTTGTATTGCGTAATTGAGTGCACGACTTCGTATGAGGGCCCCGGCAAGACCCGGCAATTGCACTGCCTGACCCAACTTGATGACTGGATGTAAGGAAGAAGACGTAAAGTTGTGTCCCTTGAAGCTTGAAGCTTGGAGGAACGGGAAAGAGAGGACTTCGTCAGCTTTGTATCCGGCCACTATGATTGTGCGATCGATCAATCAGTCGTGTAGCCACGTGGAGTAGTAGTGCTCTTGCGGTAATCTTGTGAAGGCTCGGTGAGGGTACAAATGGGAGCTCGTGCTATGGCAATGCACCATCGTCCATCTATGCCTCCCAGCTGGGCTACAATTCGTGTGAGTTGGATTTACTGCTTCGAGAAAGTGTGCTGTTTTCGAGATTGACGCGGCACCACATAATCATTTGGTGTTTCCTGCCTGCTGAAGGCTTCTTGAGAAGCTTGCATGTTATTGCTAAGACAGGAGTATACTTTCCACAACATGCACTGCTATTGTCCTATCAAAAGGTCTTGCCCCGGGGACCGCGTAAGCCCCGCATCCAGGAAAACAAACCTTATTCCCAATGGATATAATGAGGGCAAACTCTACTTGTTGCTGCTGTTGGTGACGATCCGCTCTGCAGACGTGCAGCGTCGTATTGCGTCTAGAACTGCCCAAACGCAACTGTATGTGAGCAATGGCTGCTTCTGATTGCAAGCCGCTGATATCATCCCAGTGCAGAGCCGTGTCGGCGCAATCCACTCATATAACTTCCAATATCGGTCTCCGAAACGCACGTTGCTACCATGCACCCTGGGCCGGGGGTGAACTCCACGGTTGATGGTATGCGCGGTACGTATTATATCTCACCAGAGCTGGTCGTACTATGTTGAATGCTGCTGGAAGATGCCACGTCATTGGACCCGGCTCTGTCAATTGAAGATGATATGAAGGATCTCGAGAGCATTGCATATTCGTCCGCAAACGCCCTGCGTGGTCTAGGCGGGAGACCTCAAGACCACAAAAACGGTCCCCTCGAGGCTGAAGGAGCACTGTGTAAGACAGATCCATTGCCGACGGCTCCAGAAAAAGAGGACATGGAAGTCGATGAAAACAGGAATGAAGTACCTTCGCATTCAATAAGATTTCCGGAGACTGGCATGTGAGTGAATCTATCAATTATTGCTACTACAAGCACAGCGAACCAAAAGCACAGGCCGAAGTTCGTATTTGATCCAACGACTATCGAATCGACGAGAAGTGCATATCGCCGGATAGCACGACCCGTTCCTCAAGAGGTCGCTGACATGATCATTGATCTACTACGCTACGACCCTAGCGCACTTCGCAATTGTACACTCGTGTCCAGAAACTGGATCTACAGATCCCGAAAGTACTTCCCAGGCGGGGGTAGAATCATATTCCGCAACCGCGAAGAGGTTATACGAGTGGTAAATAACGACTCTCGTACTTGGACACCTACCGAAATAGTCGTCACAGGCGAAGGGAGCGGCAGATCACTCGCCCATCTCACTGCAGTATTAGCCAAATATAAGTCGAGGTGGAAGACCCTGTATCGTCTGAGGATAGAACACGGCGACTGGCATGCAGGCGACTTACATTCAGACATCTTTCGCTACTTTAGCGTGTCTAACATCTGGTCGCTGACACTAAACGATGTCACTTTACCGTCAGGGATGGTTCTCAGGCAGCTGATCTTTCCTATGTCTCGCCAGCAGTATCCGAGCTCGTCATTACATCTGACACGGGTTCGGTTTGCGGATGCCTCTCTACCTCATCCTTCACAAGTCCTGCGCTATGATGCAGATTCCCCCACCATGACATCATCTTGCGATTTGAATTTGCGGGTTCTAGACGCAGCATCGCTAGCAGTGCTCACACATAGCCTGCTTGCAGCTCAACACCCCAACTATGCATTGATGCCGAACATCTGGATCATGTCGAATCATGCGGAAGGGTATGAGCGGCCTGCGCTGGCTCCTTCAAGCCTCAGACAGCTACTGCGGGTGACAGGAGGAGCCGTGCATACATTGCGTCTTGATGTCGTTGAAAGTACTGGTGAGCAATCCTGTAGTTCTTATCCTGGGTAGAACATGATCCCTGATCCCTGATCGTCTTATGAAGCTCGCCATCTATCTCCTCTGCTGAGTCCAAGATTATTCGCATACAGCTCAAACCTCAGGCTTCTAGACCTCACGATATTCCTCGACGAGCATTCTATCAGTTGTGAATGGCTGTGCGAAGCCATCTGCAAGCTTCCCGAGTCGCTCGAACGCTTCCAGATAGACTTCAGAATTGGCGTTCACGAAGAAGACGGAGTAATAACACCTGAGAAAGGCCCCCATTGCAATGGTTGTGCTCGGCGTGCGCCCCCGCTAAACAATAATTTCGACCTTCGGGCAGGTGGTATTCATGGAATGTTGCTCCAATTAGCTTCCATCTGCGAGGGATTGGACAGCCGCCTCTCTCGTCAGACAGAAGACCATAACCGCTCGCTCAACATTGGAACAATTAGAATATCCATTTGTAGGTGCGCGGCTCTGGATCGACATTTCTGGAAAATCACATTGGGCGCTTTGTTCCCGAAATTGAAGAAGAAAAAACGGTAAAATATGCCTACTCCAACTTTTATCTACCTTCGTGCTCATGTTGCGTGTTATCAGCTTCGCGGATGAAAGAGTAGTACTATGGTGTCGACACTGCGGGGGGTCTTTGTGGTCACACCAAGAGGATGATCCGACCATCGAAGACGAGCCCCTGGACAGCTCGGATGAGGAGTCGGAAAACTGTGATTGCGATAATAGGTCTCGCCGTTAAAGTGCGCAGGATAACGACACGCCACAATGCCCCTCTCGCTGCTCTTGACCGCGACTTGACTGTCACCTCCCCATCCTCCGTATAAAGCAACCTCGGTAGGAGCCTGAGCAGGATTCCTGGAATCAATATCGTGTAATGTTGACAGAGCAAACTCCGTTTTATACATGGAATTATTTTAGTTTTCTCATACCCAGCACGTGCAGGACAACATGTACGAGGGCGGTCGTTTGATGTGCAGTTTGCGTGAGCATGAGGAGGCATGCGAGTAGCGCGAGAGTATGTGTACGAGCAACAGTGCATGAACCATGAAAGAAACTGAAATGATGTGAAACATGAACACGTCGGACGGGACATGTACACCAGTCGGAGTCGGCTGAGTCTCATGTACGCCGTCCGTTGGCGAAGAGACTACATCCATCCCGTGAGCATATGGAGAAGGACGAAGGGAAGAGATGACGGTCACCGGTTCTCATACAATGTATCAAATGTATCAAATGTATCCTGAATCCGTCCCATTGTATCGTGTACATTTTCATACCGGACATTGTCCGGAGGGCACCGTGCAGCACATCCGGCCAATGCGTCGACAATATCCTTCGTGAGGAGGCTGGCGTCCTGCGTGGCCAGGCACGCACATGCTTTGAAGACTGTATCAGCATGCGCCCATGCATCTGTTTCTCTGCTTTCCTGAGCCACCATCTCCATGCCGAATGGCACAGGTATCTTGCCACAACGGCTAATGCGTATTGATTGACCTCACAGACTTCAGCAAAGTTAGATCGAGGGACATACGCAGCCCAATGGAATGCAGATGACGCATATTGCAAGAACTGTACGATGCTGAGCTCCCTGAGAGCGATTGGAAGGAGTGTGAGCACTGTCTGGATATCTGTCATTGTGGAATGAGTGAGCTGTGTGGAGAGTTTGGGGTGGACTGGATACACACCACTTTTGTCGACGTGGCCATCGTTGAATTTCGGATAGTAACGAACGACGAGCGGGGCGATATAGACCCGAACTTCGTCAGAGGTTCGTCGCTGCCCACAAGTCCATCAAACGACTGCAGACCATGGGCATCGTCCTCGGCATGGCACCCAGAAGACTATTAACGAGCTTCAAGATGCGCTTTTGCTCGCGTTTCTTATCGTTCATATTGCTAGATGTGACCTTGTTGAAGATGTCGATTGACATGTGCCCCAACGTGCCGACGGCTTGATGATCTTGCTCCGCGGCCCACCATAATGTCGTATTGTCTTCGTCATGATCGTGCGCTCGGCGATCCAAGATTTTGTAGAATGTAGGAAGCGCTTCGCTGATATCAGCTTGCTGCAGACAAGGTCGGACGACGGTGCTGAGGAATGACTCGTCCATGACACATGAGTCGGCCTCGGCAAGCATCCTCATTTGGATTTTGTTGTCATCCTCCAGGGTCTGCATACAGAAGTTATCCAGCTCTCGCCAGTCGCTCAAAGGAGGCAGATCCCGCATGAGTCGCCATTCCTCTATCCGACAGCAGCAGTTCCATATCCTGCGTATGACATATTCATGACCACGGTCTACGCGGACACGCCGGTGGATAGGATTGAACCGCGAGTTCTCCAGCTTTCCCATGGTCCATCTCCAGAAACGGAAGAACCACCATGCCTGCGCCGATTTTTAAGGGCAGTCCGGTGAAAGGGATGGGATGACAGAAGTCGCGATGGTCGGCACAAGGAGGAGGAGAATAAGGGCCGTTGCAACGCCCGCAACTACAGTACTGAGAGTCCATAGAAGGATGTCGAGGCCGACAAGGAAGAGGACAAGAGCAAATCGCAGCAGAAGCGGAAGAACAGTTACAGCTTGTTCGACGCCCCAGCGCGTCAATCCTCGACGGCGGAAGAACCACACACGGACGCTTCCCTGCGACGCCTTGGAAGTGCCATTGACGTGGTGGTGCAACCATTGGCTAATGGAGATCGCCACCGACGCCGCACCAAGACTGATAATCAATGCAGCAAACCACAGCACGGCTACAGCAACGGTCGTGGACGATGGTCCAGGAGAGGACTGGGAGTCGGCGGAAAGGGAGATTAACCAGTTAGCGATGGCGGTGTGTCCCGCATCGGCCGCGACAACACTGAGATGGACGGACATAGAAATGAGTGTTTGAGTGACGGCGAGGGCGACATAGAACGGAACAATGAACCTGGTGAGGACGGCAGAGAATAGACCTGACTGGAAACACGCTGTATTAGCATATGGGCTACATGAAGTCGAGCGAACAGCGACAGGCCATGCATGTCACCGCCAGGTATGTCGAGTTACACGGTAAAATACTCACAAAGAGCAGCAGGTTATTGATGTCCTCTTTCCACTTCTCCACCAACGACTCCTCGAACTCCCACACCTCCTTCGCGCACTTCGCCCGTGCGTCGTCTGGTTTTTGTTTTGTTTCGAGCGCGTCCCATAGCACCTTCCTCACTAGCTCTTCGTCGAGCTTGCTCTCTGCGGGCAGCGGTTCATATGTGACTGAAGCCCTACCGCCAGCGTCTGCTTCGTTTGCTTCGTTTGGCTCACCACCTTTTCCATCGCTGCCGATTTGGCTCTGTACTGATAGTACCTGTATTATGCTTTGAGTTGATCAGGACAGCCGTTCGTGGTCAGTTAGCTCACATCAGCGTCCTGAGCAGCTTGTCCATCACGGTCGAACACCTTGATTTCCTCCAAAAGTATAGATTCGCCCATCCACTCGCTGGGTCCTTCTAGGGAGGCTGGCGCGAACCCCTGTATTCCGGCATTTCCTATATGGCTGCTGAGACTAGACGTTGATCGAGACTTCCTCGATCCGCTGCGACTGCGTCTTCCCGACATTACTGGATTCGATTACCGTCTTGGTGTGAGTAGCGTGTAGCGAGGGACGTGGAACGTACAGATATGCTGTTCACACACTTTATGAGGCTCGACATTGCTCCCGAGCGCTGGTGTGGAAGCAGACGATTGGCGAAGTAAAGCAATGCGTGATGGATGCCCATTGAGCTTGATGAAGATGGTGGAGTCCAGGATGCAGAGCCCTCACCTTATGTCTGATAATGTCGTAATGCATGTCATTCCTGTGTTCCATTTTTCCCTAGTCTTCATGAGTTAAGATAGCATCACGTTGCGTATAAAGTTCTCTGACGAGTACAGTTGAATGTTCGCGCGTCTGATGCATCGTGTATGCGACCACATAAAGCCTTGTCAAATTGCACTGCCCCTGCGACACGCGATCTTTAGCATGCAAATTCAAATTGCACATCCCGGTGTGTATTCGGATCGTTGTCATCCGGAAGGCCAAAATGTTTGATGCACTAACCAGCTATTCCGTATGTTCGGCGTGTGATGCAGGCTAGATGAATTCTGGTTCGGCGTTATCTTGTCGCCACACAGGCAATACGACGGCTTCAAGGAATAGATCATGGGACTGATGTATATGAGGATGAAGATAATCGATAGAGTACGCAGCCATAAAGGGCTATAGATCAGCGTGTACGATGACTGTATGCTTATGTCCCCGGAGCCGCTGGTCCTATAACGTGTGTCATGACTTCCTGATCGCAGTGCAGCATGTAAACGGAAGCCCATATCTAGTCGTATCTGCCTGCCGCCATCCAGCAGAGATACGGACAAGACGGAATGTAAGAAATGCCGTAAACTTCGTCATCGACGAAGTACGAGTCGAAAAGGTAGACTCGACACGAGACGCAGGATACAACTCTAGATACAATCCCCGAAGTACAAGCGCTGCACGATTCAGCGTAGTGATTCATTATGCAAAAAACTTTTCGATTAGGAAGCCATCTGGTGCACGACGGTCACACGTGTGAGCGCGTGGCTCACTGCGCTTAATCGTGACTCGCCATCTCTCTCAGCGATGAAACTTTGAGATGCGCTGCATGTAGAAATGTCCAGGACCTGCGCGAATTCTTCAGAGTCAAGATCTCTCAGTGCACAAGGAAACAAGTAAGGTAGCAGGATGAAGGTCCCTCGCACGTCTCCTAATGCGCGACATTTCGCGAATGTGCGCAGGGAGGACTGAGAAATATGTAGCTCGCGTGAAGGAAGTAGCCTGGGCGCTGCCACACGGAGGCGGTCACAATATTGCAGTATGATCAAAGTGGCCGAGAGGGTCCAAACGAACGCAGACGAATTGTGAAAAGTGCTCTCATTGTAATGACGACCGCATTCGAGCACATAGCTCTCACAGAGCATGGTATTTTGAGTAGACGCAAGTAGCATATGTCTTTGACAGGCTCTGCGTCAAAAACTGAGTTGCATTATATATTCAACAGTACTAGGAACAGGCATGAACAGAGTTGCCACGCACTTTCAAATTTGGGATGCCAAGAAACATACAACATCAGAGATGCCTAAAGAGACTTCCGCAACATGACAGCAGCACAGCCGTAGGGAGGGATGCCCAAAATACAGAGTGTTTCGCGTAGCAACAGGTAGAGGAATGCGAGATAGGTAGCTTTATCCAGACGAAAGCCCAAGGTTGTCATGTATACGCCATGTGTTTGTTGTGGTGCGCCAGATGTTGAAGGAAACGAAGAAGCGGCCGGAGAGGAACAGACGAGGCGAGGCCTGGCGAGGCGAAGAGGCGCTCTGTCGGCCATTGCCGATCAAGTGTCCCGGCCCAGCCCTCCTTTGCAAGCTCTGTCCTGTTCTGTCGCCGACGACCTTGCGCTCGCTGTGCCCGAGGCTCCCGCAGCGCACATCTCATGCCCATTCGCCTTTGTATTCTCTCCATCAATGTCTACCATACTCACATGCGGACACTCTGTGTCGAGTCGCCCATTTACGCCCCTTGACCCCCCTTTCTGCCGCTCCCATACTTCCCAACACGCTCCCACCCTCTCTGGCTACTCTGCCTCCTTCTATCCGTCGCAGATGCTCTCACGGAGACGGAGAATCTCTACTGATACATCACATGTACCGATTAGCGCGGCGAGCTTGTGCCGTACGGTTTGAGTCTGAGTCTGCGGTGGTTGTAGTTTGGTATGTCGTAAGCCTTCTGGTCTTTTAGCGTAGTTCTGATTTCTGTCACACGAGCTCTTGTGGAATCACTCTCTTTGATCGAGAATTCACGTCTGAAAATGAACTCCCAATGTATATGTGGGGCACGCAGTGCCCAGTTGGTTGCGGCCTCTTAACTGCAGACGGCGCGTCTTTCACAACCTTGGTCAATGCTTGGAAGGAGTACGACACAGCCACGTCATCACACCCGCTCTCGCACTCGAAATGCCGCGCTATGACGCAGACAATAATCTAACGGCGGGTTGTCGCGCTCAACACGGTCAGTTCGGTCGCTGCACCGACCGACATCATCCGTCCCTCCTTTAAAGACGTCGTCCCGTTGTCTTTGCCCGCATACTCATCTATTGCACTCTATATGTTGTTCATGTGTCTCGATGCCTCATCGCCTGCATTTCCTCCAGTCCATGCACTCCATGACCTGCGCTCGACGAGATATTCTATATTCATTTCGCGACAGGTCGTGCAGCCCCCATATGTTCCGAGAAGGCAGGGACTGCTGTCAAGATATGTGGAGAAAGCGGCGGTGCATCCTGCGAGCTCTCGCGCGCTCCATCGACTTAGGCACGCGCACCCGCATAGGTCACTATGCGCTCGTAACGGAGACGCGTTTTCCACACGTATGCGAGCTGACTCCAACGTCTCTGCTCTTGCAGATTATTCCGCCCTCCATGCGCTCGTAAAGGCAGTCCTGCAGGTCGACAGGGTATTGCCGGATGAGAACAAGCGACACAATCGTGCTCGATGTAAGCAGTCAAGTGAGCGATGCCTCTTAGCTGCTGGACTGTGTCCAGCTTTGCCCTGGCCGGTCCTTGCCGTCGTTGGCGAGGATGCTCCGTATAAATAGGGACTGTAGCGACCCATGTATTTAGGTACGGAACGCCGAGTATATACCATTTTTTTCTCCCTCTCGCCTACCGCAAAGGCGCTGGGTGGTGATTTGTTCGCATCACATTGGAGAACGAATGTCATAAGATCAAAGTTGCGGTTCGCAATGTTGACGCCGTGTCATGCATTGTACAAAGCCCCGAACGGTAGAAACGCGTACATGAGGTTGAACGACGACGAGTGATCACGTACACCACGAGTCACGAAAGAGTAGCGTAAGAGGTATGTTCCTTCAAAAACGAGATGGGAAGCCACGTCCGTGGCACAGGCAAGCTGGACTCGAGACCTCAGGGTCAGCTTCACGTCCGGCACATATCTCGGCTGGTCTAGGAGTGGCCCCGCGAGCGCGTCATATTTACGTCCGCGTCCTGCCCGACTCAGGAGCGTGACGTCGCCCGCACTCCCGACGTTGGCCCATGCCGTCCGCTACGCATCGCCGTCTGCCCCGTCCTTGCAAGCCTTGAGAGTCGGAGTACATGGGAGAGGTGTGAGTCGTATCGTATGGTAGATCGTCTGTGTGGTGAACGTATAAGCGGAAAAGTAACGAAGGAAAAAAAAGCACGATTGATGTAGTGTTCCCGTTAAAGACACATGGAGGTGCACAATGTTGTCTTGTTATGCCCGATATGAGAAGCGCGAGAGCGCACGACCTGCATCAAATCAAACATTGAGATGGTTAGTAAGCATGTTTTTCATATTTATTTATCTAGTTTTATATCCGCTTGAGGGCGATGCCCTACGCCAGATGAGTAAGCATGTTGCTAGTCTTGCCGGGTGCACTGAAGGTAGCAACCCCACCCAGCGACGCTGATACCGGGTCTGCCAGCAGCTGGAACATGCTATTGGTGTTTGCAGCATTGCCCGGTTAGAGCAATGCGTCAAACATCCAATGCCATATTCCATGCTGTAGGCAGCTAGGGTAAGGGCGTTGCGGGGCGGGGACGTTACCTGCGGGGTGTCCAGATGAGACTATCGACACAGAATATAGACAGTACGCCCACACGTCGTCACTGTCTCACAATGCGCTCAATACCGGCCCACGGCGATGGTCCTCATTGAAGGACCAACACGTGCAATATGGGCATTCGGGAGCATGCATATAGAAAACAACTAGAAGACAATGTGACCGAGGTGAGATACGATCAGCCAGCGAGCTGGTAGGGCTCACCTTTAAGACGAGCGTGAGGTACACTTGATCTTGAGGCACACTGGACGCCATGCAATGTTGCAACATGGCACTCGACTTCTTACAGAGAAACGCGCACACAAATAACAAAGGTGGCACACTTTGACCGACAACCGTCAGCCGAAGAGAAAAGCATACACAAATGTCAGGTGGCAATAAACGACGAGAGGATCAATGACTGACCAATGAGCAGAAAACTTTATCACGGGGTGTTGATGATGTATGTGCATGACCGTGTTCGTGAACCGCCACTACAACGAAGATATGAAGTCAAAACGGGTCAGTGATCTGGCGAGAGTGTACACACATGTGGAGGCGAGTGTCATACGTCCATGTGTCACCCAGAGCCGCTCTCAGTCGACATGCTCCACCATGTAGCGATATGCTATGTCTATGGCCTAATGATGCCAAAGCGGGCGTCGAGCACGAAGAGGGCAACAATGAAGAAGCGTAGGTAATGAGAGGCTGTATAGTATACAATAATTCGTAGTACTCACGAGGCAGCGTGGGTCGACACGATACAGGTGCATGCGTGGCGAGATGCCGAGGACCGAGGACCAGGGCAACGAGGGTAGACGCCTTGGTTAAGATGGCCCTCGATTGAGGTCGATTATAAGAGGGAGGATGCGGTTGAGGAGGGAAGGGACCATGGTGATAAGAGGACAAGAGGCAGTGGGGATGAGAAAGGCGAGGGACGGTCTTATATACCGAACGTGGCGTTTGGTTTGCACTGTTGTGTCTTGTGGGCAGCTTCGCGCGCACAAGTCAGCGAAAGTCAGCCTCCGCAAGTTCAGCCATCTCCGACGCTCTTCGCGGAGCCATATTTGTGGCTGGCTGACCCAGACAGGGCCGTTCGTCCGTGCTAGTCACGGTTGCAATCCGGTGTCGTGAGCCGGCGCGCCGATGCACGAGTCTGCATTGCCCGGACCTTGATCTGCTGGTGGAGACATGGAGTGCCAGGGTCACATATACTATAAGCGCCTTGCATACTCCGTGTATAAGATGCCTCCCCACACGATGTTGGAAGTGGCTTCGCCGACGTTTAGTACAAGACACGTCGGGAGTGTGACGATACGTAAACGTGTCTGTGACAGGACGCGTCGCGCGTCTATAGAACCGCCCTTGCTCCCGTTGCATGACCGTACCCGCGTAATGCAGTCACAGGACCTCGGGCTCGGAGATGACACACAAGATTGACCGTCCCAACGGCTCTCCGACGGTCCGCCGGCGCCCTTGGCTCTTCGCATTCAGACGGACCACACCACTCCCCACTCGTTAGCCCTCAACTCATTCTCTTCATGAATATATCGGACTCTTACGACGTGTGCTGCCGCTCCTTCACTCATTCCGACCGCGCGCTCTACTGCGCTCGCGTTTCTGCGCTCGCTGGCTGATTTGTCTCCTCTCGAGGTCGGATTCTCTCACAGAGAAGCCATCTTCAATGAATCGGACAGGTCTATCGATTGGCACGGCGGATTCGTGTCGTACGATTTGGGTTGGCGGTGGTTGCGGTTTGGACTCGTCATCATGGTCTGTCGTATGCCTTCTGGTCTCATGACAGTACACGTCTGCCTTGTAACTCTCTTGTCTTCAATGCAGAATATACGTCCACAAAAGTGATAGTGATGACCTTGCTCGAAGGCTGCGTTGACAGTGATATCATCCGTCCCCCCTGTTGCACCGGGCTCCCGTGATCCACGCCTGCCTCGACATCTCTCACTCATATAATGTCTAGTCTCTTCCGCCACCTTGCCCTCACTAGCTCACATTCACGTCCTGCGCTTTCCAGGGATTCCTGAAACTACGTAAAGGCAGTCCGTACAGCTTTACTGTTCTTTGGTTGAAGAACGAGACGAAGGGTCACGCGCAGTCATGTTAAGTGCTTTCTATATTTTTGCGCACGCCACATTACTTTTTGGAGCGTTTATGCTGTTCCGGAGCTTCTTTATGAGGAGTTGATCCTGTGATCTCGCCACGCATTGCGTCGGAGGTCACCAGAAACGCCCTTCTACCCTTTGAGACCTGGGCGAACAAGCGTACACACTGTCGATCGTTCTCGTGCGAGTCAATGAGTGGGAGATACAGGCTCCGAATGGCACAATTAAATACAATACTTCAAACCCAAGCAGCGCGTAGCCTCTGGCGTTCGCGACACTGCTCCTCCATACATCGCCCTCAGGATATCTCTCCGCGATAGTTGGTTCACCGATAGACGTCTGGTAAGCTCTTCGCGTAGGACAAGATTGGTATCAAGCTGTTGGCGGTAGTCTAATTGCTGCTGGCATTTTGTCAGATCTCAGAAGAGGCAAGACGAGAATGATACATACGGACAATTGTGGTTCTGCGCCAAGCGCTCACGCATATTCTCGAGCCTTTTTATGGCCGATGTCTTGGCACTGCACCTTTCTTTGTCCGACTGCTGGAGGAATAGTTCCGAACCAGGCACACCACTAAGAGTCGCGAATGAGTCGACAACCTCTTGATTTACCAAGCGACTATGAGTCCTGAAAAGTCCATCTATCGCTCTGAAAAGAGAATCGAACAATATCACCGCATTTGACTCCTGGAGCTTGCGCTGAGTGAAGTGTGTATCGGGCAGACCGAGGTATTCGGATACGGCAGTGATCGCTGCATACACAGCAGGAACAACGTCGACAGCTTCGGAAGGAGAGAGACCCCTAGCGAGATTGAACGCTGTCGATGACAGCTTGAGCATGTCTGTGACCTTGAGCTCGCTATCCGGAGACAAGAGCAAGAGCAATGCTTTCACATCTGTGGCGCATTGAGTAAGTGTGCATTACGGCTCGTATGCCGAGACGAACCGTCGACGCCCACTGGGAACTTATACTTGAAAGTATAAGCAATATCTATGCGTTTCTCCCGCTCTTCCTTAAGGAGCGCGCCGCCTACTATTATTGTCTTGATGAGTGCGCAGTATGCATCAGGCTGCTTTCTCATCGGCATGCCCTTCAGAGACACTCTGAGTTCATCCAGAAGAAGCAATTGAACGGGTCCATGTTCGGCCTTAGCGGAAAGAGTCAGGATTATTTTCGCCATGGCGTGGTCTGCGTGACCCTCCTGCGCAGGATGAGCAGTGCAAACCAGATCGTCGCTTCAGGTGACGCACTTTCAAATGTTTATTGTCTCGCAACAGCTGCACAATAGTGAGCGCCGTCGCCACCTCCTTGGGATCGATCTTTTCTATCCATGTTGGCACAACATACTCCAAAAAGCACCCTGTTAAATAATCAGCTTGCAATTAGGGTATTGGATTGTTCACTGCGCACCGTCTGCATCTGGGGCGAGTTCAATCAACACTGGAATGAGTTGTTTTTGCTGGATGCCATAGCCCCAAGATTGGGGGATCCTACTAAGGACATTGGTTGCTTGTTCGCAGACCTCGATTGCCGCGTCAGTGAGCGGCATGACATGAACAAGGTGTAAGAGATGGTCCATGATACGGCTCACTTTCGCGTCACCAGACGGAAAGTCTTTTTTATTAGAAAGAAGGTGTACGCATAGCATCGCCATTGCGATGATCGCGGCGGAATCTTGTCTGACGGAGGTCCATTTGAGCTGCGGCCAGGGCGCATCGGGTCTTGGGTCAATTTCGTGGGCTCTATGCTCCAAGATGCGACACAATACTGGAAAAGTGGTGTCGAAACGATTTTGCTGGATCCAAGGCTGGACTACTGCGGTCAGGAGCTCTTCGTCCATAATGACTTCATCCGCGGCGGCAAGTATCATAATATCCTTTTGACTGCCTTCTGTGGGCGTGACGGTACGCATCGAGTAATCTTCAAACTCTCGCCAGTTGGCGACTTTCCTCGCCTTGACGTACCATTGCGCTTGCCATATAGATCGAAAGATCCAGAAGATTAGCCAAGCGGTGCGTGACTTATAAGGGCAATCCGGAGCGAAGGCAGGGACAAAAACGCTGATGATCGTCGGCGCCACGAATAGCACGAACATGGTTGTGGAAACGGCGGCGACGGTCAGGTTTAATGTCCACAATTGCCGTAAGAGACCAACGATGAACAGGACCATGGAGAGCTGCAGCATGAAGGACAGAGCATCGATGATAAGGTGGACTTGCCACTTCTTGAGTGCCTGGTGACGATACCACCAGGTCTGTACGCTCTTCTGCGACATAACTGATGGGCGATCGAGGTGATGATGTAGCCACTGTCCGACGGCAATGGCGACCGAGGCAGTGCTGATACCACAGATCATCGACGCGAACCACATCGAACTGGTGAATTTGGTCGACGACGATGCGATTCCGGTAGCGGCAGCATCGTTCAGCGATGCCTGCTGCTGGTCCGTCAACTTGTACGATCCTGCGCCTAGCTGCGCCGAGATGATGAGAAGGACTTCAGTCTGGGGATCGGGACGGAGCATCGGGTAGAATGCGACGATAAAGCCTGTGAGTAGTGTCATAAACAGACCATCCTATGATCATGGTATCAGCGGGGTCTCGACAGCTGAGAGACGTCACTTACGAAAACGAGCAGGGTGGAGATGTTATCCTTCCACTTCCTCACGACGTTCTCCTCGTGATGCCAGACCTTCTCAGCACAAATGCTCCAGAGGTCCCGCAATCCCGTGGAAACTGGGGCGGGGGTGAACTTGCTATCTTCCTGCTTGGTATCGGATTTATCCTGTGCCGCGACGGAGTCAGCAAACCCCTCCTGAGTAGTGGAACTTTGCTTACCTGCTCACTATCAAGCTTGTTATGCAGGTCTCCCTCAACCCTGTCGCGCACGACTTCCTCGACCCCGTCGCGCACGACTTCCTCGATCCTGTCACGCGCGACTTCCTCGATCCTGTCGCGCAGGTCTTCCTCAACCCTATCGTGCAGGTCTCCCTCGACCTTGTCGCGCGGGGCTCCCTCGACCCTGTTATGCGGGTCTCCCTCTGCCTTGTCATGCGGGTCGCCTTCGGTCTTGTCTCCCGGCGCGTCCTATAGCAAAAATGGACGTCAGTAAGCGTACGAGCCATCAAGACAGCAACATACCCCGGTGTCTTGGGCAGCCACAGAACCTCGGCGTACGTCACTATTATAGGGCGGCGTACAAGAGCGTTCAATGTCTTCTGCGCCATCATTTATATCTAGAGCCTAAATCGCCACAGTTCAAATCCTCGCTGGATGTGCGAAATCAGGAAGGAATAAACGTACATGAGCATTCGATGTTACAATTGAGGCCGCGGCCGTCGTACTCCCACTCGGTTGGTAGGAATCCCCCGCTCGAGATGTCCATTGCGGAACCGCAAGATGATCATGCACTGGCAGGCCCTGTTCTACGTCGATGGCCAAGAGTCCATCTGTGGTGCTTCCACCAACGACGACAGCGGGGTCGCCCCCTGAGTTCCAAGGAAGCCATGGTGAGAACGCCTTATACAAGGCAGTGATAGAAGATCTGAAAATTGGCATAGGTGCGACGAGCGGGACAGGAGAACTGGGGGAAGAGGCGTGCTGTATGAGTTCCTGATAAACCTTGCTGTGTTATGCTGAATGGGGACAACGCTCGAGTAGAGCACCATGCATGCATTCCGCACGGCCCTCCCCCGAAGCACACAGCGCCGCACACAAAGGGTGCAGCACTCCGTACCCGAGCCTGGACCGTATAACCCTCATCGCCTGAACATTTGCCAGAAAAGGACAAGTGCCAGACCAGATGCGAGTCCATCATCTCTGGACGTTCCTGTACAGCGCTTGAGTGTCATAGTTGGTTCCGCGAACGCTAGCGTACCTCAAGTCCAGCGCCACGATCCCAAATCGGCGACGTGTTGTGTTTACACCGACGCGATAGATAGCCTCATGGCTCGTACCTCGAGCCTCGCGCGCGCACTTCGCGTTGACCTCATGCATACATGGACCTCGCTTGGGACTCACCACGTTCCTTTCATCTACGCTGTACTCTGTGGGTAGTACCTGAGATCGTTCGTCTGCCCCCTCAAACGTTTCGATCTTTCGAACATGTACTTACAGCAAGCCATGTGATACATGTCCTTGGAGCGCTGCTATCTTAACTCTGTCCCGATGCACAGCGAGCAAGGACCTTACACAGGAAAGCTCTAAAGGCGTCGCTTATTAGCTGAATGATAAGCCAAAACGCGGCCGGGCCCGCAGCTTGGAGAACACTTGCCGAACGAGAGTATAAGCATTGCATGATCAGCGCCGCGGAGTGGACGGAAGGAGCTCACGAGAGGCACGCGGGAGTCGAGGAACACGCCGCATGTATCAAGTTTCAACGTCTGCAATACAAGCTATAGGATATTCTGGTATGTGTTCATGCAAAACTGGGTCTCAAGCGAAGTAAGAGCCTCCGCCATGCGCCACGGGAACCCCGAGTAAGTATGAGCCTGCAAGGACAGATGTCAATAAGTACATCGCAAATATAGGCTACATACGTACTATCAGGGAATGGTATGTACAAACACATCTGATGGATGATCCACTCCGGGTAGCACGAGGTGATCGACAAGATATGTATTGGATTTCTCCGAAATGACTTCCAACATCACGGTGAGTGGAACAGTGAAGAACAACTGAATACAAGCAGCGAAGCGATCGTTGTTGTAATTTGGCAATTTGTTTGTCGAGCCGGCCGACGTGACATGTGCCCCGGAGTGTGCATACATGATCGAGGCCGATCAGAGATAGTACTGGATTCATGAGGTACGTGATGGTATACGTACCCTCATTTCTCCCCATAGTGCCTCAGTGCATATTAGTACACCTACAGATTTCCTTACTCGTCGTTCGCAATCAACATTGTCTCGATGAAATGGCGCTCGCAGGATGGATAGTTAAAATGCTGGCTTGAATGGTGAGCATTTAGTAAGTACTGACGAGGCAGCCTATGACAAGTCGTCGTGATCGATCAACAGCCTACCTCCGCCTGGCGCTCCGAGTGGCCACTCGCCTCCTCTCAAGTCCTCGCACCCCTCCATCGAGTCCGGTCTCATGCGTCTTGATGCCGCACCTCGCCATCGTGCAAACGATATCGGGTACTGAGCAGGGCGCAACACCGGGAGGCACCCTTCCGACAATGGACAGCAAGGATAAAAAGTGTGCCAGATATTACACCTTCTGATTGGCCAGTCTGCAATGTCGAGAAGGGTCTCGGTGATCCAGAAATTGATTGAACATCTCGTTCCTGCCGCGAGGCGTCCTCTGTGTTCGGCCTCCGGAAGACAAGACCTGCCCGCGTTGTGGGGCAACAAGACATTAGCGTCAGTCGTTGACCTGGTGCCGGCGCCTGTCATTATCAACAACCGATCTACAGCTCTGATTGGTTAGTCACTAGTGGCCTCAGGGCGCTTGCTCGAAAGGGGGGCGCCCATCGATTCTGACCTCCGAGTCGGCACTTCCTCAGGCTCCCTGCGTAGTCTTGAACTCGGGCCCAAGGCAATGCAAGCACTCGGATACCACCCGCGGAAATACATCGCAATTATCCTCACACACTTTTGGACACGCCAGTGTACAAATGACACCAAGTTGTTATTGCGCTCGTTGCTTTCTAACATTTTATGGATATCTGGACTCAACATTCGCCCGCGCGAAGACCTTGCAACCGTCGATCACCACCGTTCATATATAAGTAACACACCTTCGTCGCATACGGCCTCACCATATGGAACTTCGTCAGCAATGCTGCCAGGCCTTACCGTCTCGGCGGACATGGTCCGTTGATCCGCCTTCTTCCCGTCGCTCCCCGCACCCCGCCGAACTACAGCTCCGGTCGTGGTAGGTGCGTTAGGTGTGGTATATTTGGCAGATAAGGGCTGCGCATGGAGCGCGGAGAGCGCGCTAAATGCAGCATCGTTGATGAGTGTGGAATATGCGGTGTACAAGACGAACGGAGGGAGTTGTATCTCAGTCATCGCGTTTGTCACATGACGCAGCGATGAGCTTCAAGACGTAGTGATTCGCGGATGCCTTGAGGGCATGCTACTCGTCATGAAGTTTCCTTCTTCTCGTAATGTAACACTAATATTCTGGAATGACTGGAGCGCTATATGAACAGAAGGATTGTATATATGGAGCGGATTTTCTGCTTTCAGGGAAACAATATACTTTTCAGTGCACACTGACACGAATGCAAAGTCAGGGCGGAAAATAAGGCCTGTTCTTTTGGGACAGGAAATCAAGAGTATTGTTGCAGACGGGGTGATACATGTCTCGTGCGTGCAGGCTATGGATCAATAGCCCGGTGCAATTTAGCTGAAAGTAGTTGCGGAGATGTCTTGTGTGGGTTCTGTAGTCGCATCAAGTCCAGCAGGCTGAACCGCCGGCACTGTACCGTCCGTTGGCTGAATACTGATCCTACAAACTTCAAAGTCAAGTCGATGCAGAGGAATGCGAGGAGACGCACATGTTTTGAATTGTCTGCATGCATCGCTGTATGTCATCTTTGTATTCATCGTTATTAGGACACTTCGTGATGCACGTTGTCAGCGCGGCATTCAAGTCCTTAGAGAGTAATGTTGCATCGGCTTCGAGTAGTGCATGATACCCGTGTAACAGCTGAAGGAACCAGTACCAATCATCACCGCTGGTGATATCCTGAGCCATGGTGCTGCCTTCGGCCGACCCGAAGTATGCGGCTATGTCCTTCAGAACGCGATGCGTGGAATCACGGATATCTGGGAGCACATCTGCGGCCCGCTTCAAGGCGGAGGCAGAGAACTGCAGGTATCTCTGAGTGCTTAAATTCGTATGGGCAGTCGATAGGCGGTCAAGCACTGTACTGAGGTCTGCAAAACGTCGAGAAATGAGCGAGAAGGACTCGATGGCCAGTTTAAGGTAGACGACACACCGTCGACATAGACTTCACCGAATGCAACCAGCCATCCCAAATGGTCATGTAAGCATGGATCTGATGTCAACTTTCCGTCGGACCACATAAAGGCCAATTTGTCGCGCACTTCCTCCTCTGCCGCAGGGGTGGCAAATAGGAGGCTGCCTAGAATCTGGAGGATGTGAATACAATGGTCCAGGGCATTATCCATGTTGTCAGGAATGCGATCGAACATATCCGCAGCCACACGGCCTAAAATGACAATGCTTCGGCCATCTTGCTCTTCATGGTACCAGCGGAGTGGCTGATTCTCGTCATGGTCGCGATCATGTGCCCTTTGCGCCAGAATATCGTAGAAAGCAGGTAGAGCTTCCGACACCTTGGCTTCTTTGAGGCAGGGCTCGACGACAGTTGCGAGAAAGCCCTCGTCCATGACTCTTGCATCCGCCTCCACGAGCATCTTGAGCCTTGCTTGCCTAGGCTCTTTTAAGGTCTGCATGCAAAAGCTATCGAGAGCGATCCAGCCTCCAAGAGGCGGAAGATCTCGGAATATTTTCCACTTCCCAGCTGAGCTCCATAGATTCCATACCATCCGTACAACATATTCTGATGGGCCACCTCTTGGTTTGGGGATGGAGTTCCAACGAGACTCCTCGAACCAGCGGCTACATGACCGCCAGATGCAGAAAACCCACCAAGCCTGACTTGACTTATAAGGGCAATGGGGGAATAGTGATGGCAGAATGGGGGTAGCAATAGTCGGCAATAATAGTAGGACAACAAGCACCAAGGTCACAGCCGCAACAGGGGTGCTAAGGGTCCAGAGGAGAGCTGCAAGGCCCACGAGGAACATGAGGAGCGAAAGTTGGAGTAGCAGTGGTAAGATAGTAATTGCTTGCTCAACGCCCCAGGAACTCAGGCCAGTGCGCCGGAAGTACCAGACACGTACACTTTGGCGGGGAGTCTTTGACGTCGTTGTAGTGTGGTGGTGAAGCCATTGGATGATGGAAATCGCCAGCGATGCGGCACCTATACTGAGTAGAAGGGCAATGAACCACAGAACACAAACAGCGACGATGGTGGCGGATGGTCCGGAAGATGAAGTCGTATCGGCGGATAGGGATAACAGCCAGTTGGCTATGGTAGTGTGTCCGGAGTCAGCAGCAACGATGCTCAAATGGGCTGACATAGATATTAGGGCTTGAGTTGCCGCGAGCATGACGTACAGTGGAACGATGAATCCGGTTAACACCGCAGAGGAAAGCCCAGACTGGGAGTATGTGTATTATGTTAGAGCATCTCTCTCCCGATACAATTATCACAGTTGTCATAAATATATTACTCACAAATATGAGCAGATTGTTGATGTCTTCCTTCCATTGCGCGACAACAGATGCCTCGTATTCCCACACCGCTTTGGCACATTTTGCCCACGGATCTCTCGGGAGGTCTTCAGAGTCCTCGATTGTCTCTCCGGAGTTAGTATCATCTTCACCCTCTGCCTCATCAGCAGTGGATATGGACTCAGGTGCGGCGTCCCCCCCTGACCCCTCAGAGATAGACTCGTTGGATTGCCCAACAGAAGCATCACTGCCTTCCGACTTCGTCTCGATAGTCTTACAGTCATGAAGCTCAGCACATTAATGCGATATGCCACTGTGTAGACCACGTACCTGCCAGTCTATGTCCTTCACTGAGGACTCTTCTACCGCTCGAGAGGTTGAAGGCCTAGCAACGTCAAGTCCGCCAGCCATAGACGTTGCGGAAGGCTGAATATACATTCAGGAGCTGATGGCTTAGTGCGTGTCAAGCCCGGGACAAGATCGACTGACCATAGTAGCCACATGAGGCTCACTGCTCTGCTGTGCGATGGTGATGGTTTGCAAAGGAACATCGGAGCTGTCCCCACCTCCATCGTGATTGCCAGAAAGATTACGAACTCGATTTAGAGAAAACTTGAATTGTCCCTGGTTTCCACGCCTGCCAGAGCGCCTACTTTTCATTGTCTGAGAGATCGTTCAAGTAGGAGATCAAGTGCAGAAGGGCGCCCAAGCAGCAACGAGGCGTCCGATAAACGCTCGCGGGTCATCGTTCATATAACTGAATCGAGCCTCCTCACAAGCGCTGGAATGGAAGGAGGACCACAAAGCAGAAGGAAAGCTGATTGAGTTCAACGCGCGGTATCACGGTATGCATTCACTGCCGGAGATATATGTGTCTGACTAACCACAATCTCGGATAGATTAGAAAACCGAAGGGTAGCTTATTTGTCAGCGCTTACAGACACGAGCAACAAGACACGATACTCGTTGTCCTGGTAGAGATGTACATGGAACGGTATTCTGCACTCAGAAGTGATCCCAGATGCATCGTGCATCGTGCAATATGTGATGCAGGATGATTCTGGTGCAGCAATGTCACGTCATCCTGTACTACACAGCCAGTCGTGACAATGTAAAGGAAACGTCGAGGCCACACACCATTCACCTAAATCGAGCTCCTCGTCGTCATCAGCTAGACCGTACCAAGGACGGTGTGGTAGAGGAAAACGCGCTGGAGCAGGAAGACCATCCTTGGGAGGAATATCAGCGGATATGATTTCTTTCTCTGTTTCTCTGGTTTCTTCAATCTCTTTCAATATGAATTCGAAGAGTACGTACCTCTCGAGCTTGCAAAGGCGGCGGCGAAGAGGATGGAAAGCGAGTGCTGTAGGCCGATCGAGGATGCCGGCGTCGTCACGCACCTGAGGGCAGCAGGTAGCGCACGTAAATATGACGCGTCGGGAGCGAGATACTTGAGGAGCTGCTTCATTGCCATTCGTGGACTTGGACTGGAAACGTCGAGTCCCGCTCGCTTGTGCCCAGGACGAGCTCCCATCCCGATCTGGAAGGTGTTTTCCTGTTTTGGATCTTGTCTCGATCGTTTCTTCACAGATGTGCGTCATTCCCTCCTCGCAGACCGCGTATTACATCATACCTGTCAAGGCTTCCTTGTACCCTTATAAGCCGGTGTCGACGTCGAAATATGTATCTTCCCTCTCTCCCTCGAACCACAATCATCTCTCATTGTTCGAGCTAGTACGGACGAGTCGCACGTACTTAGTAAGTATCCTATTCGTTCGAGCATTGTACGCGCTTTGCTATTCGGGCACGCATCGAGACACGTCGTCTGATCGTATACGTGTGCTATTCGAGCACACTTCGAAGCGTCACATTTGTTATTCTCGCGCGTGTCAATTCGAGCACGTCTCGCACGGGCTCTTTGTTTATCTATCGCCTAGATGCATTGCTGTTCGGGCACGCTTCGGAACATTGAGTTTATTCTTCTGTTTGATTGTTCTTCGTATTATGACCGCGCATATAGTCAGTATAAGACGGTCAAACATTTTTCATTTTATGTTCTAGCTAGCATATAGTCATCAAAACCCATCAACCATCTTCGGACATCGCTGCGAACTTTCCTCCCACAACGGTGGCGTTGACCGCGAGACTGAGTCCCTTGGAACAGTGCAAAAGGTGCGAACATGATATTTGTCCTTCCCTCCGCGAGCCCTAACTTTATGGAATCGCCTGCCTGACTTCGCAGCAAGTAAACGTCCCCAGCACCCCAAGCAATTGAGTGCAGGTGTCTATGCGATTTATCGCCATGTGACGAACGATCAGTCGATGCCGGCGAGACATTCTAACGCGATATACACTAATAAGACATGCACTACATTACATCCCCCCCCATTTTCGCTTCGCAGACGTTACACTATCCAGTACAACGCCGTCAGGAACACGCGTCTAGGCGCGACATCGCTCCGCTACTATGCCACATACGTCGAGTCCGTCCGCGCCGTATTGGACCTCGTCCGTAATTCTATCGCATGCTCCGCCCCGTCAACGGATACGGTCCGCTCGCTCACGCGCTCCGCTTCCTTCACGTCACTCCCGTCCTCGCTCGGGCTCGCCCCCCTTGGCACACCGTATGTGTGCTCGGGCTGTGGCCGGTGCGGCATGCCGGGCGTAAAGTGGCTGCGAGGGGAATGCGGGGCCTTTGGCGGATGTGGTATATTTGGAGAATGTGGTGTCTTTGGCGGACGCGGTGTACGGGGCGTGCGGAGAAATTGAAGGGAGCGGAGAGAGAGCGGCGAGCGCGGCGTCTGGGGCGAGCGCGGCGTCTGGGGCGAGCGCGGCGTCTGGGGCGAGCGCGGCGTCTGGGGCGAACGCGGCGAACGCGCTTCGGCCTCGCGGGCGATGCGCTCGTCTAGCGCGCGGCGCGTCTGCACACCGTGCAGGAAGAACACGAACACGATGGCGGCGCAAACCATGACACCCTGGAAGATAAGCGCGCGATACATGTTATTCGGTGGGCTCGCGTCGGGGCCGGCGCGCAGTGCGCCTTCAGCTGGAGAACGAGTCATCACACGATCTAACTCCGCAGGAATTGCAGTGCTTACCGAGGACGAAGATGACCCCAAACAAGTTGCTCCTATGCGCGGTACAATACGTCAGTCGGCGAAGAGACGCGACGCGGGGTGCATGCACTCACGAAGCCCAGAGTATCGCGGAGCTCGCGTCCGCGTTGCGCGTCAGCTCGACGACGAGCTCGAGCACGACGGGGAGCATCGTGAGGCTCGTCGCACCGATGACGGCCATGATCGCGAACAACCCGCCCGTGTCGTTCGCACGCACTGCCCAGATCAGGCTCAGCCACGCGGCGCCAAGCACGGGACACAGCAGCTTGCACGTCAGCGCGAGGTGGTGCGTGAAGACGCGGTCGAAGAGCGGCGCGGTCACCGCGGCGGCGACGATGCCCACAAGGAGAATCGTTGCGCCGAACAGCCCCGCGATGTCGTCCGTGTAGCCATACGGCTCCTGTGTGCGCCGCCCGCGTGAGCATATTCTGCTTCAGGGATTCTGTATTTCAGAGCAGACTCACGAAGTCTTGTGCAGTCAATATCGCGAACGAGTTGATCCTGCATGGCGGTCAGGTGAGCCGTGATCGTCAGTGCGCACATCACGCACAGAGGAAGGATACTCACACGCCAACAAGGACGCCGAATGCAAGCGTCAGAATGGCGAAATCAAAGCGCTCGCGTAGCGACATGTACGTTGGCCGTTCGCGTGGCTCGCGTCCAGCAATGGCGCGCATGAACGACACGAACGACGGGTTCTTCTGCGAGGCGGAGTGCGCTGTCCGCAAGGTCAGCAGGAAGCAAGATTGCGGGGAGCAGATCATCGAGGCCGGGATGAAAGGTAACGAAGTGTTTGACGCAAGGGGGCGTGACCTCAGACGAACACAAAGAAAGCGACGTACTCGGCGGTGTCGGCGGCGTATCGCTGATGATGAAAACGAACGGCGTCGCCGCGCTGAATATGATTCCCATCACAAGGATCTGCGCAGTCCCAGAGCGTCAGTTAACACCGACCTCGCACGAACATCATCAAGGAATATCACGCACGGACTCGCGCGGGGTGCCCACGAGCGGCGAGATGAGCTGCCCCAGAGCATTGCCGATCGGGTTCGCTACGGGATGAGGCGTCAGCGTGCGTTGTTCCTGCGAAGTGTACGAGGCGACGAGGCGACGAAGCGAGGAGTGCGGCACCCGCGAGAGGTGCGTCGCATTAACCCGAAAATCTTTAGTCCCTCCCCTTTTCATCCCATAAAAGACCCCCGCTCACGCGCGCCGCGGACACCAACCATGAGCATGAAGGCTTACCTATCGACATGAGCATCGTTGCGGTTGTGCGCCCGCGGAGGTCGAACCACTTCTCGGAATACCCGGGAATGAGCACCTGGAAGATCGGCTGCGTGATGCCCGCGATGATCTGCGCGCGCGGGAAAGTAGCCAGTCAGCCCCGGATATCGCGTTTCAAGAGCAACAATAGGAGGCGGAGCGAGGATGGCCGCGGCGAGGTGAAGCGCAAAGTGGGATCACGCACCTGGCCGACGAGGATGAGCGCGTACGCGCTGCCGGAGCTCAGCCCGGTCGCCGTGCCCGCGTAGCGGATCCACGCCGAGAGCACGAACAGGACGCCGCCGATGTAGCACTGTCCGGTCCGGGGTAGGGGGGAAGGAGGACGAGCGTCAGTCGCCTGTTCTGCGTCGCGCAGTCCGCGCTGGCCCACTCACCGTGCGGCGGACGCCGAGGCGCGCGTAGACGAAGAGGACGACGACGGAGAATGGCAGGTAGACGATGTTGATGGCGTTGCCGAGCCAGTTGACTCCGTCGAGCGTGAACCCGAACTGGTCGACGACTGGCGTGCAGACGCGTTTGGTGTAGGTGTGCAGGGGTAGATGCGCCAGATCAGTGGACCGTCGGAGACACGGAAGGGCAGCGGCAGCCCTCAAGGGAAACGCACGCACCGTCTGTCGCTATGGGACCAAACCACACGAGGGAGAGGCCCGAGACGAGGTTGAGGATCATCTGCGCACGCGGGGGAGGTAAGCATGCGCAGGCACATCACGGCGGGGGGATAACACGCACTATAGCGACGACGCCGATCCATCGGCGGCGGTACATCCTGTACGGGATGGGCTCGCCGTCCTGGAAGTCGAGCGCGCACTCGGAGTCATCCTTGTCGACCTGCGTGACTGAGCGGAGGGTGTCAGAGTCAGCGAGGGAGGTCTCGGAGCAGTTGACACGGAGGGAGCGCGGGGACGCAGAGGGCGCGTGGGGCTGGAGTAGGACCGCAGACGGCGACTTGAGATCGCGCGAGGCAGATGAGACAGACGGCAGGTAGGAGAGGCTTTGCAGGGCTTCGGGGGAGAAAAGGAACGACATGGGTAGAGAGCGGCGTGCGGTGGGCGAATGCGACACCCGGGAGGACTCTACAGCAACTATAAGGCGGCGCCCGAGCTCGGCATGATATTGATGTCGATGTCGATGGGTCCCTGCGCAGCCTCTGCCATCTTCTTCCGAAGTCGCCGCTTGCCCGCCTCCGGAGAACAAACCAGGGGTGGATGTGTTTCCACGTACGGAGACTGACGCACACGGCGATACACGGCGGCTGCCATCAGACACGCACCTTCGACTTTGCACGCGTCGCCTGCGGACGACGTGCGGGCGAGGCTGAGGGCGGGATGTTTCCACTTTAGCATGGGCGCACTGCAGGGGAGGAACGGGGCAGGACGCGGGGGCACAGAATGGCGGAGGCATATCAAGGGAGACGTCGCATGCTGGCGATGATGGTGCCCCAGTGAGCCTCCCCCGGCACGCACGGCACACTGCTAGATCTCCCCCGATCGCGCCATGATCACTGTGCCTGGGTCCACCGCTGTCATCCTCGCCTCGTCACCTGCCGCCTCCGCCCTCAACGGGTAATGCTAGCTCTCTGTTGATATTGTCAATGACGCTGTGTCGTCTCTCCCCGCCGCCGTCTGCTCGCTCTTGCACGTCGCCAACCGTCATCGCGTCCCTCCCCATCTATGATGCAACCACCGTGGGGCTGTCGACGGTCGTCTGCTTCGAGCATCGTGTCCCCAACGCCTTTGCCCTGTATCATCTCAGAGGAGCCCGTTCGGAAGATGCTTCTTGGCAGTGCGCATATGATATCCGTGCGCGCGCTCGACCGAGGTGCGTTCCCTGTTCGCGCTCCAGCTAGTCATTGTCACCTGCCACCCCCTCGACCTATCTACCGCCCAGCCAGGAGACCGCAGACGACCGATCACATCTGAGGCACCACCATTCATATGTCCACCATATCTCGCGGACCCGTACGGAACCGACCCATATCCCCCTCCCACATCCCACCTTCTTATCCTCTCCCAGAACCATACGTGGCGCTTCTCCCATATCTCCTCGTGCTCATCTCCCATTCTGCGTCTGCCAAGCCCATCTCTATTTGCGCGCGTCTCTCTCGCCCCGGTACCGGGCACGGCCCCCGCCTCTGCCTCCGCAGCGGGATGTATACACGCTATTATTACTGTGTGCGCGTTCGGGCATTCGTCGGAAGAACAGCTGCAAGCATGTTCTTCTCGAGGTGGCTTCTGAGGTCTCAGGCAAACGCCGTACGCGCAGATAGCTCAGCGGTCCCGAGCGTGCCATATAGACCATCCTCCGGGCGGTCGTTGTGGATCTGCTCCTCATGTCACAGCGTGCGTTCAATTTCATATGCCTTTAGCCCCCAGCACGCTGTGAAGCCCGCTCTTCTCGGCTTCGCACAATAAGCTCAAGCTTACCCTGGGGCCTCTGTCCAACCTGCCCTGTCGCTCCCATGTTGTCTCCATGGCGGAGCATGCCTCTTTCGTGTCCAACAGTTTCTCATACCCCTGGCTTCTCGCTGAGCTCCGGCGCGAACGTCTGCTGTGCCGTCGTTTCTCCGTGTTGCTATTTGCGCGTTGCTATAGTGTGCACAACACTATGACCCCCGCGCCCCCCGCCAATATCTCTACAATGGGGGTGGGGAAGCCTAGCAATAAATTGCAGTGCGATGGTCCAAAAGCACTCTCTCTGCGTGGGCATTCTCTCATCACACGAAGGAGCTGTTGTACTCATGCGTCTCATATATAACAGCTCGCAATGATATCTAGCTTAGCCGGTCAACCTTACGAACCGGCGTGTATTGCGATCTATTCGTACAGCAACCTACTAGTATGACTTTTGTTCACCCAACAAATGCTGCTTCTCTCTTGGCGCATATGCGCGCGCCATCCTGCTGCCTTGACGCATACTCTCCCATGGTTAAGCAAGAGCAGACTCAACGCTCGCATCTCTCTCCGTTCTCCATGACGGGGTCACTGTTCCTGACTCAACTGTGTACTACGGCTGCGTCGAGAGGTCAACCGTGGACAGTATGCCATATAAAGCTTGGTGTTGTTGCCATCATCCTGCTCCCTGTATCCCAGTAGCACGTAGATGCGATGCGGGCAGCGAGAGAAGCACGCCAAGGTCGTTACGCGACCGCTCGATCCCATGCATGTCCGGGTGAGAGCCCCGCGCAGGCCTCTGGATTCCACAGCATGCTCTGCCCTCTCGCAACGTATCGGGCTGCACTCCCGGTCGCGACATGAATATAGGATATTCTGCCAGGCGCAGAGTATGGAGCGCATAGGCCGGAAAGGGAATGCAGTTGATTAAACACCTAAACCGTAGACATAGAGTGTAAAGCAAGCTGGTGCGGGCAAGGCCGACGGGACGGCGTCGTGGAAGGGAAGATGGATGACGTCAGTGCAGCGACTGACCATGTTCAGCGTGAAGATGAACTGGTAGATGGATCCTTGCGGCATACCGCAGCATATTCGCATGCGAAGGTGGATGCGAGGAATGAATATGCCGTATTCTAGTCGGGAGATACAGAGTGGGCGAGATTGTGAAAGACGCACCGTCTGCAGAGAGGGCGCCGGAACAGACCTCATGTCGTATGCCTCGTGAAGGTATCCGCAGACGTATAAAGTTCGTAGGAAAGAGGATATTCCATAAAAAAAACCGCATGTCCCAGATCAGCCACAAGCTATACAACCACAGGGCACACGACATACCGTGACGAAGAGTCCAAACCACAACCGCCGCCGGCTCAGGCCGCACAATCGCCGTGGTAAGCTGTGAATGTGGATAATTGATCAAATGATATCTGTCTTCATGAGGGCATCCGGCACAGAGAGAAGGAGGAAGAGTAGTCAGCGAGGGCCAACAGGGGAGAAGGGCGATGCGAAGCACGGAAGCAGCAGAGTGCGATCGAGATGCGTACAATAGCGGTAAGCAGAGAGGAGTATTAACGGTCTGATAGGCGTCGATGAAGAGCACAGGTCGAAGGCCAACGCGCAGAGAGGTGTACATGCGTCGTGGATGGGCGGAAGAGGATGTTTGATCGATCAGCGGCAATGGCCGACGGAGCGCTCAAGCTTGTTTCCGTTTGGCGTATTCCAACAAGCAAGCACAGAGAGACATTGCCTACGCTCGCTAGTTACCCTAGAGTTCAATCTCTGTACGTCGTGTTCATTTTCGTGTCCTAACCATACGATCGTGCCTGAGGATGCCGGCCGCTTCAAGCGCTCTTGCCGGACATGTTCAGGACGGTGTTGCTGATACTTGAAACCTCTTTGCGACATTATATAGTTACTCTCGCTACGCTTCCTCTGGAAACACCAAATTTATGCTGTTAATGCCTACACACGTTTCTGTTCGTGTTCAAGCTCACTTGCGGGATGCATGAACGAGCAGGTATGGTTTTTCGTCTCTCCAATGTCGTGGTTGCGTATGCAGGAGGATCATGGTCCCGGTATACTCTGCACGACTGATAAAGCCGAGACACAAGTTGCGCGGTCAGTACGTGCGTGTATTTCGTCGTTCTCATTGCTGTGCATCCTGTTGTCCATGTTCGTGTTCCTCCCTACATGGATCCGATACCATCTTCCCTGAAGCTTCCATAGCATCTGCGACAAGAGGACGCCCATCGTGGGCCCCCTTGTGCGGGACAAATGCGCGTAACAGTCAGCCGGTGGGTCTGAACCATGATCTTTCCGTATGCTTCTTGAGTCTAAGCCGCATACTCACAGACCGTGACCGCTGCTTTCCCACAGAGTCAGCATAATGAAGGGGGAAGGCCTGCCATGATGAATGAAACTACTCGCGCCATAGTACACATGTCGCAGTGGGCAGTGCAATGCGGCAAGGTTTGAGTGGTCACATACACGATGTATCAGACGCGCGAACGTTTGACTGTACTTGCGCACCTCTTTGCAGAGTCCAGCACATACACAGGTAAGGGTAAGCCATCCTGACCCGTGGAGACTGCGGAGCTGCGAGTATACGCAACACGGGGAATGTCATTGAGTGCACCTATCAGTCTAAGGTGAGAGTCCTACTCACCTCTTGGATTCCATAATCATCAGCAAACATAATCTGCTTCTATCCTGCGGTGCTAGAACTTGCCACTCGTCCGCTTCTATACCGGCGCTATGGCGAACGTGCAACCTTATAAGACTGGCAATCTGGTACTGTGCACGCCCTGTCCCTCCCTACACGCTACCTTCCTAAGACTACCCCGATACATAGCGATGTCAGGAAACCGCAGACGTAGCAGATCCAAAAGATCGCGCTCAGGGTCAAGTTCCAAGAGCAGTGCAGTGAATGCTGAAGAACCGGTGTCCCCGTCGACGGTTCGATCAGGTCCAAGCAAGGAGATGAGCGAACCTTCACCTTTGGAAGAGATCCAAGTAGTGGATCGCTATGAACAGCCTGCTCAAGAGGTCAGTGTTGGCTGACCAATCGCTTACGATTGTCTTCGTCAATGATGTGCATAAGACGTCGCTTCAGGTCAAGACAGCGCAGACGCAGCGAGAATCTCGCAGGGCGACGACGCAGCGTCGGTCTACGTGGTCAGCACACGAACACGGTGTCGCTGCGAAGGTGAGTTGCGTTTGCGTTTGCGCCGCAGTCCTCTGTGATACCAAAGAATTGTAGGGATCAAATAACGACAACGATGGCGAAGAAGGCAAGAGAGATGAAGCGGAGAGCGAGGGCGATGTCCCGGTAGATGGCAGATCGCGCAACACTGGTCCATTTCCTAATACCGATAGCTCGCAAAAGGTTGGCGATGGTCACAAACTCGACGGGGAGCCAATGATGAAGGTGTTACTGGATGCGCTTGAGGCAAAACACAAACCAGAGGACCCATGGGCAAAGTGCGCAAAGGAGGTGTGGGAGTTCGAGGAGTCGCTGGTGGATAAGTGGAAAGGAGACATCAATAACTTGCTGCTGTTTGTAAGTGTCATTTCCGGCAACACGATACATGTCCCGTCACTGGTCTGTCGACTTTTTGTAGCGCATGTGCTCATATAACGTGTTGCCAGTCAGGTCTATTCTCCACCGTCCTCACCGGGTTCACAGTTCCTTTCTATGTCACCATCGCCGCCTCAGAGGCATTCATCTTTATGTCTGGCAATCTCAGCGTCGCCGCGGCTGATGTGGGACGCACCCCCATTGCCAACTGGTTAATCAAGCTCTCCGACGAAGTTTATTCCTCTCCTTTACAATCACCCATGATCGTTGTTGTGGCCGTATTGTGGTTCGCCGCGCTGATTCTCAGTCTTGGTGCAGCGTCGGTAGCAATCTCCATCAGTCAATGGTTGCACCAATACGTCAATAGTGCTTCCAAGACATCGCAGCGAAGTGTCCAGGTATGGTTCTTCCGCCGTCGAGGATTGACGCGCTGGGGTGTCGAGCAAGCTGTAGCTATGCTGCCGCTTTTGCTGCAATTTTCCCTTGTCCTCTTCCTCCTCGGCCTCGATATCCTTCTCTGGACGCTGAATACCACGGTGGCAGTTGTCGCAACAGCCCTCATTATTCTCCTCCTTGTGCCGACCACGGTGACATCTGTCATCCCATCCTTTTCACCGGACTGCCCTTTCAAATCTTCGCAGGCATGGTGGTTCTTCCGTTTTTGGAGATGGGCCATGCGAAAGCTGGAAAATTCGCGGTTCAGTCTTTTCCGGGGGGCAGCTGGGAATGAATATGTCATACGCAGTATATGCAACCGCTGCTGTCAGGTAGAGAAATGGCGAGTCTCGCGGACTCTGCCCGCTTTGGGTGACTGGCGAGAGCTAGATAACTTCTGTATGCAGACCCTGGAGGATGACAGCGAAACCAAGCTGCAAATGCTCGTCGAGGCCGACTTGCGTGCCATGGACGAAACATTCCTCGGCACCGTCGTCCGACCTTGTCTGCAGCAAGCCGCTGTCAGCGAAGCGCTTCCTGCATTCTACAAGATCGTGGATCACCGAGCGCACGATCATGCACAAGACGAAGAGCATACACCAATATGGTGGGCTTCGGAACAGGATCATCAAGCCATTAGCATGTTAGGGCACATGTCCTTGGACATGCTCGACAAGGTCGCATCCAACCATATGGACAGCGGAGATCGCGAGGAGGAGACAACGCACATATTGAAGCTCGTTAATAGTCTTCTGGGTGCGATGCCGAACAGGATTCTGACAGTCTACAGCAGGCTCTTGGACGTGTGGGTGGCGCTGAATCTCTCTGATGAACAACGCGAATCTATTGCCTTGCTGGTCAAAAAGCATAAATTCGACACAAATAGTGCGTACTCAGTCCATCCAAAACTCTCCACACAGCCCACTCATTCCACAATGGCAGCTTTCCAGAAGATGCTCACACTCCTTCCAATCGCTAGAAGAGAGCTCAGTACCAGACAGTTCTTGCGATACTCAACAGTCGCATTCAATCGTGCTGCGGACCACCCTCCATCTGACTTTGCTCAAGTCCGCGAGGACATCCAAGGCGCGTTGGCCGCTGTGGCAGAATACTTCAGCCCGTCCGACATGGAGTCGGTGGCCCAGGAGATTGGTCAAGCCAGGGCATGCTTAGATGTATATGAGGTCTTCGAAGCATGTGTGCGCCTTGCCGAGCATGACGCCAGCCTCTTCACGAAAGATGTCGTCGACGCATTGGCCGGATGCGCCGCACGGTGTCCTCCGGGTGAAGTCTATAACGTCTTTATGCGCAGATCAATGGAGCGGATACAGGATTCCTTTGACGCATCGCATAAGAGCCGGTGATCCTCATCTCTTCCCTTCGTCCAGTCTCGGTTGCTCACGAGATGGTTGCAGTCCTCCGCCAAAGGACAGCACTCAAGAAATTCAGCCAACTCCATCCGAGGAGCCGCCGCAGCCGCAGACCAGCACCGACATTCATGATCATGATATTGGTGACAGTGGAGAGGCGTAACAGGGACCGCGATAACTGGGTCTGATGGCTACTACTCGTCAGGAGCTTGGTTACCGTTTATTTGCCGCTTTGCTTGATCGTCGAATCGGGTTGAGTAATCTATCAGGTTCGATGATGACCTCTATGTATGCGGTTACGCACTGTCCGTGAGCATTGTAGATAATGTGCCTCCAGCGGATTGCCGCATATATTTGGACTTGATGATTTCGTTTCGAGGAGAGCTGTCAATCTATTCCATTGATGTAACATGCATCTCCGCGGGGCGATTGCAGAAAATTGACCAATGCTGGCTAAAATTGTCATTTGCGAGAGCAGATCATTCCACAGACTCTCGTGCATCCTAGTCGCTCAGCGCTACCGGTCGTTTTTATCTCATGAACGTCAATTCATGATTGAAATGAGGCAGCACACTGAAGTAACATGACCGACACGGAGGTCGATCATCGGCGTAGTGTCAAACCCGCTCTTCTATGTATCATCCACATCCACTCTATGGCGAAGCGACAATGTTGCGGGAAGGCGATGGCCGCAGTTCGAGTCTGTACCAGATGTATTCCCGCGCCCCTAGCAATGAGCGAGAGTGCATGTCGGCTCCCCTTTAATCGAAGGGCTAGGAGACGTTACTCTTCTTTTCATACCCTCATCTGGACGGTCGTATCGCAATGCCGCCTACAGAGTTTACTGACCTATGCGCGACGGTATATGGCAAATTAGCACCGAGATACAAACATTATAATTATATAGCAGTGAGAAGCACAAGGTCGAAACTGGGATTACTTGTAATGTATGTGTCCGGAACCTTCTGGCTACTGTATGCTATGGAAGCACAATCAAAGGATCTTGTGATGGCGCATCCGGGAACTATTCCCTAACCTGTGGAGTCTGGTCATGGTGTAGAGCGAGTCTCCACGAGCTGACTCTGTTGAGACCGAGGTTTAGAGCACAGAGCCCGGGTGAGCCCTGGATTGGATGTCGAAGATGACGTTGAGGACCAGCATCCAAGGAGACACGCGACGTGCTCGATCCGGGATGTCAAGAAGCCTAGTGGCCTCATTGATCAGCCTGGCAATGTTTAGGGCAATGTGGCAGCACATGGATGCTAGCGGACGTCATCGTCGGAGACAGCAGAAGACCGATCGATCGTGCCCGGTGGGCGATGGATGCCGGTGGCTACCCTTGGTCTACTTATTCTGACACCCATCACCCCGATACGATGCCCTCAGACGGGCTTCCTAGCCGTTTCAGGCATTTCTGGTACTAAGAACATCAATTTCACGTCTGCAGCGCTATAGCCATCCGATCCTTTCACTATGCAGTCTGCTCGAGGGGGAATCAGCCTTCCCTCTGCCCGTCGCGCAGGCGCCGTTCATTGCGGCGCAAGGTTACCGCCTGCTGGTCTGTTCATCAGCACTGCCCGCTCCGACGTCTCCGCTTTGCTCGAAGTCGACCCTTCCGCATGCATCTCCAACCTTGCGCCTTTCACTATATGCGCACAATCCGGCCAAGAGTACGCACCGCGTATGCCGGGATCTACGTGCCTGTAGGTCGGCCGCTGCCAATCGGCGACGTCGTTTCGAATATGCTATAATACATCCCAAAATTGTAAAACATCGTACGGAAACGTACCCCAGTTCTGGCCGTGATCTTCGCCTCCAATGCGCTGACATCCACCATCTTGTAACTATTTCAAAATGATGATTCATGACGTCCACCGTCGACAGAAACGGAGTCGGGTTTTATCGCACTGCGGTTCATCGCTATGGCCCAATGTCGCTCGACGACTGATAGCTTGGAACGGTTCATGATCCACTTGCGAAAAAGTCGTAATCCCCTTTCGCTTTGCGTCAATTGCTCGCTGCACGCATCCCTTGTAAAAGAGAAAGAAAAATGATGCGAGGCGAGGCGAAAATAGAAGATTCCATATGATCACGCCTCCCGCATCGCTATACCATGGCAGCACGCGAGACGAGGTGCGCCGCACTCCTGCTCGGGCTCATGCGAGGCTCGATCAAAACTCCTTTGCGAACAACGACGATCTCGCTGCCGCTGCGTGAAGGGTGTAACTGAGGATACCGGGATTACCGACCCATGTGCATGACTGCAGAGTGCTTCCACCGTAGCTGGTGGCACAGGACGGTGTGTGATTGATCAGCACAGACATCCGGAAGTGCGGCAAGCTCGCGGTAGTGCTGAGCAGGCTGTTTTTTTGCTTCCTTGTACGAGGCCGCGGAGGACGGAATAATCTGCAAGACCAGATGCGTCGATCAGTATCGAGATTGACGACGCAATTGGATTCGGATCGCATACGTGTGGAAAACGCGTCTCAGTTACAAGCGCGTGACGGGCTATACGAGTGTGCGTGCCTCAGTAGATGGAGCGCACACGAGCCCGCTCGATGCATCTCCGCCTTCTCTTCGTATACTTTCATAGCACGTGCTGCACTCTTGCAACATATCGAGCTGCGCTACCGGTCGCAACGTGAACATAGAACATTCCGTCAAGCGCGGAGTACGGAACAAATGGGACGGAAAGTAAATGCGGGTGATGGAACACCAAAACATACGTTTAGCATATAGAGGATAGTGGAGGTCGATGCGGACGTCGTGGAGGGAGAGACGGATGACGTCAGTGCAGCGGCTGACCGTGTTCAGCGCGAAGATGAACTGGTAGATAATTTCTTGGGCAATCGCGCAGCACATCCGTATGTGAAGCTGTATGCGAGGAGTGGATATGTCGTACTCTATCTGAGAGAAACATAGTAGGTGAGGTTGTGAAGGACGCACCGTCTGCAGAGAAGGCACCCAACCAGATCTCACGTTGCATGCCTCCCATAGATATCCGCATAGATATATTGTTCGTATAAGGAAGGATATTCAACAATAAAACCGCATGTCACAGATTAGCAGCTCGCTACACCACCAGAAGGCACGCGACATACCGTGATGGTGAGTCCAAACTACAACAACCACCGACTCAGACCGCACAACACGAGCCCGCGTGGTAAGCTGTAGATCTGGTCAATTCATCGAAGGGCGTCCATCTCCACGAGAACGTCTGACACAGAGAGGAGGCAAAGGAGCCAGCGAGGGCGGAAGCACGGGAGTAGCAGAGAGCGGTCGAGAGGCATGAAAAGGCCGCCAGCATACGCGGGGTTGGCGGGGAGGAGTCGTGGGCATCCGGGGGACGCCCATTAAGAAAACGAATTGAAGAGCCACATTTGCGGCGTGTATGGACGGATGAGCCGGGGGCGCTGACGCACCGTCAGAGGCGTCGGGACGCGCGATCGATCGGCGGTGACGCGTTGATGGCCGACGGAGCAGTAGACTTGCGTCCGAGTCGCTCGGCGCTCTGTTCTTTCTCTTTCCGCCTTCGTCAGCAAGCCACATGTACACCTCGGCTGCACACATTCTGACGACTCTTATTGTCTGCACGAGTCCCTCGCGCTCCCGTCTGCACCCATCCGCCATCTACGCTACCTCCCGCCGACTCTGCAATGGGGTGTACGGCTGCTCTCGTCCGGGCGAACAAAGCACAATCCTGATATCAAATCTCTATAGCTCTGCCTTCTACACGTGTTTCACTCAGTCACATGTGCTCTTTTCCTACAAGTATACACTCTGTGCGTGATTTGAGTCGGCAACACGAGCACTGGTTGAAAGTGAAAATAACTTTTCTCAACGCAATGTGAATGTGGAGGAGTTGGCGTGGGTACGATCGCCGCTGACAATGCGCGTAAATGGTGCGTCCGCCTTCTCCTTTGTACATATACCATACAGCACCGGCTGCTTCTGTTGTCCAAGATCAGATGTCCTTTTTCCGCGCTCCTTTTCGACGTGTCTTTCACTCTACACTACAAAAGGTTACCCAAACGTAGCTCCTGCGGATACTGCGTTTTGAGGTTGTGTCCGTCGCCTCGTCCTTCTGTCCTGGTGCAAGTCATGCTTCCACGTCGACCCGACACATGCAACCTCCGGAGTCCGGCGCATGGATCATGCTGTGCGGGCATTCTCTCCCCAGCAATGACATCGCGCCCGCGCCCAATGTTACACGATCATTCCTCCATCAAAGGCGCGCCTGTGCTCATAGAGGCTGGATAATCGAGTTCAGCGCTGGCACCGGACCGCTCGTTCGTCTCGGGGAACCGCCTTGTAGCCTCCGCGCTACCGCGCGGCACCTTCGCGCCTCATTTGAGCTCCCTCTCTCTCATTTCTCCATCTTGTGCGCAGCGCTTGAAACCGACGGCGCAGTAGTCGTGCTGCGGCCAACACTTCCCGCGCAGGATTAGCTGGCGCATATACCATCTCGACTGCTCGACTGCTCGACGTTTGTACCTTATTCCCATTCTCGTTTTCTTGTGTGGTCAAGCAGCGGTGCATCAACGCGCCCACATATCGTTTCACGGGGTATACCGCACGCGTTCTCCAGCTTATGCCGAGTTTCGGACGCAGGTGGGGGTCACTATTCCATTACTTCATCGGTAACTGTACAATATAGAGGAGTCGCGCACAGGTCCCCGAGATCCCTGTATACGTGACGTCGCGACGAAGCGCAACGACAGACCCACTCTGGCAAGGCACGCTCTCATTCGCTCGGTCATACAACACGATCTCTGCGTCACTCAACACCTCTAACGAGACGTCGTGGCTCCTGATGTCGGGGATGTATCGTCTGGCTCTTGGAGTGCACTGCGAGGCGGCTATCTCACAAGACATTACCGAAAACGTCCCGCGTTCTTGGTGAGTCTCCCACAGATCTCATGTTGCTATTGCCTGCGTTCCGAGCATGCGCAATGTGCTGACGAAACGATCCGACATGTAGCACTCTACACACTCAGGCGTCAGCATCCGCATGAGGAACACACTGAAAAACCAGACGGCTCACGACACACCATGAAGACAAGTCCAAATCACCCGCACCCCAGACTCGACTCAAACCAGGTTCACGGCGCTGGTCGGGATATGCGCTGCGTCCGTCTTAGTGAGAGCATCTGTCGCGGAAAGAATGGGATAGATTAACCAGCGAGAGCGAGAACGCGATGGGGAGTACGGATGACATAGGCAGAGAGCGCGGCCAACGGGCATAGATGGACGACAAGACACAGACGGTCGACGTGGAAGCAGTGGCATGCCACATCTATGGGAAGAACATGCAGGCGAACGGGTATAAGGTATGCGCTGCGAGAGCCTCCAGCACAACTAGTGATGCGGGGTCGTCGGCGACAGGGCTGTCACGATTCGGTCGAGCAGCAGCCACCGGCCGGAGCGGACGGGACGCTCGGTCGACCAGCGCTTCCGCGCTTCGGGCGGGGTGTCGTTTCCACTTAAGCATGGGCGCACGACAGGAGAGGAACGGAGCAGGACGCGGGGGCACAGACCGGCGGAGGCATATCAAGGAAGATATCGCGTGCTGGCGATGATGCTGCCCCAGTGAGCCTCCCCCGCCACACACGGCACATTGCCAGATCTCCTTCGATCGCGCTAAGATCACCGTGCCTGGGTCCACCGCTGTCATCCACGCACCGTCACCTGCCGCCTCCGCTCTCAACAGGCAATGCTTGCTCCCTGTTGGTATTGCCTATGACGCCGCGTCGTCTTTGCTCGCCGCGGTCTGCTCGGTCTCGCATGTTATCCGCCCTATCCGTCCTCGCATCGCTCCACCCTGTACGATTCCTCTTGAGCTCTCGTCTACACGTCGCTATCGACTTTCGCTGCCTCTTGGATGGCTGTATGGCTACCCTAGTCCGGGCGCACAACACACATGCATGAACACGTAGCACAACACCTCTGCCCACTACATGCGTCTCCTGCAGTAATAGCTCCTCCCGCCTGCTCCGTGCGATCTTTGTCGACACCGCAAGCAATGATCGCAAGTTGCACCAAAGCCTTCGAATACACTGCGGATAACAAGGAGTCGCTTCGTCGCTCGGTAGCTCAACTATATCGCGTGGTATGGAGATGGCATCCCTGATCTCATGGGGGGCTTCATGAGGTTCCTGTCTCACAGGACATTGTCGAGGAATTTCGGTGAGTCGCCCTCAGAAATCACGTACCTCTCGTCCGCGTCTTGGATGGGTGCGATATGCTGACTGAGTTTGCGCAATTCATAGCACTGCATACATCCAAGTGTCAGGACCCGGCATGTATCAAGACACAGATACCTCGTCATGCAGCCGAACGCTCCTGGACGCTACAGAATATCCTACACGAATGGTCCATGGAGAATTTCGTGCCGTGTACCTCCACGTGTTCCAGTGTTTGGAGACCATCGCTGTACGTCACCATGTTCGCTTTCGTGTTGTGCTACATCGCCACGTTGAGGACGCTATCTTGTTAGTAATGTCTTTGTGGCCAGGCGAGCAATCTCCCTCCGGCACATATTGGTTCAAGCCAGTGGAGTAGCCCAAGACATGATGTATAGTGTTCACAACATTGTCGATACCGCCCCTTACAATACGGCTTTGGGGGTATCGTGATGTACACTGTGGGGCTCAGTCATATCCTCCCAAAAAACATTATCAGGTGGCGTTAGGATGGGAACTGAATACCGGAACCAGCTAGCTCCCGCAACATTCGAAGCATTGTAGAATATGAGGGGTGCATACTGTGCAGGTGCCATTTGAGCGGAGCAGGACATTGTACCCAAGGCCGGAAGGGTCATCAGAAACATTGATTATCGCTATAGAAATGCATTTGTCTCTTCTATTAATGAGTGTGACAGCGGTTCGAACCTGGACTGAGCTCGAACTGAACCTACTGCATTTTCCCGACAGGCTCAGTCCTCGTTCAACTTCTGTCTGAGGCTTCGGGCTCGGGGCGGAAGGAGTCTGAACCTGCACTTCGGAGACGCTATATGCAAAACGCCCGCGCGCGGTGACAAGACGAACAGCACAAGAGGGGAGAAACGCCGTGGCGCCCTTATGTGCGTAGTTCATTCCGCAACATCGCGTACGCAGGAGGGAGTCTATTGTGAGATATATCCCTAGTAATTGCTCGGGATGATGATGATGTTTAAGGATGCATGAACGGGAACCGAACACAGCCACGCTCAAGACGCAGCTGTTTTGAAGACAGGTAAGCATTGTAACTATAGTAGGGCCTTTGTTATATTCTTGGATGGAATAGGAACTGAAGGCGACGGAAGTAGATTCATGTATAATCCAGCTTGTTACCAACAAACGCGTAAGGAATCCGATACAGAACGAACAATCATGACCAATATTCGTGATTTGCAGGCTTGACTATAAATAAATCGCCGCATTGTGTACTTCGCAGTCTGGACACCGAATAACGGACCGGTCATTATGATGCTGCAGAGGAGGGTGCGAATTAGTATGTCTCTTGACTCGCACAAAGGCATTCATAACAGATAGACGCGCGACGCATGATCGTCACACTCACAAAGTGTGGCGCAATATGAACTACGTCGACGAAACCCCTTCCGACATCGTGTCGGAAAGCATCTTGCAGCATGAACTATGCATGGCGCTAATATCATATGCGGCTCGGCCATGAAGGCATGGCTTGTCGACCACGGCTACATCCGCAGCGACGCGCAGAAGGCGCACGACGAGCTTGTGAAGCTGATGCAGGACAAGTGCACACACTTTTCTGATCCTCATCTCCTGTCCAATGCGCTGATAGTTGTTGTCATATGCAATGAGTACAACGCACGTACGGCACCGTACGATGTCTGGCCCGATGCATGTCTCCGGGCATACCTCCGCGAACACAGCCTGTCAGAGGACACGCTCTCAACGAGCCGTCCGGGTCTGCTGCAAGAGGTGCGCATTCGCTACGTACAGACGACTGGGCGTGCAGAGGCACTCTTCGGCCATGTCAAGGCCGTGATCAACGGCGGTGTCAAGGCTGCAGAGGCCAGGTTCGGAAAGGTTCGTTTTCTCTCCCTGACATACGTGGGCGAGGCCATACTGATATCGTGGTGGCGCAACCAGGTCCTCGATGTCTTGACAGGAAGCGCGGAGCACGCACGAGGGAGGACAGGCGAGTGGATGCAGGAGGGCGGGCAGAAACTGAAAGACGCGGGCGCGAAAGTGCCGAAGACTGAGCTGTGAACATCTGCACACCGGAAACCTGCGCGGACATTAGTTCTGTACGATAAAACGACGCGACGTTGGTTCCACAATTTCTTGTAATCGTTGTATACATACCAAAGTGTTTCTCTGCATAATTCTACACCAATGACCCCGGGTTCGTGGCTAGAAGCATGATTGCGTTGACAAAGAATAGCGAGGGATCAGGAGGATTGTATAGACAATATGGTGTGCTAATTTCGTGGTGGATCTATCCAGGCATTTTCCCGTGTGAGGCTTCCAATGGCCGATCATGAAATGCACACAGGCAAGCTCAACCGGCTCCGCTCATTAACCAAGTTCAGCAATGTCTCACCACACAAGAAGATCCGCGCACAGTCACCGCGATGAGAAGATACTCGCGGTGTCCAAGCATTTCTCCACGGCATGTCATCTGGCACAGCCAACCTCCATTGATAGGGCACATAAAGCGAGAGCGACTGATGGAGCGAGGAAGCACGACCGCCCCGGCTCCCGGGTCCTGTGACGGTGGCTGATAGAAGTGTGGTTATCCGTGTGCTACCCTCCGAGGTATCGGCCTCGGCAGCCAATCATCCGCACAGGATTCAGCATTGCGGGGGCCAATCGCACAGCGCACATTACATGTGAAGCTCGCGCACGAAGGTATATAAGTAATCTTCGTTGCGTCCCTCCTCCCCAGTCACCGACTACATATCTCAATCTAACAACATGTCTGTGAGTAACCGTCATATGCTTCAGTGACAGACTGGGGACACTGACCGTGATCGATTACAGGACACCGTGAAGTGCGCCAATGTCCAGGCCAACGGCGGCTCTTGCACCTACCCGGCGTGCAACTGTGCTGAGCCACCGAAGAGCAAGTAAGGTGTATTAAGACACTCCTGCTGTGCGTATTTCCGCTGCCACTGCCTGAGACTCTGTGGATGCTGATGAACTTGGGTTAAACAGTCATACCGACTGCGGGTCTACGTCGTCGATCATTATTGTATTCTTCGTATCGTAGCACGAATGGAATGCCTCTAGCGTGACTTGCGAACGTCAGTTTGAGTTCATCACGCGGCAACATCAGTCGTCCGACATGTTGGGGCGATCTCGCATCGATTGAAGCTGTGCACAGTAATTGTGCGTCAGGTCTGTTACGCGTCTCGGTCGAATGGATCTTACCGCGCAAGCTTCAACTCCGAGAAGTAATGGGAAGGCGAACAAGATCCTCGCGGTGCCTTGTGTCGCGGAGCGCGAGTTAGTGAATCGCCCAAACGAAGACATATGTAGCTCGGATCTGTGCTATTGGGCGACATTAATACTAGCGACAGTCTGGTTGTCTACGCAAACGCGATCACGTGGCACTCGCCGATCGCGGACAACGACAGGTCCCCGACGACGGCACAATAGCCTTCATCGACACCGACAACTGGCATTCTGTGCAAATATCCATGATGTGCTAAGACACAGGAGTTGTGAGAAACTAATAGGTGGACTGCAGACCCAGCGCGGTTCGTCGAGCGCTGTTCAGCGCATGCAGCAGTCCTGATCGGGATCTCACCCGATGTCGACGATCGGGGCGATGTTGAACATGCCATACCCAACGACCGTCCGCCCTCCGCCGACACCACTCGTGGCTGACCGACGCGACCCACAACGTGACCGACGCGTCGCGGTGAGGCTGATATTCAACAACACACAAACAATGACACACTCGCCGCACGCTATAAAGCCCGCACTCGTCGCTCTCTCCCATTGTGCTCCTTGACCTCCAACCATCACCATCAGGTAGGCTCCTCTTGTCGTCCGTCGTGGGTGATGAGTACTCACCTGCATTGTCCTTCCGTATCCGATGTTTCATCCTCACTGTCGTCGTCGTCGCCCTTACCGTGGTTGAGTAGCGTAGTCGTCGCATCTAATGATGGGTATGCACGTGTGGTACGTCGCTTTGCTTACTCGTCCACTTCCTGCCTGCTGATCATCGTGTTCGGCTCGGTCTTCTTTGTCACTGTCACTGTCACTGTTAACGTCGACGCCACACCTGACAGCGTCCTCACGAGGACACTGTCGGGATGTGTGGGTGTGGGTCACTGATCTTGATAGTCTAGTACTCTCTACAGACTCGAGTATGTGCGTCACCATCTCAATAGTCTCGGCTCTCACTCACCTGCTCCGCACCCTCATATTGCCTAGTTCACTTTGATCACAAATGCAGCACCGCGGACCAGAACCTAGGTACGCCATGCCATGCACATCTCCATGGATCGCTCACTCATCGGGGCATCGCGTCACTATCAGGAGCTTGGTCTCCCCTAAAAATGTCTCCCTCCAAAGATCGGGAAGGGGTTGACGATGCTCCCGCAAAAGTATCTCCCTCCAATGATCGGGACGGAGTGAAGGGTCCCCCGCAAAAGTGACGCCCTCCAATGATCGGGATGGGGCGAAGACTCAACAGAGCCCTGCAAATATGCTCCTTTCAAGCGGACGGGACGAAGGCCCCGAGGCATGGCGCAGGCCTTTGCGTGGCCCTCGGGATAAGTACCCGCTTCAATGCTCGCGACGGGGAAACTAACGTGCGCCCACACCAGGTGAGTCTATCGTAAGCTGACCGCCTTCTGACGTTAGCGCGCTACAGACAGCGACCACGGTCTCGCCGCGCCCCGTCGCTCAGAGCAAGGCTGGCTTCAGTTGAATTATTCAACAGGATGCAAAGCACTAGGATAGGTGGGTCTCCCCGTCGCAGTCCTGATACGTCAGTAGTGAGCCCTGATGCAGGTGTTCATACAGCCTTCGGACATCAACGCGCCGGCTCCTCGAGACGACACATAAGAGTGCGTCATCGCTGAGTGGCACGTTTGTTTTTGTTATGGTTGTCGTTCCACATCCAAGTGCAGTCGATTGAACACAGCCACGGTAGCGGCTGCAGATGGAGAATCGAACAACGCTCGAACAAGCGTCCAACAAGGTGCGTTTTGTCACTCAGGCCGTTGTCTGGCGCGTTGACCCAACTTCGGTCATCATGATGATCTGCCGTCGTTGCTCCACACAGATGTTTCTTTCCAAACGAAGCGCCTGTGACCAGTTATAATCTCTGCCATCACGCGGTAGCGCATGCCAGTTAATTTTGCCAGAATCGTACAGCGCCGTGCATACTGTTGAGTATGGGCGCGTCACGACCCACGAACGACGCGTGGGTGTCTCGACAGTCTGCAGGTGATCTGAAGACCGCTTGCAGACTCCCGAAGCCGTTATTTCTAACCATGCACCGATCGTTGCAGTAGAAGGCTTCACACAGGAAGAAATGTGAAGGCGACGACGGGATGGCTTTGCGCTTAAGCTGCTCTGCAAGCGCGATGTTCTGCATGAGGTACTCACCACGATAGACATACGAAGTGTTCGTCTCTGTTGTACAACAAATGAAACTAAAAAGTCTTCATGGTCAACTGCGTGCGTCTCCGTGCGCGCGCATTTTGTGAGAAAGGGATGTTGAAAACACCAGCGCACATGGGGAGCTCCGATACCAGACGTCTCTCATACGCATTCCACGACAGACTAGATATACAGGCCAAAGCGCTTGAATGGGCGTCGCCAGTCGTCGAAGGTCGTCGAGGGCGAGGACAGGCGAAGCGAACACGCGGGAGGAATAGACGCCGATATGAGGACTTGGTCTCTTCCTCGACAGTCTGCGCCTCTACATTCTAGACCACGCTTTGCCAGTGTGCTGCTACTTTTTTTTATCAGCATGATGTTTCCGGTAGTTCAAATGGTCGATATCCAAAGTCAGACGCAATGTTCTCGGGCTTGAATATATCGATCTGTATCTGGAGTGCGCCGTTGTGCCCCAGGACGTGTCTGCGAAGCAAGAGCTATACTGCCAGCATCGCGGGAACGGTGTTCAAGCTGGGAATCCTGAAGATTGAAGCTCGAATTCCGTCGGTCTCTGTTTTGCTTCTTCCCCACTGACAGAGCCGCTCTACGTGATTGGACGTGTGCAACACCAATAGCACCGTGTGGATATCATTGTCGATGAAGTTCGAGCCAATTGCAAGACGAGCATTCCATATGCACATATGCAGGGGAGACGGCGGCATACAGCTGACCACGCCCTGCTCGTGTCGCCGGTAGACCGGATGAGTATAAAGGCAGTCCTGGTGTGACCCTCTTCCCCAGTCGTCGACTACACAACCTGCTCAAACATCATGTCTGTGAGTGACTGCCGCCTCTCATATTTTAGCCAATGTTGACATGACTCTGTCTTAGGACACAGTCAAGTGCGCCAACGTCCAGGCCAACGGTGGCTCGTGCACCTACCCAGCGTGCAACTGCGCCGAGCCGCCCAAGAGCAAGTAGGCTGCGACCTGCAGGACGGGATTGCAGGTGCGTGCATTGGCTTCTCTGATCATGGTGAAGCTGACATTCGTTCTCCTCTCAGACACACGGAGAGCTCTGCTTGTGCGCATTCATGACCCGCTGTGATGTAAGTTCGTAATACATTGACGCAAGCATCTAAATGTGTGGAATGAATGCATCTTCGTACATCTTCAAGTAAACTACCCCTCCACCTCCGTCACGCGGCTGAAATCGTAGTCAAGAATCCGTTACTCTGAGACGAAAAGCTGGTCGTACGTCCGAGATTCAACTTCCTATAACTGAAGTCACGTAGTCGACATTGTACAACCGTGGTTTCCATTACTGTCGAGTAGATACGTTGACTGGACATGAGCCAATTGAGGGGGCGAAGACACGAGCGCGGCAACTCGTTACTACTATAGACACCACGAAGGCGCAAGCCATTCGTACTGTGCTTGTGTTAGACGGTGTTGGAAGAGTGTCTTTGTTCATTGTCGTGTACAACGCGAATGAGTAAAGTTTGATCTTCAAGTTTGGTCCGAATTCGTTGGCGGGGACAGGCGCATTGCGGGAGAAGACCGACATCCAGCGAAAGTCATGAATAACTGAGCATCTCGCTGATTGAGAACATTTTAGCTTGAAGCGGCGGCTCGCTCAGTCATAGGGTTTTGGATGCAGAATGAAGGCGTTGATATACACGCTAGTGCGCGCGTTCGAGTTCGAGATGGCGGTCCCCATTGAGGATATTACCAAGAATATCGGACTTGTCCAGCGGCCCTTTATACACCGCGAAATGGAGAAGAGAACACGGATTCCATTGGTAATCAAAGTGCACATGCGAGAGTAAGATGCCTCACAGGAATCACTCTATCATACTTTGTGTGTCCTAGTTTTGACAGTGGACACTCGTGAAGCTTTGTACTGGAAATCCCTCGTAGATGTTGGTTGACACCAGGATAGGTATGCTTAGCACTTAGCAGTCCAAAGACAAAGAATACATACTAGTATGGTCTCTTGAGGAAGGGATGAGTACCTGGTGGCAATAACAGTCATGGTGATGGTATTGAGGATATCGAGGGCGGTTCTATAGACGCGCGACGCGTCCTATCACAGACACGTTACAGATCGTCACACTCACAAAGTGTGGCGCAATATGAACTACGACGGAGCCCCTTCCAACATCGTGTTGAAAGCATGTCGCAGCGTGGACCATGCAAGGTGCTTATACATGTCACCCTGGTACTCTATGTCTCTGATCGCAGACCAAGGCCCGAACAATGCAGACTCGTGAATCGGCCGGCTCACAGCACCGGATTGCGACCGTGACTGGCACGGACGACCGGCCCTGTATCGGCCAGTCAGCCACACATATGGCTCCGCGAAGAGCGTCGGAGATGGCTGACTTTGCTGAGTCTGCCTTTCGCTGACTTGGGGGCGCGAAGCTGCCCACAAGGCACAACAGGACAAACCAAACGCCACCCTCGGTATATAAGACCGTCGCTCGCCTTTCTCTTCTCCATCGCCTCTTGTCCTACTACCACCATGTCCCCTTTCCTCCTCAACCGTGTCCCACCCTCGTAGTCGACGTCGATTGAGGACCGTCTTCATCCATCGTCGCCACTCTCGACGGTGTCTCTACCCTCGTTGCCCTCATCGTCGCTCGTCGCCGTCTCGCCACACATTGGACCGTCTCATACCGATTCACGCAGATTCGTGAGTACTACAAAGCGTTGTATACCATTCAATCTCTGATTGCCTATGCGTTCCCATTGTGCCCTGTTCGTCGTCGACGCCACACATCGGCACGGTTAGGCTGAGAAAGACCCTTAGTGCCGCATAAGCGTCCGCCCCCCTCAACCTGAGGTGCGCACACTCTTCTATCAGTTTACTGACCTGCTATGCCTTCGAATCCCCTATGTCGTCGTGATGCATGAACATCTCGTGTATATGCATCGATACTCTGTGGGCGCAGGTAAGCTCATTGGTATTTGTTGTTGTACTTACATGGCATCTGACTATCGTGTTTGTCCTTCAGCGCTCGGTAGTCGGTAACCGTGCGCATATTCCTGTAAGAAGTCAGTCGTCATGCTGCAACGTTGCATGGCATATTGTGTGCCTCAAGATCAACGGTCCCGCATGCTCGCCTCTAGGTGAGTCCTACCGGGTCGCTGGCTGTTCGTATCTCATCTCGGTCTGACATCGGCCTCTAGGCGCTGCCTATGAGCATGCCCCTGGACGCCCATCTTGCACGCGTTGGTCACCCAATGGGACCATCGCCATGGGCGTGTCAAACACACTATGAAGATCATGATCGACTGTCAACAACGGTGTATGCACCTGCGTTCGATGGTCGCAATCACAGTCGCGCTCATCCTTTTAGTAAGTTGCCCTTATATCCTGTCTTCTGTCGCGCCTCACCATCGCTACAGGCTTGCCCTCATATGGCAATGCTATCAGCACCAATATAGCGCGTTCCGGCTGCTGTCAGTCCGGGTAACGGCGTGCTGGTGGGGACGTTACCCTCGGGGTGTCCAGATGAGATTGTCGACACAGCATGTGGACGGCATCCCCACAACAGGGATGCTGCACAAGCTGCGGAGTGTTGACAGCGGTCGCGCTTGTTCTCTGGGTACGTTCTCCCTGCTAGTCATTTATGCACTCGCTGATGGTGATTGCAGGTATCTCCCTAAGCGGGCGATGCGTCAGACACCCAATGGCACGTTCCAGGCTGAAGGTAGCCTGGGTAAGGGCGTCGCGGGGTGGAGGTCACTGCTCTCTCTCGCGGGGGCACCCTCGAATGAGACTAGCGACAATATCGACTGATCATTCCAGGTGAATCTGATCAGCAAGCGACTCGGGATATATCCGACAGCGGTTGCGCTTGTCCTCCGGGTACGTCATCTGTATCTCTCGTGCAGGAGTAGCTGCTCACCATGAAGCAGGCGCGCTCACAAGAGGCGACGCGTTGGACACCCGATGGCACGTTCCAGGCTAAAGGCAGCCTGGGTAAGGGCGTCGCGGGGTGGAGGTCACTGCTCTCTCACGGGGGCACCCTCGGATGAGACTAGCGGCACCACTGACAGAACATATTGCACAGGAATGTCTAAGGAGGCTTACAGGTCGCATTCGGCGGCGGCGAGGAGAGACAGCGGTTGCGCTCGTCCTTCAGGTGAGTTGCGTCGTTTGTATACAAGCGCGCCCTCTCTTATCGATTTGCAGGCTTGCTCGCAAGAGACAATGCTCTGGACACCGTATACCGAACGTTCCGGCTGCGCTCCATATGGCCCTAGTTGCCATCGAGTCTGTCAGTCCGGGTAACGGCGTCATCGGGGTGGGGTTGCTACCTCTGGTGCACCCGGAGAGACTAGCAACATGATTACTGACCATTTCAATGCCTTGTTTGTTGTAGGTTCTGCACTCTCGCGCGTCTCATAGCCGGAATAGCAAGACAACGGCGCGGAAGATGCGCATCGCACGGCGACGCCACCCCAGTCGCTCTTCTTTTCCTTTGTTTTGTTCTGCGCTTATACGTTCACCACACAGACGATCTACAATACAATACGATACGCACCTCCCCATGTACTCCGACTCTCAAGGCTTGCAAGGACGGGGCAGACGGCGATGCGCAGCGGACGGCATGGGCCAACGTCGGGAGTGCGAGCGACGTCACGCTCCTGAGGCGGGCAGGATGCGCACGTCAATATGACGCGCTCGCGGGGGCCACTCCTTGACCAGCCAAGACATTCGCCGAACGTGAAGCTGACCCTGACATCTCGAGTCCAGCTTGCCTGTGCCGCGGACGCGGCTTCCCATCTCGTTGTGAAGGATCTTTGACGCTACGTATCTGTGGACAGTGATGGTGTACATGATTTCTGCTGTTCGGGGCTTTGTACAATGCATGACATGGCCTCGACGCCAAGGATGCTCAGTATTATTATCTTGTGACTTTAATGTGCGACGTGAGAGTGAACGAACACAACCTTGCGCCTTTGCAGTCGGTAACGGCTGGACACGTCAAGCGTCTAAGAGGTGCCGCTCGCTTGACTGCTTACAAGGTGTCAATTCGTTCACCTATGTCAATGGCTGTCCTACCAGACGAATGCTTATGACAAAGGATGGACGCCGGCGGAGCTCACCGTGCGTCTCTTCTTAGACCTCCACGGACGATGATTCGCTGCGAGATATAGATTGCTGAGGAATGCACGTATTGCCCACCTTGTTATCCTACCATGCAGCCTACATTTCATATCGAGGTTCAACCTCAGACTCACGAAGCGGAATCCTTACCATGCGCGTCAGCATGAATACACCCCAGGAAGTGTCGGCATCCCCTTGGTGCACAGAGGCGCACCCTCTCGTCTCACGATGAGCGGGAGGTGGGGAGCCTTAGACAAGCTTGTGAAAGACGCACCGTCTGCCGCGAATGGACCAAATCGACCATGTGTCGCATGTCCCGCATATATGTTACTTGTTCATTTGCGGACGCATATCCTCAAGTGAATCCACATGAGAATCATGACGGGCATGAGAAGCACACTATAAGGCCAGCATGCCCGCGAAACACCATGAAGACAAGTCCATTTCACCCGCACCCCAGACGCGGCTCAAACCATACGACACGAGCTCATAGCGCTGACGGGCATATGCGCTGCATCGGTAAAGAGTGTCCGTCGTGGTGGGAGCATCCGTCATGGAGAGTGGCTAGCGAGGGCGAGAACGCGATGGGGAGTACGGACGGCAGGGGCAGAGAGCACGACCAACGAGCATAAATGGACCAAAACACACGAACTATCGATATGGAGGCGGTGGTACGCATCGACGGAAAGAACACAAAGGCAAGCGGGTGTGAAATGTGCACTGCGAGAGTCTCTAGCACAACCAGTAATGCAAGGTCGCCGGCGAGAGCGCTGTCACGATTCAAGCAGCTGCCACCGGCCAGAGCGGACGGGGGCGCTCGGTCGATCAGCGCTTCAGCGCTTCGGACGGGATGTTGTTTCCACTTTGGCATGGGCGCACGGCAGGAGACGAACGGGGCAGGACGCGAAGGCACAGACCGGCGGAGGCATATCAAGGAAGATATCGCGTGCTGGTGATGATGCTGCCCCAGTGAGCCTCCCCCGCCACACACGGCACATTGCCAGATCTCCTTCGATCGCGCTAAGATCACCGTGCCTGGGTCCACCGCTGTCATCCATGCCTCGTCACCTGCCGCCTCCGCTCTTAACGGGCAAAGGTTGCTCTCTGTTGGTGAGTATTGCCTATGACTCCGCGTCGTCCTTTCACGCCGCGGTTTGCTCGGTCTCACACGTCACCTGCCTCATTCATCCGATGGCGCAACCACCATGGGACTGTCGTCTGCTTCGGGCATCGCGTCCCCAGCGCCTTCGCCATGTCTCATCTCAGAGCAGCCTGCTCGCTGGATGCTTCCTCGTACGCATTGTCCCCTGAGGATTCCTCGCGGGCAATATCCTCTGTAGGCAATGCCATAACAATTTACGCGTATCAGCGCCTAGCATGTTCCCACCGCCTCCTCCAGGCTTCTTCCTTCACGCGAGCTACACGTTAAACAATCCTCGTCCCGCGCACCCTCCTTGATGCTTTTTGGACAGAAGCACGAGGAGCCTTCATCTCACAACCTCACTCTTGGCCCCTTGTACGCTGACGCGTTTAGAGTCGGGAGGACTCGCGCGCAGGTCTTCGCTTCGAAGTTGCTACATGCGAAGCACCTGGGAATTCCATTGCTGAAAGGGACGGCCAGTCACGAGAAGACACAGTAAGAGACGCGCCCGCTTGCGTTGCCGCTCCGCTCGCAGAACATATGCCGTGCTCAATCCATCGCCCGCAGGACTCATCGAGGTTATATTATGCTATATGGCTGTCTTCATGATCGCAGCTGCAAACTCATCTCTTCCAAGGACGTTCCCTTAGACGGCATGAAACGTTGTCGGTGAGTAGCCCTCAGATAGTCATGAACTTTTTATTTTTATTTATCTATTTTAAATCCAGTTTGATATCCGCTTGAGGGCGCTGCCCTATGCCGGATACTACATGCATGTACATAAGCGGGCTATGGAGTTATCCATCATGGGCTGTCCTGGAGCATCGTTAGGGAGTGCGTGAGCTGTCTGTCTCACAGGGGATGAGGTCATTGGGAGCGTGTTCGGGGCAGTGCGTTGCTGTCGATGTGGGGAACTGTGTGAAGCTGAGGAAAGGAAGCGTGGGCGCGAGGAGAGGGGGGGTAACTAGAGTGCTGTAGGTAGGTATTATGATGTGTACAGTAAGGGTTAGGCACATAAAGGGAGTAGAATGGGAAAGGGGAGACGGGAAAACAGGGGGTGAGAGGTGGGTGTGTAGGAATTGGGTATCTTAGTGTGGTCGTAAGGTTATCCCTGTGATTGTGCTGCTCGGAGTGTGTCCTGGTCCGATCGTCCTGTCCCGGCTGTGAAGCGGCTGGTTGCTTTGATGTAGTCAAATAGAATTGGGAGGGTGTCGGGGCTGCTTAGGAGGGTTCAAATGTTGGAACAACCAGTGCGATGGTGCGGCGAGCGTGTTTGTCCGTGAGCTAGTGATGCCCGTAAGTGTCGCGACTTAGGGTCAAGCAACAGGGGAAAACCAAACAAAGACGCTGGGGGCGTTCGACTAGGTCTTACCAAAGCAATGGTGAGCTTATGCTCAAACCTAAGGCTAGGGACAAGAATATATTAGTTAGTAAAGGAAAGTAAGTTAGTACATGGGAGCTTACTGACCTAGGGACAAGAGGTCAAAACTGAGGTCCCTAGGGCAGCAGAGGCCAGCTTATATACAGGGGAAGATGAGGGCAGGCTGTGCGCACT